AACTGAAACGAACAGAAAAATGTGTCCCTTCCTTCTGGGCTGCTGGTGGTTCTGGGCCTTGTTCCCAGGGAGAGCCAGGCAGTGGGACTCGCACGTGGAACAGCAGCAAAGCCTCTTCTGCCTGCGATGAGGGGACGGAGCCAAGTCTGGGAAGAGCTGGCATGCTGTGTGAGGCTTTGCTATACTTTTCAGGTTAGTCACACATTTCCTCTTCCTCTCACTCACGTTTCAAGGATGTCGCTTGGCTCCCAGCCTGTTCCCTCAAAGACGGGCCTCCTTTTCACTTTACCACCAAGAAGCAAGCCTTTCAGGAGGAGGAGGAGAGGAGGTCAGGGTGCGGACAAGAGAGAGAGAGAGACAGAGGCGGCTTCAGAGGCAAAGATCCTCCTAGCTGTGCAGTGTGTGTGTGTTTTAAAAAACTGCTAGCACGGTTGCAAAGCTAAGCAGGGTCAGGTATGGTTTCAAACTGGATGGGAGACTTCATGCTGAGATGCCTGCATTGCAGGGGGTTGGACTAGATGACCCTCGGGGTCCCTGCAATTATTCTATGATTCTATGTAGTGGTTTTTCTTGCCCCAGAGGGCAGGGGAGCAAGAGGGTAGATTATGGTGAGGACAAACACATCAGCATGAACAGCAGTTCTTCCACAGTGGAGCCAACGATCTGGTGGGGGCTGTATTCCTTTCTGGATGGCCATCCAGTGCTGGGCGGGGGCAGATGGAAAAGTGGGCAGAGCAACAAATGTAAAATTGACCTTTGTACAGAAGGCTAGTTTCTACCCACACTTAAGCTGACACAACCCCTGTCTGTCTCCCATCCAGGGAAACAAATAGGTGTTTTCAAAGTTCAAGGGACACTTTCCAGCCAGGTCAAAGGACTCAAACAGGGTGAGAAGCAGGGGTGGAGAGTGAGGGGTATCGCTGAGGCCTGGGGAGAGTTCAGAGGGCCAGATAGAAAGGCTTGGAGCAGCGGCCTTCAGCTGAGATATGACTTTTTTTTAAAGATAATCTTTGATTTTATGATTACATACTATACATATACACATTACTTTACATTTACATTTACTCCTAAGAGTTGACTTCCCTCCTTCCTTCTTCTGGCTTTTTTATGTCATCTCTAAGTTTTTCGCATTGTCTTTATCGATTTTGTATATTGTTCTTCTTCATTCAACTTTATCCATACAGTGTCTATATACAAATAAATCTTTCTGTATATACACGTCTTGTTGTTTGTCTTTATTCATTTACAGATACAATTAGTTACCTTGATTGTTCTTTACATTTTAATTCATATTGTCATTAACATCCAATAAAGTTTATTTTAATTTCCCATTATGAGGTTTATTTCCATTCTACTGATTTCACTATTTCACCTTATCCTATGTATAACATAAAGTTTTCCCATGCAAACTGAGATATGACTTTAGGCACGAGAGAAGCATAGAATTGTAGTGTTGACCCCCTGCAATGCCAGTCATAGAATCATAGAATTGCAAGGTTGTGACGGTTATTCTGTGAGTCTTGGTTTTCCTTCCATCCTGCAAAGAGCCACCTACCTGGCAGCAATGTCTTCCTGGGTCAGACAAAAGTCTATCTGGCCCAGCAATTTTGTGTCTGATAACAGACGGTCGGTCCTGGGAAGCTCAGAAGTGGTGTGTAATAGCATCAGCCCCCCACTGTTGGTTGGTAGTCCCCAACAATTGGTATTCAGAGGTAAACTACTCTGAAGATGGAAGTTTGGATCTGCTGTCATGGCCTGACACAATACCTGCTTCTCCTACTCTGTGAAGTCCGTCTGATGGTTTTCTTTTAAGCCGACAAAGTTGTCTGTATCTCTTCTGGCAGAGAGTCCCACAAGTTACGTAGGCAATGGTATGCCCTTCCTTGAGACCCTGGGTTGTAGAATTGTATTTGGAAGTATTGGCTTCTTTTAAAAAAACCACAATTGTGCTGCCATGGATGAGAAAGTCAACTCTGCACGTGCTCAGAGGCAATGCAACATTATCTTTAACATACCACACCCAAGCCATTGTGCTGCATAAAATGTTTGGGTGCTAATCTATGTCCACCTTTCTCCTCAAATTAAGAAAAGAATCGCACTCAAGAGCAACTCAGGGCCTTGGTATTGTATCCCTGCTCCCCACAGACCAAGAATGTAGACTTGGCAAAAGGGTCCGTTTAATGAGAAATTCAGATCTGAGAGATCATGGCATTTTAACTTTGCGACAATCCCCCCCCCCTATATAAAATATTGTTATTTATTGGTACATCCCTCTTGCTTCCTTTGAAATTAACGCTCGCAAATGTACAACCAAGTTAGGGATGAATACATGCTGGTCTGGATAACAAATGGATTAAAATCCTGTTGCAGCAGCAAAGTTCAGTGGGTGATCTGGGGCACTTCTATATCTCTCTGACCCTCTTGTTTTCTGGCAAAATGCCGTCAGAAGGGGGGGGGGTCAACAGATGCAGGTTTCTTCAGCCCAGTATCACAGCTATTGAGAAAGCAGCACCTGTTGGATTTCTCCCAGACAGGCTGCCACTAAGGGAGCAGGAGTGCCAGGACCAAACCCATAATGTCAATTCCCCCCCTTCCTACCTCCTTGGCCATCAGGCGGCTGTTAATGAGTCACTGCCCCAGTTGTGGTTTCTCATCTACTTGGCACCTGAAATCCATCATTCCTCACACCCTGAGTCACCCAAGTTTTGGTGCCAGGACCGGCACCCGCCAATTCCTTCTCTCCTTCCTCTCCCCAAGCCAAGCCCACCCACTGGCACTGAGGAAAATGGGGCGAAGAGAAGTGAGTCATAGTGCCCCATTATCCCAAAGTCGCTCCCTGGTCTCTATTAGGCCCACCACCCTCTTCTCCAAATGCCCCTTTATTTACTTATTTTTAATGAAGTTTTCATTGTCATCCAAAATAAACGGCAGGATACTTCCTGATGATTACAACTCAGGGGTGTCAGCAAACGGGGGAAACACTCATTGACAGATCAGCACAAAGAGCACCTATTAAGAAGACAGAGACCTCAGCTGTTTAGGGGCACACAAGTTCATACAAAAACCCATTTCTGGACATCCATGGGCTTAATTGCCCTTTTAGAAAACATATGGAAAAAGACAAATTCTATGTCTGGGACAGCTGGTGCTATTTAATTTTCAGCTAAATATCTTTCTAAGAGATCTGTAACAGATCTTTGAAGATAAGTGTGTTATAATTTTCAGTGTGAATTTGTTTTGTCTGAACCTAGGACACTGGTCAGCAGGTTATACAGCAGGGGTTCCGTTTCAGTTAAAAGCATCTTCTGACTTTTAGCAACAATAATTAAAATGGTGAGAGTGCCTCTGGGTTTCTGCAGAGTTCCTTTTGTCCTCACCAACGCCCTTCCTCACAGGGAGCATGTTCATGATCCACAAAACCTACCAGTCCTGTTTCCTAACCACTGCTGAGCAAAGTCAAAATACTACCTTGATGTGCAGAGTTATTGGACACAGGAAGCGGCGCTGACCTCAAAAGAAGTATGGCTTCTCTCAAAGAACCCTGGGAATTGTAGTGTTCTTAAGAAACGGATGTTGACACGGTTTCCCTCCCGCTGTTGAACGAGGAACACTCTCAGACCCGTCCAGTCACACTTTCCCGTCACTGACTCCCAATTTCTCACTTACGCGCTAAGGTGGCCGACACACGTTGGGTGTGTTTAAACAGGCGCATCTTTTCTGTACTGGAATAAATGCTGAGCAAAGGAGCACACTCGCCTGGTTATTCGCACGTTCACTAGTGGTGCGGATGATGAACTTCGGGTACTTTCGGGTACCTCTAATGCGCATCAATTAAGGCTGCAGTCCTGTGCGCGATTACTAGGAGTTAAACACGGGATTTGCTGCCAAGTAAACAGGCGTAGCATCGGGGCGTACATTTTAAGTGAACTGCTTTTCAGGGTTGTTGGGAAGTTGGCCGACTATGGCTACAACCCAACACGCAAAACTTACCTGAATTGAATTCAGTGGGGCTTACTTCTGCAAATAAGGGGGTTGCATTGCAGAGGGTTGGATTAGATGACCCCCTTGGCCCTCTCCTACTCTGCAATTCTACGATCGGCCCTACACACACTTTCCTGGGAGCAAGACATCACTGAACACAAGGGGGCCGCCTAAGCAAGCAACCAAGCACGCGGGCTGTGCATCTTTAAATTAACCCTTTGCAGGGCGGTGAAAATTGCAGCGCTGTTGCAGGCACAGGACAGTAACAACGTGTTTGCTCAGAGGTAAATCCCATAAATAAGATCCCATGGGATTTAACTCCCTGGTAGCCGAGTCTAAGGGATTGCAATCTAAAGTTATGAAGTTCAAACGATGCAATTCTAGGCAGGTTCACTCGGAAGTAAGTCCCCCTGCGTTCAAGGAGGCTTACTCCCTGGTAAGCGCTTGCCATCTGTTTTTGGACCCCTGTTAAGAACAGGATGCTGCACAAGGTGGCGCCCCCTCTGGCCTGATCCTGCGTAACGGCTCATGCCAAACTCTGCAAAACAAATGCAGCCTGCGCTTTGCTCACGGCGGGACAAATGTCGCGCGCCCCCGGGACCATTTTCACGCCGCCTGCTTGGAGCGGGGCGTGGCCTCTTCCGCCCCAAGCCCCGCCCCCAAGCGGAGCGGACTCGTAGGAGAGCGCCACGTCGGAAGCGGCCGCGGCCAGAGGGGGAGGGCAGAATCGGAGGCATCCCCGAAGGCTGGGGGATCCGAGATCGAGCCTACGGGGCAAGCGGGCAGGGGGTAGCCAACTGGGGTTCGACACCAGAGAGGCAATACTGGGGTTGGGGGGGCCGGGGGAAGGCGGTATAGTGTGAAAGGACCAACCCGGGTCCAGGCAAGGGGGAAGGGATTTGAACCTCCAAGGATCCAGCTCGGTTGAAGGCATACAGCAAATCAGGATTCAGGGAATCAGTCTCTCCCCGCCCCTCCACCTTTTTATTTTTTGCACTCTTGTCTGGTTCTTAACCGCGATGTGGGTGCCCGGACTCCTGGGTCCCTTGGCCCTGCTGGCCTTTTCTGCAGGCGGCTGCCAGGGACTGTCCTTCCAGCTTCCGCCGCAGACGCGCAAGTGTCTGAAAGAGGAGCTTCACCGAGATGTGATGGTCACCGGGGAATTCGTGGTCTCGGAAGCCACCGCACCGGGGATCAGGACAGACTTGCGGGTGAGGAGCATGTTGTGCTTTGACCTCCCCACCTTATTTCTTCTGCTGACAAACACTCCCCCCACCCCGGCTCACAAAAATACCTAAATGGTACAGGAGTCTGTTGCAGCTGCAACCACAAAGTTCATTCTAGACCACGAAAGCTTCTTCATGCAGCAATGAATGCACACTGTACATTTTTAAACCACTGTTGCATCACTTTAGTAATCATGGCGTCCTCCAAAGAATTTTGGGAACTGTTGTTTGTTAAATGTGCTGGGGGGGTGTCTCCTGACAACTCTGAGCCCCCTTTTAACAGACTACCATTCCCAGGAGGAAACCACCACTGTTAAAAGTGGTGTTTAAATGTGTGGTGTGGATGTTAAGGCTTTGCAAGTGCTGTGAGACTCTTTGTTGTCAAGCTTTTGTTTTGCATTTTGCGCATGCCCAGATACCCGTTGTCTCTGCTAGAGTTGACGCTGGCAGTTGGCTCTTTCTCCTTGCAGGTTACGGACTCCTCTGGCCACCTCTTGTACTCCAGAGATGATGCCAAGAAAGGAAAATTTGCCTTCACCACAGATGACTATGAGATCTATGAGATTTGCTTTGAGAGTCATGGCCAGCCAGGTATGGGGGCGATGGATTCTGCAGGCGGGTTTAAGCTTCAAAAAGTAGCCTCTAATCCCAAATTTGGGGTTGTTTTTGATGTGCATGCACAGTGAGGAAGGGAAGCACCCTACATGCTCAGAGGCACGTGAGCATGTAGCATTCTAGAATCTTGAAGCATTCTAGAATAATTTTCATGTTTCACAGCTGATCCCAGACTGGAAAAGTCAGTGGCTCACAATGAGACTTTCTCCCAAACTCACGCCCCTTTTTCCATCCCTTTGTCTCAGATTTGCCTTTAAGCACTATCCCGAACAGAGTCAGACCACTGATTGTCAGTGGCTTTTCAGGCAGGGAGCCTTTCCCAGCCCTACCTGACAGGATTTGAACCTGGGACTTTCTGCTCATAAGGCAGATGCTCCACCACTGAGCTTCAGCCCTAGGTAAGAAATAATTCCATGCAGTGAGTAGGTGAGAGAGGCAGGCCAGAGCTCTGTGACCATCTTCTGCCAGCCCCCAGCAAGCTAGCGGCTTTTTGTTAAAGACTTATTTACAAGATTATTTACCTCTGCAAAATAAACCATGTTTACATTCTTTGCTGAGAGGCATTAATTAATTCTAACACGGGCTTGCCTTTTGTCCCATATTGACTGAAACCGGGTGCAGATTTCCACAGAACCGTTCCATTTTTTAAAAAAACAAAACCATAATCCTTATTCAAATAACATTACTTGAATAAAACAAAACAGCTATAATAGCTGTAATCCCATACAGTAATGGAAGATTTCTTCATTAACTTTTCTCCCCCACCTGCCAGAACTGCAGCACCATAAATTTGCAAGAAACATTATCTTACAAGATCTTTTTTAAAACTGATTTCTTTTTGCTGAGAGGTCAGAACTTGGGAACTCATTTATTCAAGTTTTAACTGTATATTTTAATTGTTGTAACCTGCCCTGGGACCTGATGGTGAAAGGCGGGTAATAATAATAATAATAATAATAATTCAAAGAATGGAAATGATGTCTCTATAAAAATCATGATTTTTGGCAACCTCTCTGTGCAGCTGGTTGCAGTGCGTTAACCTCTCACACTTGACTAATTACCATACCCACACAACCCATTCATTGATTGTAGGGCCTGGCCTAGATTTCTAGGGCTTCACAACTGGAAAAAAAACAATGTCTAAAAAGAGACGGTTACTGGATGCAGAGCTGACCCAGAAGCAGGGCCCCTTGAGGCCAGTCTGCATGACATCTAATCACAACATTGCAAACACCTTTTCTGGGTAGGCCTTGAATGAATGAAAAAACCAGAGATTGCTTCCTAACCAGCAGAATTTTCCAGAACAGCAGCAGTGAACCTGTGGCCTATAGCCTATGAGGCAGTTTGGTTGAAGCCATGCCCACTTGCTTGACACCTGACATCAGATATGACCGCTGGGGAATGTCGGGCCCTCTGGCCAGCCTTGGCCCACCAGTGGATCCAGTTTGACCTACCAGGCCTTTCTCCCCAAGCTATGCCCATCCTCCCATCAGCTGATGAGCAGGAGGACAAGGTTTAATCCTGCACTGGCTGTGTGCCCTGCACTAAGGAGGGAATAGGATTGCACCGCAGGATTTAATCTCTGTTCATCGGATGATCGGTGGAGATTAAGGCCTTCTCCAAAGCTCAGCTCCTGTGAACAGACAAGCGGCAGCAGTTGGGTGAGGGAGAAGCAGGGCTTCTGAGAAGAGCTTCAAGACAACCTTCGGTCCTGTTTTGGGATCTGCCTTCTCCCAAGTGCTGCTTGAAGCAGCTCACACACTTCTCCCGCGAGTGATGGGGCGTCACTTGCAGGAGAAGCACAATATAATTTCAGTCTCAGAAGGGTGGAGGAAGAATCTTCCAAAAGCCTTTGTGAACCTCTCCCACTTTAAAATCAAAGTGGAAAAGGTGTTGACTTGTGGACGATCCCACCTACTAGTCAGTCGTAGGATGGATGACCTCTCCCACCTGTCAGATTTGGCTCTGATAAGGATCTGGCCCTTGGCACCAAAAAGGTTCCCCAGACCTGGATGTATGGTGTCAAGTGCTGGGCAGGTAAAAGATGGAGCTATCTGCTGAATGTGGGGTTTGCAGTAGATCAGTTGATGGTGCTCAGAAAGGTGGTCCTGTTGCCCATGTGATTGATTTTAGGATGACTTAATCATTATAAGGATCATAGTGATCTTGGGCGAGAAGGAACCCATCCTGAGCTAAGGGAGTTTGGAAGGCACTGGCTGCCATGTTTTTCAAACCAGAAATGCTTCTATTTAGTCCAGTAAAGCAAGCTGTTTTAAATATACATAGGAAGCTGCTACGCCGCAAACTTAAAAAACCCTATTTTAAAAAAAGTTTTCATTTTTATTTTATTTTGCAAATACAACAAAAGGAAAGGGAAAAATAAAAAAATAAAACCTCAACATTGCCAGATGACATTAACGGGAAAAATATATTGATCTTCATTTAAACATATAGATCTATAAAAACAGTCCATATGCCCAAATAGGCCTGTGTTGTGGTTTTTAAAAATCCTTCTGTAGTGCAGCCTTTTCCAGCCGGGTGTGATGGACTGTAATTTGCCTAAACCAAACCGTAAGTTTGGAACAAATGGCGAGTGCCTGGTTGTGGGACGTCTGCTGGACATCATTATTGCCTTAATCCTAACCTTGTCCTCTCAATCTATGCCTACCTTCTCTTCATTCCTCTCACCCCTAATCCCAGGGTCTCTCTTTTTCCAGGGAATTTCCGGGTCCCTGACCAACTGATCACCCTCAATATCAAGCACGGTGTGGAGGCACGGAATTACGAGGACGTAAGTGCAGCACTTAGTCTGCTCTGAATAAATATGGCAGGGAGTCCTCCGGGGGGGGCGTTGTGCCAGTTCCCCCATAGTGTGGACTAGATGCAGCAGGTAAATCTGTGTGCAAACGTTTCCTGCATTCCCCGTAAAAGTGGCTTGATTGTCTCAGGGCAGGGAGCCTGTGAAAAGCTCAAGATTCATCCCACCCCAGAAGTGCTTTGAGCTGTGGGGGTGAGCCTGCAGAACCTCCCTGAGATCGCCAGAAGATCCCTGCAGCTGGATCAGACCCAAGACCCAAGTGGTTGAGCATCTTGTTCTCACAACGGCCAACCAAACACCTTGCCCCACTGTGGGAGGCAGTGGGGCTCTGCATGCCAGTTGTTGGAAATCACAGGCGGGGAGGATGTTATAGGGGTCAGGTCCTTTAGGGCCTCTGTTTGGCCTCTGTGAGAACAGGATGCTGGGCTAGAAGGACCTGATCCAGCAAAGGTCTTCTTCAGTTTCTTTTATTTGAACTGTTTATATACGGGCCACACCTCATTTACACGTGTCCAGTTGATGCGCGACCACACACACACAGCATGTTGAACCCGGAATGACTTCAAAAATGAGCCCAGAAAGGTGTGAAAACAGCACCTAGCAATCCCAGAAGCCTTTGCACCGACCGTTGAGACCTGTGGAGAGTAGGGAGTTTGAGCAAGGAGCTTCGGAGAGAGCAGTTGCGGTGGAGTTTGGCAGATTTGCGGCCGTTCATGCCAGTCTGATGAGTGCTGCTGGTTTTTTTAAGGGTTTCCCAAGGGTTTCCAGAGTTGGTGGCCGTCTCCACTCCCTCTGTGGCCCCAGCTCTCCTTGTGGCATTGTGCTGGCCTTTGGCTCAGCCTGTCCTCCCCTTTCCCCACAGATTGCGAAGGCTGAGAAACTCAAGCCCTTGGAGGTGGACCTTCGTCGGCTTGAGGACCTTTCCGAATCCATTGTCAAAGACTTTGCCTTCATGAAACAACGCGAGGAGGAGATGCGCGATACCAATGGTGAGTGGCGCGAAAGCATGGCGGCTGGAGATCTTGCCCCCTGTCATTCGCTGGAGCCAAGAAAGGCTGCAGTGCAGGCCTCGTCTCTGGCTCTCACCATCTGGTGGCCTCCAGAACGTTGCTGGACTACAACTCCCATCATTCCTTACCACTGGCCATACTAAGGATGCTGGGAGTTGTAATCCACTGACGTCTGGAGGGCACCATGTTGGCTGTGCCTGCTCTGTTGTTTGTTCTCTGGCCTTTGTTTGGCTGTTAATGGTGTCCATCAGCCTTGAGGCCTCCAACATCCTATGTTTTGCAGGGATTTGAACTCAGGCCTCCTTGGGTATCAAGAGCTACTCCCTGCCCTGTCTACACTGGTGTGACAGTCTTATAAAGAGAAGCTTTCCCTCATTACCTGCCACAAAGTCATAAAAATATATATGTTTTGGCAGTGGTGGGGACCTTCTGCATGTAGAGCAAGGCCCCTCCCTAAAACGAAGCCGAACAATAAAATATTAGAAGGTACTAATGTTATTTGTTGCATTTATTATCCTGCCGTTCCTCTGAGGAGGTAATGAGTGGCGTACAAACATACCGCATTTTTCGCTCCATAAGACGCACTTTTCCCCCTCCTAAAAAGTAAGGGGGAATGTGTGTGCGTCTTATGGAGCTAATGCAGGCAGGAGGCTCTGCTCAGCACTCCCTTTAAAGAGCCGCGCAGAGCGTGTGTGCGGCTCCTGGGGGCTTTTCCAGGAGGTGGGAGAAGGGACTGACGGGCTGCCCTCTGTCCCTTCCCACACCTCCCAGAAAGCCAGCAAGAGCCACTGCGAGGCTCTGCTCAGCGGTCCCTTGTAAGGGCTCCCTTTCGTCCCTCATCCCGCTTTGCTGGGAAGCCAGCAGAAGAGGTGCTGCACAGCTATCGCTCTTGCTCTGCTGACTTCAGTGAGAGCTGTGCAGCTTGCTCTGCTGGTTTCTCAGCGAAGCGGGAGGAGGGACGGAAGGGTTTAAAGCAAGAAAAGCGAGAGCCACTTACATGCTCTGTGCAGAATACCAGTATTTTTTTCTTGCTTTCCCCCTCTAAAAACTAGGTGCGTCTTATGGAGCGAAAAATACGGTAGTTCTTTTCCCCTCCCCTGTTTATTCCAGCAACAACCCTGTGAGGCGGGTTAGGCTGAGAGACTGTGACTGGCCTGAAATCAGCGTTGTGGCTGAGTGGGGATTTGAACTCTGGTCTCCCAGATCTTAACCACCGCTCCACCCTAGGAGCTCGGAGCTGGATCTGCCACTTGGCCTTGTCTTTCTCTCTTTGCAGAATCCACCAGCGCTCGGGTCTTCTACTTCAGCATTTTCTCCATGCTCTGCCTTGTGGGCTTGGCCACTTGGCAGGTCTTCTACCTCAGACGCTTCTTCAAAGCCAAGAAACTCATCGAGTGATTGAGCTCCGGTTTGGGCACAGGGGGAGAGGCAAGAAGTGGGCGGCCCCCCTTTACTGGACTCCCCTGCCTAGTTTTGCCATGGATCTAGCCTACAACCTGTTAGGTGTGAACCATGCTCAATCTCTCTCCGCTGAATTATTCCACTCCGAAGGTGACTGCATTATTTTTTTCCGGGATTTCCTTGTGGCCAGGACTCTCAGTGGAACCTGACAACTGGACTGGATCTCTTTGCTAGCCAGGAATGGAGCCGCTCATCAGACAAGGCATGGATTCTGGGGAGCAGATTAGAAAACCACTTGCTGTTCCTCCCAAACCGACCATGGTGCTCGTCTGTTCTGCATGGTGGTGGTGCTGGGGATGTGGTGGGTCAGGTGTTTTAATTAGACTAGGTAATTTAAGTCCCAACTGCTGAGTGTAATACTTTGGAAGTAATAAATTTTGGTTCCTAGATATTGCTTCTGTTTTGGTGGGTGGGTGAGGGGAGAGTTATGGCAAACAATGCAGGAGGGTCTTGCCTCTCCTTGCCTCATCTGGAGTCAGGAAAAAGGTATTCTACAGGGTCTATGATGTGTGGATTTTGGTAGACTGGATAAAGGCCATAAACACGGCTTTTTTCATATGGAACTCACAGGAACTCAGTTCTGGCACCTCTCAGGTGGGTTCCAGCACCTCTTTTTCTAGAAAAATAGCACAGGCCACAGACAATTTACAGGTGTCACCCTGGTTACGCAGGGCTTAAGTTTCCCAGGTAGCACGTGTGTATGTAAAATTACAAATAGTGGGGAACAGCATCTATAAAGCCTGTAAATACCCTGGAAACCTTTGAAAAAGCAGCAGCACTCACCAGGCTGGCATGAATGGTGGCTCTCAGTCTTCCACATCGCTGGAGGAAGATGCGCAATGATAAGATGCGCAGTGTAAAGGATGAGGGGTCAGCAAACTTTTTCAGCAGGGGGCCGGTCCACTGTCCCTCTGACCTTGTGGGGGGCTGGACTTTATTTTGGGGGGGGGAATGAACGAATTCCTATGCCCCACAAATAACCCAGAGATGCATTTTAAATAAAAGGACATATTTATTCTACTCATGTAAAAACACCAGGCAGGCCCCACAAATAACCCAGATATGCATTTTAAATAAAAGGACACATTCTACTCATTTAAAAATACGCTGATTCCCGGACTGTCTGCGGGCCAGATTTAGAAGGCGATTGGGCCAGATTCGGCCCCCGGGCCTTGGTTTGCCTACCCATGGATTAGACTTTGGGTGGGGAGTGTGTTATTGTGGACACCCTTCTGTGGCTTGTGTGGCCAGAGGGAAAAGCAGTAGAGGCAACTCTTTGTAGGTTACCTTTCAGCTGCAGGAACGGCAGAGGGGACTTGCACACACACTGATCTCTCTCCTTCCAGGGAATCTAGGGGCATTATTGCAAATTGAGGATCTCTTTCAGTCAAGCACTTGAGGGTACAGAGGAGGGACGGTGAGGGGTATGGTAGGGTATGTCCTGTGAGACAGGGAGGCCAGGAAGACTGAATTTGGCCCCATCCCTGAGGATGATTTGAGAAATCTGTGGTGGTTGATAGTACTATCAGTGACTACCTGGTGTTATAAAAATGGAACCTCCATATTTAAAGGGAGTTTGGGAACATCTCCAGTTTTTGAGTTTTCAGATTAGGCCACACCAAAGCAAGCACCTCAGATCTCCCTCACTTCGAGGAGAGAATTTCGAAGCATGTGTTTTTAACAATCCCATCAGAAGCCATGGAATTTGTGCACGCGAGTCCTTCTCTGCTCAGCACAGCTTCCCACCAGCTAAGCAAGTGTAGGGCTGCAGTTTCTAAGAAGCATGTTGGCTGAAGTCTGCCATAACTCAGGAGGCTGGGAAGGGCTCTCTGCACATGTTCAGAAGCCCTCGCTGCTTCTTAATTACAGGGGTTAAAAGTGTTTGCCTTAAAAACAGGTTCCAACGCACCAGGTCCTGTCCCTTAAATGGGTTAGAGCAAAATTTGCTTGCGTCTCCCACTTCCTGTTGCAACTTTATGCACATATTACTGCCTTGTCAGCCTAACTCGCCCTCTCTTCTGTAACATAAAAAGATGACAAATTCTCAGCAAGGTTGTATTAAAATAGTCAATACGTTTTTATTGTTAAATCTGCATGCATTTCTTTATACGGATAAGATACAAAATTTGCCCCCTTCTCCCTGTGCCCTTGCCAGAACTGCAGCCGTTGACTTTGTGGCCATGTCCATAACGAAAAATTAAACTTAATTCCTTGCCTGTTTAACTGTCACAACTCAGTCAGAGGAGTTTCCTTCACTCACAAACCAGGGTTGAGTTTTTCTAACTGCTGCCAATTTCATTCTTCTTATTGAACTAAATGACTTTTTTGAGGCCCCTTCCAACGTTAACATTCTATTCTATGGGTGTCAACCATGCTTATATGACAGGGTTGCCAACTTATTAAAAAGAAAAACAGCCTGACCTGCTCCTGTGCATTTATCAGCAGCTTGATCTGCCAAAACCAACAGAAGATGTTTCCCATGGCATGGAGATGGTACTTGTATGCAGATCTAGTTGTTGTGTTAAGGGCAGTCCTTTCCTATCGGATGCTGTGGGACTACAACTCCCTGCACTGGCTGCGTTGGTTAGAGCTGATGGGAATTGTAGTCCAAAACATCTGAAAGGGCACCAGACTAGGGAAGCCATAGGACCTGCAAGGGCCAAATAACGGGAAGAGACGGGCAAGCTCATTGTAAGGTACAACTCAAAAGAGATTCATTTTCACCCTGTCCTTCAACACGCAAACGATCCTGAATCAGGGTATATAAAATATAAAATGAAACTTAACAGTACAATTCCAGTAAACAAACAAATATTAATATGAAATCAAGCAGTATGACAACTTACCCTCCTTACTACAAAAGTCAGTGGCTTAATACATCAAGAACCCATGTCATAAAAAGCCTGGCTAAAGAGGTAAGTTTTCAGCTGGTGCCCAAAACACCAGCTGGATCTCAAGAAGGAAGTCATTCCAATGCCAGGGAGCCACCACTATGGAGGTCCTTTCATGAGCTACGGAGGTACAAACTTCACTCGGTGATGAAGTAACTTATCCCCCAGAGACGCTGCCTTTGGGTTGTAGTTTTGTAATGGTATATATATATATATATATCACAATTCTTTGGTGACCTTCAACAGCAAAATCAGTTGAAGGTTATCTTTTGTTTCCAGGATGAGGAACCCGTGGCCCTCCAGAAATTGTTGGGACTCCAAATCCCATCATCTCTGGACAGCATGGCCAGCAGTGAGGGATAATGGAAAGTTGGAGTCCCAGCAACTTGTGAAGGGGATAGTATTCTCCGATTATATTTGGATCAGAGGATTCCTCTGCAGCAACCAAGCATGAAGAGAAACGGACTCCCTTCTCACCCCATTAATGTCCCTTGTGGGAGAAAGGTTCTTCCACTGCTCTGCCCCAACATTGACAACTGCCAATTGGGGGCGTCCTCTGTTGATGCTCCAGCAGTCCTCCGTTACAAATTCCCGTCACCCTCGGCGTAGGGCGCCTTCTACGCCAGCCAGGATGGGGGCAAAGCCTCAGGGGCGGCAGTGGCAGTCTCGCTCCAGGCGGATTGCTCGAATGACCAACGAGCCGTCCTCTTTGAGGAACACGAAGGGCATCGGTGCCCGGCGGGTCTGGCAGCAGTGTCTCTGTTGAGAGAGAAGCAGGAGGAGGAAGGTCTCAGGTTCAGTCCTTGATGGCATCTCCAGGCAGGGCTGGGAGAGACCCTGGTCTGAAATCCTGAAGAGCTGCTGCCAGTCAGTGTAGGCAAAACTGTGCTAGAGGGATCCGGCTTAGAAGAAAGCAGCTTCCTGGGTACAATTTATTCACTTACCATCCAAAGATAACAGGAGGGCCAACCCTAGCCTTGTTTCGCTCTCCGGAAGACAAGAACACAAGAGGGAGCCCTTAAAAAGGCCCAGCCAGGAAGAGAACAGCAAGGACCCTAAGGAGTTGCTGCCAGTCCGAGTGGGCAATACTGAGTTATGTAGACAAATAGCCTAAATGGGAATAAGGCACCTTCTTAGGTTCCCTGGGGGAGGGACTATAGTGCAGTGGGAATTAACCCCTGCTTTGCAAGCAGAAGCTCCCCAGGGTCATCCCTATAATTGCCGTTTAAAAGGATCTCATCCATCTCAGAAAAGACTTCTCTGCCCGTGATCAAGGCCAGATCCATCACTTGGCATCTTGACAGCAAGAGCCAGAGATCGCTCCCCGCCCTTGCTCTGAAATCTGACCTAAATCTGCATCATTAGATATAAATTGGCATGTTGCAGAATTGTGCCCTGAAATGTTTAGGTCACCAGCGATACCCCCACAGCTTCCTATGTCCCAGAGGAGGGGCCCATACTTAGTCAGGAGCAGATTCCCTTGTTTGGCAGCCCAGAAGGTCACACCTTCGATCCCTGCATCTCTGGGAGCAGGTGCTGGGAAAGATGGGCCCTTCTCTGCCCTAGACTCTGGACAGGCACTGCCGGTCAGAGCAGACTGTACAGGGTTAGCTCAGGAGGTGTGCAACCTGTGGTTCCTCGGCCTAATTTCATACGGCTCTCTGAGAGGCGCTCTGTACCTGCTTGGCTTGCCCATCTGACCGACGGCTCGGCTGCTCAAGTCCGCAGTCTTGAATCCAAAGGGCCAGCGGAGGGGCCTTGTCCTTTCGTCGGCAGCGGCACCCGAGGCACTGGGTGAAGACGAAGGACACCGGGTGCAGCACCCAGCTTTGCCAGCCAAGATCTGGGGGAGGAGGAAGTCCAGAAGGAAAAGGTGGGTGAAGATACAGGAAAGGTGGTGGGGCAGCAAGCTGCAGTGCAGACAGGGGGTCATTCTCCCCCATGAAACCCCTGGATTAGGGGAGGGGAACTTTTGCAGGATTCCAACTGCCAGCAGCCCCAGCAGCATGGCTAATGGTCATGGGGCGATGGGAGTTGTAGTGTTGCAGGGCCTGACAGATCCCCTACACCTGAGGCTGAAACAAAAGGGTTAGGTGAGAGAACCTTCCCTCTTGCCATTTCTACATTCTAGACCCCTCTCCAAATCTGTATTTGTTTTGTGTTTGGGTATCTGAGTGTATCATGCAGTTCACCCCTCAAGGGGGCACCACAGTTTAAGTGGAAAACATGGCTGCCACAAGTGCATTGTGGGTAATACTCTTGAGAAAATGGAGGTAAGAGTCGAAAATTGCTGGAACGCTTCAGAGTAGAGTGCATTAACATTTATTAGCATTAGTAAACCGGAACCTGAGGAGACTGTCGATATTTTTGTTCTTTCAGGTCGGTTCTTAAAAGTGCCTCGTTTCCTTGGCTTTTAATTAAACGGCTCCACTATCCAGCCAGGATGGGCAACTTCAGGTCTGAAGGTAGCTTTCAGGCATAGGAGCCAACCCTTACGGACCAAAGTCCCTTTGTCTCCCCCCATAAAATATTTGAGGGGGCTGGGCCCCCCAAAGTTGATGCTATATTGCTCTCGGCAAGTGTCTCTATTTTCCAGGGACAGTCCCAGGTTTGCAGAAGCCATCCAGGTTTCTGATTTGATCCTAGAATGTCCCACTTTTACTTAGGACGTCCCTACTTTCACTGGAGAAATGTTGGAGGGTGTGCACCTTCCACTTTTGCCTCTGAAACCCTGGGAGACCTGGGATCTTCCCTTCCCTTCCGACGGAGGGAAATCATCCCTTATTATCTTCAGCCCCAATAATGCCCCTTTGCTTGCCTGGAGGGAGGATAGAGAAAGGTGGGTGTGCAAATGAAGCTTTGATGCCCCCCCCTGCCACTTTTCCCTCTGGCACTGCCAACCACTGGCCAGTGGCTCCTGGAAGGTTGTCTAGAAGGGAATGCAGCCCTTAAGAAAAGGCTCCCCACCCCTGGCTTAGCATTACCTTCCAACGTGACGTGGTGGGAAATTTGGGTGCAGCTTTCTCTTCGGACCAGAAGTGTCTCATTGGACGAAAGATCTGTTTGGGGAACAGGTGGGAGAAGAATGAAATTCGAAAGGCACTTCCTTTATTATTAGGACTAAGGAAAAGGCCACAAAATAGTGGCAAGGTTTTTAAGTTGTATTCATTCAACTTGTTTTTATTATTGCTTGTTAGCCGCCCTGAGCCCGGCCTTGGCTGGAGAGAGCGGGGTATAAATAAAAATTATTATCATTATTATTATTATTATTAAGGTTTGTGGGTTTCTTGGAACTCTTCCCCAGCCAAAGATGTTACAGAAAGGATTGGGGGGTGAAGTGGGCTTTGGGGAGATAAGGAACCTAAAACGGATACAAACATTAGGCTTGATTCTGCAGACATAAAGTCACCTCAGTTCCAAGGTTGAGGTTGCAGGCTGTATATGTCCCTCCCAGGGCCAAATTAAGACCTTTTAGAGACCCAAAGCACTTAAAAGATTATGCTGGCCCGCACCATATTGATTCAAAATAAAAAGCAATATTATACTTTATAAGAAAAAAAAAGGAAAAAAAGAAAGCATAGATTTATTGCAGCACATGACGGGATCTGAACTCCTCACATTATTTTGATCTAGATTAGTAGGAATACCCCCTGGAGATAAGTAATAAAAAGAAAATAGAAAAATTGGGGGAAAGTTTGTAGTGGAGTGTAAGGAAGCCTAACAAAGTTGTGATTTTCCCCTTGATGGGAGGTATTCCTACTAATCTAGATGAAAATAATGTGAGGAGCAGTGTGGAAGTGATATTAATTTGGGATTGCCAGCAGGTGTGTAACAGTTGCTGGTCTCAATAAATGTCCCCCAGTTTTGGTCACTCTCCCCATTCCACAGATGGGACTACCAAGGCTGAAAGTGAGCATTTTGCCCAACATCTCACAGCAATTCCTTGGCAGAGGGAGGAATTTGAACCCACATCTCCAAGCTTCCGACGCATCAACACTAGGTATGTTGAGCTTTTCAGACTGAGCTGTTTGCTCCTGTCGATCTCAGTAAAAATGTCTGCCAAATTGAAAAGATGGACCTTTCCCCCCGCATGCTAGAAAAAACTTCACATGCTGCATTTCTGTCTGTTGGGCGGCTCAGACAGCCATAAAAACAGGGCTTAAAAAAAAAAGAATTAGCAGCAGCAACTTTTATCTCAGTTTAATTAGCGGTACTTGGTGAGTCAAAAGGAAAAGGAAGATTATGGTTAGGTGAGTTTATGCAGAGGCTTAAGTAATTTCAGAAGCTGTGCATTCTGACCCATAAGCCCCTCACTATCAGTGGTAAGTGGTGAAGGAAAAGACACTCTGTACATGCTTTAAAGGTAAAGGGTAAAGGGATCCCCGACCATTAGGTCCAGTCGTGGCCAACTCTGGGGTTGCGGCGCTCATCTCGCTTTATTGGCCGAGGGAGCCGGCGTACAGCTTCTGGGTCATGTGGCCAGCATGACTAAGCCACTTCTGGCAAACCAGAGCAGCACATGGAAACGCTGTTTACCTTCCCACTGGAGCGGTACCTATTTATCTACTTGCACTTGATGTGCTTTCGAACTGCTAGGTTGGCAGGAGCAGGGACCGAGCAACGGGAGCTCACCCCGTCGCGGGGATTCGAACTGCCGACCTTCTGATCGGCAAGTCCTAGGCTCTGTGGTTTAAGCCACAGCGCCACCCCCGTCCCTTGTACATGCTTTAGGGAACTGATATTCCAGGGCAGCCTTGGCGTTGAAAGCAGATCCTGGAGCCAAGGCCCAGTGCCGATCAAACCCCTGCCTTGGGGTTGGGATAAGTGGGCAGGTCAAGGTGAGGGATGCAGAAGTGGGGTGGGAATGAAGACTCACTGAAATGTTGCCCCCCACTGGACAGATCCGGCAGTTCCATCATTTCCCAAGCTTCATGCGCCTGCCTCCTTGTGCCAGCTGCGATCCTGGGGGGGCTGTCCAACCGGAGCAACCGGAGCGTGGCAGAGCCCACTTCCTGGAGGGCCCGCTCCCTGCAGCTGCCGGAGGAGACAGAACAGGCAGAGATCAGCTACAGGTTCTACAGCTTGCCAATGTCGCTTGGGGAAGGGCAGATCACATGCTTTGCATGCAGAAGGCGCCGGGTTCAACCCCCGATGGCATTTCCAGCTAGGGAGAGATGCTGCCAGCCAGTGTGGACATTACTGAGCTAGATGGCCCAATGGTCTGAGTTGATAGGAGGCAGCTTCATATGTCCCTCTGCTGTTGCAATGCCACTTCTGTTTGAGCTTTCAAAACCACACAAGCACAGCATGGGTTTCATTAGCGGGGGAAACGTCTCTCACCCTTGCAGGAGAGGTAGCTTGTGCAAAAAGGCACAGGTATGAATCTGGGAGAAATAAGGTTCAATTTGCATTATCGCAGGAGCCTATCTAATTTGGGTTTCCTGAAACAATATGTGAAACAAATCTTATGACACCTTCTTTCCTCCAAAAAGTTCCTTTTATCTTCACAACATCCCTGTGAGGTAGGTTAGGGTGAGAGGCAGTGATTAGCTCACAGTCACCCAGTGAGCTTCATAGCTGGGCTGGGATTCGAACTCTGGTCTCCCCGGCCCTAGTCCAACAGTTCTCCAACAACAACAAAATTGCACAAAACTGTATTAGGGGAAAGTGTGCAGCAAAATGCACACATCTTGGTGAAAATGGTATACAAAGCCGCACTGATTTTAGGACAAAGTGCTTGCAGAGATTTGTATGTTAGGAGAAATGTGCAGTAAAAGCTGGCTGTTTTTATGAGGAATTTTTCAATAAATTGCAAACTGCTGGAGAAATGTTGCAAACTGAAGATTAGAAAAATGAGAAGCTGAGACAAAATGGGGCAGACTCATCCGTCCCATAGGCACAGGAGCAATCTCTTCTGAGGTTGCCAACAACAACAAAACAATATAGCCCTCCCTGCTCTTCTGCTTTTAACAGCAGCTTGACAGGCAAGGGATTAGCAGGGGATGCATTCCCCCTTTAATATCTGCCAATAAAGCTGCCATAACAAAACGGAGGAGCAAAAGCTGGCTGGGAAACTGGCATCCAGTTCACTGAACAAGCAGGAGCCTAAACAAACCGAGAGAAACATCCATTGTTTCCAATGCCTATTGTTACTCAGATAACCTGCTGAATACATCCCTTTCTAAAAGGATTGTGCTTTCCCTTCCACCACAACTCTGTCCTCCAGAATGAGCCTCCTCTCTCTGTTTTAGCTCACCTCCTGGCACCACACAGAGGTATGACAACAACAAATTTCAGGTGGCCTTTTCTGTCCTCTCTCTGCAACGCAGTTCTCCACCTTCGAATTTAGCTACACAATCCTCCTCAGCCAAATTAATTTAATTTTTATAATTTATTTTAATAATTTTAATTTTAATGAAGCAGAACAGGCTAAGGAGGCCATTTTGGATCTGGAAGGGGCTCCTGGATTTCTAACAGCCTGAGTGACATCGAAACAGCCAAAAGTGACACAGGTATAGAGGGAGCTGCCCTCTACTGAGTCAGGCGACTGGTCCATCCAGCTCAATAGTGTCAACACTGGCTGGCAGCAGCTCTCCAAGGTTTCAGGCAGGAGAACCTGGAGCCTTCCCCGAATTAATATTGGGGAGTGATTCAGGGGCAAAGCCACCCAAGCAAACATCTGGAGTTCAGGGGGGCTGACTAGTTAACTAGCTACTCCTTCCTTGAAGGTTTTAAAGCAGAGGTTGAGTGGCCATCTGTCATGGTTGAGATCCCTGCATTGCAGGGGGTTGGACTAGATGGCCCCCAGGGGTCCCTTTCAACTCTACAATTCTATGACAGCATCCCTGACAGCCTGTGCCCAGCCTCTCCAGCAAAGAACAGCATACCACCTCCCAAGGAGGACGCCTGTTCCACGGTCAAAGAGTACTTATGGTTAAGGCGTTTCCCCCTAACATTTAGCCGAAATAATCCTCTTTGCAAACAGTACAGGCAATTATCTTTCCCGCCAAGCTGGTGCTGCTGACCAGCATGGCCATGGTTGCTTTAACATCCCTTAAAATTGTTACTGTGCTCACAGGAGAAAAGCAGGAAGCAGGTCCTTGGTCCATCTAACTCAATACTGCCTACACTGACTGGCTAAGATTTCTTCCCTAACAATGATCCTCTGTCTAGGTGATAGGTATTCTACCTTTTGCACAAGCCACAAGGTGGTTTATAGCAACGCAACCATGCTGGCTGTCCCACAAGGACTGGACTAGTTGGTCTGCATTGAAGCAAGCTGAGCTAGCAGAAAGCGGCAGGGATAAGTTTGAATTGATTCCTCCCAACGAGAGCCCTTTTCGGACACAGTCCTATATGCCTACTCACCTGGGAGGAAGTCCCATTGAACTCATTGGGGCTTACTACTGAGGAATACATGTGGGATTGGACTGTTTTTGTTGGCTGTAGCAACAGCAAGGGGAAAGACCCAGAACTCTTTTATTATGCTTTTAGATGTGCTGGAAGCCGCCCAAAGTGGCTGGGGAAGCCCAGCCTGATGGGCGGGGTAAAAATAATAAAATTATTATTAATATTAATCCTCACCTCCCTTTCTTATAGATGCCAGCCCCACTGGGGAAGGGCTGTGGCTCATTGGTAGAGCATCTGCTTTGCATGCAGAAAAGCCCAGAATCAGTCGTGCTGGACATCTCCCTGTACGGCTTGCAATGTCCCCTGCCTTGAAACCCTGGAGAGCTGCCAATTCGTGTGTTGGACCAGTGGCCTGACTCAATATAAGGGAGCTTGCTGTGTTCCCATTGCATTTGGTAGGGCTTACTTCTGAGTAGGCACAGTTAGGACTGCACTTTAAAAGACTGCAGCTGCAAATCCTTTGCAAACTTTGTAAGCCCCTTTCCAACGCAGCAGAGTTTGCTTCCAAGTAAACACCTGTGGGAAAATGCTGCACAAGCTTGTGCTGGATCAGACAAAAGGGCTGTCTAGTCCAGGATCCTGCTCCCACCACTGGCCAGCCTTTGGGACCCTAACAAGCATGTTACGAAGGCAATGGCCATTCCCTGATGTTCATCCCCAGCAGCTGGCAATGTCCTAGGATAGCTTGCCCCTGACCATGGGAGATCAATTTAGCCAGGATGTCTAAGACTCATCTATGGTCCTCAAGAAGTTGTCTAATTAATTTTCATTCTTATTATTAAAAGGCAGCCACCGGTGACATGAATTGTGGCAGAGAGGTCTGTGAGTTAACCAGGTGCAATGGAAGCATGGGTTCTGTCTGTTCTGAAACCTCTGCCAAGCTGGTTGTGGGAAGAGTAACAATTGCTAGCAAAGTATCTCTGTTTCCACATTCTCTGCAGTATGCATCATTTCAAAAATCTCTGCCGTGTCCCATGTAACTTTTCCGCATAGGGGAACGTACGAAGCTGTACCGTACTGAGTCAGGCCATTGGCAGGCTGGCAGCAAGGGGTCTCCCCCAGCCATACCGGGAGAGGTGCAAGACTGAAGGGGGGAAATGACTGAACCTAGGAGCTTCTGCAATGAAAGCAGATGCTAAGACGCTCAACAGGATCTCAACCCTGGGACCATCTGCATGCAAACTTTCCCTACTCCCCTGATCACACAATCTTCTTCGTTACCCTAAATAACAACCCTCTTCCCACCTGTCATCACATCCCAACGGACCAGCCCCACACCCCACATTTCCTTCAAGACAACACACAACACTCCCCCCCCCAACACCCATTTTAATCATCACAACAAACTTGCTAGGTACGCTGGGCTGGGGGGGGGGGGAGCCTAGCTAGAGAGGAAGACTGACCCCAAGCCACCCAGGGAGCCTCAGACTTTAGGTGTAGGACAGGTATTAAATCAGAGCCTCAGGTCCAGCCACCGCACCAGATAGTATTCCCAAATTGCAAGCACAAAAGGATCTGGCCAGCTGCTTACCTCTCATTGAGGGTAACGACAGACGACTCGAGCGGCTGTTCTTCATCAAGGCTGGACTCCCGGAGGAGGGCGAAGGACCCCCACGACGACACCCCTGTCAGCAACCCACTCACAAGCACCAGGTGGAACATGGCGCACGCCAGGAGGGTGCCACGCCAAGCCAGGCGGGCAAAGCCAGGGGGGAGAGAACAGCGGGGGTGCAGGGTAGCCTAGCCTGGCCAAGAATGCCAGCTAGACTAGGCGGGCGAAACTGGCTTGGGCAGAGCAAGGATGGAAGCAGAGGGACTGTGAGAACCCACTTTTATCTGCCTCTCCCCCAACACTGCCGTGACCTTGGCATTTTTCACAGGCAGGCTTGTGCCTTCCCTCAGAGGAATTGGAGAGGCAGCATCACGCGCCAGCTTCTGGGGGCCGTGTCCCAGCATTCGCCCTCCCACAAAAAAACCCTACCTTGTGTGGGGCGGGGGAATTAAAACCAGGAGCTGAGATTCAGCGTCAGAAGAACATGCTTGAAATAGCCCAACTGAGTTCTGGAAGGGTGGGCAAAGGAACTTCTGGGCATAAGCAGAGTGCTTTAAAAAAATAACAAAAACCAAACATCTGCACCTGGTGCAGGTCCCATTCCTTTCAGTGGGGGCTGTGTGGGAGAACATTTCTGGTGCACTGGACCTGTTGGATTCCATGGTGGCGGCTTTAAAACCTTGTATTTTACCTCAGCCTGGGTGTTTCAGAGGCAAGATTGTGTCTCGCTGCATTAATGAACCCAAGAACATAGGCCTCCTGCTACCCTTAGGGGCTGGCTGCCCGCTGGGGGTGTCTCCTGGGCTATGCCTCCACCCATCGTGATTCAGAGCAGGCCTCTTCTCCACTCCTGCCACGGCCTTTGATTGACAGTTCAGCCGTCAGATAAGGTTCATTTGACACCTTCATTCACCCCTTTTTCCCTGAAAGAAAAGGGGTGCCATTTTGTGGTTCACCTCAGGGGCCAAATGTCTTCCGCCAGCCTTGCTTCAGCTGCTGTCACTGAGGATGTGGGCAGGAAGCAAGGCAGTGCGAAGGCCAGCAAGCTCTGAGGTTCTGCGTAGACGGCCTATTTCTGGGGTACATGCCTCTGCTCCCACCTCAAAAAGCTGTAGCTCCTACACAGAGGCAGAATAAAGCAGTAAGGAGGGCTGGCTGTCAGGCAGGCAGGCAAAAAACCCAATGCCTTTTCCTTCCCCCAGTTGTTACTGCTTGATGGGTCTATTGAGCAGGACTAACAATGGCTACAACCCTTGGACTGCACAGCCCTTCACAAGAGGGTTCAGAGCCTTCAGAGAGAGGACTGTCCTCTGCAAAAGGGAATGTTCTGACTCTGCCCATCACTTTAAATTTCCCACAATGCACCAGAGACCACTAAATAGAATCACTCTGGGACGTTGTCGTAAATGTAAGAATACGAAAAATGAAGAAAGACTCACTTAGAAAAAAGAAGTTTATTACAATCATTTTTGTTATTTATTTATTCATTAGTGGGGTGGGGGGGGAAGCTTTTTCAATTTGCATATAAGAGTCAAATCTTAAATCTGATGTAAATATTTATGGATAAGTTGTTTAGTGTTTGCAGATTACTTTAAAACGGAGACAATCCAACACTATTTATCTTCAGTTCTGACTGAATGAATTACATAATTCATACCTGGCTCATTGTTGTTTTCTTTTTATTTCCAGAAAAGGAAAATTTATTGCATTATCATATTGTATGTGTGTGTGTGTGTTGCACCTTTAAAAAAGTGTTTTGCAGTTTCAGTGCATGATGAAAGTACTCCAGTTTTCAATAAAAAGATTATTTCATTGCTTTTGTAAAGCCCACCACTTTTGACTTTCCATGAGGCCACAGCACATCCTGACCACCTTGATGAGACGCCTTCAGACCTAGAGGCAGCCCTGGCTGCTATAACCCCATCAATTGCTATTAGCCACAACAAACCCGCCTTGTCCAGAGGCAGTGTGTCCTGTGTACGTGATGGATGCGAATAACAAAACCACAGGTGCTGCTTGTGAGAAGGACACACTGTTGGAGGTAAAAAGATGATGGGCTAGATGGGCCTTTGGTCTGATCCAGCCAAGGAAGGTTTTTTTGTTTAAATTGCTTAAAATGTTTACTCAGTAGATACAAAGATCAAGCTTTGCAAAAATAATAATAAAAGAGGACAAAGAAAAATATATTTACAGTAACTGTAAGACATGTTTGCATCTTGTCATATAATTTGAGAGCACAATCAATCGTGTCCTTCACTCCAAAATTCATTGATCCTCACCAAGTCCTCCTAAAATATGTTATTTTCCAGATTTTAGCAATGAAGATTTTTTTTTGCAGCTGTTAATAAGTTAGCTAGCTATTATTTTTGAATCTGCATCTAATACTTGAATCTTTCAATGACCCAGAAGCATTTTTTATTTTTTATTTTTTTGCATCTAGAGGTAGTGAATGTCCTCCTAGCCAAGGTTGCTTTTAAGTGTGTGGGGTTTTCCCTTTCATTCCTTATTAAAAATAAACCCAAGAAACAGTGCCCGCTTTCATCTGACAGGTTGGGGGGTGAGGAGGAGACCTCGACTTCTCTTTTCTCTTTCCCCTTTTCTCCCTCTCCTAAAAGCGAGACATTCCTGCGTTAACAGGGAACTCTTGTCTCCTTAGCCTATAAATAGCGTCCCAGGTTGACTTGGGGAGGGGGGGCGGTATGTGTGCATGAAAAAAAGTGTGTGCAGGATGGGGGGAGCAACATGACCGAACGGTGGAATCTGCTAGGAGATTAGCCGTCCGCAGACACAGCACACTGCACCTGCTCCCAAGGTCTTCACATCAAGGGCTGAGGGTGGGAAGTGGGGGGAGTTGCTAACTGGACTGAAGCATTAAATTAGCTGCAGCCATGGCTGGGCGAGGGGGGGCGGACAAAATGGGGGACTAGTCTGCGGGTGCCTGGCTCTTTTGAAGTCAATCCAGGCCCTTCTCTCTGAATAGTCCCTTTTCTTTAAATAATAATAATAAAAGGAATTATCTAGCCCTTTGCGATAAGGATGGGCGAAGGGAACAGCGGTGCTGTCAGGACAGGGTTTAGAATTGTAGAGTTGGAAGGGACCCTGGCGGTCATCTAGTCCAACGCAGGAATCTTTTTCCTGAACACGGGCCTCAAAGCCACAACCCTGAGATCGAGAGTCTGCCGACTGAAATATCAAGAATAGAAACATAGGAAACTGCCTTACACTGTTAGGCCCTTGGTCCATCTAACTTAGTATGGTCTCCACTGACCAGCAGCACCTCTCCAGGGTTTCAGACAAGATGTTCCCAGCCCCAACTCTACAGCTGGGACCTTCTGCATTCAAAGCAGAAGTCCTGTCCCTGAGCTACAGCTCTTATCCTCCAAACAGAGTCACAGTCACATTTTCAAGTAGGACACCTTGAACTGGACTCAAGCCGGCACAAGGCTTTGGGGCTGGCAATGACCCACAGTGCCACTCGCCAACGTGGCAGCTACATTTGGCACCATCTTCAAGGGCAGCCCCAAGTAGAGCACCTTGCAGCAGTCCAGGTGGGAGGTGATGGGCACCTGCGGCCAGGAGCAGCCACAGCTAGGACACCAACCGTAAGTGAGCAGTTTGTCAGTTTGGGCACATGGAGTTGTCCTTTCCGCTGAAAAGTCCAGAACCAGAGTCTGTTCCTCTGCATCTTCTTGTCCTCATCATGTGATTCACCTAACTGAGAATCCGCTTGTATCCAGATGCAGGAATAAGCTCTCCTACTTGGGATGGGAAACCTGCAGCTAAGAATGGGTGGATCTGTTTGTTTTTGTTTCTTGTTTTTACAGTCTTAAACCCAACTCTCTATATTTCAACATCAGTTTGCAATTATTTAAAGAGTCCTTGTTAAAATTATCTATCATTTGAGAGCAGATTTCTCTTAATGCTGTCAATTTTACCTAATGCACATTTTTGCAAAGCTGCTACCCTTAATATGAGTGTGTTTGTTCTTTTCACTAATACTGTACTTAAAAAAAAATGACTTGATTGAATAACTGCATTGCAAAATACAGAGAAGTGTGAATTTCACAGGGTGCAGAGGAGGCAAAAGGGATGTCCTGGGGCTGAATATATCCATGAACTGAAACCCACATGCCTAATCGATGAAAATGCCTTTGTCTGGGTTGCAAGGGCCATTCTCATTTCTGCAGAACAGCTGCCAGAGGCAGAAGAGTCAGACTACTCCCCCCCCCCCCCTGCAATTAGCTGGCAATCTTGTGAACCACATCCTCTCAGGGCCAAGCTTTTGCCTCTAAAAGTGTCTTGTTTTTAACACCTTAAGTGTGCAGTAAGTTTGTCTTTTCAAACTGAAAGTTGCATCAGCTGGGGTTGGGGATGATAAATTAGCTGGATCGGGTGTTTGCACTGGGGAAATTTCCACCCTGCACTCCATTTATAGAATCATAGCATTATAGAGTTGGAAGGGACCACAAGGGTCATCTAGTCCAACCCCCTGCAATGCAGGACTTATTTATTTTTGCCCAGTGTGGGGTTCAAACCCACGACCCTGAGATTGAGAGTCTCATGCTCTACCGACTGAGCAGTGGTACTACCTCTGATCTTCCTCGGGAGCACACAAAGGGAGTAAGGGGTCAAACTGCCCTTTCCCTGCTTGCTCCTGAGCCCTCACTGCATGAAGTGAAGGTGCAGGGAATCAGGCAGAGGGGGCCTTCTTGGCAGTGGCACCTTTCCATCGTATGTCAAGGAGACAAAAGAACTACACAACTTTTAGAAGACATCTGAAGACAGCCCTGTATCAGGAAGTTTTTAATATTTGACGTTTTATTATGTTTGTACAGTATATTTGTTGGAGGGCAGGGTAATAATAATAATAATAATAATAATAATAATAATAATACAGTGGTAACTTGGGTTAAGAACTTAATTTGTTCTAGAGGTCCGTTCTTAACCTGAAACTGTTCTTAACCTGAAGCACCACTTTAGCTAATGTGGCCTTCCGCTGGCGCAGCGCTTCTGCTGCGCGATTTCCGTTCTCATCCTGAAGCAAAGTTCTTAACCCAAGGTACTATTTCTGGGTTAGCAGAGTCTGTAACCTGAAGCGTCTGTAACCTGAGGTACCACTGTAATAATAATACTCCTCTTGGAGGCCCTTCCAACTCTACAATTCCTGGAAATTCGAACCAATGCTCAGCAAAGGCCAGGTATCATCTAAACTTCACGTAAACTTTGTGTAAGCAAATGAGCTGGACTGCTCAAGAAAGCAGTCTCCTGGCTGAGCCCCCGGCCTGTTTTGTTCCTCTTGGAGAAAGGGGGGCAGGAAGGGGAGCGAGAGGCCAGAATGCCAGGATTGCTCTGCTCCAGCAAACTACATCCTGGGCCTGCCAAACACCCCTCAAACTCACCCACCCCGGAGGAACAAAGGAACATTGCCAGTGGCCTGCCAAGTGTGGGGCAGGTGCCCAGACAGAGATGCTGGGGGGAGGGGGGGAGAAGGTTGAGAACGCGCTGCAAGCACAGGTGGGGCACAGCAAGCAAAGGGACGACCATCGTTCAAAGCCGCAGGTGTGACCAACCAGGGCATTTCGGTTTCTTTTTCTAATAATAATAATAATTTATTATTTATACCCCACCCATCTGGTTGGGTTTCCCCAGCCACTCTGGGCGGCTTCCAACAGAATATTAAAATACAATAACCTATTAAACATTAAAAGGTTCCCTAAACAGGGCTGCCTTCAGATGTCTTCTAAAAGTCTGGTAGTCTCTCTGACATCTGGTGGGAGGGCGTTCCACGGGCGGGTGCCACTACCAAGAAGGCCCTCTGCCTGGTTTCCTGTAACTTGGCTTCTCGCAGCAAGGGAACCGCCAGAAGGCCCTCAGCGCTGGACCTCAGTGTCTGGGCTGAACGACGGGAGTGGAGATGCTCCTTCAGGTATACTGGGCTGAGGCCATTTAGGGCTGTAAAGGTCAGCACCAACACTTTGAATTGTGCTTGGAAACATACTGGCAGCCAATGTAGGTCTTTCAAGACCGGTGTTATAGGGTCTCAGCGGCCGCTCCCAGTTACCAGTCTAGCTGCTGCATTCTGGATTAGTTGTAGTTTCCGGATCGTCTTCAAAGGTAGCCCCACATAGAGCGCATTGCAGTAGTCCAAGCGAGAGATAACTAGAGCATGCACCAGTCTAGCAAAACAGTCTAAGACAGCCTTAATATGCAGATGCAGGCAGCCTTCCTCAAGAAAGGCAAACGCAGAGTGGCAGTGGTTTGTGAGAGCGGCTCTCTGCACATGCTCAGAAGGCTGCCCTGCCCTTGCCACACACAGGTCCCCAAGGGCCGGAAAGCCCTGCCACCCCTCCCTAGAGCATGATGTGCACTTGAAGTCTTTCCGACACCCACCTGCCCTCCCAAAATAACACCCCTCTTGTCTTCCTGCCTCTGTGGTTCCTCCCCACTCTGTCTCACCTCAGCATCTTCTTCTGAGCTCTGAGCCCCAGAAGCTACTTTCACTCCTAACCACACAGCTGTGCAGATTGCAGCCGCGATGTGGCCGACAACCTTCCCTGCCGCTCGCTCAATGCTGTGGGGGCTCTGGATAGCTGCCCCCTTTGCTAGCACCTTTCTGGCCCCAGACCTGAGCACGGTGAGAACACCTGAAGGGGAGGGCAGAGGTGAGGGTGAAGGGTGGGGGCCCAGGTGGGCAAGGAGGGTGGTGTGCAAGGGATTTATTCAAGTACTATTGCTTGGCATGCCATGCCTGCCTGATTATCCCTGACAGGGCTCCTGTGCTTTTAATAGCTGCCTTACAGGCAGACATTCAACTGGTGAAGCTTAGGAACACAGGAAGCTGCCCTTTACACTGAGTCAGGCTGTTTGTCCATCTAGCTCAGTGTCGACTACACTGACAGGCAGCAGCTCTCTGGGGTTTCGGATTGGGGACATGGTTTGTTCATTTTGGGAGTCAAAAGCACAGGCGTCAGAAGAAAAGATGGCTGCCCAAGGGAATAAAAAATGAAGTGTCTAGGCCATGGGTAGGCAAACTAAGGCCCAGGGGCCAGATCTGGCCCAATCGCCTTCTAAATCCGGGAATCAGCGTGTTTTTACATGAGTAGAATGTGTCCTTTTATTTAAAATGCATCTCTGGGTTATTTGGGGGCATAGGAATTCGTTCATTTCCCCCCAATATAGTCTGGCCCCCCACAAGGTCAGAGGGACAGTGGACCGGCCTCCTGCTGAAAAAGTTTGCTGACTTCTGGTCTAGGCCAAATGGGGTTGCCAGCAATGGATAGAACTAAGATTGTAAAAGAGAAAAAAATGGAGGGGGGGATCGTTTGCGATACTCCCTGGAGGGATTCAATTAACCCTCTCTGTGCCTTTTGCTTTTGTCTCAGTCCCAACTGACTCAGATGTTCCAGGATTTTATGAGGCAGTTCAATAAAACCTACCTGAGCCAAGAAGGTAACAGCAGCATTGATTCCCATTGGGTTAGGGTGTGGGTAAGGGAATATGGCAGGAGGGGAGGGGTCCTCTCTGGGGAGAACAAGCCCCACACGTTGAGCACAAGATTCCTGCATTGCTGGGGGTTGGACTAGATGACCCCTGAGGCCCCTTCCAGCACTACAGTTCTTTGATTCTATGAGAGCGATAATAGAATTCACAGTCAGTTTCCTGGCTGAGCAGAACCGGGTTCCTCTCTGCATCCTGGCTTTTCTGCAAGACTTTGAATATTGGCTCACCGCCAGCTTGAAAAACTACTTGCAGCTCTTTGGCAGCAAGCAGGAGCCTCTGAGCATGAGGAGAGTGCTTTCTGAGGCTAGGCTTCTTGGGCTGAGGTTCAAGACAGGAACAAAAGAATGATGATGATGGGGAATGTCTCTTCAGATCGAGGATGGGGAAACTGTGGCCCTCTTGACCTTGCCGGACTCTGACTCCCATCAGCCTCCAGGCAGCATAGCTAATGGGCCAGCGAGGATAGGGTCCAGCTACATCTTCTGAAGAGCCTGACAGGTTCCCCCCACCTGCTCTCTAATTTGCATCTCTTGGCTTGCTCCAAAATGTGGAATATGCACAACCTTTGCGCTGTGTTTGGGGGCCTCTTGCTGCTTATTCTCCTTCTCTGGGGGCACCACTGATTCTCCTTCCTCCACTGTCTCCTCTTGATTTCTGACCCCAGAGATGCAATATCGGTTCAAGGTCTTTGTGCAGAACTTAGAAGTCAGCCGGCAGCTGCAGGCTGAGGAGTTAGGGACGGCGCAGTACGGGGTCACCCGCTTCAGTGACTTGACAGGTAAAAGTGTGTGTGTGTGTGAGAGAGAGAGAGAGAGAGAGAGAGAGAGAGAGAAGGCTGGATGTTGGGTGTTATTAAATTAAAGGGCATCACAGAGAAGAGGCTGGGCTTGCCCAGTGGGCCGCGTTTTTCTTAATCTTGCCAGGGCCTTGTGACATTCTCAGGCAGGTAGGAATTCAACTGGAGAAAATTGTAGCCAATAAAGGCTGCACCTGTTGGATTTCAGTTTGTGGAGGAGCTAATGCCGGTAATTTCAGACGAAACGAAACAAAACCATTGGGTGGTGAAGGGGAGAGGGTCTGTAGCTTTACCTCTGAATGTTTCAAACTCAACAAGACCTTGACAGCTTCCAGGGCAGGATTCAGGTATCAACTGGGGCTCAGGAAGCAGCAGCAGGCCAGGAAAAATCATACAAAATAATTCAGAACGCTCAAACTCCAGACCACCCAGTGAAGCTGAAGATTCAGAGCAGACAAAAAAGGAAGTCCTTCCTCACACAGAACCTAGTTAAAACTTTGGAGCTCACTCCCACAAGACGTAGTGGCATATCCCACCTGGTCAAAAGCTCTCAAGGAGGGTGTGAAGCAGGGCCAGTGAGTGGTATTGTTTGGGGAGCAGCCCAAGGGGCAAATAGAGAAGCCTGGAGGCAGGGCCGGATTTAGGTTTGATGAGACCCTAAGCTACTGAAGGGAATGGGCCCTTTATAGGTCCAGCTGTCCTTTGTCAACAACAAATTATCACCGGTTTTTGTGTTGAATATATGCTCTATGGTAATTTATGGACCTGATAGGTATCAAAACCATTTGCACATGTTGCCATGCAACCAGTCCATGAAGAATGTAGGCTCCCTATGTATAGAGATGAGCAAACCAGTGATATTTTAGGGAGCCTGGTAGCAAGCGGGGCCCATTACTTACATCATAGGAGCCTACACAACACAAAACACTTGCTGTATGTAGGTTTTATTTTATTTGTTTTTTATCTTGTATTTTGGAAATGTACATCCAGGTTTTTTTCCTTTAAATTTTTGGGGGGGCCCTAAGAGAGTGAGGCCCTAAGCTATAGCTTGTTTAGCTTATATGTAAACCCAGCACTGCCTGGAGGGCCACATATGGGCCTGAGGCCTGAGGTTCCCTGTCCTGGCGTCACACACATTACAAGACATGCACATATCTGCTTGTGGAGGTGACTGACGGAGCACAACTCCGCCCTTTCTTTTCCTTTCCCCACCACACAGAAAGTGAGTTTGCGATGATGTTTGGCATCCCTCAACCCTCCCAGCTCGGCCTGCCCCCCAGCTTGAGGGACTCGGATAACTCCCGCCTGGAGAAATTAACCAAATCCTGCGACTGGAGGAAAGCTGGCGTCATCCCAGCCGTAAAATACCAAGTAAGTAGACAGAAAGGGATTGTGCAATGCTTCGGCATACTCGTCCTGCCCCACAGAGATGGGGTGGAGGAGGTATTAAGGCCAGTGTACCCCACACACAGGTGGCATTGTGGTCTAAACCACAGAGCCTAGGGCTTGCCGATCAGGTCGGTGGTTCGAATCCCTGCGACGGGGTGAGCTCCCATTGCTGGGTCCCTGCTCCTGCCAACCCAACAGTTTGAAAGCACATCAATGTGCAAGTAGATAAATAGGTAACGCTCCGATGGGAAGGTAAATGGCGTTTCCGTGCGCTGCTCTGGTTCGCCAGAAGCGGCTAGTCATGCTAGCCACATGACCTGGAACGCCGGCTCCCTTGGCCAGTAAAGTGAGATGGGCACCGCAACCCCAGAGTCATCCGCGACTGGACGTAACGGTCAGGGTCCCTTTACCTTTACCTTTTACCCCACACAAGTGATTCCCCAGTCTCTTCTCTGTCCTGCTTTGCCTGAGCAATGGGAAGTTCAAGGGGGGCTGTTGTAGGGTTCCCTTTAGAGAATGGACAGGAGACTTCAAAGCCCTTCCTGAAAGCCTCAATTTGTTTAATAAGCTTATAACAGGGAATCGATGCAGCCAATGGGAGCTTCAAGGCAGAATCGAAAGCCATTCTAGAGTCATCCACACTGAGGGCACAGAGAACCAAGTCTCCCTTGAATTACGCAAGCGAGGGTTGTGCAGGGCTGTCAATTTCTGTTTCAGTTTATCATTTTTCAACTCCTCAGTTCAGTTCTCTGTACATCTCTGTTTGCGATCCCCAAAGTAAAAATTCATTAGCATCCTAGTGCACATTTCCCCTGACAGGCACATTTTGGCATTCAGTTTTGCCACCTGGTACATACCGGTACATTTTTTTTTTTTTGCAGGCAATTTCCCCTAATACAATGCATTTTTAAAAATGTTTTCAATAATATATGCATTCTAACACCCACTTCTCCTACGATAATAGACACTTGGTTTGTCTGGAGAGCCGCAGTAGAAAAGTGGGAGGAAAAAAGTGTCGATTTCAGAGGATGTCTGCGTTCTGGTTCGCATATTGTTTTGGAAAGTGCAAATCAGGGACGTTTGCACTAGAATCCAAACTGAATTTCCTCCCTATCCTTGACACCACCAGTGCTACAGTGCGCTAAAGCAGTCCAGGAGGGGATTGATGGGGAAATGCACTGAGAAGTGTGGGGTGAACGAGTTATGGGCAGGAAGACGTGTGATGATTGCGCAAGCAAATCTGGGTGAACGCTCACTGCTAACAAAGCGGAACAAATGCTCCATAAAGAACGGACCTAGTCTAACTTCTTACACCAGCTTTGTGCAAGCAAATCAGGAAGAATGACTGCTGCATAAAGAGGCGGTCTTGAGGGCCCCCCAGCATTCAGCCTGATATCTAGCTGATTCTACCACCCTCATTGTTTTATTTTCATTCTAGAAAATGCTTTAGTTTTCCAGTAAATTTTCTGTGTGGGCAACCGGCTGTTTAAAGGCATCAGAACAAGGCTGGGGGAGTGGGGGGTGGGAAGGGTGTCAGTTTATGGCTTATCTCCCAAGTCTATGTTGGGGTTTTTGAGAACAGAATTTTGGGGACGGAACAGGGGTGGGGGAGAAGAGGATGGGATATGTCCCAGGTGAACTATTCCTGCTCCCTACAATCTCTCTTCCCTTCCCCTCCCAGGGCAGAAAGTGCAGGTCTTGCTGGGCTTTTGCTGCTGTGTCCAACATTGAGGCCTTATGGAACATCCACAGACATGTGCCAAGGAACCTTTCGGTCCAGGGTATGTCGGGCATTGGGAGAGCAGGGCAAGGGGTGGGTGGGTGGCCAGAGACAGGCAAGGCATGGGAGTATATTTTAGGCACAGGAGCTCATCATGGTAATCGCCTTCCCATAGCCACACATCCCAAACATCTCAGTGGGCTGGCTCTTGAGCCGCCCCACCCCAAGCAGGGCACTATGACAGGTGGGCAGGGCCACCTATCTGTCAATCACTGGCAGGGATGGGCAAATGTGACAATTTCACTTTCTCTCGGTTTCTCATTTTTCCATTCTCATGTTCGGTGCTCCACATCAGTTTGCAGTTTGTTTGTTTTTTTAAATCACAAGCACTCTGGTATGGATTTCCCCTAATGTAACATTTTTGAAAGCCATTTCCCCTAATAGGCACATTTTTTGCAAAGCAGCTTCCCCTAACAGAATGCATTTGATTTCCACTAACATATGCACTTTCATTCATAGCTTACCCCACTCAGTTTATGCCAATTTGTAATAATAATAATAATTTATTATTTATACCCCGCCCATCTGGCTGAGTTTCCCCAGGCACTCTGGGCGGCTCCCAATCAAGTGTTAAAAACAGTACAGTACACTTTACCTGGCCAGAGAACTGCATTGCAAAATTTGCAAAATGTGAATTTCGAAGGAAAGCTGTTTTTCCAGTTTGTTTGTTGTTTTGGAAAGGGGGAATTAGTTAGGTTCACCTTTAAATGCGAATTGAATCAAAAGTCTCGCCCATCCCTAATCACTGGATGTCTAAAAAAACCCACAGGTATCTTGACTTGAGTTCAAGTTACGCTGCAAAGGAAGGTCCCAGCCAATCCAAGTGGGAATCTCTTCAGTTGAATCTGCCAAACTGGCTCCGAGCTGTGTAGTCTGCCCCATCCTTGCTAGCTGGAAGGTTCTTCTTTTCGCCAAGGCATGGAGATTACGTACATTCCAAAGGCTGGAGACAGATTTCTAGCTATCAGGAGACCCTCGCTTGTCATTCATTGACTGTTGTCTTTCTTACACGAGTTAATGGGAGCTACCCGTCCTGAACCCAGACATCAGCCTAGCAAATAGCACTTATGCTGTAATTTGTGGTTGAAAAAGAAAGGGGGGGAGAGTGCAAACATTACTGTTCTCCTTTTGTCCTTCCACTGAAACATTTCCATGTAGGGTCCATTTACTGTTCAGCCATTCAGGAAATTTTACAAAGCAAGCTTTGGGTCTAAGCACTGGCAGGGACCATCAAAGGGACGGTTGTGTGTATGTTGAACCCAAACCACCAGTCCAGTTTGGGATTCTCCTTAGGGTGGGTTGACTCTTTGTTCTTCCATTTCAGAGGTACTAGATTGCACATACAACAAGACTGGTTGCCTGGGAGGCTATGTGTGGGATGGACTCCGGACTGTCTTCAACAGCAGTACGCAAACCTTTTGAATTCCCACTCTTCTTATTTATTTTCTGTAGGAACAACCCTTATAGCCTGCCTTTCCCCCATGGATCTGGGCTATTATGTTCCCTGCCAACATATTTTACCCTCACAGCAAACCCTGCAATGCTGTTAGCCAGGTAGATACAATCCCAGTTTAATTCAGAATTATTACAGGGCCTTTAAGCATGAGTCAACAGTGTGATGCAGCAGTAAAAAAAAGCTAATGTTACCCTAGGCTGCATCAACAGAAGTATAGGGTCCCGATCCAGGGAAGTCATAGTCCCGCTCTATTCTGCCTTGGTCAGACCACACCTGGAATACTGTGTCCAGTTCTGGGCACCACAATTTAAGAAAGATGTTGACAAGCTGGAACGTGTGCAGAGGAGGGCAACCAAGATGATCAGGAGTCTTGAAAGCAAGCCTTATGAGGAACGGTTGAAGGAGCTGGGTATGTTTAGCCTGGAAAAGAGGAGACTGAGAGGAGATAGGATCAAGTATCTAAAGGGCTGTCAGATGGAAGATGGAGCGAGCTTATTGTCTGCTTCTCCAGAGAGTTGAATCCCAACCGACTGATTCAAAACACAAGAAAAGAGATTCTGACTTAACATTAGGAAGAACTGTTTGGCAGTGGAACAGAGTACCTTAGAAGGTGATGGACTGTCCTTCCTTGGAGGTCTTCAAGCAAAGGTTGGACGGTCATCTGTCATGGATGCTTTGGTTGAGATTCCCGCATTGCAGGGGGTGGGACTAGATGACCCTCAGGGTCCCTTCCCACTCTATGACTTTGATTCTAGGAATGTAGGAAGCTGCCTTTCACTGAGTCACACCTGGGGTCCATGTAGCTCAGGGTGGTCTCTGCTGGCCAGCAGAGGCTCTCCAGGGTTTCAGATCTGCCCCAACTACGTGGGGAATATGGGAACTGAACTTGGGACCTTCTGCGAGTGGGTGCTCTGCTACTGAGCTAGGGCCCTTCCCTATCTCTGCACTCCTGGCACTTTTGCATATTTCACCCCACTCCTTGGATCTTGTCTTTACTCCCTCCTGCCCCAAGAGACTAGGCAAACTAAAATTCGGGAAGCTAATTGGCCTGGCATTGTATAAACTGGAGAGGTTGGCTGGGACCTGTGTGTGTGGTGTTTTCCTGCTTAAGTGGGGAAGGGGAGAAGGGGGGTATGCGCTGCCTTCCCCCAGCCCACTGCTATTCACCTGCTGTGTCTTCCTTCCTTCCCAGGCGGACTGTCAAACAGCCTTCTGTACCCCTACACCGGCAGAAATCAGACATGCCAGAAGCACCAGAAACGAACAGCTACCCACATCGACGGCTATGAATTACTCCCCAGGGATGAGAATTGTAAGGATTTACTAGCCCATGGCAGAGTAGGAGGTCTGTGGGGGAAGTGGGTGTGAATTGCAACTTCGCACAGTAAGAAAAGGATAAGAAGGCATAATTTGTTAATGGAGGTGTTAGAACTGAACCTTTCTGATTCCAGAGGTGTGGGAAATTTGCCTCTAGCAAATACGCAGTAAGGGAAGGAGAATGCACTCTGCACATGTTTAGAGGGTGCTCTCCTCTGCTGGTATTATCCATAACTGGGCCTAGGCCCTTAGGAGCTTGACTCAGTATAATGAATGAACATGTAGCAGGAGGAAAGGGTTGTGTTCTGGGACAAGGAAGAAGCATCATTTAGGTTAAAGCAAAGGTAAACCTTTTTCCGCTGAGGGCCACATTCCCTCAGGGGGAATCTGTTGAGGGCCACATGCTGGTGGTGGGCAGTACCAGGGGCAAAAATGGGCAAAATTGCATATCACTCACATATGATGCAGTAGACTAGAGGAAGTGATTTCCAGAAGGGTGATCCAGAGAACAAGAGGATCATATGGAAGAGGTTGAAACTCTTTTCTTTTAAGAGATTTGGGCTGACTTTGCCTGGCCATCGCCTGCTCTTTGGCCAGAGGCTTTGTCTTTAGTTGCCACACTGAGGAGCCAAATAGCATTCCGCGTTCCAGGAGCAAGCTTCTGAGCAGCGCAGAAAACTTTGTCAGGCGGGCCAAAAAATCACAATCCAATCGATCGAGGGATGAAGTTATAGCTCCAGGTTTACTGACCCAGTAAAACTGTCGGTTCTCAAAACAACAGAGTGGAAAGTTTTATTGGGTCAATGCTAACTGGGCAGGTGATAGATTTTCTCATTCCCTCCTTCCTGGTTTTGCTCTAGAATGGGTAGACCTGTAAAATGTTGTGTCACTTGAAAGCAGTTTGAACATTGGTCAGGCTGCAGCGATTCACCTAACCTCTGACAAGGCCCTAAGCCAATGGAGGCTAGTTGTGGGTGGGGGGTGTGTGTGTAAGGGGCTACTCATTAGAAAAGTCGCTCTGGACATTCTCAGAGGCCTTCCTCATAATTCCTCATGTTCTAAGACTGAACTTGGACACTAGAATATATATTTGGAGAAAGAGGTTATTGGGTTGTTTTTGGTTTTATTTTTATTTTTATTTTTATTACGATTATATTTATATTGTGATTTTATGTTGTAATTGGCCTGAGACCTATGGGTACAGGGTGGTATACAAATTTTAATTTTAATAATAATAATAATAATAATAATAATAATAATAATAATAGTCTAGTTTGCTATAAAAGCTAGGGTTCGCCTATCTTCTCCTCACCCCAGTGCTAACTCTTGGCTTCCCCTCCCCGCTGCATTTCTCAGATATCGCTAGAATCGTTGCTTCCCAGGGGCCTGTAACTGCCCTCCTTAACCAGGCTCGCCTTCAGGTAGGTGCCCAACAGAGTGGAAGAGAAATCCCATCTCACCCACCAACTTACCCAACTTGTTTGCTCATGCCCTCTCCAGCGGCGTCTGGTGCCCCTTGCTGCTGGTAGGACAGGAGGCAGGGAGGCGAACACTAGGTGGCGCCAGAGCCCCTGACAGGCAGAGCCAACTCATTCTGGTTCGTCTATGCTACATCCTCCTCCCAGCTGAGTTTTCCAAGGGGAAACACTGTGACTAAGGAGGAAGCGGACAGGCAGGCTAGTTCAAAGTAAGAAAGCAGGAGGGTGGGGCAGTGGCGGGCTTTGGGCTCTCAAATGTCGGTGGTGCCCTGTGTGGCTGAACCAGTCGCACTACCCTAAAAACACCTGGGTTGGAGGCAGGCTGCGGGCAAACTGAGGTTGATGGAACGGCATCGCATTCACACGAATGGCCGCCTTGCTTTCTGCCGATTTAGACCTGCTCTTTCCCCCTTTCTGCTAGAATTACCAGAAGGGCATCATCCGATCCCCTTCCCAGTCCTGCAACCCGAAGCTACTAGATCATGCTGCGCTCATTGTGGGCTACGATGAAGGTGAGTAAAGGGCTTCACTCTCTTGTCTGTGCAGGGCAATTATTAGACTCCAGGTCTATAGCTGCTGTTCTGTAAAATCCTCCTCTCCTCTTGCACTCATTGTCTCCGGACTGTACCATTTTAGATTGCAGGTGATGGCTGCCATGACGGAATGCTCCACTCCCATTTTGGCCAGGGGGGGACGGACCCTGAAGATATCCTGACATGTTAGCTTTCTATGTGCAGGGATTTTTTTTTTTCATGGAGGATCCTAGAATTGGAAGGGACCCTGAGGAATCTCAACTAGATCATCCATGGCAAACGGCCATCCAACCTCTGCTTAAAAACCTCCAAGGAAGGACAGTCAACCACCTTCCAAGGTAGTCTGTTCCACTGTCAAACAGTTCTTCCTAATGTTTAGTCAGAATCTTCTTTTTTTGTAACTTGAACCATTGGCTCAGGTCCTACCCTCTGGAGCCAGAGAAAAACCAGCTTGCTCCAGCATGGAGCTCCCGTGTTGAGTCTGCCTACATGAGACAATACTGACCAAAAGCCTATCTGGTCAACTCCTCCCTGTCCTTCAGGAAATGTGTCAATTATTTCCAGTTTTTTGAAGTCTTTTGGCTGGGTAGCTGCTGCTGTTTTTACTGCCAGATGGACTGAATAGGACAGCTGTTCCCAGACTTTGTCCCTCACAGACCGCTTAAAAATGGCTGGTGGTCTTGGTAGACCAGGCATCCCCAACCTGCGGCCCTCCAGATGTTTTGGCCTACAACTCCCATGATCCCTAGCTAACAGGACCAGTGGTCAGGGATGATGGGAACTGTAGTCCGAGGGCCGAAGGTTGGGGATGCCTGTGGTAGACCATTTTGTGATCCCCCCCCACCCCCCTGTCACAGGAACTGTAATGGAGCATACTAGATGCTGTAGGAAAGCTGTCTTCATCTGCAGCTGGAAAGGGCTGTGTGGTCAGGGTGCAATTTGACTGCCTTAGTGAGAAGAAGACCAGAGTGGATTTTTTATCCCTCTCCTGTAATACTATTAAAATAATTGGGTTTATATTTTATTTTAAGGAAGTATTTCTAAACCACCCCCTCATAAACTATCAATACTGATATGGTACTTTGGGGAATTTGGAATGCTTCAGGTGCATTGTATTGTTTGTAATCCTGACACTTGTTTATTTGTTGCTATTCATATTCATTTATAAAATCAGAGCTGTCTACAAACAACGGTACATAAAATGTACAGTGAAAACCGTATGAAAAGTTAAACTTAGAAATTGGGTGGGTGACCAAATTGGTCAGTGGTCTGGAAACCAAGCCCCATGAGGAAAGGTTGAGGGAGTTGGGTATATTTAGCCTGGAAAAGAAGAGTTTGAGAGGAGATATGATAGCCACCGTCAAATAACTGAAGGATTGTCACATGGGAAATGGAGCAAGCAGCAAGCTTGTTTTCTCCTGCTCTGGAGGGTAGGATTCAAGTTACAAGAAAGGCTATTCCTACTATGATTCTATGACTTAACATCAGGAAGAACTTTGATGGTAAGAGCTGTTCGACAGTGGAACGGGCTCTTATGATACATTGAGGACTCTCCATCCCAGGAGCTGACAGCTTCTCAGTCTCATGGCGTAGTAAACAACTTTTTCCCAAGCATCAGCGGTTGATCCCCTGCTCACTGCTATCTCCAGAGTGAATTCAGTAGCCAAGATTTATGTATTGGCTATCAGCAGTCACCACTTAATTATCTCTGTTGGCAAGGTGCCGACAGAAGACGCTCAGTCCGCCATGTTCCTCCCCCAGAAGTATAAAGCAATACTTAGCTTCCATTCTCCACTTCTGTGCAGTCAAATCTCGACGTGGATCCTGGGTTGGACCATATTGGATCATCCAGAATTCGTGGGGAGAGCGCTGGGGAGAAAAGGTGGGCTGATCTCCACTTCTTTGGCCATTGGGGAGTTTTGGTGGAGTGGGGCAGGAAGCATAGGAACTGGGCAGGGGTGCTGTGTGCCTGGCGTGAGAGAATCAGATGGGGTGGGTGAAACCCATCGACATCCTTGTTAAGCTGGGGGGGAGGGCGTGCTTCCACCTCAGGACTTACAAGGGTTGTCTTTTGACTACCAATGGACCAGAACTGGCTATAAGGCTTGGGACTCGGACAGGGGGCGGTGGATGAGAGTGGGCTTTAGGAAGCTGCCTAGCCTAGTATTTGATTGTGCCTCTCTCAGGATCTCAGGCAGAGTGGGGTCTTTCATATCAGCTTTTAACTGGAGGTGCTGGGGAATGAACTTGGGACTTCCCTGTGCTTCATCACAGGAGAGTGCTGGTCAGTAATCACACAGTTCAAAGGTGGAGTTAACTCTTTATTAGCAAAAGCACAACCTCCACATATTTGGTTGAGTGTCAGGTCTAAGGAGCAGAGCAGCTCCTACCTGGTGAATCTCCTCCATGAAAATCAGTTGCTGAGACTGAAAGCCTCCTCACCAGGGCTTTCCCCCAGCAATCAGAGACTGTGCCTGCATGCAACCAACCTCACCTCCCCCCTTTTCATGCCTCTTCTGGTTCTGGGAGATGGGGGTAGCGGAGCTTGTTACAGCAAGAGGGAGAGACATCCTGGCTGACTCCTTTCTGCCTTTTGGCTTCCCTCCTCTCCTACTTCAGCTTCTGCCTCTGATTCTAGTCTTCTCTCTGCCACAGAGTCTCCCTGCTCACTAACGCCTGTTGCCTCTTCAGCTTCCGACCCCTCCTCTTCCCCGTCTTCTCCCTCTGACCACTCATCGCCATCCCACCGCCACTCCCCGGGCTCTGAGCCTTCTCCCCTTGGGGGTTCCCCAGCTGATTCCTGCCACCATTCCTCTGCATCCAACCAGTCCATGACACACAGTCTCTCCCAGGCACACAGGTAGTTAGTTGCCTTATAGCAACTCAGGCTAGTCTGTCTAGCTCATGATTATCTAATCTGATGGACAACAGGACCCCTCCTCTCCTGCTTCCTGATCCTCTGAAGTGGAGATAGAAACTGGGACCTTCTGCTTGGAAGCAGGTGTTCTACCACAGAGCTGGCGCCTCTCCCAAACTTATTTTTCAGGGGAGAGGTTGAGCACACACATGGTGTGCAAAAGGGCTCAGCTTCAATTCCCGGCATCTCTAGTTAAGAACAAGGAGGTCAGAGAACAGATCATTGGAAAGACAATTTCTCCAGCAAGCCAGTCAGGGTAGACGGAGGTCACTAAACTTTTGGTGGGTGTATGGGGAATTTTGAGTAAGTGCTCTGGGTGTTGATTACAAAATGGCTGCTGTGGGGTATGGAGTATAACACAAAATGGCCGCCGTGGAGGGTGGGGGTTTGGCATAACACCAAATGGCCACTGTGGCGCGTGAGTCATAATAGAAAATGGCTGTTGCTTCCGAAAGATCAGGAACAGTGACAGGACCACAAAATTGTGTGGGCTTCAAGGGGGGAGAAAAACCACCTACATCAGCCATGGCTACATTTGCTTGCAGAGAGAAGCTCTTTGTGTCTTTCCTCTGTTCAGAACGGAAGGGAAGGTGTCTGGCTCTGGCATCAAATGAAATGTGGGCTGGTTTGAAGGGTGTGTGTTAACGGTAGGAGAGGCCGAACCATTGAGAAGAGAAACTGAGCAGGAAGAGCTCCCTTGAGCATCACTTTGCTGACCTCTGGAGGAGACAATATTGGGCTAGATCAAGGACCCTGCGGCCCCCCAGCTGTCGTGCTTGGACTGACACGCCTGCCAGGCGCCGAGCGCAGGGCTTTGGCCTGGAGCTCTGCCAGAGCCGTGACACTTTTGACCCCATTCTCTTCCCACCTAGGGCTACTTCCGGCTGCACCGTGGCACCAATACTTGCGGCATTGCCATGTTCGCGGCAACAGCGCTTGTCCGGGATTCCGAGGGAAAGAAGCCTGTGGTTTGCCGTCCTTGATGGCGCAACTGCATTCATGATCTGGAGTCCAACATCATCTGGAAGCGACCGCATGGGCTGACTCCTACAGCGCATCACCTCTTTTTGGCTCGAATCAGGCCTGCCATTGTTGCTTCTCCCTTGCACAGCTTCTAATGCCACAAGCTGTCGTACCCCAGCCATATTTTTCTACAGCATTATGTCACTGAACGGTGCAGACCCCCAATTTTGTTGTTGTGGACTGCATGCCAGCAATGGGGCAGGGCTGAAGCCAGCAGTGGGGGAACTCTATTTCTGGGGGCCCTTGTTGCGCAACCAGCAACGAGGTCTAGGTAACCACTGTTTTCTTCTTCTTCTAATTTTTTATTAGTTTTACATAAAAGTTTTACACCATAAACATAACATTTTCACACATTAAAAAAAGGGTTCTTTCAAACCTTGAGACCTCCATCCTTCCCCTCATGGGTTCCAATTCTATTCCTGCATCTCCTACTGTAATCCATCTTTTATATAATCATAGTATCCAAAATCCATGTTACATTACAAGTGTTATTGTATTCCTGCCAATGATTTCAGCTGTTTACAGTGATCTCTCAGATAGGTGAGGAAGTTATTCCAGTCTTTTAAAAATACTTGGTCTTCCTGATTTCTGGCCTTTCCCATCAGTCTTGCCATTTCTGCATATTTCATCAGCTTGATCTGCCACTCTTCTCTGGGCGGTACTTCTTCTTTCTATCTCTGGGCAAGAAGCATCCTTGCTGTTATCTTCTTCAATGACAGATCAGCACATTTTAAATATAAACAAAATTTGCTACTACATCTCAGATTTTGATTAAAATTCTTGTACTGGATTATCTCACCTATCAAAATCACTGGTGTGAATAAAAAAATTGCTATGCCTTATTGTTTTTGAGTTATTGCAGGGATGAAAATAAGGGGAAATTAGGAAAGTGTTATATGCATACAGAATGCACTTCTTAAAGCAATTGTTTAAAGCAATGTGAACAAAATTCGCTTCTGGGGCCCCTCTGGGATTAGGAACCCTGAGGCTTAAGCTTCATTAGTTTCATACTATTCATGTTTATTAAAGTTTTTTTCTGTGTGTGTTACAAAACAAACAGATAAACAGGGAAAGGTACATCTATTGCCTCAATTTATAGCCTTTGTGAGTCATGGCCCGGGTGAGAGCCAAAATGGGATAGGACCAAACTGCTTCTCGGTCTTGCTGACCCCTAGTGGGGGGAGAACAGGCTGCTCTTCACATAGGTCTCTGAACAGATTGCTTGCAGATGGCATTTGAAATGAGGTTAATTTGCCCTAAGAGGACAAATATATACTGAAGAATTGGGGACCAAGACCCAGTGGGGTGGCTGAAATGTTGGGACTGGGGAGGGATATATCCGTCTATTTTGGGTTTCTCTGTTTCTGATTTTTTCAAACTTAATTTAGCTCTCCACATTTCTGCAATGATTTGACATAAAAAAGAACTTGTTAAATTAGTCAGAATTCGTCCCAATATATTTCCACCTTTGCAAGCAATTGTCCTCAATGAAGCCTTGCATTATGTTTCCTGCCCCCCACCGGATGCATTCTTACTTTCCTCTGTTATAAGCAATTTGGTAGACATTGGTTGAAATTTCAGAAAACTCTTGACTGAAAGATTCCCTTTGGCATGATGTTTTGAAGATGAAAATCAGGTTGTTTTCTTGTTCAAATGCAAACAGAGCTGAATTTCTCCTGCATTCCTAGGGTGGAGCTATGTTTAAATTGCTATGAAGCTCAGAGTGACCGTGGGCCAATGGCACACTCTCAGCCTAAACTACCCTGCAGAGAAAGATAAAAGGGGAGGGTAGAGAACCGTGTTTGTCTCCTTCTTGCATGGGGATGAGAAGGGAGAAATAGAAGCATAATTTAAAACAAACACATGCAGAGGGAGGTAGGAAGTAATTGCATTTCCCCCAGACAATTCCATTTTTCTACCCTTCATCTAATTCATAGAATTTGCTTGCAATCTTGTATCCCCAAATGTTTTTTACAGTCTATTCTTACAATTATGGGATTTTTTTTTATTAAAAAATGAAGACTGTGGCCCCATCTGCACTATACTTTTAAAGCAGTATTATACCACTTTAAACAATCACATTATTGCCCAAAGAATTATGGGAGTTGTAGTTGGTAAAAGGTGCTGAGAGTTGTTAGGAAGACCCCCCCCCCCATTCCACTCATGGAGCTACAATTCTCAGAGTAGGTTAACAATCAGACCCTCTTGCCATGGATCACTGGAAATTGTAGCTCGGGGGGGGGGGGATAGGGGCCTGAATACCCTTAACAAACTACAGCTCCCAGAATTCTGGGGGGGAAGCCATGACTATTTAAAGTGGTACAATACTGCTTTAAATTCATATTGCAGATGGGACCTGAAATGCACTGAATTTCCCCATGTTGGCAGGTTTTAAGGTACTGATTCAGAAAATAGTGGGCTGTGTGTATGTTTCACTCCTCTTTCTTTATGGGGCGTTACAGACATGGGCCTGCATGAAGAGTTTCAGCTTCCAGCAAATGCAGTTTCTGTTTTGATTCTCCCTTGCATTCATATTTCACACACAAATGTCATGAGCTGTTTCTGGTATTTCATGTTACCTTTCGCTCTCTCTGTGCATGAAGTTGGTTTCTTTTCTGCCATCTCACGCCGCTTGGGGTTGCCACTCCCTGCCCTCAACATCTGTCATGCCTTTAACAGTTGCAAAGGTCATACCATAAAATAAGACCCTTTCCCACAAATCCCCCCCCCCCCGCTGCTCTTGAAAACACAGGTGCCCTGCTGGAGTGTGAGCTGAGAACCCCAGTGTGTATTACCAGGAGTGGGGCAGCTTGTCAATGTCATTTTCTCATCTTTCCACAACCTTCACTTCAGTTCACATCAGTTTGGTTTTTTCTTTTCAAAGGCTACATGAAAATCCATCAACAGCGTAGTGCCATTCCCAAAAATATACATATGTCTATGAGATTTTGCCTAATACGGCACATTTTCGCAAAGCACTTCCCTAAAATATCATTCATTCCGGGGGGGGGGGTTGGATTGTTCACCTAAAATTAGCATGTGCATTTCTGTAAACGTTACTTGGCCAAAGAACTGCACTGTGGCTTTGGAGATGTGTGAATTTTGAAGGATGGCTGTGTTTTGAATCATGTAATGTTTCAGAAGGGACACGGGTGGCGCTGTGGGTAAAACCTCAGTGCCTAGGACCTGCCGATCGTATGGTCGGTAGTTCGAATCCCCGCGGCGGGGTGAGCTCCCGTCTTTCGGTCCCAGCTCCTGCCCACCTAGCAGTTCGAAAGCACCCTTAAGTGCAAGTAGATAAATAGGGACCACTTTATAGCGGGAAGGTAAACGGCGTTTCCGGGTGCTGCGCTGGTGCTGGCTCGCCAGAGCAGCTTCGTCACGCTGGCCACGTGACCCGGAAGTGTCTCCGGACAGCGCTGGCCCCCGGCCTCTTAAGTGAGATGGGCGTACAACCCTAGAGTCGGACACGACTGGCCCGTACCTTTTTAATGTTTCAGAAAGTGCAGATTAAGAGAGTAGATGGAATGCAATTTCTCCCCATCTGTCAGAGTGGGGAAACTTTTTTCCCAGTTCAAGGGCCGTCCTCCCTTCTTTGCAGATATCAGGGGGCCACGAGCCACTGGTGAGCAGTTCCAGAGGCAAAAGTGGCCAAAACAATGTGAATTTGGTCTTTGCAGAGTAGACTACCATTTGCAGGCCCCCCCACTCAGTCTTCCATCCAGAGAGGACTTCTATGTAAATCCCACTCTTTGTGCATCTGATGAAAGAGGCTGCAGATGCTCGCTCAATAAACCAGTAGACTCGGGAAACATAATGTCTCTAAGCGCTTCTATTTTTGCAACAGATTTAAGAGGGGGCTGTTTCATTGGGATTCCTCGGCTCTACCCAATGTTGTGTCCAATAGTGGACAGGCAAATATTAAAATTGTGCAGCAGAGGAATGCAATGCACCAGCTGCTTTAGCAAAAACTCATTGCCCAGTCCACAGTGCAAATGAATTTTCAGGCTGCTTATGCATTCATTTGGACAACTTTCCACTGAAATGTTTCCAAACATTTCAAATGACTGTAGCTTGATGGGGTGCATGCAACCGCCTCTCTCTCCCGCACAACTTGAGAATTCTATTGGGCGGGTGCAAGAAAGGGAAAACCTTGTTGCTGGACTACAACTCCTATCATCCCTGGGCTAGGCTGATGGGAGTTGGAGTCCAGCTACACCTGGAGAGACAAATGCTCCCTGTCTCTGAATGAGACTGCACCCACTCTTCTTGGACACTTGGAGCAAAGTGGAAATGATAAAACAGCCATTTGGAGGCACTGCACGTTTAAGTGAAATTGCAGAGGGCCTTCTCGGCAGTGGCACCCTCCCTGTGGAACACCCTCACACCAGATGTGAAGGAAGTAAAGAACTACACAACTTTTAGAAGACATCTGAAGGCAGCCCTGTACCGGGAAGTTTGAAATGTTTGACGTTTCGTTATGTTTTTATATGTGTTGGAAGCTGCCCAGAGTGGCTAGGGCAACTCAGTCAGATGGGCGGGGTATACATAATAAAATTATTATTATTGTATGGAGCACCATTGAGAAAGCCTGCAATTGCCATATTCATTCCCTCCAAACCTCCTTGCTCCAACTCTCCACAGGCCTCAAAGTCCATGCAAAGGCTTGTGGGATTGCACTCGCAAAGGCTTGTGGGATTGCTAGGTGCTGTTTTTGCACTCTTTTTTGCCCTTTTTCATGCCATTACTGGGTTTGCAGTGGTGCACATGTGCCATGAACACATGTAAATGCAGTGTTAAGGTGAATGCCCAGCCTTGCCAGCCTCAGGACCTGGCCCTGAAGGCAACTGCAGTCAGATGAGAAAATAAAAGGTGTTCATGTTAAAACGGTCAGGGAAGTTTAGAAACAGGTGCCTCTTCCTGAGCAGCTTAGCACCTTCTCATAAAGAGGGTGGCTGGTGGAGAGTGTGGTTAGGTATGGAACTTGCTTCTTCACACCTCTGTGTTCAAAAGGTACAAATAAAAGAAAAACCACACAGATGGAGAAATAACACTCAAAGCAACAGAGGCAGGCTGTCCTTGCGGCTCGAGGAGCTGACCGCCTGCTTCCCCCCAGCAGACAGGGTGGAAAGATGAGCCCTTCCAAATAGTACAGAGAGAACCACAAAAGAGGCGATGCAAAGCTTGGTTGAAAAAGAGTTAGAAGAGGAGACCCTATAAGGAAAGGTCTAAACCGATGGTTCCTAAAGGGGGTAGTGGGATTACCAAGGGGGTGCTAACAGGCAAGGGGGTGGCAAGGAGGCACTGGAGGTCTAAATGACTTCTCATGAAAAGCTGGTATCACTGGATCAATTAAACAAGATGGTTTTAGCTGGCTTTTGAAAAAACATTGCAATTCATTGTTACTGTTTGGTTATTGTCTTCCTTAATGAGGCGTGCAAACCGTCATTTTGAAGAAATGCTTTTTGGCAGGTACGGTAGAGGGCACCTGCAATGAGTTTATGGAACCAAGGGGTCAGTGGCCCACAAAGGTTTGGGAACTACCGATCTATACAGTGCTTGCAGTGCATTCTGCTTTGCATGCAGAAGGTCCCAGGTTCAATCCCCGCCATCTCCGGGTAGGGCTGGGAGAGACTCCCTGTCTGAAACCCTGGAGAGCTGCTGCCAGTCAGTGCAGGCAGTACTGAGTTAGATGGACCAATGGTCTGTCTCAGTAGAAGGCAGCTTCCTATGTTCCCCCAGGCTAGCTTCTGAAACTTGGAAAGGATTTTAAAGCCAACTTAGCCCAATGTAAAACTCAAAGGAGAACGACCCAAAGTTTATGTTCTCAACAGTGTTGTATGAGATGGTACAACAAACCACAATATGATCACAGAATAACAGAATTGGAAAAACAAAAGGGAAGTGAAATCTAGAGACAGACAAAATATATTCAAAATTCCATCTAAATATAAAGAAGCTTTGGTGTGAACTATGCATTGATTCAAAGCAATCTCTTCTACTCCATGACCTGCCCCAGACAACCCGAGAATTAAATTCTCATGTTGGTGTTTATGTTATAAAGAAGGATAATAGTCACCAGCTGTGCTGCTATCTAGAGCAGAAATCACCAGCCTCAGCCTTGAGAAGCCCAACATAGAGAGTATTCATGTTCTTTCATGCCTATCTCCTATGTTTTATGCCATGTGGAGTGTCTTTTTCATTCTTATCTTCCACATTCCAGTTTAGTCCAACAGAAAACACAAGTAACTCGGAACAGGGAGTATGCCAAATAAAAAGACAACCATAGATATCAGTGGAGCAAATAATGAGACTTGATACTGACTCGCAGGACTTCAAATAAAATAAAACGAAAAGGGTCACAAAGGCTTTCTTGGATTTCAGCAGGGATACACAAGATATCAGAAGTCATATGAGGAAATCTGCTTTCACAGGAGGGAACCTGCTCCCGGTCCAAATTCAGCTAAACCCAAGAGGTAGAGCGATGATCATGATAATAATAATAATAATTGGCAAGGAACAAAAAAGGTTTTCAGAAATCAAAACTACTCAGCAACTGTAGGGGCTGTCACTGTATTTCAGCTTATTTCAAAGTTTTATGGCAGATGACTGTGGCTTCCTGAAACCAAACTTTGGTTCAGACCTTGAGGGCGCTTGCTCCTCGTCTGCAGCACCCCAGAACCCAAAAGATAGGTCTAAGGTGAAGAAGGACTTCTTGTTGTCTGGCCTCCCTCTCTCCAGCTTTGCTGGATAACCCCATGTTACAGCATTATGAGAGGGAGAAAACTTCTCTCCATCTACTCCCTCCACACTGTGCATCACTGTGGATTGGGAAGATTTACATTTCAGTTTGAGCGGAATTAAATTCTCCCCCAGCCCACGTCTCAAAACAGAGAACCTAATAGATGGGCAGCCCAGTTCCACATGTGACATGAATTCAGGCCCCAGTGTCAGCATGCAGACGTCTCGGGCAACTATTGGGAGTGGAGGGCTTTGAGGAGCTGATGCTTGTCCTGGGCCAAGTGGCTGCTGCATGTGAATCTATATTTCCCACTATGCTCCAGAACAGTGGAAGCATCAGGCATTGTGAGGGCACTGTCCGAAATCTTAAATAATGGCCTGATACCATCTATTGCTCTAGCCAGGAATAGCCATAGGCAGGAGAAGGGATCTCTGGGGAAGAAGGAGAGTCCACTGAGGACTCATTCAAACCTGGAAACAGCCTCACAGGGGTTCTGCCTTCACATCTCCCTCCGCACCCTTATGCTCAAAAGGGGTTACTGGGATGTGCTTTTACTTTAATTATATATTTTGTGGTTTTGTATTTTGATTTTGTTCTGTGAGCTGCCCTGAGACCTCTGGGTATAGGGCGGTATATAAATTCAATCAATCAATCAATCAATGGCCATATCCCTCCTCTCTAAAGAAAAAAAGTCCAACAAATTTTAACTTCCAATCATAGCAGAGGTGCTCAAGCCCCCTGATCGTTTCTGCACAGTGGTACCTCTGGATTCGAACGGGATCTGTTCCGGAGCCCCGTTCGCATCCTGAAGCGAATGTAATATGTGACTGTGCGTGTGCGTGTCGCGTTTTGCCACTTCCATGCATGCGCGTGATATCATTTTGAGAGTCTGTGCATGCGCGAGTGGCAAAACCCGTAAGTAACGTGCTTCGTTACTTCCGGGTCTCCGCGGAGCACAACCTGAAAATGCTCAACCTGAAGCGTATTCATTCCGAGGTATGACTGTACATCCTTCTCCAATGCTCCAAACACCTTCACCCAGATACATGCCCCAAAGACAAGCATAAGAATAAATAAAATTTATTGGGCTCTTGAACCACTGGACTTCATTTGCTGTTCCACCTCTCCATTTCTGGGCCCAGCAGACGAGCTGTGGCTAATCCTGTGGCAGCCCCTGGATGTGGGCTCTTCCTCAGTGTGAGGAGGAACTCCGCATACCTCCATCGCAAATGACGCCGGCTATCCTAGGGTGGCGCTCCTCTCCAGGTGGCCCTTCCCAGAACTGATGGAGGTAAAGTCTATGCTACTGCTGAGGCACACGGCCCAGAGAGAAGACTACAAGTGGGTTGGCCCTTTTCCTCTCCTCCGCTCAACCCTGAGCTCACACTCGACCTTGAGCTCACACAGCCGCCAGGCCTTCGCTGACAGGCATGTTGATGTGCGCCGTCAGCAGTGGTTCAGGCTCCCCCTCGTGCAACACAAACACCTGCAACACGAAGGAGATGAGAGGAGGGAGGGCCTGTGGTCGGCATGCCAACACAGCGGCCATCTTGGATTGCAAGTCAGCATACAAACTGGGAACAAGGCACAGGGAAGGCAGGCTTTTTCTTTTGACAGGCAAGCCCCCCAAGACTGAAACAACTGGGAAATCAATGGCATGGGAAGTCAAGGGGCAGGCCTGTCAGGAGTGGGGTGGGGAATCAAAGCAGGAACACTAACCTTAATAATATCCGAGGTCCCTTGTTCGCTCAGACACTCCACAAAGGTGGCCAGAGGGTAATTCAATCCTGGAACCAACATGGGAGTCTGCAGGGAGGCAAGAAAAATGCAGGAAATTCTTATGGCAAGCAGCGTGTTGGGGAAGAGGGCTAAGAGCCCAAGGAGGGAGGCGTGTAGCAAGGGGCAAATCTGTAACTCCAGCTGAGCCTGAGTTAGGGTTTTTGGCCAAAGTTGTTGAGCTATTTTTGCAAAATCTCAATAAAAAAAGTTTTTGAGCTATTTGTAAGGAAATCAATAATAATAATAATAATAATAATAATAATAATAATTTTATTATTTCTACCCCGCCCATCTGGCTGGCTTTCAACAGCCGCTCTGGGTGGCTTCCAGCAGAATATTAAAATACAATGATTCATCAAATATTAAAAGCTTCCCTAAACAGGGATAACCTACACTTCTGACATGGGTTGCCATATGTCTGGATTTTCAAGGACATCTTAGTGTTTCCCGCCCGGACACTGCTTCTGACCGCCTAATCGCAGCTATGTCCCGGAAATTCCAGACGCATGACAACTCTACTCTGAGAAGGCTGCTGGACTGGTTATACAGGGGGCCTGTGCAAAACATTTAGGAGAGGGAGTCAGGGGAGATCCAATTTAGGAGAAGGATGGAATTACCTTAAAGAAAGAATGCTCTATGGAGTAGAGTTTTTCATCATACAGGAAGCTGATGAGAAGGTTGGCGACTGCACGGGTATCTGACATGTTCTGGAGGTTAAGGGTCAACTTGAAGGTAGGGCCCATGCCCTGGACCTGCAGAAGGGAGAGAAGTGCATTATGGGAATGAGCGTGTGAGACAAAGGGGAATGAGGATGGGGGGGGGGGGAAGTGTCTCAGCAATGTCTCAACATTTCATCAAGAGGGGACTCTGGGTAATATCCAACCCAAAGGTGCCTCCGGACTTTCACTATTTTGCAGGGGAAAGCACATGGGAACTTTAGGTTTGCACAGCCCTAGCACAACAAATCCACTTTAAAAAAAAGAACTGGACATTTTACGGTTTGGAAAGTGAGAGGGAAATACAAAATATGGGATGAACAAATGATTAATGGGAAGAGGTATAATGCTCATTAATGACCAGATATAATCAAACCTCCTCCTAAGGTCTGTGCAAGAAAATAAGGATGAATTCTCAACAAACAGGTAATCCAGAGGGACCCAAAATCAGATTAGGCCCACTGACGCCAATGAACTTGAGCTACTCCAGTTTATTGAGTTCAGTGAGTCTACTGTGAGCATGACTTAGTTGGATACAACAGCTCAAGCAAAGCCCATCCCTTCTCAAGAATTCCTAATTTACTCCATTTATTTATTTATTTTTAACTATTTTATTTTCATTTTTAACAAAATTCTTATACATTTAAATCATTTTCAATTTTTACACATTTGAGATTACTTGAATCCCTGGACTTCCCCCACCCTCCCCTAGTTTCCCATTTTTAATTATTCTTTCTATTGCATCTAATCACATTTCCCCAATCCATTTTATCTCTTTGTTAGAACTTTAATTTTGTTTCATTATAAGTGTTATAACAATCCTGCTAGCATTTTTAAATATTTACAGTGGTCTTTAAGATGCTCTATAATCCCTGCCCCCCATTCTTTACTGAATTTTTCCTCATCTTGGTGTCTGATCTTCACTGTCATCTTCGCCATTTCGGCACAGTCCATCATCTTGGTTATCCACTCTTCCCTGGCTGGGACCAATTTACTCCTTTTTTTAAAAGCAGCCCACCTTTTTTCTTGCACCATCCTCTGATTTAACGCACTATTTCCTTTCCTCCCCTCACCCCATCCTGGGGTCACCCCTCCAGCTGTCTTCTCTTTTCCAGGGATTGGCACCATTTTCAAGGAAGCCCGCCTCGATTCAGACCAATCCTGTATTCATTTCCCCCTCCCCCTTCCTCCTCACCACAGCGTTCATCTTCAGCTGCTCCTGCGCCGACTCAGACACAGGCGTCATGTTGCACTGAAGCGCTTGGGCGTAGGCTCGGGCCGCCATGAGTCGGATGCGGCTCAGGTCCGTCTGAAACACCCGGTGCATGGCTGGGCGAGGGCGGGGAATGGGAAGGAAGCAAAGTGAAACAGGGAGGAGGGAGGAGAGAAATGAGACCTTCCCTTGTGCCGTCATCAAACCACCCTCTGCCTGCAGAAATTAGGGGGTCTGTTGTGCTAGAGCACTTAGGTCCTAGAATCAATTCTGAGCATCTCTTTCCTGGCTGAGATCACCCACAAACAACGCTCCACATAAAGGTCTTCCTGTATAAGGTAAAGGTAAAGGGACCCCTGACCATTAGGTCCAGTAGTGACCGACTCTGGGATTGCGGCGCTCATCTCGCTCTATAGGCCGAAGGAGCCGGCATTTGTCCGCAGACAGCTTCCGGGTCATGTGGCCAGCATGACTAAGCCGCTTCTGTCGAACCAGAGCAGCACACGGAAACGCCGTTTACCTTCCCGCCGGAGCGGTACCTATTTATCTACTTGCACTTTGATGTGCTTTCGAACTGCTAGGTTGGCAGGAGCAGGAACCGAGCAACGGGAGCTCACCCCGTTGCGGGGATTCGAACTGCCGACCTTCTGATCGGCAAGTCCTAGGCTCTGTGGTTTAACCCACAGCGCCACCCACGTCCCACCAGTTTGTATTCATAGCCACAAAATATGAACAGGGACTTTTGTGTTTAGCAGAATTCTCGGGGGTTCTTATGCTGCAACTGTGGAAAAATATGATCAAACACAGTTATGGTATTGAGATGTACAGGACTTGATGAATTGTTTGAACGAAATACTTTGTTCCGATACGCGAGATTGAACTCCAGGCCAAGACCAGCCAGCCCCTATGGAAGGAAGAAGCCTCAGCCAAAGAACATAAAGAAGAAGATAAAGATGAAGATTGGCAAAATAAATTATTAAACTATCCAGGACAAATCATTACAAAAAAGGGCAATTGTTTAAAGCATATTTTTAAAGCTTTGTGTACAGATTTTTACATTAGTATAACTTTTAAAAGTCACCTGTAATAAGATGAAGAAGGTTTTAACATTGGATTGTTAAGTATATAAGGTTTTATGGATGTGCATAAACAAGTACATTGTAATGGAACCAAGAGGGGGAGTGGAGGGAAGTCGATCAAAATTCATGGTTTAATTTGGTTATGATTTTTTCTGGGTTTTTTTAATTGTTATTTTTGGAAAATCAATAAATTATTATATAAAAAAGGTAAACAAAAAAACTAGCCATTTTTAAGGTTTATTCAAAGAGAGATTCCTAAAGCCTCTACATGTGTAAGGAGGAAATGTTTCCTGATCCAGAGACCATAGAGGAAGGAGCTAGGAGTTTGCATCTGGCTGGGATGTTGTGTGCCTGTAAGAGAGGCTGCCATGCTCCGAGACGCACTGCTCATGCGACTCACCCACGCCACTCTCCCGCTCCCGTAGCGTCTGGTCCACATACAGCTTTGTCTTCTTGGGCACGTTGAGCTTGATGCTCTGGGCGACGGGGGCTCCGACAACCGCATCCCGCTTGTCAAACGTGGCAGTGCGTTTTAGGATCTTGATGATCAGGCCCCCGCCTAGGAGAAGAGCAGAAACTCATGTATGCGACTACAGCGGCAAGAATGCTACTCGCCCAAAAATGGAAAGAAGAAGAAGAAGTCCCAGCAAAGGAAGAATGGATACAAAAACTTATGGAATATGCAGAAATAGCTAAACTTACTGGAAGGATAAGAAATCAAGATAACAAACTTTTTATAAAATAATGGAAATGGTTTATTGAATATTTACAGATAAATTGTAAGCAGATAAAAACATTGGCAGGATTCTTGTAATAACCTGCAGTTTCTTAAGAGTATATATTTAAAGAAGATGAATAAATGAACAAATTAAGCTAATTTGGATATGCAGAAGATATTAAAAATAAAGTTAAGGAACTGCAGAAAGTGGGGGAAGGAAGTCAAGTTTTGAAATGTCAAAATGATTGTATAATCAGTGAACCGTATAAATCTGAAAACTATAAATAATTTTTAAGAGAGAGAAGGGGGAGAAACGACAGATGGGCAAGGAGTCAAGTAGGACAGGGAAGTGCCTTCACTTGATAGGCTCTCCACCCCTGTTCAATACAACCCACTCCAGCAAGTTTAGACCAACATGACTTTCTCCCAAGAAAGCCTGAGAGATGAGCATCTTCAGCAAAATTCTCAGCTGCACCTCGTTCTTCACAGCTTGGGCTCCATATCAGGAGGGACAACTGCATGCTGCAACCAGACTCTAGCTCTGTAGATTTCAAAGCCTCTATGCTCAGGTGCAGCTTACCCCTGAATGCTACCTGCTGGCTGCCCCCTGGGGAAGGGCAGAAGGTCGGGCTCAGTGCTCTGACTTCACAAGGCACAACATCTGCTCTTACCTTTGGTGGTCATGACAAGCGTGTTATCTTCCCTCCCATAGCGGCCGAAGCAGATGCTGCTGACAACGTCCTGGCAGCAGAAACAGAGAAAAAGAGATGAAGGTGGGTTGCTGCTTTTCGCAGGGAGAAGGAAGACAGGTGGGCTTGTCTTTGGTGTGGCCGTATAGCTTTCCTTTCTTTGATTTGGTCTTTGCCAGTAGTGCAGCACCTGCTTTTCATGCTGAAGGTCTGAGATTCAATCCCCAATGGCCTCTCCAGCTAGGAGGAAGGCTGGGAATATCCTCTGCCTGAAACCCTGGAGAGCAGCGACCAATCAGTGGTAGCCAATACTGAGCTAGATGGACCAATGGTGTGACTTGGCCTTTGTCAGGTTCCCACATCCCTATGGGAGCTCTTTGTCTTCTCATGGCTCTCTCACTGCATCTCCACCCTCCCAGCCCAGGGCACCTCATCTCCTCCCAGGTTGCCTCCCTGCCAGCTCTCCTTCACCTCCTGTGGGTCCTCCCTCTGCCAAGAACAGTCTCCCTCTCCCTGTGTGCTCAGTTCAGGAGCTGAGAAGGGCCAGGAACGGCCCACAGCAGGTCTGGAACAGGTAGGCTGAGTGAGGATACAGCCTGTGAACTGTTACTGAAGAAGGGAACTGTAGGGAAGGCCATCTGCAGCAGGAAGGGTGCCTCTCTGGACCAAGGGAGTTTCTGCTTTGCATGCAGGTTGAATCCTCAACATCCCCAGTTTGAAAAGGGATCCTGGGCAAGAAGGACCAGTGGTGTGACCAAGTCATAGGCAAGTTCCAATGCCTTACCAGACCCACATTCAACAGGAGCCATGTTTTCCAGGAACTTACTCAAGGAGTCTTGGTTCTCTAGTTCTCCTGTTTCAATCCCACAGATGACAAACACACATCCCGTTAGAGTGAGGGATGAGACAGAGCAGCCTGGGCTCAGAGAAACAAACATACAGTCTCACACACAAACACCTCCCCCACCCACGCTGCAACCAGCTCCTGTGCCAAACCACCAGAATGCCCTCATTCAGCCCTGAATGTGGGCACCCCCTGTTCCTGCCTCTCACCTGCGTTTGGATGATGTTCACAAGGTTCTTGTCCTGGTATATGTGCACCTCCATATTGGCCAAGGCGACCAGAACAGCATGGAAGCTCTGGAACTTCTCATCTATGAGACTCAAAGTGATGGGGGTGGCTGGCAACGGGACCACCCAGAGCTTCTTCCCCTGCCACGAGAAAAAGACATTCAGGAACCCGACAGAACAGCTTCTCCAACCTGGCCCCCAATTGATTTCCTTGCTAATTAAGGCCCTCCACCCCCCACTAGGATTACCCTTCTTTTAACAAGATCCTCCTTTAAAACAGAATTGGGCACAGCAATAGCACCACCTGGGGACCACATGCATACACTTACACAACACAATGCCCTTCAATGTACCTTGGCTCCATTCACTTAACTCTAATGCACCTTGAGTTCCAGAAGTGAGCCAAGGTTCAAGTTAAGAGCTGCTGCCTTCAGTTGACAGTTTGAGGTGAGGCAGATTGCCAAAGCTGTGGCCAGTGATTAAAGCTGCCCTCCACCCCATGACCCCACAACCTTCTGAGTAAAGCTTTGAAGGGTTTCGTCGGAGCAGGCCACCACAATGTTCTTTTGGACCCAGGACAAGCCCACGGCTTGAGAACTCAGCTCAATGCAGTATTTATGTCGCTTGGAGTTCCTGCGTGGGAGAGAAAGACAGCAGTGGCAGGTCAAGTCCAGGCCTGGCCTCCTTGTGGTCAGCAAAGCAGGCAACTCCAGTGCCAAGATGGGTGATGCACAAGATATGGGGCTTTTCCTTGCCATATTCTTAAGAGCTTGCTCTGAAATATGTCAGCCTCCCTCTTCAACCCATCAGGCCCTCTCTGCCCTCCCAAAACACCCCCAGCAGCTCCTCCTCTGCCCACCTGCGGAGGATGTAAATGCACCCATTACGGCAGGCCACTATGAGCCGATATTCCACATCGTACTGTCCTGTGACGTCCAGAAAGGCTGGCACGCTTGGTACCTTTGTCTGCCATTAAAAAAGAAAAACAGTGCTGAAGCCGGATACTGCCCCACTCCCTGGCATGTTGCCTCGCAGGGGACAGACGCGAGAGGGACCTATTTTAAATAGTCACATCACCAGGATGGGATTGGCAGGCGGGTGGTCACCCCTGGGCAGTTTTGAGGGTTTTCTAGTTGAAACAGACACCCCCATTCGTTACCAATATCCCTGCCACTGAAACTCAGCCTCCTGAGATTTCACAGACATGGGCCACAGCATTCAAACCTACAAAATCTAGAAACCTGCTCTTTGTTGTCGTTTTTAAACCGGAAGCCATGCAATCAGTGGAGGTTGGCACTTACCAGAACTGATAGGGCACAAGGCAACAGTAACTGGAGCCAGACAAGTGCAGCCACACTTCTAAGTAAGGAAACAGTGAAGTGGAGGTTGGCAAAAGCCAGACTAAGATTGGTGGCGCAGTGTCCCAATCACCTTCATGGTCTAGCTCCCACTACAGGGAATGGTGAATCGAACAGCTTATTGTTTTATTCATTCATTGCATTTGTATCCCACACTTCCTCCCAGGGAGGAAATTTGTAAAAATATTCCTTTTGCATCCTCATAACATCCATCGGTGGTAGGTTAAGGCTGAAATATGATGGCTGCCCAAGATCGCCCAGTTAACTTCAGGGTTGGGAGCAAATCTGAAAGCAGATCTCCTCAGTCCCGACTCCAATACTCGATTCCCCCAACATTGTCTTGAATTCTGCAACTGGTTGTTGCGATTGTGAGGAACACCAGAGCGAGCGGCTTCCGCTTAGCCTCAAAGGGCATAAGGCAGAGAACAAAATGGCCCTCTCTTTCCCCTCTTGAAATAAGCATGCTATTGAGCTTCAGAGCACTCTTCTCCAGGGCCTCACCTGCACCAGCATACTGAAGGGCTCAGGATCCAAGATGATGATGTCGCTGTTCTCCGTCCCAAGCACCAGGCAGCTGATAGAGCCCTCGTCTGCCACGCTCTTCTTCAGGGTAGTCATACAGGTAATCAGTGACTGAAAGATAAGGAGGGGCAAAGGGGCAACTTTATGCATCAAGAGAGGTGAACCCCAAGGGACTAGGATATGTTTCCCAGCCATGGGCAACTGGTTCTGTAAGTGCACTTCCAATCTGGGACATTTGGGGGCATGGGAAGCTTGTGCCTAACCCTTTTGCTACTTGATTGCCCCAAGTCGTGATTTTAAAAGATGTGTCACCTAAGCAAGGCCATTCTTGGCTTCAGGGAAGAGTTGGCAATATTTGCCTGGGATCAACCAAACAGCATCCCAAACCTCTTCCTCTTCTGGGATGTTCAGGGCAGGAGTGGATATGGAACATCAGAGTACACACCTGGCGCTTGAGCGGCTGCATTTTATACTGGTTCACAAAGGACTCCATCTCAGGAGGGTCAAGGGCCAGGAACCTGCAGAGCAGATGGGGAAGGTGATGAAAGGAGCCCAGGGTCCCAGCCCACACAGAGGGGGGGGAGGGAGAGGGAGAGGGAGAGGGAGAGGGAGAGGGAGAGAGACGGCCTTCAACAGAGGATGAAAAAAGGAGACCATTTCTCACAATCAAAGCTGTGTTCCCATCAGCCTGAAGCAGAGAACTTGGGCTGGAGTGGGCATTACAGGAACATCCAAAACTGCCTTGTACTGAGTCAGAGCACTGGCCAATCTAACTCAGTATAGACTACACTGACTGGCAGCAGTTCTCCAGGATTTCTGGCAGGAGCTTTTCCCAGCCCTGCCTGGAGATTCCCAGCCCTGCCCACACCAAAGAACTCACCTCAAGGACTGCACTGACAAGGGCGGCTCCGTATTTTCTCTGTCTGCGTTTTCCCTGTTGAAACACATCAGGCAAGTCAGGGGGGAGAGCCTTGGGCTTCTGTGGCTCATGCCAGTGTGGCACAGTGAACAGTCCTGAACCACAGAGCCCTAGGCAAGCTTGTTCGCCCTGAGACTCTGCTTCTCTAGTCAATTAAATGGGAGCTTTCATAGCCCAGACATGTGGGGGTGACCAAAAAGCGGATTATAAAGCATATTTTTTTGCATGCCAATGTAAGAAATAACCCCCGCCTCCGCCTGGCATGCTCTCCATTCCCACCTGCCCCTAGTTGACCCCCAAGCCTTGTTTGCTTATCCTCCTGATGTTTAGAGATGGCTCAGAAGACTTGGTCTCGCCCTGCCCAGCTTCAGAGCTCCTTACCGGATCATCTCCAGTGTCTCCTTCATTGACAGAAGGTCAACCTTGTCCTACCAAGAGAGAAGGAGGACAGTCAACGGCTGACCAAGTGGTGGGCAGATCCAGCAGCAAAAGTGGATGGAGCAATGGATACAAATTTTATATTTTCATGCAGTTTCAACACAACCCTTTTTTGCCCTCCATACAGGCAAGCAAGAGGCTTCATAGAACATATTCCAGCCTTGCAAAAGCACCCAGGAAGGGTGAAAAAGCAGGTCTAGTAAGGGGTATGGTCTGGGGGTGGAGGCTATGGCCTTGAGAGAGACCCGAGAGCCAGGCAGAAGTTCACCACTTCTGCTCCAACCACACTGGCCCTCAGGCAGGAAGGATGGGAGGGAAGGTACCTAAAGACCCATGACCAAAGGGGTTCTGGCTAGCAGACAGCTTCCCCAAGCCCTCCCTCCTCCTTCTCACCTCCTTTGCCTGCTCCCAGACATCCTTCTCTGTGGAGTTGACTTCCAAGGGGGGCAGAGCATAGCGGAAGTAGGGGCGCATGTTCTTGTACACGTAGATGTAGGGACCGGCAGCCACCCCCACAGCAGGAACACACAGTTCATGACGCTCCATCAGGAAGGCAGCCACACTTGTGGGCAAGTCCAACAGGACATTCTCGCTCAGGAGGTCCATGCCGTGGTACACTTTCAGCTTCATCTCATGTCCTGTAGGGCCCAGGTCGCCCACCACCAGCTGGGAAAGGGGGAAAGCAAAACAACAACTAGGAGCCTCCTTGAATGAGACCCAAGGATGTGTGTCCCTTCGGAGGCTCTGAAACCTAAAAGCAAGCAGGCAAAAGGAACAAAGAGGAGACTAGGAACGTGCACTCAAAATCTACACAAGAAAAATGGTATTCATGCAACAAAAGCCTATTAGGCCAGATGGAGAGGTAGAGAAAGAAGGGAAGAGGCACCCAAAAGGCAGCAGATTTGCAGGTGTGATGAATATGGGCAGTACAAGAGAAGGGTTTGTGGATGTGACAGTGACAGTTCCCTTACCTTACAGTCTCCATCACCATGCAGGTCAGCCAGGGCTGGAAAAGACAGCAGAACCTGTATCAGCCCCATTAAAAAGACCCACACATAAACAGGGGAGAGGGCAGAGGAGCCCCATCCCCCCCAAAGCTACTATTTTTATAAGGATACCAGGCAACATCCCCTGTTGAAAGTAAAGTCACCTGCAATTGACTTCACCCCAGAGGCACACCCCTCCATTGTCCCCCAAGATAGACAGATGCAAACAACAGAATTGTTAAGAAAATATAGGTTAATGCAAGTCTCCTGCAGATGCAGGTAAGTCAACAGGGAGGCACACAGCTTTAGCAGAAACTCGGATGCTGGAATGGAAGGAGCTTCTCTGGAGCTGTTCGAATAGGGAAAATTAACTATATGCTTTCATGAGATCAACAGAAGTGAGTGACTTCCCTTGTTGGAGAACCCCTACTATTGTCCTGAGGCTTTCCATGTGTTTCTTTACCTTTAAATCAAAGCAAACAAAGTAGATACCAGAGAATTTAAGTACTGTATTAATCCGAATACTGGTTTGGAAGAAATAACCCACTCAGAATCCTGAAATTCAAGGAAATAATAGACTTCTCCCAAAACCCCAAAATGCCTTGAACTGACACTGTGGGAGAATAACATACCTCCCCCAACCCTTGAAGGCTTTAAAATCAGCCATGTGACCACAGAAGAATCTCCACCATCCAGGAGAAGTAAAAGCAGGTGAGGAAAGGATGCAATATGGTTGGCGCTACACTTTCCTCAACCACACAGTGGTGTAGCACCCTCTGGTGGAACGAAGGGTGACATGGTGAGCCCAACATTACCATAAGGGGATGGCGCACCTTCTGGTGGGCATGAGGATCAACACTGCTGACCTCGGTTATCCACAATGCCATCGCTTCTTGATGTTGGAATGAGGGGTGCTTCACTAGCCTCGACTGCCCAGAAGATGGGGTGTCTTCTGACGAGCTTCAGTCATACAGCCATAGAACTATAGAACCGTAGAGTTGGAAGGGATCCTGAGGGTCATCAAGTCCAACCCCCATTGATCAATGTGGATGATCAACTTTGTTTGCCTTAACTTCTACTAGGGCTTCTCAGGTCACTCCCTCAATTTTTCTTCTTAGAGATCCAAATGGTGACACTGGTCAGCACTGGTCAGCCATTGCCTCCCTATCCAGCCATTCTATGGGTAGAAACTGGGTGCCTCCCTTCCATTGGACAAAAAAAGAAAGACGCAGCTCTGAACATGTGCAGACAGCATTTCCTATACTACTAAGCCACATCTGATCCCCACATGTCTGCTACTGGAGGCAACAAATTCCAGGACAGAGGATGCAGCCTTATAAAAAGAGTGGTTCTCAGACTGAGTCACTCCTTATTCCCACAATGGTCCAGAGCAATGTTACATTATGGAGCATTCTGGGAGATCTATATGACAGCTCCCAGTTGTCTGGTACTGATTCAGAGCTCTGCTGTCAGGTAAACCCACCAAGGCACATTGTAGCAGGAGGTAAAAGGTAAAGGTACCCCTGCCCGTATGGGCCAGTCTTGACAGACTCTAGGGTTGTGCGCTCATCTCACTCTAGAGGCCGGGAGCCAGCGCTGTCCACAGACACTTCTGGGTCACGTGGCCAGCGTGACGAAGCTGCTCCAGCGAACCGGCACCAGAGCAGCACACGGAACGCCGTTTACCTTCCCGCTAGTAAGCGGTCCCTATTTATCTACTTGCACTTAAGGGTGCTTTCGAACTGCTAGGTGGGCAGGAGCTGGGACCGAACGACGGGAGCTCACCCCGCCGCAGGGATTCGAACCGCCGACCATGCGATCGGCAAGTCCTAGGCGCTGAGGTTTTACCCACAGCGCCACCCGCGTCCCAGCAGGAGAGGGCCCACCAAAGACCACTCAAGTCTGCCGGGACCTATCCTTGCCTTCCTTCCTTAACCACTTCCACCAAAGCAAGCTGTCACAAAGTAGGCATTGCTCGTGCTGCAGTGTGGAAAACAAAATATGCTTTTACCTACTGCAAACCCAGGGAGAACCAGCAGATAGTCAAAACTATGCCTGTCTCAACCACTGTACATTATGATCGCCATATTCACCCATCAAAACAGGAAAGAGACAATGCTTATTAAGGAGAGAGAAAACGAACTCAGACTTACTGACGCAAGAGGAAAATGTGTAGAGGCTGGCCACTGGGTCATAGTGGGCATCCAGCCATTTGGAATTGGCTTGAATGCTGCAATGGATGAAGGAAAGGTTGAAAAAATGTACAAAATGAAATATATTGCAGACAGTTTCAGCCCAGAGAGCCAATTCTCTAGGAGTCTCTGTTCACACCTGACCTAAATCCCTCCGAACCATGAAGCTTCCACAGAGTGGTGACAGACACTCAGAAGTCTTGATTTTCTGCCACAAAAATCAGTGTGTTCTGAAAGAACCCAGGAGTCCTGACTCTGTTTCTTTGTCTTTCTCTCATATACACAATTCCAAGTTGCACCCCTCTTACAGCTCATCGTGATTCTCTCTCATGCAGCTGGGCAAAGAACTCCTCAAAGTCTTTGAGTCTGCAATTCTGTGCACAAATACCTGGGAACAAGCTCCATTGAGCTCAATGGGACTGACTTCTGAGTCGACATGCCCAGGACTGGTGCTGTTTATTTGTATCCTGTCTTTCATCCAAGGAGCTGACGGTGTCATACACAGTTCTAAATATATTAAGGATGAGGATGTTCTTGTGAACTAGATGGGTTTATTCTCATTCAAAAATCTATTATGTCCAGCAAACATTTCTCTCCCAGGAGTCAAACAGATACTGATGGGGCAAAGCTCCCACCCGTGCAAAAAAAAGCAATTTGCCCACAATTTTTGCCCCCCTTCTTCCCCCCAATATTGTCACTACCCACAGCCAGAAAAATACAAACCAGTTCCTTAGGCAAAACGAATGCGGCAAAAGACTCACTTCCATATTATCTACATGTCCTCATCACCCGCTATACTGGGGTTTTGAGCAGTTCATCTATGCCTGGTTGACACCTTTTTTATTTAAATGAAGAGGTTGCTCTGTGCGTTTGACAGATGCACTTGGGGGCAGAAACGGAGCAGACAAAGAAGTTCTCTTCTGAACGGAAATGGGCTGATGTTGGGAACCTGCAGCACCTGTTGGATTTCTGCCTGCCTCCGTGGTGCAGCTGCGACAGGGCTCCTCCTCGGGGGGTGAGATAGAGGGGGAGGAACTGGTCACAGTGCAGACACGCGTCACCAACCAGAGGGGGTGGAATGGAAACCAAAACAAACGCATGCGCACCCACTTTTCTTCTAGGGAACCCAGGAGTCCGACCTGCAGGCACCAGCCTCCTCCCCCCTCCTCCCTCGCCAGCGCAGGCAAGAATCCTGAAAGCGGGGAGGGGACGGGGGGGCAAGAGAAAAAGAGGAAGGGGGGAGCAGCTGCCCTCCAAAACGCGACCTCTCCGGGCTTTACCCGTCGCCAGCGGCTCCCGAGGACGACGAAGGCAGCGCCGCGGCCGCCATGGATAAGCCAGGGGATCCGTCGCCATGGAAACCCAGCGGGAGCCAATGGGTGCGCCGAGAAAAGGAGTCCCGCCCCTTCCAGCAGAAGTCCGCGCGCTCATAGACTTGCGGAGAGTTTAAGACTAACACGTAAGCACACACCCAAGCAGCTTCCGGGCTGACTTGGCCGGTCCACAGAGCAATTTGAAAAGGATTTGCGACAAAAACTAAGGGCTGGGCCAGACACACTACGAGTGCTACGTTGCCTCAAACGCACAGAAGGGGCTCCGAGGGGCCATCTAGTCCAACCCCCTGCAGTGCAGGAATCTCAACTAGCTCATCCATGGCTGGTGGCCATCCAGCCTCTGCTTAAAAACCTCCAGTGAAGGAGAGTCCACCACATTTAGGAGGAGTCCATTCCACAGGTGAACAGCTTTTCCTGTCAGAAAGTTCTTCCCAATGTTGAGTCGGAATCTCCTTTGTTGTAACTTGAAGCCCTTGGTTTGAGTCCTACCCTCCACAGCAGAACAAAACAAGCTCGCTGCATCTTCCATGTGACAGCCCTTAAGATATTTGCCTCTTCTTCTCCAGGGTAAACATACCCGGCTCCTTCAACTGCACCCCATCTTGGTTGCCCTCCCTATGAACACTTTCCAGTTTGTGGGCATACACAATTCTGACCATACTAAGCCTCCTGCTGTATATTTTGCTTTGGGAGGCTTAGTTTGGTCAGAACTGAGTATACACTTCCAGAGTTAACACTAAATACAATACTTCTGGTAAATGAGCCACGATAGCTTCTATAGGGCCGTGAAATTTTTGTGTCCCGGGCTTTTTAGACTCATCTACCCATGTACTATCAGAAACAAAAGGGGCGTATTGGGGACATGAATTTCCCCCCAGCTCTCCTACCCGAATACCTTGCTCCTATTTTTACTTGGCTTCCAAATCTCATTGGAATTTACCCACCCAACAACTGCTGCTTTTATCCCTCCCCGAACACTACCAACAGCACACAACAGCTACCTGAGCTTCCCCACCCCTCAATTTTTCCACAAAAGCTGCCCTGTTTTGCCCAGTATCAGCATTTGCTACTTGGAATGCCTTCTAAGCATTATGTGGCATCCTGAGGAAACAAGCAGCAGCTCGCTAACATCTAATTTCTTAGTCCCATCGGGTTAAAGACAGCCTCAACAGGCTCCCAGACTTCTCCAGAGTCTACAACGTACCAATTTAGAGAAGCTGAGAGGGATGCATTCTGCCCCTGAGGTTCCCCAACACCGACTATCAACACAGCAGATCTGAGGAAGCTGGATCAGACTGCATTATTCCCCACACTAGGTTCAGTCCCCACCAGTTAGACAGGAGTACAGCGGGGGGGGAAAGCAGAAAGGAAGTTCACACACTTTATAAAAGCTAGGTTTATTGAACCCTTAGGTGCAACAACAGGAGGGCTGGAGCCACCACAGGCCCTTCCGGGGGGTAGGGATTGATGGCCGACTGCTTTCAGAGAGGCGATCTTGTTCACTTGTACCCCTCATTTCCGAAAGAGACGGGTGAGGTGCAGAAACGGCCTGGTGTGCCTGGATGGGCAGGCAAAGGGAGCTGAGTGTGGGGAAGCCAGGGCCCTTGTGCCTTGTGGGGCTCAGGATTCCCAGAAATGGGCATCAGCCTGTGCCATCTCCAACAGATACTTCTCCAGGACTTCAGCATCTTCACGGAAACGGTCGCGGAAAGATTTGATGAGCCCCGCTGCACTGCTTTCGTACTGCACCAGTGCGACATCTTTACCTGGAAAGGGGCGGGTAGGAGGAGGAGAAATGATCAAAGTCAGTAGATGGACCATTCCAGATGGGTGATGCTCTTTCAGGGGTATCATTATCTCGCCACTCCCTAGTGGGTCCAATTTGACAGGTGGACCCACCTATCAATCACCCGGTATCACTACAACACCAGGAGCTGGTCACTTTGACGTCCCAATTGCTGGGACTTCAAAGTGCATCAAAGCACTGCAATAACCTCTTTGGCTGTTTGTAGACAGTCACCCCCACTTGTCCCGCTGCCCTTTTGGACATATGAAGGCCTTCAGACAGCTCCTGTTGCAAAGCATCTGGAACTGTTAAGAGCATTTGAAACTGAGCAGGATTTAACCCCTGCTCATTAGCATGTCAGCAGGGATTAAATCTTGCTGCTTCAGCTGAGGATATCTTCTTCTTCTGGGAATGGGATGCACAGCCAATGCCAGATTTAACCCTGCCCTCCCACCCATCAGCTGACCTCACCAGGGACACCAGCTGATGGGCAGGTGGGCGTGGTTTGAGGAAAATGGCCGTGCAGGCCAAAAGTGGGCCTGGATTTTAATCCTATACAGTTAAATTAATCTTAAATTCTGATACTTTAAAAATAAATAAGCAAACCAATATTTATGATGCCACCTTAGCCAGATTCGCTTAACAGCTGAATCAGTTGAGCTAGGAAATACCCAGCAGAGGAGGATAGAATCACAGAAAGGTAGAGTTGGAAGGGACTCCCCAGGGGCATCATTCATTCATTCATACTTTTCAAGTTCATACATTTCACTATTTTTTTACATTTCACTAATTCTACAATCATTTTGACATTTCAAAACTTGACTTCCTTCCCCCACTTTCTGCGGCTCCTTAAATTTATTTTTACTATCTTCTGCATATCCAAATTAACTTAATTTGTTCATTTATTCATCTTCTTTAAATATATACTCTTATAAAACTGAAGGTTACTACAATAATCCTGCCAATGTTTTTATCTGTTTATAATTCATCTGTAAATATTCAATAAACCATTTCTGTTCTTTTATAAAAGATTTGTTATCTTGATTTCTTATTCTTCTGGCAAGTTTCACCATTTCTGCTTATCCCATAAGTTTTTGCATCCATTCTTCCTTTGCTGGGACTTCTGCTTCTTTCCATTTTTGGGCAAGTAACATTCTTGCCGCTGTAGTAGCATACATAAAAAAGTTTCTATACATTTTTGGTAGTTCTGTCCCTATAATTCCCAAAAGAAAAGCTTCTGGGTTGTTGTTTTTACAAAGGTTATTTTAAACATCATATGTGTTGGTCTTGTAGTAAGGTTAAAGCTTACTGGGAAATGATATATAATGAAATGAAAAGGATGTTTAAAACACCCCCCGAGGGTTATCTAGTCCAACTCCCTGCAATGCACGAATCTTTTTCCCAGTGCGGGGCTCAAACCCACGACCCTGAGCTTAAGATGTGCTCTACTGCCCGAGGAGATATGCTCACCGCTGCTCTTACCTTCCAGGCGTGTGTTTGCTTGGACAAACAACTTGCGTTCTTCCTTGCGCAGCAGCACAGTCTTGCGCAGGCTCAGGAAGCGCTGGGGCTCCTCGTCCGTCACCGCAGAGTACGTCTCGTAGAGGGTGCGCCCACCTGCCACATCCGCTGTGGACTTCAGCACCTTTGGAACAGAAGAGCAGCACCCTGCTGGGTCAGCCTCTCTCTCCCCCTAAGGGAAGAGAGACCCTGGGCCCATCCTTCCCTCCCTGGCCCTTACCTGCAGTTTGCGGAGAAAGTGCTCCAGCGCAGGTTTCCCTATTGTGGTGATCTTGCTGCGGTCGAGGGACACCACTGCATCGGGTTTGCCGTCTCTGCCTGTGGTGTGTTGCAGGGATACCAGCCCCCCGCCGGCTTCCAGGAGAACCCTCAAGATGACAAAGCGCGCCTGCATGTGGGCCTGCCGTGGCAGGAAGGCAACACAATGCCATTTAGAAAAAAGGAGCTTTACTTCGATATAGGATTACAGCGGCAAGACTTTTATACGCACAAAAATGGAAGGACTCGCCATTACCCACAATGGAGGAACAGCTGTTGAAATGACTGGGTTTAGCCGAGGTGTCGACGTGTTTAATCAGAGAAAAGTCACTGCCAACATTTACTAAAGACTGGAAACTTCTTAGAGACTTTTTGCGTGAGAAAGAAACCCAAATAGTATTTGGGTTTAGGACTCAATATAATGTTGGTTTACAGAAAGTGGATTTGTTGGGTGTTATCTTTGAGTGGGTGTGCTGAAAAATTTATACATAGAGTTCTTTTTTCCTGTTTCACCCCACCCTCTTTCTTTCTCTCTCTTTTTCTTTCTCTCTCTTCCTATCTCTTTCTCTCCTTTTCTGGTCTGTGTTTTAATTAAGATTAGCCTTTGAGAGAAAAACGATACTGGATATTAATTTTTGGATTCCTTTTTCAAAATTTTAATAAAATCAATTTTTTTTAAAAAGGAGAGGCGAGGAGACAAGGAATTCTCAAATGAGACTGTGAAGCAATGACTCTCAAGTCCAGACAGACAATAGGGGGCAGGGAACTAACCTTTCCTCCGGGCCAAATTTACCAGGTGGGTAAAGGTTACCCACTTGCCATTCCCCTGATGCCACAGGCCTCTCTCCTTCCCACCCAGGGATATCTTTCCTCTACCCATTCCAGCATCAGGACTGCACCTGCCGCCATGTTCCGGACTCCGGGGTGTAGAACTCCAGTGCCAGCAGCCCGGCACGCACCATGTTCAGCCAGTTAATATAGATCACATCCTCAGCATCTTCTCCTTCCAGTTCAAAGATCCTTGTGGGCAGAGCAGGAAGAGGAAGGATTATCACAGCAAAAGGGATGGGAGGGGGGTCAGAGCTGCCACCGCCTCATAATAAAACACATCCGGGTTTGCAAAGTGCCCTTTCCCCCCCTGGCGATTCAAGTTGCAGGGGGGCAGCCAGAACGTCAGAGAACTGAGGTGGGAGATATTAACTCTCTTGCCTTGGTAAAAATTGCCTTTTAAATATTGTGCGATGACTTTGGCTAGCTGGGAGGAACATAAATTCTCCCCATGAATAAATAAAATATCCTGAAAGGCAGCATAAAAAAACAACCTAACAAAAACTTAGCAGTCAAGTTTTCCCCAGAGCTAATAGTTTTGTCCAAAACAAGGATGCAGGCCAGGGGGCCAAATGGAGCTCTCCAGAACTCTCTATGTGGCCCTCGGAACTCTCTACAAGTCCCACCTGCTCACCAGGCCTGCTTCACACCTTCCTTGAGACTTTTAGCCTGGCTGGGAATTTGTCCTTGAACTCTGACAATGCCTTTTGCTTGTCCTGGATGGGCATGGAAGAGTGGATGTACAAACCAGCTGACCTTACCAAGTAAAACTTGCATCCACTGCCCGTCCCCCTTTTGCCTCTGGCCATGCCCATCACTGGGATGCAGGCCCCAAAAGATCGCCCAGAAGGAAACCTGCCCCTCAAGACGGAAAAAGGCTTCCCAGTCCCGGTTTAAAATCTTTATTATCTGAAATAAAAGCCCCTCTCAGCCACGGCCTGGGACTTTGGGGGTCTTGCCTGCTAAGGGCTCCATCTTGTGCTTCTCCTCCCCCACCCCCACCCCACATGCCGCTGCTACCTCAGGTCCTCACCCCAAGACCTCCTTGTTCAGGCACAGGTACAGTCCCACACACTCGGCCCGACACTCCTCGTAACTCGATGCAACGTTCGAAAACTTGCTGTCCCATGTCTCACCGCCTCGGTACCAGCTTCTAATCTATGGGGATAGGAGAAGAGTGAAGGGCCAGACAACTGCGGGTGTCTTGGACAAGTGAACTGAGTTAGCTGTCTGAGGGAAGGGGCAGCCCTGTCCTCCTGATCTTAAAATGGTCACCTGCTCTGCTCTGGACCAGATCGGTGGGCGGGGGTTGATTCTCTAAGTCAGCCAGAATCTGCATAAAACAGAGCTATGGGCTTGCTTTCCCCCTCCTCCCTCCTCCTCCCTTCTTTCTTGTGTGTCGTGCCTGCTAGTTTTTAAGCCTGAGGCTATGGGTTGTTGTTGTTATTTTAAAGTTGCTCTTCCAGCATTTTTGGCTAAAAAGTAGGGTTAGGTTTTTTTTAATAAAATAGCTGTCACATGAATTCTGCACCTTAAGGGGCAAAAATGCTGATCCCACAGAGAGGAAGCGAAAAACCACATTCTATATTGTAGAATAATACAGTGGTACCTCGGTTTTCGAACGTCTCAGAAGCTAAACATTTCAGTTTTTGAACGCCGGAAACCCAGAAGTAAATGCTTCCATTTTTGAACGTGCCTCAGAAGTTGAATGGCTTCCACTGCGTGTCCCCCCTCCCCCAATTTTATCTATTGGTTTTGCAGGCCGCCCTTTGCGCCTCGGTTACTGAACATTTTGGAAGTCAGACGGTCTCCCGGAACGGATTACGTTCAACAACTGAGGTACCACTGTATATCAGTGTAAGATATACAAATCATTATAATTTATTCTGCATCTATTGGTTACAGGGAAGGGCCATGAGCTATACAGGGGGCTGATTTCCTCCACCACCACAAAAATCCTCCCAAGTTCTATTCCGGAATTTAGAACTTAAGCACACATGTGCTTTCCAACTCATCTGTTCCACCATGAGGGCTAGAAACCTGGGGTGCCCTTTTTTTCCTATTTCTTTAAAAAGAGAACTAACTTGTGATTCAAAGGACACTGAACTCTAGGTCTCATGCAGGAACTGCCCAAGTGGTGCAAAGGACAATAAACAAGGGGGGGGGGACTTCTTTAAGAAGTCACAAGCCCTTCTAATCCTCACAGGAAACATGTGAAGGCTTTACCTGTTCTCCTGTTTCTGGGTTGATCACTGCCTCGTGGTCAAAGTTGAAGGCCCCCGAGTCATCCTGCCAGGACAAAAGAGAGAGTGCTCAAAAACTGAGGCTGCTCATAATGAAGGACAGAAGCAATTATTGTTGGAGGGAATGTGGGCAACAAGGATCTTTCATACAGATATGCTGGGATTCCCTGAGAATAGCTGCATATTGGAATTTGATATTTAAATGAATGGATACTGTAAAGTCCATTGGTTCTTCTTATTCCCAATGAGCATGGAAAGGGGGTCATGAGGAATCGGTATATAAAACGTTAATGGCTTTCATGTAATGGGCTGCTCGACGAGAAATTGCAAAATCCTGGAAGCTGGCGGTCAACTTAAATTTTGAGGAATCGCCCCGGAGACTTTTGCATGCTGCACTTGCAGGTAAATTGGCGTGCAATATGAAACTGGCCAAAGGAAAAGCAAAAACTTTTGACTTTTTTCCTAGCTGGGGAGCCCACTCATGGAATACATTAAGGGATATAATACAAGGTTTCTCTCTGTCATCTGCCTTCCTGAGACTGTGGAACACAGGCTGAAACGGCTTCTGTCCTCTGACACCCAAATTTCTTCTGCTTTGGATATCCTCAAAAGCTTGTTTTTTGGGGGGGAGGGGTTAGGTGCCCACCTGGACAAAGAGCTTCCCGCTGCCGTGACCCAGGAGTTCATGGAGTCCAACTTGAACCTCAAAGGAAGGCCCCTTCCACTGGATATAGAGATCCTGCAAGAGGATTTGTAAATAAATAAAGCTGGCTGTTTCATTACTCCCCCCAGAGTTTGGGACAAGTGTTTTTAAAAATGCATTAAAAACCAGTGAAGAATCCTTGCATGCCCCACTCCTGCAACAACCCCCCACCCCATTTTCCCTGCCCCTCCGCAAAAATACACCCCCTCCCCCAGACAGACACACACACACACACACACACACACACACACACCTTGTCCTCTTCTGCCAGGAACGTCAGCTTCTCCTTCTGCGTGGAGTAGGCCACGGCCAGCACATTCCCCAGCGAGACATTCTTGAAGCCATCCGTCTGGCGGATGTCATCATCTGGGAAAGGGGGAGAAACAGGCTGCTAAAACTGGGTTCTGCGGGGCTAGAGCTTCTCCACTTTGCACCTCTGGTTCGCAAATCACAGGCTTTGCTCCCGCCCCCCCCCCAACGACTCAAAAGGCCGGGAGAAAAAGCGATGTTTTGCAAGCGACACTGCAGAGCAGGGAAGCCCACTTGCTGACACCCGGGTCAAGTGGGATCGCTCTTCCTCCTCATGGGCGAGAAGGTAATCCTGCTTAGTGCTGAGCTGGGGGGGTGCTGAGCTCTCCCATGAACTCCAGCCTCGTGCTTAGCAGGATCAACCACCCTTCGCATCAGGATCACAGGGGCTGCCTTAAAGCGCCTTTCAAAGGGGCTATTTGAAACAGCAAGTGCTTCTCTCACTGGGAGGAGACTCCTTCCACCCCATCAATGCCCACAAGGAAGCATACAAGATGCTTCAAACAGCACCTATGAGCAGTTATTTCACTGCTGTTCATCAAGGGCTAGCGCAGATTCAATCGCCCTACTTGGGTCGTCAGCGACTTTCGCTTCCTCTTCCTATTCACTTACCAAACGGCAATCCCTGGTCCTGTTATTCTAGCTATGTTTAGGCCTGTGCTGGGACAGGGGTATGTTCCTACCGGCTTCTCACCAGCTCCTCTTGTCACTCTATTCCTTCCGGCACACTTTTGTATTTTGTTTCCCGAGTGACGATAGTCCAATTTAGGAAGCCATGCCGATGACCAAGAATTTAATTTGGCCCTGTTCCAGGATACTCCATTCCATCCTGCCCCCCACCCTACCGTCCCTTAGTCACGGAACATGCTTTGTTCTCACTGGGCTGCTTTGGGCCCCTTGATCTCACCCTGGAGTCTTTCCTCCTCTCCCACCCATTTTTTGGTATTTTCATAGTCCTTTTTACAGGCCCTGTCAATGGCAGGGAAGGGAGAAAATGAGCGTTTCGCCAGCCCTGCGAGCAGCACTTCAAGGCAACACTTCTGGAGTTTCTCCTGCTGCCATCGTGTCAAGGTAGGATAACAACAATTTTATTATTTGTACAGTGGTACCTCTGTTTAAGAACTTAATTCGTTCTGGAGGTCTGTTCTAAACCTGAAACCTTTCTTAACCTGAGGTAGCACTTTAGATAATGGGGCCTCCCGCTGCCGCTGCGTGATTTCTGTTCTCATCCTGAGGTAAAGTTCTTAATCTGAGGTACTACTTCCAAACACTGTAACCCAAAGTGTTTGTAACCTGAAGCATTTGTAACCTGAGGTACCACTGTGTCCATCTGACCAGGAAGCGACTCTTCAAGGTCTCCCCCTCCCCGTCTGGAAATACTGGGGATTTGACGTGGCACCTTCTGTATGCCAAAGGGAGATCCTTGACTACCAAGTCCCAGCCCTACCCCACGGCCTGCCACCTTCCCCCCCAAACCTGCCACCGACCAGATCCTCACAATTTGGGATGTTGATGCCGGCAGGGATCCCGCTCCCGGCAAAGGTCAGCACGTCAAGCGAGGTGAAGTCGGGCTTCAGGAAAGTGTCTTTCTCGAAGGCACGAGGCCACGGCAGCTCCTCCAGCAACCGCTCAGCCGCCGCCACAAGACGAGCGAACTTCGCACTCATGGCCTTGTTCACAACCGCAACGAAGCCTGGTGGGGGGGAAGGGTGGAGAGGCACTGTGAGGAAGCCCAGTCTTAAGGGCCTCCATTTCCGGCCCCACCCCCATTCCTGCATTGCAGGGGGGTGGACTAGAATACCCTTGGGGTCACTTCCAACTCTACAATTCTATGATCATCTCACCAACATGTCTCTTGGCTGCTGTCTCCCCATAGGCCAAGCCTATGAAATAGTCCCCAAATTCTACTTGCAAGAGCAGAAAAGACTTTTGGTGTGACGATCTGTGGATAGCTCGGTTGGCAGAGCGTGAGACTCTTAAGCTCAGGGCGGTGGGTTCGAGCTCTGCGTTGGGCAAAAGATTCATGCATTGCAGGGGGGTTGGACTAGATGACCCCCAGGACCCTTCCAACTCTGCAGTTCTATGATTCTATGGTCTCTTCAAAAGAGAGAGCGGCCCATATGTCCCCCTTCTGGGGCGAAACAAAGAATCTCACTGGATGTGGAGATGGCATCCTTCCCAAGTCTCCAACCCTGCCTCCACCCAGAGCAGGGTGATGCGTTGAGAGAGGGGTGGGGAAACATTTTTGGCCAGAGGGCTGCTTTCCCTTCGGGGGGAGCACATGCTGGGGCAGTCAGGGCCAGGGGCAAAAGTGGGCAGAGCAATGGACGTAAAAGTTACCTTTGTACAGTAAGCTAGTTTATGCGCACACTCACCCCTCTTTGCCCTCCCTCCAGGCAAGCAGGAGGCATTAGCAGAGTGCATGGACGGGTTCCAGCCAGGCAAAAACATTCAAGGAAGGTGCAATTCAGGGCTAGCAAGGGCCGAGAGCTGGGGAGGGTGAACCTCAAGGGCCAGACAGAGAGGCATTTGGCCCTTGAATCTGAGGTTGCCCTGTCTCCAGGTTAAGGCTAACCCAACAGCCCAGACCCCAAACTTCCCCCTGCACAGGCAAAGTAGTAGTAGTAGTAATTTTATTATTTGTACCCCACCCATAAGACTGGGTTGCTCCCGCCATTCTGGGCTGCTTCCAACAAATATAATTTGTGTCTTGGGGGGGGGGTGAGGGCAGGCAAGGGTGGGAGAACAATAATGCTGGGAACTTTAATCATTGTTATCGTTATACTGAGAGGGCTTCAGGGCAGGGGTGGGGAGAGACGGGGAAAGCAAAAGAGGGCATCGAATGGTCAACGACTGGCGTGAGATCGTACTACTCGCAGGTGGGGAATGGGGACGTTGAGCTAATACAGTACCTTCAAATTCCCCACGGGAACCATAGGGATCTCGGTAGCTTTCGATGAAACCTATATAGCTGTGGACACAAATGAATAAATAAATAAATGTTGGGGAGAGAGAGGTTCTTTAGGTTAGCTATACCTGGGGCAACTGTTACTCTTCCCCCCAATCAACAAGGGAGGGTGGGGTAACACTCCCTATTTTCCCAGTTCCTGGGAAGCAGCATTCATTCAGAACATACCCTGAATCTGGATTAAGAGACTCCACTGATCTGTGCAGCCCCCCAGACTCACCTCTCCACGATGGGCCCCTTGTCGCGAATCCAGCAGCGGGAGCCTTCCTTGTGGGCCACGATGGAGCCTTGCGTGAAACTGGCGATGTAGTGAGACAGCATTTCCGCCTGCGTGGGGTTGGCTGCATGCCGCTAGCAGGGAAAGAGGAGGGTCTGGACTCAGGCCCAACCAGCCTGAGGCAGATTCGCCCAGCCCTCGATTCTCACCACCTGCCTTTCCCACCATCCCCTAGAACGCAGCTGCTCATATGCCTTGATCTTTTTATTTTATTTTTTTAAGGAAAGATGTCAAATGGAACAGGTCAGCAGTGGCCACAGCATTCAACTTCTGGATAATCTCAGCTGTGGTTTATACAACAATACTCAAGGGCTGAGTCTTTCCCTATGAACCTATCCAGTCCCTGAGATCATTCTCTGAGGCCCTTCTTCATGTGCCTCCTCTCTGAGAGGTCTGGAGGGTGGCAACACAAAAACAGGCCTTCTCTGCAGTGGCTCCCCGTCTGTGGAATGCTCTCCTCAGGGAAATTTGCCTGGCACTTTCATTATTATACACCTTTAAGCACCAGGCAAAAACGTTCCTCTTCAACCAGGCCTTGGACTGACTGAAATCCAATGCCCTTTTAAAATATATTGGGGAGGGGAAATTATTGAGTTGTTTTTGCTATGTACAGTGATACCTTGGGTTAAGAACTTAATTCGTTCTGGAGGTCCGTCCTTAACCTGAAACTGTTCTTAACCTAAAGTACCACTTTAGCTGATGGGGCCTCCCGCTGCTGTCGCGCCACCGCCACCACGATTTCTGTTCTCATCCTGAAGCAAAGTTCTTAACCCGAGGTACTATTTCTGGGTTAGCGGAGTCTGTAACCTGAAGCGTCTGTAACCTGAGGCACCACTGTATTTTGTGTTTTCATATTGAGATTTTATGTTCTGAACTGCCCTGAGGATTGGGGGAATAGGACAGTATGTCAATTTAATAAATGACAACAGCAACAACAGGTCTCTAGACCTCATGGATACACTTCGAAGAGAACAGGCCAACACATGCTGAAGACTTAGGGTCACACGTGTTGCTAAAGGTACAGCTGCCACCAAAAATGATGAACATGCCACATATGTTCCCTGCCTGTAACCTGAAGCAGTGCTTAAAATCCTGCACTGGGGTCTCAGTTCCCTGCCTCCACTCCCCATCACAGGGGCAGTCCAAGGTGAGCCAGGAAAGCCCACCCCCTTCCCCCTCACCTGGGCTTTCTTCAAGTTCTCCACAACCTTCTCCAGAAGCGGGGAGTAATCTCCTCGTGTCACAGTGAAGAAGCAGCCGCCAAACTCAAAACATTTAATCTTGGCCGACATGTCAGCGTCAAGCTGAGAATCTGGGTGGAAGAGGGGAGGAAGGTAAACTTTGCAAGGGCTGTGGGAGTGCACGGGGGGGGGGGTCGTGTGCAGGAAGTCCCAAGCGTGGATTAAACAAGGCTGCGCAGCCGAGGGCAGGCCCCCCCCTTGGCAGAAGCTGCCTGGGTTTCCAGTTTGCAAGTGAGTACACAAGAAGGGCCCTGCTGGAGTAGGCCAAAGGCCTATTTGCTCCAGCCTGCTCTCCTCCTCACAGTGGCCATACAGGCCACGCATGAGCGCAACAGCAACTCTCCACACTTGTGACTCCTAGCGACTGGCATTCAGAGGCATCCTGGCTCCCACAGGGGAGGCAGAACATCCTCTGCAAATTTGTCTGCTCTCTTTTTTAAAGTCATCCAAGTTGGTGGCCATCCCTGCCTCCTGTGGGAGCAAATGCCATAGTTTCAACTATTCATTTATTAATTTTATTTTGTAAAATGTATATGCCACTTAACTGTAACCCTCCAAAGCCACACATTGTGTGAAGAAGTATTTTCCTCTTGCCTGCCCCAAATCTTTAGACATTCAACTTCACTGGGTGGTTCCGAGTTCCAGTAATAATGAAAGATAACACAACCTCCACTTTTTTCACACCATGCACAATCATTTTCACCTCTATCGTGTTTTCGCTTTTTTTCTGAACTAAAAGTCCTAAATGCTGTAACCATCAACAAGGGAACTGCGCCAACCCCTTGAACATTTCAATTTCCCTTTTATTTAATGTTTTGTCCCGCTCCACAGCTTCCTATCGGAGGCAAGGCAACTAGAGAACTGCAACTGAAGCACACAGTATTGCAATTGCAGCTGCACCTTAAGATACCTGCCCTGTGTCAGCACCACTGATTTCAACAAGTGCTGGCAAAGGAAAACTTCCAAGTTTAGAGAAGTTCCTCCGACCTGGTAACGTGGAGGATATTTCCCAGGTGAGTTAACTGATGGGTTGCTTTACAATCATGGAGGACTCATCTTCTTCTCTGAGAAAGCACTGCCAGACAGGTATTTTCAAATTGTGCCTTTCAAAAGGTTTAAATTATTTCATGTGCTTATTGTAATCTGGGAATGCTATTAGAGAGCAAGTGTGGCATAATGGTTAGAGTGTTGGACTATGACCTGGAAGAGAAAGGTGGTCTATGAACAACAACAACAACAACAACAACAACAACAACAACGCAATCACTGGCCCTAAGCAGGGAGTGCTGTGAGCATGCCAGGAGTGGGGTTGGGGAGAGGGCTGGTCTATGCGACCCAAAAAAACGCTCTTACCATCTGAAAGCACCGAAGCCAGACGAACCTCATAATTCACTTTGTCATCTACCTTCGTCTTAAAAAGCCTTGTGTTGTAAGCACTGATGTTCTGGGGAAAGAGTAAAAGAAAGTGAGAGGATGGAGCCGTGAAAAGCAAAACAAGCTGCCCTATTGTCTGGGGTTCTCAGGAAGAAAGGTCTTTCCCATCACCTGCTACCTGGGGTTCTTCCCAAGGGTACATCCCTCTATAGCAGGCGAACAAAGAAGCTGCCTTACACCTGGTCAGGTTATTTGTCCATCGAGCCCCGCAAGGTTTGAGATGGGGGTTTTTCTCAGCCCTACTGTGAGATGCCAAGGACTGACCAGGGGGCGACACTGCATGCAGTGCCCAGCTCTGGTGCCCCGATAAGGCCCATTCCCTTGATGTAAACAGTGTGCCCACTTGGGCAGAGGACATGATATGGGGGACAGGAAGCTGCCTTATACTATGTCAGACTAGTTGCCCATCTAGGCTGCTCAACCCGGTGTAGAAGTGGGGTTCTTGCAGCACCTCAGAATCAAGGAAGTCCTGGGCCAGCTTTGCATCTTGCGTGGTGCAGTTTGCAGAGAAGTAAGTAGATGTGCCCTAGAGAGAAGAGAGAGGAAACACGGAATAAGCAGGATGCACCTGTCCTTGGAGTTGCCCTGGGCAACAGGACACCCCCCCCCAAAAAAAACCCCACTTGGACTACTGCAATGTGCTCTACGTGGGGCTACCTTTGAAGGTGACTCAGAAACTACAACTAATCCAGAACGTGGCTGCCAGACTGGTGACTGGGAATGGCCAACGGGACCATGTAACACCGGTCCTGAAAGACCTACATTGGCTCCCAGTACATTTCTGAGCAAATTCAAAATGTTAGTGCTGACCTTTAAAGTCCTAAATGGCCCAGTATACCTGAAGAAGTGTCTCCACCCCCGTCCTCCAGCCCGGACACTGAGGTCCAGCTCTGAGGGCCTTCTGGCAGTTCCTCCACTGCGAGAAGTGAGGTGACAAGGAACAGGCCTCCTTGGTAGTGTCACCTGTCCTGTGGAACGCCCTCCCATCAGATGTCAAGGAGCTAAACAACTATTTGACTTATAGAATACATCCCAGTACAGGGAAGTTTTTAAATGGTTGACCTTTTATTGTGTTCGTAATATTTTGTTGGGAGCCACCCAGAGCGACTGAGGCAACCCAGTCAGATAGGCAGTATATAAATAATAAAATTATTATTATCCTTTTCCCCCCCTTTTTATAAGATATTTATTAAAGTTTAGACATTACCAAAAAAAGATAAAAGAAACAAAAGAAAAATACAGGCAATAAACAGTTACAAAGCCTCAAAAACAAAAATGGATACAATAATACAAAACATCAACAAATACAAAAAAGAAAAAGAAAAAACAAAAGCATTTAAAAAACCCAAAAGAGAACAGACAAACATAGAAAGGAACCCCATATTCTCATATCTTTATCTTTCATTTGCTTATTTCCTCGACTTCCTCACACCTCCTTTTTTGTATTCTAGTTCAATTAATTATTCCAGCAAGTCCTTTCCCTCTTTCACAAATTTAGTTCCATCATTTAACTTAACACAATTTTAGACTTAAATTTACATCTTTACCCAATGTCAATCTATTCATACTTAGTTCTTTATAGTATTTCTACTAAAGTCATATGGCTTCTTTCCAGCATCCTTCTAACATTCATTAATTTTAGAGTATTTCTGTAAATAAACTTTAAATTTTTTCCAATCTTCTTCCACCGACTCTTCTCCCTGGTCTCGGATTCTGCCAGTCATTTCCGCCAATATTTTGTTGGGAGCCACCCAGAGCGACTGAGGCAACCCAGTCAGATAGGCAGTATATAAATAATACAATTATTATTATCAAGCGATACTTGCTAACTTCCCCCCAGAACTGAGCATGCGGATGGGTTGAGCTTGGCTCTCGGCTTCAGAGATGGGGAAGCAGCCCCTGGGCCCCAGTCCCTTCTGAATAAACTTCTGGAGGCAACATGGCAGCAGTTGGCCAGGGGAATAGAGGGTGGAGCAATGAATGTAAATTTTACCTTTGCACAGGAGGCTAGTTTCTACAAACAGAAACACCCCTCTCCAGCCTCCATCATGGCAAACAAGAAGCATTATCAGGGCACATTCTAGCCAGGCAAAAGGGAGGTGTACCTGGCCACAGAGCCCCAGGTGCTTTTGTGTCGGCTCTAGGGAGAACATGCGCTCAGCACAGCGGCCCCACAGGACCTCCATCTCTTTTGGGTGGTCCGCAAACGCCTGGCTCGCCCACACCAGCTGCTTCAGCTTCTCCTGAGGTCAGGAAGGCAAAAATGAAAGGATTACCAGTGGCATGCCAGCAGAACCATACGGAGCCTCCTCGCTCAACCTTGAGCCCCCCAAAATACAACTCCCATCATCCCTGGCCACTGGTCCTCCTAGCTAGGGATGATGGGAGTTGTAGTCCGATAACCTCTGGGGTCCCAAGGGTGAGAAAGATCAATATGGAGCCTCAACCTATCCGTAGGAGAGACTCCGCCCCCTCCGCAACCTCTCAACCAGTGAGATAAAAGGAGCATTCCAATTAGCTGGAAAAGATAAATGGCCCCTCCCTCTCATAGATGTCCTATCGCACCACCAGCGTTCAAAAACTCCCATTGTTCTAGGCGCACTTTGCGACAGGGAATTTCATTAATGCGAAAAGTTTCAGAGCTCTGGGTGCAGTACTAAGATTTCAGATTAAAACTTCCACTGCCGGAAGGAAAGGAGGACCTTTTTCTGCCTCCCAACTTCCAGCTGCAATCTGAAGACTGGAGAAGAGACCCTCTTAAGAATATTATGGGGGTGGACAGGGGATGTATGGCTTTTTTTCCTTTTTTTGCAGTCTTAAGATGAGGACTAGACCATGTGAAAAATGAACGCAAGATATTACTGGCAGTTCATTCATTTTCGGCTTTGTATTCTTGTTACAAAAATTCCATTCCATTCCATTGCAGCGCCCATAACCTAGGTTTAAGGAGCCATTTAGCTCCTAGCTTTCTTGTCTCAGTTTCTAACACTGCCCACTATAGACACCTGCAAACCTTGTACTCACCTTCGGAAGGTTGGGCACAAATTTGGTGTCCCCAAAGGATTTGTAGTTGCCCATGTTGGCATAGAAGGCGGCAGCGTAAACCAGGAAGGCCTGCAAGCAGCAACAGTCGTGAGAGCCTCTCCCTCCCCCTTAGCCATATTTTTTAAAATCCCACCCCTCAAAAAATAATTATTATTTTTTTACAAACTTGGAATTGGGAAGCTATAAAACCAGAGAGACCATATAACTACCTTCAGACAAAGGATACAGTCCGCCTGCAGGCAAATTAGCCCAGTTCTAGAAACTCCCCACTAAACCAATTTTATCTAGCCTTTCGGCTCTCCAGATGTTGTTAAAAATCTGTCCCAAGAGTGGGAATCGTTTTTCAGCCTGAGGTCCACATTCCCTTCTGGGCAACCTTTTGGGAGCCACGTGCCATTGGTAGGCGGAGTCATAAACAAAAGTGGGTGGAGCAATGAATGTGAGTTTTACCTTTCCACAGCAGCCCACTTTCTTCTTCTTTTAATTTAGTTTTTTTATGGATTTTTTTTAATGCAAAAAAATATAATTACATCTGCAATAGATGTACCAATTTGGCTACGTATGGACATATAGCACTTACATTAAATGAAACAGTCCCTATTTTAACTTGTAGACTAAGTTATGAGAGAATGAATGCCAGAGCGGTCACAAATAGTGATGTTAAATTCTCAAGAATAATCTTTTGGAGAATATTCTTGAGAATATTCTCCAAAAGATTATTACCGAGAATTTAACATCACCAGTCAGAAATACATTATGATGTACAATAACGTAGAGTAGCCCAGATTATAGACATTCACTCATATGCCCCTCTCTATCCTCCATCCCAGCGAGCAAGAGGCATTATCAGAGTGGAAGAGAATACTCCACTGCAGCAAAAACACTCATGGTGGATGTGAAACAAGGCCAATGAGGGGAGCGGCCTGGGGAAGAGTTGCAGGGGCCAGACAAAAAGGCCTGGAGGGCCGCATTTGGCCCCCAGATCCTGCTCTTTTTCCAGCTTAGTGCCATGCCTGAGCTGGGCATCATGATTTGTTTTCCCATCAAAAAGTCCTGAGAACTTTCGGGTGTAAACTCCTCTACTATGTACCCCCACCCTCATCTCACCATTTCCCCCTAAACTAAAAAGCACAAGTTTCATGTGCTTAATTCATAGGAACGGTTCTCCAGACCCCTCCAGGCTTTTTACAACATCTCTTTTCAGAGAAGGCCAGCAGAACATTCCAAACACAACAGACACAGTCCGTTCAGATGCTTACAATGTGGCTTGCTAAATCTAGATATGCAGGAGTCTTTGGCCTAGCGCCCTTCACTCCTCCCTTTGGGGCAGGAAGCCTCTAACTAACCACAGTTTCCTGTGCTGTCCGACTCAAGAAACAATGATTAACACTTTGTCATGAGCCAGAAAACTGCCGTATTTTTCGCTCCATAAGACGCACCCGACCATAAGACGCACCTAGTTTTTAGAGGAGGAAAACAAGAAAAGCCAGCAAGAGCCGCAGCCACGCTCGCTCGGTGCGGCTCTTTAAAGATAGAGCGGCTCTTGCTGGCTTTTCTGGGAGGTGGGAGAAGGGACTGATGGGCTGCCCTCCGTCCCTTCTCCCACCTCCCTGAAAAGTCAGAGCAAGCTGCGCAGCTATCGCTGAAGCCAGCACATCAAGAGGGAGAGCTGCGCAGCGCCTCTTGTTGTGCTGCCTTCCCAGAGAAGCAGGATGAGGGACGGAAGGGAGCCCTTATGGAGCCCCTTCCATCCCTCATCCTGCTTCGCTGGGAAGCCAGCAGACCAAGAGGCGCTGCACCGCTCTCCCTCTTGCTGTGCTGGCTTCAGCGATAGCTGCACAGCCTGCATTCGTTCCATAAGATGCACACACATTTCCCCTTACTTTTTAGAAGGAAAAAAGTGCTGTCTTATGAAGCGAAAAATACAGTAAACCGACTTCTAACCAAGGCTTGTTCTGAAGCTGGCAACCATAGTTTCTTGGTTCGTACACAACGGGGAGCTACAATGGATGCTTCCTGCTTTAACTGCGGCTCAAAGGAAGAGCAAAGAAAGGGGGCTGAGGAGGAGGGCGAGGGGCTTGTGCAGTTCTTGGCTAAGTACCGTATTTTTTGCTCTATAAGACTCACTTTTTCCCTCCTAAAAAGTAAGGGGAAATGTGTGGGCGTCTTATGGAGCGAATGCAGGATGCGCAGCTATCCCAGAAGCCAGAACAGCAAGAGGGATTGCTGCTTTCACTGCACAGCGATCCCTCTTGCTGTTCTGGCTTCTGAGATTCAGAATATTTTTTTTGCTGTTTTCCTCCTCCAAAAACTAGGTGCGTCTTATGGCCTCGTGCGTCTTATAGAGCGAAAAATATGGTAAGTGTACGGTATCCAAACACAGCTGAGTAGCCAGAATGTGGAAGAGAACCGGATGGACAAACCTCGCAGGACACATGCTGTCTCTAGTACCTGATACTCCTCGTCTGAGAGGCCGAGCGATTGCGCCACCTCGCCTAACTGAGTCGGGTCCTGGGACCGAAAGAGCCGTGAGAGGAGGACATAGATGGCAGGCGCTTCTGGGGAGGTCTGCTGCAGCACCACCAGCCCCCCGTACCAACAGGCCCGCGACAGGTAGTGAGCGTACAGCCTTTCCTCCGCAGATAAGAGGTGGAAGGCTTCGGCACAGTCCAGCATTGCGACGCCAATATCATTGGGCAGAACATACTGGGGATCCACCATCCTGCCAAACTGGGGAGAGAGAGAAAGAGAAAGAGCCATTAATACAGAACTAACCCTTCAGTGCTAACGAACGAACTTGAAGTTGCATTGAAGACATCAAACCTAAAGCAGGCAGAATGAATGAATGAAATTCATTATAGATGATGATGATGATAATAATAATAATAATAATAATAATAATGAAGAAGAAGTAATATTATAGAGTTGGAAGGGACCCCTTCAATACAGGAATCTCAGCTAGATCATCTATGACAGAAGGCCGTCCAACCTCTGCTTAAAAACCTCCAATGAAGGATAAAAGTAAAAGGTAAAGGTAAAAGGTAAAGGACCCCTGGATGGTTAAGTCCAGTCAAAGGCGACTATGGGGTTGTGGCGCTCATTTCACTTTCAGGCCGAGGGAGCCAGTGTTTGTCCACAGACAGCTTTCCACCCAGTGCCCGGTTTAGCATGCAGGAGTTTCATGTGTTCACAAGAACCTCTGCAGTCAGATCTCACCAACCAGTCTTCAAACTGGACCTTTTCCACCACTGACAAGGAAGATACATCTACCCACTAATTCACAATTACATGCAAAGCTCAATCCTGGAAGCTCATTCATATTGCCACTGACCCACAGCCTCCCTCCTCCCAGCTTATAGCCAGTCCCTGCCACCGCCCTTCTGCAACACCAGCAGCTCACCTGCTTCTCTTTCTAGCCGCCTCCAACTTCCTGACACGCCCCCTTCTTTCCCCCATTCATAGCTTCGAACATGGGGAAATGCCCCCTGCGATACAGGCAGCCAATCCCCGAGCCTCCCTGAGAAGAACTGATGTCTAGCTGCTGGGAAACTAAGGCCCGCCCCTAAGTCCTTTCCCCACATCAGTGATTGGTCCAGATTTAAAAATAAACAACTGTAGCCCCATTGTCCCTCCCCTAAAGTCCACAATATTATCTCCTCTTAAGTCACTCAACTTACGTTTTTCAAACAAGTGTTTCTAGCCAATCCGAGTCTTTGGGACAGGTAAGAAGGATGCACAAAATCTACCACTCTGAATAAAAAGGAGTTTTCTGTAGAACCTCAAGCACAGATAGTCAACATGGTGCTGTTCAGACTGTGCACATAAATCACATTTGCAAGGTCTAAAGCAGGGGTAGGCAACCTAAGGCCCAGGGGCCGGATGCGGCCCAATCACCTTCTCAATCCGGCCCGCGGACAGTCCAGGAATCAGCGTGTTTTTACATGAGTAGAACGTGTCCTTTTATTTAAAATGCATCTCTGGGTTATTTGTGGGGCATAAGAATTTGTTCATTTCCCTCCCCCCTTCAAAATATAGTCTGGCCCACCACATGGTCTGAGGGACCATGGACCAGCCCATGGCTGAAAAAGGTTGCTGACCCCTGCTCTAAAGGTTATTATTAATAATGACAGCAGTGCCTCTGGGAATGTGCAGAGTGCCCGTGAGAAACCACAGCCAGCTCCATAAACTGTTTTGGGGCCCATCAGCTTGCCACAAAACAGCGAGCAAGCATTGGCTTAGCCCTCCACCCCCAAATGCATCCGAGAACATGAGACCTAATGCCTTTAAGATGCTTTTGAACTCCGCCTTCCATTTTCCTGACTGTCGTTGGCCATTCTGTTTGGGAGCTGATGGGAATTGGAGTCCAGCGACTATGTGGAAATTGCCATGTTTGCTACCCCTGCCTCAAAGGCTAACATATGGCACAGTATCACAAGTACATATACCACAGGGGTTTGGGTATGTGTCAAACAGTGGTGCCAAAGGGAAATACAGAAAGCCCAGGAAAGGAATCCCACTGAATTGGAGCCAGTCCTGGTCACATCTTGCACCAGGCTCTACCGCCATGGAGGACCCCAAGCACACCCTGGAACTTTTGGTGCCTCCGCAAGACTCCATCTGGGAGGACCACTTGCTCCCCAGCCCCGCCGGATCTCCTGGTCCCTCCCCACCAGGCTGTGCCCTCTCACACTGGGCCCTCACAAGCTCCTCTCCACCATAGTGTGAACCTCCAAAGACCGTGCAATCCCATTTCAATCTCTGCTCCTGCCGTTAGAAAAAGAGGAAGGGGAAATGGGCTGGGCTGGCTAGCTACTTTCTTTGTCGCCTTGAGCGTGGAATGTTGCATCAGAAATGCGGGCACCCGCCCTGCACCAAGTCGGTCCATCTAGCCTAGTATTTACACAGGCTGGCAGTGTTAGAAACTCAGACATCTAAGCTAGGCACCAATGGCTTCTTAAACCAAGGTTATAGTCGCCAAAATGGAATGTCTTGGGCAAGACGGCTCGAAAGTCTTATTTTTCAAAGGATGAACTGGCTGTGATTGATTATCAGTTAAACATCTGGCTAGTTCAGATGACAACCTTGAGCTAGGTTAAGAGCTCTGAGAACTTAAAGAAGAAAAGTCACTTGATCCAGGGACAGTCCACACACACACACACGCCAGTTCCTACCTCTTTTTCGTAAGGGTGACACGGACTGTTCCTAATGTAGGAGTATTCTTCAAAACTGAGAGCAGGGCAGTGGGGTGGATAAGTGAAGACAAGCTACAACAATTAACTAAAACACTGTTCATTGCCCCTGCTCAGGCAGCACAGAAAAAGCATTTTGGTTCCTGGAATTCATTCCGATTGTGCAGATTAAATATAACTGACAGAATTCTACAGGGTGCGGTTTTAGTGTGTGAAAACTGTCCAGATCCAATGATCCCCAGATGGCGGAGACGGCATGCGCCATCCTGGCACCCAGGCGTCTGAACTTGGTCGCAAGTGGCCTGGTGCAAAATGCACCTGGTGCCTGGCTAATTTGGAACACTGCTGACAATGCCTCCTGCTTGTCTAGACAGAGAGGTAGGTGTAGGTGTAGGGGGGTGTGTGTGTGTGTGTGTGTGTGTGTTTCTAGAAACTAGCCTATTGTAGAAAAGTTTACAACTTGTGGCTCCTCCTACTTTTGCCTTTGGCCCCACCCACCACCAGCACATGGCCCTCGGAAGGCTGTCAAAGAAGAGTCTGTAGCCCTTGGGGTAAAGTTGGGGTGGATTAGAGACCATGGGGGCTGTGGGTTCCCTTAAGCCTCTGACCCAATTTTTCCACAACTGTTGCACTGCTTCCCAAATGCAAAACACTGGGGGGGGGGGGGGAAAGAGAGAAAGAAGCAACCACTTTCACCAGCCCACTGGTTTATCGAGCTCCACACAATGAACCCGGGATCTTTTGCATGCAAAGGATCTGCTCTGACCTGGGCTGAGGGTGCTGGATGACAACCTTCCTTCTTACCTGGAGCTGCTGCTTTGTGCAGGGAACAGTGGTCCCTCTTGCCTCCCTATCTTGGTGCCTTCAAGGCATTCCGGACTAAAACACCCTTCAGTTGTAGTTCAGAATATCTGGAGGACACCCAGTTGGCAAACACTAATCTACTGCTTCCTGTCCTTGGGAAACTAGAGGTGCTGGGAAGATGCATCCAGGACCTAAAATCATAGAATCGTAGAGTTGGAAGGGACCACAAGGGTCATCTAGTCCAACCCCCTGCAATGCAGAAATCTTTTGCCCAATGTGGGGCTCGAACCCACAACTCAGGCTCTACTGCAGGGTTTCCCAAACTTGGGTCTCCAGCTGCTTGTGGACTACAATTCCCATCATCCCTGACCACTGGTTCTGCTAGCTAGGGATGATTTTATTTATTTTATTTATATACCACCCTATACCTGGAGGTTGGGAGTTGTAGCCCAACAACAGCTAGAGACCCTGGGGAGCCCTGCTCTACCAACTGAGCTATCTTTAGCAATGCAAAGAGTGAGCTCTTTCACCAAGCGGCAACCCCTCCCAAAAATTCACAAACCTTTGTTTACTTATTTCATCAAATTTATGCACTGCTTGGTTGGAGGGAAGAAAACCCTCAAAGCTATAGAAGCTGCCTTATACTTGCTATGCCTTATATTAAGGCCTGGGGAACCTTTTCTAATGAGAGGGCCACATTCCCTTCCATGCAAAATTCTGAGGGCCATTTGCCGGAAGCAAAAATGGGCAAAGCAACAAATGCAATTTTTGCCTTTTCTGCAGCAGGCAAGTTTCTGCACATACTCAGATTCCCCCCACCCCCGAAACACATTCACCAACTGTGCAAAGAAGCAGCACTACCAAAGCTGAATCGGCATTCCTGCATTGCAGGGCGTTGTACGAGATGTTCCTTGGGGTTTCTCCCAACTCTATGATTCTATGCAGCCACCGTGCAATCAGGCAAAAACACGTGTTATGTGTGTGCATGTATGTGTGAACAGCCAGTAAGAGGTGGAGCTTGGAGAGTTTCCAGTGCAGGACAGCGAGTCTGGAGGGTTGCAGTGGGCGCCAGGCCTGCGTTCCCCCACTCCACCTGCTTTGTGCCACCCGTCCCTGTCGCTCAGCCTTGCCTGCACCGACATTCAGCAGCTCTCCAGGCATAGGAAGCTGCCTTCTTCTTCCGGATCAGATCATCGGCTCCATCTAGGCTAATACAGCCCGCACTGACCGGCAGCAGCACTGCAGGGTTTCGGGCGGGAACGCCGGGGACTGAACCAGCGACTTTCCGCATGCAAGGCGGATACAGTACTCCAGCACTCAGCCACGGCCGCTCCCCCATCTCCTTGGAGCCAGGAAGGCGACGGGGATGGGCGGGAGGGAAGCAGCGAGCGAATCACAGAATTGGAAGGGTCCGCAAGGGTCATCTAGTCCACCCCCGGGCGGCCAGCCCTCCTGCTGTGTTCTTGGACCAGGGGGCAAGAGGAGGCCATATGGAGACCCTGGACATATGGGATTGATTGGACCCACCGCGCCCCGCCGGCCCCCCAGACCCTCCTCACCTGTTCCTTGCTCCCTCGTTGCTTCCAACTTCCTGCCCCGCCCCCTCCTCGCCCTCATTCATAGCTTCACTGTCAGACACGCCCCTGTGGCCCAGCCAGCCAATCCCAAGGCCCTTTCGGGGGGAAGACTGACGTCAACGTTGCTGGAAAAGCGGAGTCCCGCCTCTTGCTTCTTCTCCTCTCCCAACGATTGGCTGCTGCTGCTTGCTTGTTCGTTTCTGCAGAGCTATGGCCCTGCCCACTTTCCCCGCCCTTTCTGTTTTTTAAGCTGCACGCTTACCCGCGTGGAAAGTGAGCCTTGCTGAGCGCAGGTAGATTTTTTGCTTGCATCCAAAAAGACATCGGAATGCGTGGTCAGTCTCTTACAGCTTTATCACCACCGTTGGTTGGTTGGTTCTTAATGGAGTTGCAGGAAGCTTACATCAAGCCCCTTCCAGACGTTCTGTTTATTGTGCATTCATGATTATTTGTTCTCGTGATGGTACCGGAGTGGTTTCGCGCCTTCCCACTGTCGATGCTGTTTATACCTGCAAAAGTATCAGGGCAGACGAACTGCTTCGTTTCCAGTCAGTGCATGACCCTTAGCTTCCTCCTGAGATCCTTGAACTTTTCATACCACAAATGTTCTAAGGTGGGGTGTGCCCAGGAGACTGTATGTCCTGCTTTTGTCACGCTATGGCTTATGTCCCTTTGGATTGCAATAAGTAGGTAAGCATCACAATACAACTAATAATAGTGGATCCACCACTAATGAACTATTATCGCACCAATGACATGTCGCAGAAAACAGCAGGCAAAGAAGAGTCTTTCACCTCTTACTGCTTTTTTAACTGATGGAGCATATGTTTTTGCATGCAACTCTTACAGAGATGAGATGAGCAAAAGAGCTTGCTTACTCCCACTCTCCTAACACATGGGTAGGCAAACTAAGGGCCGGGGGCCGGATCCGGCCCAATCGCCTTCTAAATCCAGCCCACAGACGATCCGGGAATCAGCGTGGTTTTGCACAAGTAGAATGTGTGCCTTTATTTAAAATGCATCTCTGGGTTATTTGTGGGGCATAGGAATTCATTCATTATTTTTTTTCAAAATATATTCTGGACCCCCCACAACTTCTGAGGGACAGTGGACCGGCCGGCCCCCTGCTGAAAAAGTTTGCTGACCCCTGTACTAAAAGATCCGGGAAGGGCTTTTGAAAGGTGTTAGGCCAACTCACTGACTTAACAAAACAATAAAGAAAATAGTTGCTAGCTTTCTCCTTTCTGTAGCAGAGAACCTATAAAGATAAACTAACTCTGTGGTTTAACTCAGCTTGTATTAGAAATTGTACAATTTTGATGCTCTAACCAGGTCTGTGACCGTGTAACATTTGTTGTGGGGGCTTTTAAAGCCTGGGGTTATTGTGTGCTGCAAAGCATTTGCTGTACCACACTGTGAAACTACGGCTGTTCCAGGCTGTGGCTATTTTGGGGTGGGATTCAATTACATACCAGCAAATTTTGGATGTGCTATCGGTTGATGGAGAGCTGTTGTGCAACAAACCCACTTGCCCCAGAGAGCAAACTTTTTGCAATAAGAAACAGCCAGGAAATCTGCTGGTAAGTGTGATAGCACTCACTATGAGGCAACATCCTGCAAATAAATCAGGATGAATGCTGAATAAACAGGTAGTCTGGAAACACTTGGCGCATGAGGTGGCAGCATCAGAGGAGACTCCTGATTTTTCATGCTACCCTCCTGACCCACAACTGATTTATGTTAAAACATTCCCCAACATAGGCACAACATAGGCAACAAATACACAAATTATGGCATGTTCTAATATGGAGAAACAGGGAAATATTTGGTGCAGGATTCTTTAAAACAGGACCGGGGAACCTTTTCACACCAGAGGGCCACAGACCCTTTTGGACAAGCTTCTGAGGGCCACATGGTACTGGTGGGCAGGGCCAGAGGGAAAAGTGGGCAGAGCAACAAATGGAAATTTTACAGTACACTAGGGTAGTTTCTGTACTGTCAATCCTCTGTCCAGCCAAGCAAGAAGCATTAAAAGGAGTTCAAAGATGCATTCTAGACAGGTAGAAACAGGTAGGGAGCGATGTTGCCTAGAGAAAGTTTCAAGGGCCAGGTCGAGAGAACTAGAGGGCCACATTCAGATCCCAGACCTGAGGCTCTACTCCCCTTCTTCAAAAAGGGCAAGAATTAAACAGCAGTAGACAGTGTCAGAAATCCTTTGGTGGTGTGTGCATGAACGGTGGACCCCTGCTGGGGTGTGGGCCCCAGCAAATACCTGACGCTGAGGTGCACATGACACTGCCCTACATACCAGGTTTGTGTTTGACAGGTTTGAATGACAGCTACTCTGCAGGGAGGCAAGTGGGAAGGGCTTCTTCATCCCTGCTCCTTTTTAGCACATCAAACCTGGGCCCTTCCAAATGCAACTAGAAGCCATCTGTCTAGCCCAGTACTGCCTGCTCAAGATTGGCAGCAGCGCTTCCATAGTTTTTCAAAGGCAGGGGCATCTTTCCTAGCTAGTCCCATTCACTGAAGATGATAAGAGGACTGTATCTGCAACCTTATGCATGCCAAAAAAAAAAAAGGTCTATTCCCACTGAGCTCTCGTCTCCATCGTCTTCTGAGAAAATACATACCCATAGCAGCAGCCTTAACCCAAACTGCAGTGTCCCTTTGACCAGATCCAAAGAGCAATTCACAGATGTGACGAAGACATGGCGCTGTGAGCAGATGGGGGCCAGGCGCAGCGCTGGAGCATCAGGGACATAGGGACATAGGGAACTGCCACACACTGAGCCAAGCCATTGGTCCATCTAACTCAATATGGTCTACACCAACTGGCAGCAGCTCTCCAGGGTTTCAGGCAAGGAGTCTGTCCCAATCCTATCTGGAGATGCCTTTAGGGAATGAACCTGGGACCGTCTGCATGCATAGCAGGTGCCCACACACTGGGCTATGGACCTGCCCTTAAAAATAAAGCAAGATTCCAGTCCTCATAGTTCAGAACAAAGAGCCAATTTAAAAAAGAGCATGCTTTGTACCAGGGGTTGCCAACATCTTGGAGGCCTGTGGCTTGTGGGACCAGGCATAGGTTGCAACCTGCTGTATTGGCTACAACAGAACACTTCTTCAAAGCCTAATTTCAGTGGGGGCAAGGGGGACCCTGGGGGTGTCAGGAAAGGCCTCTCTGGGCACTAAGTTGCCTATGGGTACTACCTTGGTGGTGTCTGCCTTAGACCAAGTCAGATCGTGAGTCCATCTTTCTTAGTATTGCCTACACTGACTGGCAGCAAGCTGTCCAGGGTTTCTGGCAGGGAGTCTCTCCTAGCCCTGCTTGGAGATGTCATCAGGGACTGAATCAAAGATCTAAATGCAAATCAGCTCCTCTGCCCCTGTGGGATGGCCCTTCACTCATAACTGGGTAGCTGCCCAAGCCCACAGCCCGGAAGGGGGCCCAGCGCCAGCCTCCAGTGGCCCCCCCTGCTGCCCACATGCTTTTCAGCTGCCTGAGCCTGTGGTGGGAACAGTGAAAAAAGAGCAAAGAGAAATAAGTGCAGCCTCTGCTTTCTTTGCACATTCTTTTTGGGTGAATATTGGCAGGGGCAAACTTTGGTAATATGGCACCCTGAGCAAGGACAAAATTTGGTGCCCCTCCACCCTAAATATTTCTTATTTTCACAATAATTCCTTTTGATACAGGGTTTTTTAATCTTCTAAGTAGGTGCCCACATAAATATAGGTATATTATTATTATTATTATTATTATTATTATTATTATTATGTGCCTCTTTGGCTCAGCATCCAGGGCAGGGGAACTGCCTGCTCTGCCCTAAATCCAGCTGGGATTGGTGCCGGGGGCAAGTGAATGCACCATGGTGACTATGGCATGAAGAGGGGCATCTTCCTCACCCCCAGCCTATTATACCTATTAGGAAGACTTAAAAGCACTTGGAGAGAATAGGAATGTGTCGCATTAAGGAGTTATTGTGGCAGGGAGTTCCATAGGTCCTGAAGTATTAAAACAATGAAAGAATTGCAAATATCTAAACTTGTATTTATAAAAAAATGGGACTGGGAGAACCATTTTCCTACAAGAAGTTGCAGCAGGGTGACCTGTTTCCCTAGAGGTTTCGGGGGGGGGGAAGAGGGCTCAATGAGGGGCTTCTTGCCCAACAACATCCCCACCGCACCCCAAAAAAAATCTGTGAACTGGCATTGCCTGGGATATCCTTACATACGGTGGAAGTTTCGCAGCCGTTGGCAGGGAACCAAAATGATGCTTTCATTGAACCACACACGCAGAGCACCTGCCTCCAAGAGCCGGACCTTGTTCTCAGATGTTGCTGTTTATTTTCCATCTCACCCTCCCCTCCCCTCCGCCAGCCCCCCGCCCTCCCCAGCTCAGTCGAGCGGCCCCTGGAAGATGAGGCGGACAAACCCCTGCTGGCCCGTCAGCCAGGTGCCACAGAAGGGGCAGGCTGCGTGGAAGGCGTGGGTGCCGTGGGGCAGGGGTATCTGCGCCCAGTACTGCACAGTCTTGGCCGAGCAAACGTGGCCGCAGGGGCAGAAGGCATGGGTGGGGCGCCCGGCGTCCAGGTACAGCCCCGCCTCGCAGCCCAGCCAGAGAGGCACGTAGGGCCCCGAGCGGCGGCACATGGGGCACTCACGCTCCAGCCCCCCTTTCTCCTTGCGGAAGCCCCAGTTGTGGAAGCCGTGGACGTGGCCACAGTTGACGTAGACCCAGGGCTGCTTCTTCTCCACCACGCCCCGCTGCGCCAGGCTGGGGAACGCCAGCGTGCTGAAGCCCACCGGGCACTGGGGGCGGGCGGCGTTGATCTCCTGGCGCAGGGCCTCCAGCTGCTGCAGGGTTGGGGTGCGCAGGAGTCCCTCCGAGGTCCGCCACAGCAGGGTGGCCCCGCACAGGTCAATGAGCGAGCCATCCTGGAGCACGTTGGACTCAGACTCCACCTGGCCGTGGGGGGAGAGAGAGAGATGTCAGAAGAGGCACTGAGGTCCAGCTCCGAGGGCCTTCACTGCGAGAAGCGAAGTTACAGGGAACTAGGCAGAGGGCCTTCTCGGTAGTGGCACCCGCCCTGTGGAATGCCCTCTCACCAGATGTCAGAGAAAAACAACTATCTGACTTTAAGAAGACATCTGAAAGCAACCCTGTTTAGGGAAGTTTTTGAAGTTTGATCTTTTATTGTGTTTTTAGTATACTGTTGGGAGCCGCCCAGAGTGGCTGGGGAAACCCAGCCAGATGGGCAGGGTATAAATAATAAATTATATTATTATTATTATTATTATTATTTGCGATGGAAGGGGATGGACAGAAGATGAAAGCATACCCTCCAACATTTCTCTGATGAAAATAGGGACGTCCTAAGGAAGAGCGGGACATTCCTGGATCAAATCAGAAACCAGGATGGCTTCTGTAAATCCAGGACTGTCCCTGGAAAAGAGGGGCACTTGGAGGGTCTGTGAAAGGCCCAGTATGAGGGGCAGGGTAGAGAGGAACTCCAGGGGGTGGGAGGCTGGGGGAAGAGGGTGAAGCTCCCAGATGAGAGCTGGGAGACTTTACTCTTCTATGTGTGGAATAAGGGTTAAGATATAATTGTGGTACAGAGCCTTGTGTTTATTTTCTCTTTCTCTTCTCTTTCTTCTTCCTTAGTTTCTCCCTTTGCTTATTCTTGCTTCTTTCCTTTTTATCTTATTTAGATTAGTTTGACTTTTCAGAGGGGCCCTGAAGCAACTTTAGTCTACATTGCTTTGTCTAGTAGACCCAATTTCATCATTTGATGATGCATCCTGCACATATATAAAATTTCCCTAATTTTCACCCCCCATAACTCAAAAACTATGTCATATTATTTTTTTATTCACACCAGCGACTTTGACATGTGAGATAATTCACTACAACAATTTTAATCAAAATCTGAGATATAGGAGTTAAATATTTCAAAAAATTGTGGCAATCTGTCATGGAACAACCCCACTGTAGATGATAACAGCAGTTTGCTGGACCTGGTTGCTGGTTGTGAAGGGGCCCCCATAACAGCTCAAGCGTCAGGGCCCCAAAAATGTAGGTCTGCCGCTGTTTCCTACCCCTTCCCGAAGATACCAAGGAATGAAGCTGGGACCTTCTGTGTGCAGAGCAGATGTTCTGACCCTGAGCTATGGCCCTTCCCCTTAAAAAATAATGAACAGATCCAGTCCTCAAGGTTCTGAATAAAGGACTGATTTAAATAGGAGAATAGGAAGCTGCTTTTGGGGTTTCAGACAGGGTGTCTCCCCATCCTTCCTGGAGATGCCAGGGATTGAACTTGGGGCATTCTGCACACCAGCAGGTGCTCTGCCACTGAGCCACAGGTCCTCAGTAGGGCAAGAGCCTCTCCTTGGTCCTGCAGGGTGCCTTGCCTGGGCTTCCTCTCCCCACGTACCAGCTTTCCCCGCTGCTGCGCTGAGCGACTGTCCCGCAAGGCATACACATTCCCGCACACGGAGATCTCGCGCCATACACCCGGCGTGGAGTCCTCGCTGAAGCCACCGTTGGGGTGCATCACCAGCACTCCGTTTGTCGTCAGCCCGTCCATCAGTCCGTCAGGAGTCCTCCACTTGGCTGCCCTCTCCTGCCAATGAACCCAGAGACTGGCATCACAGCACCGCTTGGGCAGGGGGGATGTGGGGGCAAGACTTGTCCTAGGGGCCTTTGAACGTGGAAACAGGATTGCCCTGCAGAGTCCTAACCAGTTCCAGCCAGGCTTATTCAAAGCACAGTTTCTCTCATCAACAATCCCCTGCCTCCCGCCGGTTGCAGTCTGTTTCCTGGCCCAATTCAAAGTGCTGGTTTCACCTCTTCCCACACATACCTACCCATGACTGGCAATCGTTATCATAGAATCCTAGAAATGTAGAGTTGGAAGGGACCCTGAGGATCATCTCATCCAACTCCCTGCAATGCAGGACTATGTAGCTGTCCCATACGGCGATCAAACCTGCAACCTTGGCATTATCAACACCACGCTCTAACCGACTGAGCTATCATGCCCCCTCAAGGGAGCTCCGCCCGGCATTGACACCATATTCCTTTCCAGCTCCAGGCTAAAATGTGTTTGTTCACCCAGCCATTTTAGATTAAGGTTATTTTTGTCTGGTTGAATGCTTTTATTTCTCTTCACTTGACGGTGTATTTGGTTGTGCTTTGGAACGCATTTGCCCTTGGAAATTATTTGTTTAGGCCGCATTCCCAACCGTGTCTACTCGGAGGCTGTCCTACTGAATTGAATGAGCCTTGCTTATTCACTGCAGGGGTGGGGAACCATTTTAGGCGGGCGGGCCGCGCTCACTCGTGGGCAGCCTGCCAGCCGTCACATGCCAGGGGAGGGCAGAGCAAGAGACAAAAGTGGTCAGAGAAACAGATGTAAATCTTTACCTTTGTACGGTAGGCTACATTCCACACACACACACACAACCAGAGGTTTCTGCAACCTCTTCATCCAGGCAAGAAAGAGGCATGACTACAGTTCAAGGAAAGTGAGAGGTGTGGTCAGGGAAGGGGATGTTGCCTCAGGAAGGTCCCAAGGACCAAAGAAAGAGATCTGGAGGGCCAGAGGCATGAGCGATCCCTACACTGAGGATCTGGAAGCAGCTCACATCAATAAAGACAGAGAGAGACACATAAAGGTGTGTGGGGAGAGAGGCTACATCAGACTTAAAAACTAAAAAGATGACGCACAAGGAAAGGAGAAGAGAAGGAAAAGGCAGAGAAAGATCACTTTCTCAAGGCCAGAAAAAAAGTGGACGACTAAGAGGGCATTTATATCCAGCTCAGGCCAGACAGGTCTCTTTGAATATCATTTAGAAATCCATTTTTGGGGACGAAGGGTGGTCTAACGCCATTAGAGGCCCTTCTCTGTGTGCCCCCTCACAGGCTGCAATAAGGCAGGAGGCCTCAAGGGGAAATGGCAAGCAGATGCACTGCAGGGAGTTGCTTACAGAGCAACTGCCTCCTGCTGGCTGGTGCAAGTGAGCCAAGTTATGTGACAGGCAGAAATGGCACCGATTAGGATGTCCCCGTCCACCATCATGTTGTGGGAAACTGCACCAAAGTGAATATTTGCGTATCACACAGGTGTGCTGTCCTCCTTTGGAAGCCAAAGACTTTTCCATTCCACCACACGTACGCAAAGACATACACAGTCGTGCTGGTGACTCACTCACTCCAAGGAAAATGTTGCGGGAGGCATCAAAGCCAGCAGCGTAAATGCGTGCTGTGTACGGAGGGTTCCTCTCGCAGATGACACGGCAGGCAAAGCGAGAGATGGTGCTCTGAGCCGACTGACCATCGATGGCTGAGTTGGCCCCTGGGGTCGTGTCCGTCACCACAAAATCAATCATGCTCTCTGTGGAGCGGCCAATCTGGGAAGAAAGGAGGCAGAGAGAGTTCAGAAAGGCAAAAACAGTGCGCTGGTGTTTGCTTCGCGAACACATCCATTGTACACTTGTGATTTTGCCATCTCGGTTTCAGGAAGATAGCATTTTCTCCTGTCAAAAAATCCTGAAATATCACAAACGGATGCAGAGAAGTCAGGAAGGCCTTACATTGATGAGAGGGACCCTTATTAATGTCCCATCTCCAGAAGATGTTTTGTCAGTCTGCATCAGGAACGTGGAACCTGTGGCTCTCCAGATGTTCGTGGACACCAACTCCCAGCATGGCCAACAGTGAGGGATGCTGGGAGTTGGAGTCCAACATCCATTGGAGAGTCACAGGCCCCTCATCCTTGGTCTAGGTAACAATCGGATATCTGTATTAATTTCCTTGCGCTCTCAATAATAGCTTTGGTTCACATCTGTTCATGAAGTAACTAGCCAGCACAGGAACAAAACATCCTGGCCACACCTGAGGCTTGAAGAAATGCATTTCCAAATGAGTTGAAAACTATTTCAGTGGTATTGTCATGACTCCAGAATCCAGCAGTGATCCAGCCACAGATGGAGGCTGTGGAGGCACCAGCGAGGGGAGCTGGACACACCTCAGGGCTCTGATTCAGCTGCTGGAGACTGCTGGGCCTCAGACGGGGGCCTCCAGAAGGACTTCCTGTACCACCAGAGGCCAGAGTCAGGACTCACATTGGTGCCATCGCCTAAGCACTGCTGCCTTCTTCCTAGCATCCTGCGCAAGATCAGAACACAACAGGTATTTCAGCTAAATGACAAAGGGAAAAGTGGTGCCAAGGCTGCCACCATCTCTGGAATCTCCAGAGCCTCACTGAAGCAGATATTAAAACAACAATCTGATGCAATATCCACAGGGCATGAAATCATAGCCAGCATTGGTGGTAGGCACCACTGGGCACCTGCCAAGGCTCACACAGGTTTTCAGCAGGAAGTTATGGGACATGTGTTGCTTGGAAATTACTCAGTACATCCACTCCGAAACATTTGCAGGTTCAAACAGTATTGAAAGTGTCATTGCGTATAACCATCATGAGTTCAAATCATCATAGATGCACAATAAAAAGTATATGTGGCACAAAAAAACCTCATACATCAGACATCTGCTGAAGGCACAGGCACCTAGTCACCCAAAGAGGATGGCATTCCTGTTTCTGCTGCCAGGGTCATAGGTACCTGGAACATGTCGGTCTCGCAGTCATGAGTATACTCAACGATCACAGAGTGGCTTCGGGAAAGTGTGTATGAGATGCTGTGCTGGCCTTTGTTACTCAGTGCCTGTTGGGCAGAAGAAATAAAATAAACAGCTGTGGGACCCATCTAAAGCTCCTCTCCAGAGCTAAACTCATCACCTCAATCCCAGCACCGAGCCTCTGAGATTCCCTGTTCCCTTTCTAATGATACATGGACTAGATTCAGTGCCTGATCAAAGAGCAAGAGGCTTGTATCCCATTCCTAAAGCCCAGCTGCACAGAGGAAGACAGGAAGGTGCCTTATACTGAGTCAGATCATTTATCTAACTGGATTGTTATCGTTCACACTGACTGGCAGAACCTGTCTAGGGTTTCAAACAGGGTCATTCCCCAGCCCTACCTGGCGATGTCAGGGATTGAACCAGGGACCTTCTGCATACAAAGCAGATGCTCTGCCACTGAGCTCCAGCCCTGCCTCTAAAAAGAAAGTAAGATTCCAGTCCTCATGAATCCGAATAAAGAACTGATTTAAATAGAGACAATAAGAAGCTTCTTTATAACCAAGTCAGGTCACTGGTCCATCTAAGCCAATTTGTCTATAATGACCAGCAGCAGCTTTCTGGGGTTTCAGATGAGAGTCAAGACAGCTTTGTCTCTATTTCCTTATTCTAGGGTTGCCATATTCCTAAAAGTGAAAAGTTGTTGAGCCATACGTCTGGGTTTCCCCAGACATTTTGCTGATTCGGCAAACATCTGCATGGACGCCATTTTGACAGACTGATTCCTGGACGTATGGCAGCCCTACGTATTGGGACAGAAATGCACTTTACACATGCTTAGAGTCATAAATCTTTTCCAGGACTAGATTCTGGCATAAAAAAAAATAGCAGGGAGCTGCCCTATTACAAATAAGACCCTTGGTCCATCTATCTTGGCCATGCCCACAATGATTGACAGTGGCTCTCCAGAGCCTTCCTTGTCCTACTTGGAGGATGTCAGAGACTGAATCTGAGACTTTCAGCATGCCAGGCATGTGCTCTATCACCACACTATGGTCCTTGCACAAAATGGCCCCCCCATTGAAGCCCAGAGTGGTCTGATGAGCAGAAGAGTATTCCTGGTGGCTAGGAAGGGGCTTTGGACTCACCTTGGATACAAGCGGTGTAGAGATGTGGTGGATGACATCTGGTTTAACTCCATTGGGTTTCGGCCTCTTGAACAGGGCCAATCGGCTGCGGCGGCGGCCCTTGTCACCATTGGGCAAGGAGCCATTGTACCTGTGTTGGGAGAGGCCAATGGATCTGTTTGTTTGTCTGTACTTGGTACAGAGTAAAATAGAGCATCACATCAATTCAACTTGATGAGAGTTCAGGATTTCAAATATCTAGTGTTCTTTAAAATATATCTATTTTTGAGGCCCACCTTTGTGAAAAGGCTGCTTTCAAGTCTAGTGGACAAACACAACCGCAGGCACTTCCAGATGATCTGTTTACTGAGCATTCATACTGATTCACTTGCAGGGAGACTGGACTTCTTGTCTTAGCTATTTGATGAGCATTCATTGTTATCTTTTTCCATAGAGATTAGATGAAGTTGCATCAAAGCAAGGGTTATCCCACCCTTTCTCATGTTTTCCCATCATTTTCCTATTGGCAAAAGGTTTGATCTTCTGGGGAAGTGATTGTGTTGTGCAAGACTTCCCATCGTTCCACGACCTGAATTTGCCCATATGTGATCGAATCCCACATGAATATAGCAACAGTTTGGAAGTGTCAAGTATTAATCTGCACACCCACTCCCCCCCTTCCATTTCTTTTTGCAGCCTGTGTTTTGTTAAAAATCCTAAATCCACTTCCCAAGCAGCCTCTGCAACATAGAGAGATATCTTGAACCCGATTCATAAAGAACAGGCCCTGGTGAAGGGTTGTTGGCTAGCGTTTTGGGTGTTTGAGAAATGCCCTTTTGTTGTTTGCAAAGCTTTGCAAATGCCTCCACTGTCAGAGGCGGTATAGTTTTGGGTGCCCGTTGTGGGGAGACAGCTCTTATACTCAGATCTGACTTTTGGGTTTCGCAAAGGCCACTGTGAGTATAGGATGATGGACTATGAAGGGCCTTTGGCCTGATCCAGCCGTCAGGCTCTTCTTACGTTCCTAATCCAGCAAAACCATTATCTTTACGGGGTCTCCAATGAGTTGCAATTGGCTTGGTTAGATGCTTGCTATGCAGGCCTGGTTATAACAGTGTCTCTGAACCCCTTCTAAAAGAGGTATGATCGGGGTTCAAGCCTGCCTGGGAGACAAATTATCTGATCTGAAGGTCATCACCCACTAACCTTGGAAGTACATGGCTATTTTTACTCAGTGGTGAGAGAAATGTACTCTGTACATGCTCAGGCTTCCTGCTCATCAGCTTCTTTTTATTTCATGTTCCAGAGCTGAGCACTAAAAAAATGTGTCCAGGTCTGCATGGGGGACTGCTGGCAGAAAGGGTTCCCTTCACTTACCCCAACACGATCAGCTCCCCGTACTTCACTGGCTCCTTGGTCAACAGGATACTGTCCCCTGGAGAGGGATAAATGCGGCTGCTTTTGGGGCAAGCTCGCCGGAGATCTAGTGACTGGGAGCTCACTGCTTCAGGGCTTCCTTCTAACACCATCCTGTAAGCACAGAGAAGGCAGGTCAATGATTCTTCAACATCAACTTTGTTGGACTGGTCATGTTGTTCGGATGCCTGATTATCATCTCCCAAAGCAACTACTCTATTCCGAACTTAAAAATGGAAAGTGTAATGCTGGTGGTCAACAAAAGACTCTCTAAAGGGAAATCTAAAAAAAAAGTAGTATAAACACCAACAATTGGGAAACACCGGCTTGCGAGCGCTTCAATTGGAGATCAGCCTTTACCAAAGGTGTCATGGAATTTGAAGTCGCTCAAACTCAGGACAAAAGGGAGAAATGCACGTTTGGCAAACCCACACCGTGATCAACTCCCGCCTGGAAACCTATGTCCCCACTGTGGAAGGATGTGTGGATCCAGAATTGGCCTTCACAGTCACTTACGGACTCACTGTTAAGACCGTTTTCATGGAAGACAATCTTACTCAGCTACGAGTAATCGCCAAAGAAGAAGAATGCCACACATTTAAAGCACTCTCATTTCACTGGTTGGCTTCCCGAAGAATCCCGGGAACTGTCATTTGTTCAAAGGTGCTGGGGGTTGTAGCTCTGTGAGGGGGTCTCCTAAGAAGTTTCAGAACCCTTAACAAACTACTGTTCCCATGATTCTTTGGGGTGGGAAGCCATGATTATCAAAGTGTTGTGAGAGTGCTTCTTCTCACTTCAGCCATACGAATATGGTTGTTAAGAATAATTTTTTAAAAATCATTTACGAGTCGCTTGGTATGAAACTTATCGAGGCAGTTTAACAATGAAACATTAACAATATAGATATATTTCATAACTAGAACAAGTTCACGTATAAAAACAATGCCAAATTCAATGCAGTTACAGACTGGGATTAAAAAAAAATCTCCACTTAAACGACAAGTTGGAAAAAGGAAGGTCTTCCATAGGCCCCCAAAAGACAACAGAGAAGTCCCTGTCTGATATGTAATGGGAGGAAGGAGGAGGAGTAATAAAAAGCACAATCAATGCACTTGCATGATCCTTATCAGAGAACAAAAGGAAAGATCCATTGCAACCCTGTTGTACCTCATGTTAGTCCTACATAGATTCATTAAAAATAGTGGATATTATTTTGACTTAGGTCCATTCAGGTCTATGGGTCTACTCTGAATATTATTTAGCTAGAGACAACCCAGTGCATGCCTGGTTGTGCCTGAAGGCCCATCTGGCTTGAGAGGAGGAAGTACTGAAGGAAGTAGTTTGAGGGCCTGCCACCCTCCAGCTCCCATAGCAGCCCCTCTCCCTCCCCCCCAAATGTCACCACAGGAGCTTCTGCAGAAGAAACTTGCCCTAAGGGGAGGGGAGAAGAAGTAGTAGCAGTTTTTTCTAAGCAACCAAGTTGTCTTTTCCATTCTATTGCAATTTCTTCTTTAAAAAATAAATAAATGCTTCTAGTTGTAATAATCTTACGTAAAAGATTTGTGAGATCTGCTCAAAAAGTTGTACGTAAATATTGTAAGTAAAATAAAATACTCAGAAGTAAATCCCATGGAGTTCAAGGGGCCTTACTCTGTGGTAAATGTGTTTAGGACTTCAGCTTCATTTATAGTAGGAGGACATGGATTATAGCCTCCCTCCTGTAGGGACTCTACACATGCTCAGATGCCCATTAGGACCGCATCCCATATTCATACTGCATCTCGCCCTTGCATTGTCATAGCAACGCCCGCTTGACGGCTCCCCATCAGTTGCCGTGGGTGGCACTCCCTGACCTCTATGGTTTTGGGCCCAGTGTTCAAAGGAGCCATATGGTAAACACCTCTAGCATCTCCAGGTTTCTAAGGTGACAGTCCTGACCCTTAGCAGCAGCAACCCCCCCCCAAAGTTGCCATGGTGATAGCCCTAAACTACCTCCGTCCGTACTGTTACCACAGCAGCATTTCAGATATTTTATGCCTCCCTGTTGCCATGGCAACACTCTCGGCTCCATCCTGGTCCCTGCTGCTGGAGGAACCCACTTGTGGTTCATTGAAATCCTGTAGCTGGCTCCTTCCCGCGCCCCCGATCCTGTTGATTCCGGGCTCGTGGGGCTAGTTCACACATGCACACACATAATGCCCCAACACACACACACACACACACACACACACACGGAAAGACATGCCTACACAAAAATGGGTCTTCTTTAACAACCACCACAACAAACCAAACAAATTTGAGCTGGGCCTCACCTAGGCCTTGCAGTGTGGAATGGGTTGCATCCCACTAAGGCCCCATCTCCACAATACAGCTGAAGCATCATCATACTGCTTTAAACAAAGAATTCTGGGAACTGTAGTTCATTAAGAGTTGTTAGCAAGCCCGCTATTCCCCTTACAGAACTATATTTCGCAGAATGGTTTAGCAACAAATTCTTCCCCAAGAACTCTGAAAACCGCAGCTCCTTGTGGAGGATAGGGATCCAACTCAGAGCACCCTTAAGAAACTACAGTTCCCAGGATTCTTTGGGGGGAAAGCCTTGGCTGTCAAAGGGGGTATGTATAGCACAGGTGCCCCCCCGAGTCCTACGCAGAGTAGACCCGCTGGAATTACTGGGCCTATCTGTGTCCATTAATCTTAATGGGTCTGCAGGTCTAACGGGATAGAATCCTATATTCTTTTTAATACCAGGATGTAGCACAGATATATAAACTGGAGGGTATGTCTTAAGTGCGTCTCCGCATATTTTTCATTAAAACAAGTTTTAGTTAATGATTTAAGTACTGTACTGCAAAGAAATGCATTAATATCTCATTGTATGAAGGTAATTGGTTTACTTATTTAGTGGCCAACCTGCATGTTGCCAACCACCCAATACAGTATATAAATTATAGTTAAGGGGTGAAGATGGCCTTAGTCTTATCTGTTTAGATACAGAGATGTTAAGTCAGACATTCTAACCAATTTGTAAACTGCCCTGGGTGCAATCTCTTAATCAAACTCCCCACAAACAGACATGGTCTCAAAAACATTACTCAGATACATCCAGGAAGGTAGTACCAGCTTTGATTCTGGAACTCAGGCAAGACTGTAAATAATTACATTTTGCACAAATGTCCATCACGTGATACCCTGTAGAACTAAAAAAGAATAAACCCAGAATCCAGCAATATCCACTGCTCAGAAGGTTACACAAATAATCTGAATTATGAGATTATACACTGATTCCCGCCCCCGCCCCCCCGCCATTTTTTCCACCCTCTCTAGGCTAGGAAGCAGCATTTCTGGAGGCTGTAGGAGGTGGAGGTGCTAAGCCTCTATAGAGAACTGTATTGTCAATAACTATGGAGCCAAGGACTCTGGGTGTGTAGAGCAGAGTGTGAGGGGGAGAATTAAATCTTGAAGAACGGTTGTGTGTCAGGATCCCTGGGGCAAATTCAGAGACACAGAGGAAACTTAGTGGGACAGGGTATCCAGAGATGCCTGGCCAGTGAACATTTTTGAAAAGCTCTTTGTATGTGCAAAACTGAAGGGCAAACAGAAATTAAAAAGAACTCAAGAGGATTTGTAGATCAAGGAATGTAGAGATTTATGCATCTTGAGGTCAAGCAGGATGGGTGTGTGAGACTAAAGCCCTCAAAGGGGAAGTCTCTGTGAACCTTTGCATGTGCAGGGTCTCTTTCTACTGAACCTGTCCACCTCTCAGATTAAGGGCCAAGACTTCCAGGTCACACAAGGTGCAGTATTGTACATGCATCTTCTGGAAAGCTTTGAGACATAGGGTTTTCTCCCCCCTTAAGCACAGAAAGGGGAGGTTTTCTGCTTAAGGGGGGGGGGGAGGGTCTGCTACACCAGGATATTCTAGAGCAGTGGTTCTGGTAAGAGTGGGTATGTAGATGAAAATCTGTAGGATCTAAGCTGTGCAGTGGGAGAATGGATCAAGTTCTTCCTGTTTAGAGGGGCATAGCTGTTGTTGTTGTTTAAAAAATACTTAGAAAGATTTATAAACCACTTACTCAAATAGGCCTCTAAACAGGATACATAATAAAACTGTAGATAAAAACACAGCTAAAATTAAAAAAAAACTATTAAAAAGAAAATATATCTATAAAATAATTATCATTAAAACTTGGCGGGGGGGATCAGTGCAACAAATATAGGGAACTAATGTCCAATGGAGTTGTGCACAAACACGGGGGCTCTCAGGGTTTCTAAGGGACTGGAATGGGGTTTAATGTCAAATGTGGTGAGTGAGAAAGGAGAGGGCCGCATCCTGCTTTATTGGGAAGTTAAGAAGGTTGCATTTTAAGAGATGATGTACATAACTTGAAGGGGGTGGACATGTGTTTAATATGTTTAGGAGAAGTAGAAAGAGTTGGGATGTCCATGATGGTACCCCAGTATACCTGCCCCCACTAAGGAGCAGGCTGTAGCTCAGTGGTAGAGCAACTGCTTTGCTTGCCAAGGTCCCATATTCAATCCCTGGCATCTCCAGGTAGGGCTGGAGATATGTGAAATCCTGGAAAGCCCCTGCCAGTCAGTGTCTGCAATAATGACCATCTAGCTCAGTATAAGACAGCTTCTGGTGTTCCCTGGAAACAGCAAGAGTGCTGGAAGAGCGTATAGGGTGCTGTGTGACTGTGTAGGAGAGGGGACAATCCTGATTTATTGGGGTACCATGGGGATGCATTTGCAGAAAGAATTCACAAGGGAAAGGATCCAGAGGCTGTTTGACAGGATATTATCGATAGTGCTAGAGAAGCAAGGAAAAGGGCCTGATTTTGCTACTCAAGAGTTGCCTGATAGCCTCTGCCTTTGGACAGAGGGATCTGGACTAGGGACTGAAGTTGTTGGAAATGTATATTGTGGGGGTGGCTGTCTCTTTCACCCATGAAAACCAGATCTTGAGCATGCATTCTTGGGGATGCAGGGTAGGTGGGCAGTGCCAGGCATAGTGCAATAAGGAAGGACCACGGAAAAATGGGACATTTTGCAAAGGGACAGTGGCCCTTTACACTCGTTCTCCATACACACACACACACACAAACGTGTGTGTGTGTGTGTGTCCGTCCCATGCAATGCTGGTTAGCAAAAGGTAAACACAGACAAATGTGTACGCATCTTAACGAAGGTGCTGGTTTGGGGGCAGAGAACAGGAATCAGAGGACACCCAAACAGATTTGGGACAGGAAGGTAAAGAATTCAGGAACACCTGGGCATACTGAATTAGGGGACATGGGAATCAAAGGACACCCATAAGACATTCAGAGGCAGCCCAAGAGATCTGAGGAGGGAGAGTCTGTGTGTGTGTTTATATTAGGGTTAGGAATTAATAGGGGCCCAGACAGATGGTGCTGCTGGGGGAGGTTAAGAATAACAGGGTGCATATTAACAAAAGAAAGCCAGACAAGTGCCAGGGCTTAAATATGTTATATAAAGACGAGACCTTTTTAACAGACACTATTAAGAGACATCTAACCAGATTTGAGAGGGATGGAGCTAGGCAATGAATTAGGGGACATAAAAATTCAGGGTCACCATATCAAATTGGGGGTGGGTGGGTGGGTTAGGAATTAGGGGGGGGGCATGAGAATCGAAAGGCAGCCGAGCCGATCTGCGGATGAGCCTAGGAATGATGGGGATGGGGGGGGCTGCAGACAGACAGAAAGCGAAGAACTGCAGAAAGTAAAAGTGGGGTGGGGGAGATCTGTGGGAGGCATCCCTCCCTCCCTCCTTTCCCCTCCTCCCTGCCCTCCCCCCGCCGCTCCTCTCCCCCATGCAACACCACCCCCTCCCCGCAGCCTCCTCCGCCTCCCTCCCTCCCTCTCTTCCCCCCACCCCAACCCGCCAGGCACCACCGTCAGGGTTGGGGGTCTCTCCGGCTCACCCCTCTGCGCGTCCCCCCCGCTCCCCTGCGGCGGGTCCTTGCTCAGCAACCACCGCCTGCGCAGGATGGATAGCCCTGCATTGCCGAAGGAGGAAGAAGAAGAAGGAGGGAGGAGGAGGGAGGAGGAGGCGGCGGCTCTGCTTTGGCGGCGGCGGCGGCGGCTGCTCCGGCGCCGGGCGGGATCACAGGCTCAGCTCTCGCGTCCCCGGCACCCCGCCGCACACACCGCAAGTCTGCAACGCACACAACGCCGCTCCCCCCCCCGCAACCCTTTGCAAGGACCAGAGAAGGGGGATCCTCCTCCCCAAGCCCTCTCGTCTCTCCCTTTTCCCCACCCAGGGGCAGCCCTTGCCTCGCGCCCCCGCCTCTCCCTGCAACCTGCCCACCAGCTGCATCACAAAAGCAAAGCGGGTGTGTGGACGGGAGGGGGGGGGGAGCGTTTGTTTATTGCTTTGCAGGTGTGCAAAGAGGCTAGAAGAGAGGGAGGTGGGAGGGTGCCATCGTGCGTGTGTTGGGGGCGGCGGCGGCGGGGGGGGGGTGCCGAGAGGGGTGCAAGAGCCGAGGGTCCCTCGCTCGGGGAAGGGGAGAGGAGAGGGAAGTGCAACAGATAGTTACGGAATGCATTCTTGTGTTTTCCGATTGCAAACCGCTGTGTGATTCTCGGATGAAGGGCAGCATAGAAATTAATAATAATAATAATAATAATAATAATAATAATAATATAGGGGAAGTCTCCTTTCGATGGAAATCAAGGCAAGAGCACCAGCAGCAGAGCCCAAACTGGAAAATGTTGTGCTTTAAAAGGATTGCAATGCAGTACAGGCTAACAATAAACATATAGTATAACTTTATTAATAACAATGCTAATTTTGTTGTTTTGCTTCCTTTGGTAGCAGCTTAGGAAGGAAAGTGTCTTAAACTGAGTCAGGCCCACTGGCCCATCTAGCTCAGAAATGTATGCACTGGCTAGCAGTGGCTTTCCGGGGTTCAGGCAGCCCCTACCTGGGGATATCAGGACTGGAACCCGGGACCTTCTGCATGCAAGGGTCTTGTTCTGCCCCTGATCCACAGCCCTTTCCCCAAAAGAGAGGCACGGGTGGAATGTGCTAGGATATTAGTAGCTGCAGTGGCTTCCAGTCTGTTTCCAGGTCCTATTTAAAGCAGGAAAACAAGAGCAGAGATAAGAAGCTGCCTGACAGCGAGTCAGGACATTGGTTCATCTAGCTCAGTGCAATCTATACTGACTGGCCGTGGTTCTAGAGGGGTTTTGGTTGAGGGATATTTCTATGCTAAGGTTGAACCTGCCCTCAGCTAGTCCTCACCTGCCTGTCTTTTTGACTTACAGCCAGTCCAGTGAGTGGCATTTGCTCCCTCCTCCTTGGCCTCAGTGTTGCCTTGGGAGAAGGGCACTGGGAGGAGACGGGAATTGGGTGGCCCAGCCTGCCATTGGCTCTGGCGCCACCTGCTGTTGGGCTCCTTTTCTTCCGCCCTACCAGTCCCAGGGGGCACCAGCCACCCCTGCAGCTTGGGCAAGGCACCCTTGGTGGGCCCACTGTTCCTCCTCCTCCAAGACATCGCTTCCTGCTCACTTCTGTTTCTGGGCCCAATCCATCCAGCCATCCAGCGGGAGAGCAGAAGGCAGGTGCTGCTGTCTTATCTCTCTTGGGCGGAAAGGGCATAGCTCAGTGGTTAGAGCATCTTTTTCCCATGCAGAAAGTTCTAGGTTCAATCGTTGGCATATTTAGGTAGGGCTGGGAGAGGCTTCCTCTCTGAAACTCTGGAGAGTAGCTGCCAGTCAGTGTAAACATTGCTACATGAGATGGCCTTTTGGTCTGGCTAGGTATAAGGCAGTTTCCTCTGTTCCTTGTGCAGGTCCTTCTTAAGACTCTGCAAGATCCAGAGGTAACATGTACATTTGAAGTCCCCTCCTCCCGGCACTACATATCAGTGTGATCCTCTGCCTGAAAAACCAACCCTAAATATGCATATGATCCTCTCTATTTGCCAGCGGAAGCAGTATGTTAAGATTCCATCTCTTTAAAAAGTATACGCACAGAGTGTGTGCTGCTACAATACACCTCGTAATTATGGCTTGTGTCACGTGCAGATTTGTGCCTTCTTTAGCAGGTGGAGTGGACCGCCCAAAAATAAGCTATACATGGAATGAAATGTGTGACAGACAAGATGAGCCCAGGAGAAGCTTCTCCTGTAATTGTACTTCCATACTAGAAAATGCTTAACCTGTTGAATGTCTGCCTGCTGCACAGTTGTTAAAGGTACAAGAACCCCGCTTTCCTTCAATGCCCAATCCTAAACCAAAGTCTAGGTGCCATTCCTGTGCCCACATACTGTGGGGATGTTAAGGAAGGTAGGAGAAGATACATTGTTTTGATATTATCCCTTCTCACTCATGCTAGTGAGTAAACAGCAGAGCACATTCCCTTTGCAGCTTATTGGAAGCAAGCTGATGATTTGTTAAAATCCTTTAATTAAACAATCCTGTCTGACTTGTCGAGTCTGGATTGTTCCTGGTAAGTTTCCCCTTTATTTCCCTCTTAAAATAATAATAGCACAACACAGTCTTCTTTAAAAGTAAGAATAGTGTTTTACTCACATTCAGTTCACAGCAGTAATTTGAAGGCAGGATTTATCTTGCGGTTAAAATGAAAAGAAGTCTGAGCTACATTTCAGACTTTCTGCTTGTGGGCTCCATCCTATGTGAAGCTTGAGCCATGCACTGGCTAAAAGCCAGGACAGCAAGAATCCAAGAGTAAGGGAGTAAGAGTCCAAGAGAGAAATGGGGGTTGCGTGGCCAGCCCTTTTATGTGGTCAGCTAGGGTCACGCCCATCTACCTGGTCACACACAGGGGGAGGAAGTTCCAGATCAGGTATGGCAGGAAGTCCTCCCTGTCTGGAGCCACATCCCCGTGTGTCCATTCTAGGCAACAGGAAAATGTTATACTTGACTGCTCTAGTAATACATCCCACATACCCCTTCTCAGGCAATGCAACTGAAATTGAGTCGCAAAGTGATTTCATGCTCTTTATTCAGCTCATAGTGGTGAGGAGGAATGGAAGTCCCCTCAAAGTATCTGCTTTATATACATTATTTACACAATGGGCTGCACGTGATTGGCTAATTCCGGACTTCTCCTGTAAGCCAATCAGGTTGTGGATTCACTTCTATCTGGAGCTGGATTGGGTGGCTCCTGCTGACCAATCATACTGCTGCATTGTTCTAGGACCAATCAGACTGCTGCATTCTGAATCCTATTGTTCTAGGACCAATCAGACTGCTGCATTTTGGATCCTATTGTTCTAGGACCAATCAGACTGCTGCAGTTTGGATCCTATTCAATTCAGTACATAACAGCAACATACATTTATATACATAAATTTTATTCAACAACCCAGAGTCCCAGCTTGACACGAAGGTTCTGGAAACTCTCCTTTGGTAGGGGCTTTGTCAGGAAGCCCGCAGTCATCTCCTTGACGTGGCAATAAGACAGTTCCACAAGTCCCTCGTGGATGGCCTCACACACATACTTCACCTCGATGCGCTTTGTCCTTGCCTGGAATTTCTCGCTCTGGGACAGCTTTAGGCAACTCCATTGGACTAACAGGCCCCTTTCTCACCACCCCAAAGTCTGAGCCGGGCCATCTCTCTGCACACTTCTGTGGCCGCAATGTGTTCAGACTCTGTGGAAGATAAAGCTATACAACTCTGTTTATAACTGCCCCCCATGAAATGGGACCGTTTCCAAACATAAATACATATCCACCTGTGGATTTATAATCAGTTGTACATCGCAGCCCAATCTGCATTCGTAAAACCAGTCATTCTAGGATTACTAACAGCTGGTAATCTTAATTTAGTTTATTGTACCCATGAGTACCAAACCACCCTTTTCACACCTACCCAGTCATATTCAGTGGGAGCATTTACTTTTCTGCTTAGAATTCCCACTGCACTGGCTAAATTACTTATTTATTTATGAAAGATGACCAAAGTCCAACCCTGTTCTATGTAAATGTTAAATACTAGTCATTCTGTGCTGAGCTCCCACATAATATATAGATTTTAATAATTTTTTTCTCTCTTTTTGGAGGGGGTAGATTTCAGAGATTTCAATTAGCCATTTCCTCCTATCACAATTTTGGATGTGTCTCACACAACATCAGGAGTATGAAATTCACTATAATTGTTCTGAAGGCATTCGGTAATAACTGGAGCTATATTTACAGTTAAGTCTGAGGTTCTGGAGTAATCTTGGATTTATTTTCCAAGTAAAGTCTTACAGGCTTTGCAAAGCAGAACATAAGAGTTATGGGGCTATGGTCAGAGATGATAATATTGGTAATCAAGGCCAATTTAACAGAGGGAATAAATTCAAATGAAATCAAAATATGAACTATTCTGGAATAAGCGAAAAAGCTTTTTGAAAAGTAAGTGTAATTGTGTTTATTAGGTATAAAGGACTCGGCAAGGATTAAAGTTCATTTATTTATTAGTTGAGAAAAACTGGTGTTAATTTATTAGGGTTTATGAATGTCCTATCGAATTGATTATTAAGTCATGTTAAAATTCCCCCTAAAATTAATGGACCCTCTTTAAAATTTGATAATTGAAACAGTAGAGCTGATAAAATAGGTTGAGTGGAGTGAGGGGCATAGACTGAACCAATTGTATAATTTTTGTTTCTCTATAGTTTCTTCTTCTTCTTCTTCTTCTTGTTTCAAAAACACACACAAAAAACCCCTTCTGATCTATTGGAACATCATTATATACAATGCCTGTTTTCTTGGCAATCCATAAAGCCACACCCCTAGCTTTTGAGGATCCAGGCAAATTATATCAAATCCCACCTTTAGGGGGCAGTACAAATCACTCGCTCGTTTTTCTTTTGTAGGTTTCTTATAAGCAAATGATACCAGGATTATTTTTTTATGTAGGAATTTTTGTACTTTTTCATTTTGATATGGAACCCAGCCCATTGACAAAATATTCACATTAGCCAAAATTATATCTAAAGCTTAAAACAACTATGAGCTTGCATAACACAGCAGTTTATGAATCTCTCCCAACAATACATCCCTTCCCCCCCCCCCCAACCACCACCACCCTAACCCACAGCTTGAGAAGTAAACCCAGAAATCATGTACCTGCAGGATCCATCTCCAGGGAGAAGTCCTGGGTAGAAATGGCCACAGACCTCAATTTATTATTTTTATTTATTAAATGTATTGCCCTTCACCCGAAGATCACAGGGCAGTTTACAGTAACTTAGGCCTCAAGAATAAGGGGGGTGAGCTCCCATTTCCCCCATTAAGAGCAAACAGAAGAAAAAAGGCACGATTCAAATGTTTAATCAAAGCAGCAAACTGATTCAGGATATGGTGAACATCATTCAGCTTGATGTAGACTAGAGGATAGAAGCATACATAATAAAGGTTTTGTAGACTCTTCAGGTCAATTTGACTCAGGAAACTTTCTCTTTTCTGCTGTGGTGGTGTTTTTTACTTGCTAATCATGACCATCTTCTCCAGAGTCCTCCACATTAGTCCCACCTTCACACTGCAGTCCTGAAGGGAAGTGATTTCAACCCAACACAGTCCTAGTAAAGTTAGTAGGTTTTTGATTTTCTACAGTGTTATGCTATCTCTGCGCTGAGGCTTAATTTAAATGGAAAGCCCCATTTGTAAAGGCTTGAATTTCCTTCTAGGTATGCTGAGTGAGGTATTGAGAAATTGCAGAGCTGTTCCCATCAAGGTTCTGATCTTCTGTATGGTTTAGTCCAGGGGTCTGCAACCCGCGGCTCCGGAGCCGCATGTGGCTCTTTTACATCTTTGCCGCGGCTCCAGGGCGGATACTAGCGAGGGGAGGAGGCGCATTGTGCGCCCCGACATTCCCCACTGTGGCGGGCGCTGTACTGGCTGTGACGTCGCATGGGGGCAGTGCGTGTGTTAGTCACCCACCGTCCCGACGTCACCTTCCCGCCCGCCCGCTACATTGTAAGGGCATGTACGCTGGTCACTGCATTGAAAGGGGGCATGTACGTTGGTCACTGTTTTGAAGGGGAGTGAAGAACACACACACACACACACACACACACACACACACACACACACAAAGGTAACTTGTTAATTTAACGTTTATTTCTATGAGGAGGAGTAATTCTGAGGGGTCAAACAAAAAAATAATTTAAAAAAGTGACAAAAAAGTTATTTTTATAATGACGAGTTTTGCGGCTCCCAGTTTTTTTTCCTTCGGAAACGGGTCCAAGTGGCTCTTTTTGTCTTAAAGGTTGCAGACCCCTGGTTTAGTCTCTCACTGCTTATCTATGAAATCTTGTAGTATTTCTTGGTTTCTCGCCTCTTTCGGTATACAGTAAGTCTCTGTGGACTCTGTCTATATTGGGATTCAAGATGAGCTTAACCATGTGTATAGCCAGGATTTGGGGGGGGGCAGGCTTGGGGGGGGGGGAGGGAGAACCAACTTATCTGCAACACAACTGACCAGTTAGTTAAGTATTTTTATTTATTTACTTGATGGGGGGGCAGCTGCCCCCCACCTCCCTGGCTACGCTCATTACCTTAACAGATTGGAGAACTGGGCATGAGCTAACAAAATGAAATTCAATAGGGACAAAGGTAAGGTTCTGCTCTTTGGCAGGAATAACCAGCTGCACAAATATAAGATGGGAAACACCTGGATTGTCAGTAGCACATGTGAAAAGGATCCAGGGGTCTTAGTAGACCGCAAGCTTAGCATGAGTCGACAGTGTGATGCAGCAAATAAATAAATAAATAAATAAATAAATAGATAGATAGATAGATAGATAGCTAATGCTGTTCTAGGCTGCATCAACAGAAGTACAATACAGTGGTACCTCAGGTTAAGTACTTAATTCGTTCCGGAGATCCGTACTTAACCTGAAACTGTTCTTAACCTGAAGCACCACTTTAGCTAATGGGGCCTCCTGCTGCCACCGTGCCGCCAGAGCACGATTTCTGTTCTCATCCTGAAGCAAAGTTCTTAACCTGAAGCACGATTTCTGGATTAGCGGAGTCTGTAACCTGAAGCGTATGTAACCCGAGGTACCACTGTATCTCGATTAAAGGGAAGTCATAGTCCTGCTCTATTTTGCCTTGGTTCAAACCACATCTGGCATACTGTGCCCAGTTCTGGGCACCACAATTTAAGAAGGATGTTGACAAGCTGAAACCTGTGCAGAGGAGGGCAACCAAGATGATAAAAGGTCTAGAAACCAAGCTTTATGAGGAACAGTGGAGGGAATTTGGTATGTTTAGCCTGGCAAAGAGGAGACTGAGAGGAGATATGGTCAAGAATCTAAAGGGCTGTCAAGAGTCAGATGGAAGATGCACCCTGCTCCGGAGGGTATGACTTGAACCATGGGCTTCAAGTTACAACAAAGAAAATTCCGACTCAACATTGGGAATAACTTTCTGACAGGAAGAGCTGTGGACTCCCCCCAAAGGTGGTGGACTTTTCTTCACTGGAGGTTTTAAGGCAGAGGCTGGATGGCCATCAGCCATGGATGATCTAGTTGAGATTCCTGCACAATTCTATGATGATTCTATCATGCTTATGACGGACCTTATCCTGCAAGCTCTTCTTAGATCCTTACCTACCTTTGAGCCAAACCTACTTTACAGATCCGTGTACCCAGAAAATTACTGAGTGAGATGGCCCAATGGTACAAGCCGGCTTCCGGGGAGTCTTTCCTAGGTGTAGAGTGGGAAAGAGCAAATGCGCAAAAAGCCTCGCGATTTCCGACGCATCTACCTGCTCGGGGCGGCTGCAAGCCCCCGGTTCCTGCCCGGTTCTCCGCCCTTCTCCATGGCCCTTCCCGGTCCCTCCCTCCCTGGCTGGCTTTCTCTCCCAGCCCAGGATGTTGCATCACGGACGGGGCTTGGCTCCCTCCCTGCTCCGGCGCCTGCTCCGTGCGCTGGCCCTGCCCCGAACCCGGGCGGCGGCGCTTCCTGCTGCTGGGCGAAGCCGGAGAGGGCGGCGGCTGCTGCGACTTGACAAGGCGCTGCCGGCCTCGAACCCGCGACCCGCAGGCGGCCTCGACTCGCCGCTGCCATGGACAGCCAGGGCCGCCGCGTGGTGGTTTGTGACAACGGCACCGGGGTGAGCGTGCAAGCGCTGGCGGAAAGAGTGTGCCAGGGAGCTGGGCGTGGCGGGTGGGCGCGGCGGGGCATCGTCACCGCCTGTGCCAAGGGGCTAACGTGTGGATGTGCGAATGCGTGTGTGTAACACGTCCGAGTGTCCCAGGGTTGCCTCCGAGAGCGCCCGACAATCGGGGCTTTGTTCCGATTTAGCCAGCTCCCTTTATCTGCCGGGGATGAGCTCGCCGCAACTCCCGGGGAGACCTCGGGCAGCATCAAGGTTTTGACCCACAATATTGGGGCTTGCCTCCCTTGCGAGGTTGTTGCAACCATGTAGCCGTTCGTGCAGATTTGGAAAGCGCTCGAGATTATGAAATGAAAGAGCAAGAGCGCCTCTGGGGACGTGCAGAGCGCCCTGGAGACATCGCTGTCGAACCCCAGAAGGGCATTCGTTTTTGAGTTTTGTAGGGCCCACCACCTCGTCGCAAAATAGTGAGTATGGTCATCCCCAAATACATCTGGAAAGATGAAGCTGGTGGCCTTCCAGGGAAAGAGTGTAGCTTCTAGGCAGGGTGTTGTTGAACTACAGCTCCCAGCATGGCTGACCTTTGGCCATGCAGGTAGGGGCTTCACATTTAACCAGTGTACTCCTTGGGGGATAAAGGACTGGATTAGCTCAGCCAGATCAATTAGGGACCTGGATTTCACCCTGGAGTCTGTGATCCTCATTCTGTGACTGTGACATAATGACCTATTGTGTGAAAGCAGAATGTGAAGATCTCTAACCCCTTAAGCCAGGAGTTTAATGTGGCCCTGTAAACTTCTGTGTCCGGCCCTCAGGCCTCTCCCCAGGCCACACCCCTCGCGGGCCTTGATTGAGTGCTTTTTCTGGTTTGAATGAACTTTGATAATGACTCTTGCCTGTCTGAATGAAGGACAGAAAGGAGTGTGTGTTAAAAACCAGCCTATTGTTGAAAGGTAAAATTTACCATTTGTTGGTCTGCTTACTTTTGTCTCCCCAGCCTATTGTAGAAAGGTAAAATTTATCATTTGTTGGTCTGCTTACTTTTGTCTCTGGCTTGGGATCCCCACCCCCCAAATCAAAGGTTACCCATTGTGGCCCTTGTCTTGGTGACAACTATCATTTGCTCCTCCAAACACAAATCTTTTGTTGTTGCTGCGATTTTTATAATTCAGTTTAAATTTAAGTGCAGGCCATACATTCAAGCTCTGAGCTGCCAGTTGTTGAGAAAGGAGTAGTCTAGAAGAGGAAGGTCGGCATCCATCTGTCTTGGGGGACAGTGGAGGAGTGTGCCTTCAGAGATGGAGTCAAACCATTGGAGAGTTACAGCGCCTGCTGTGGCTGTAGAGACTGACAGGGGAGAGACATGTTTTGTTGCAGCTGGGGCAGACGAAGACATGCGGTTGTGCTGCTGCAGATGCCCCAGGGCGTTTCTTCTCTCTGCTCTCCTCCCAGCAGTCATTCCTCCTCTGGTCACTGCTGTGGATGTATGGCTTGACCGTATGTCTCCAGCACTGCGGTCATCTTGCAAGGGATTCCCACATGGCGAGATTGATGTTGCCAGCCTTCATGCCACATTTGCAGACATCTTTGTAATTCAGAGCTGGTCTGCCAACGGGCCTGGTGCCTGAAGCCAGCTCCCCATAGGAGATCCTGCCATCTTTCATTCTGTCGACATGACCAAGACAGTGTAGACCACAAACTAATACAGAAATTAGGCCTAATGGCGGGAATGGGGGTTAGATACACAGGAAATTCATTGGGGAACTGCACAGCTGTGGGAAAGTCCACATAGATACCCTTCTCCAAATTTGTTTGTAAGTCTTTTAGGGCTTTAAAAAAAATAAAAACAGTTTGGAGATCAGAGCTGTAGAGCCTTAGGCTAAGGGATCCAGCTGTGGAGGGTGTAATTCAGCCTCTAGCAACCTGCGACTGCCAGATGTTCCAACTATACAACTTCCATCAGCCCCAGCTAAAGGTGGTTGCAATGTTTTAAGACTAGATACTCCTGTGAGTTAGTTCCCTTGGTTAGAACATGGTGCTGACAATACCAAGGTTGTGGGTTCGATTCCCGTGTATTCCAGCATTGCAGGGGGTTAGACTAGATGACACTAGTCCCTTCCGACTCTACAATTCTATGATTTCCAAACATTTCAGGGGGATGATCGTGCTAGAAATGGTCTACCCAAGGTGCTGTTGAACCTGGAAACTGCTGTCCAAGGGGGAACATAGGAAGCTGCCATGTCCTGAGTCAGGCCCCTGGTCCATCTAGTTCAATACTGCCCGCACTGAATGGCAGCAGCTCTCCAGGGTTTCAAGCAAGGGACATTTCCTACCTGGAGATGCCAGGGATTGAGCCTTTCACACGCAAAACCTGGTGCTCTTACCACAGAGCTTTGGTCTTCCTCAGCTATATTTTCAAAAATTTTAAGCTGCATATTTCACAAGTGTTGTTACATGGCAAGGCCACTAAATAATTGACTTAGTGGGTGTGGGATAATGCTGTGAACACCCAGGTAAGGACGGTGACTCCAGGTCTCTCCATCCACGGTTTTAATCAGTTTCCAGCATGTCATGACACCCATATGCATACATAGGAAACGGACTGGTCTGTCTTTCTCGGTGTTCACTGCACTGACTGGCAGTGACACTCCAGAGTTTACCTGTAGATGCTGGGGATTGAATTTTGGACTGCAGGTGTTTTGTACTTTGAGCTTAGTAAGCAGCTGCTCTACCTTGGTAAAGGTAAAAAGGGACCCCTGACCATGAGGTCCAGTCGTGACCGACTCTGGGGTTGCGGCGCTCATCTCGCTTTATTGGCCGAGGGAGCCGGCATACAGCTTCTGAGTCATGTGGCCAGCATGACTAAGCCGCTTCTGGCGAACCAGAGCAGCGCATGGAAACGCCGTTTACCTTCCCACCGGAGCGGTACCTATTTATCTACTAGCACTTTGACGTGCTTTCGAACTGCTAGGTTGGCAGCAGCAGGGACTGAGCAACGGGAGCTCACCCTGTTGTGGGGATTCGAACCGCCAACCTTCTGATTGGCAAGCCCTGGGCTCTGTGGTTTAGACCACAGCGCCACCCGCGTCCCACTCTACCTCTGAGCTTCCACCAAACAGAAAGCAAGATTCCAGTGCTTGAGTTTCTAATGAAGAGCGGATTTAAATAACCCTGAAATCCCTGGGAGAAAAGGCCGGTCTCTGGCTGATTTAGCCCCTTTCTCTTGGGCCGTTCCACGTGCTGCAGTCTTGCTGCTGGCAACACCCGACTGACCTGTAGATCTCTCTGTCTTGCCTTGTGCCTGTGGGATTTCATACATGCAGATTTACCGGGAAGATTAAGCATAAATTAAGATTAACCGGCATGGATAACACAGCAGACAGTTCAATGGGCAAGATTCTTAGGCTTCTGGGAAATCTTCTGAAAGTTACATGCCAACTGGCCTGCAGGGCCAGAGACAAAAGTGGGCCTTTTGTGCTGTCGACTAGTTTCTACGCTAGTTTCAGTGACACTTTCCAGGCAGGAAAAACACTCGTGAAGCAGGGCCAGTGATGGATGTGGCCTACAGAGAGTTCTGAGGGCCAGATAGCGAGACATGGAGGGCCACATTTGGTGCTTTGACATGACATATAAGCAGCCCTGGGTTGAGGTCCGCAGTATATTAATGTTCTCTTGAGGAGGCTATATAAGGTTTTTGGAAAGCAATGCATCCTTTGAGAAGTGTGTGTGTGTGCACACATGGCAGGTTCTTTGGGGAGCGTGCTGGGAAGGTGTGCGCACTTGCGCACGCACTGAGCTTTTCCAGCAATCTGGAAAAAGTTGCCTCTCAACGCAGCTTTATCGGTGATTTGCAGCAAAGCCCTGTGGGTAACAAAGCCACCCCCACATGTCCTCTCAGCTTTCCATTGCTTTTTTGTTCCCAAACCCACTTCATTCCCCCGCCTGCTGAACATAACTCAAAAGAAACTGGCTGGGAGATCAGTGTGCAGGGAGCCTACTTATTCCATGATCTGGCAGTTTTTAATTTCTAAACGGAAAATAAGAGAGAAAGAGAGGGGGAGGGGAAGTGCTTATAAACGTAGCGAGCTCTGCTTTATATTGAGTCAGGCTATTGATCCATGTAGCTCAGTATTGTCAACACTGACTGGCAGCAGCTCTCTAGGCAGCGGTGTCCCACAGCCCTATGTGGAGATGCCAAGGGGAATTGAACCTGGGAAAAACAGGGGGTCTTGTCAATGAGCTACGGGCCTTCCCCTAAGAGTAAGATTCCAGTCCTCATGGTTTTGAATAACAGGCTGATTTAGATAGGAAAATAGAATCATAGAACTGTTGAAGCGGACACAAGGGTCAGTGCAGCAGGAATCTCTTGCCCAACAAGGGGCTCGAATCCATGTTTTAATAAGATTAAAAGTCTCATAAGAAGCTGCTGCCTTGTACAGAATCAGACCATTGGTCTACCTAGTTCAGTGCTGTCTATGCAGAGTAGCAGTGTCTCTACAGGCTTCCAGGTGTAGAAACTTCCCCAGCCCTATATGGTGATGCTGGGGGTCGGACCTGTAATGCTCTGGATGAGGGCTATGCTCTGTGGGAGGGTTGGCCTCCACCCTCTGACAAAGCCTTCTGCTTCTGTGTTGAATTTCTGGTTGAGAAATTTCAGCAGCCAAACCATTAGTTGCATAAAGGTTAATATAGAAACAGGAATTTAGGAAGCTGCCCTATACTGAGTCATTCCCTCATTCCATCTGGTTCAGTTTTGCCTACAGCAGGAGTTGCTTCTTGGACAAGTGAGCACATTTCAAATTTTGGAGGGAGAGCAGGGGGCGCCTGTCACAAAATGGCTTCCGCGGAGGGGGCATGGCATAGCACAAAATGGCTGCCACGGGAAGTGTGGCAAAACGCAAAATTAGAAAGGCAGCCACCTCCAACAACCTTATGCTTACCAGCAGGGAAGTAAACTGTGTCCTGCTGGCACTGATTGTGGAGATAGCGCAATATTGATTTTTTACACACAGACACAGTTGCTGTCTAAGAGCAATGGGGGCATTCCTCAGTAGCAGGGGAAATATAGAAGGTGGCTACACCACACCCTGATTTCACGGAAATAACTTAGAAGGCACCTGCACATTTTGTCCCATGACTTCCTAGGAGGGCTAGATACTTACTTTAAAAATAAAAATGGAAGCTCAGAATCTGGGGGACCTGCCCAGGGGCACCAGTGAAAGCTTTTGTGAGTGTCACTGTGCCCATGGGTGCCAGGTTGGCAGCCCCTGATCTACAGTGACTGGAAGTAGATCTCTGGGGTTTCATGCAGGGGGCTCTTCCAGCCCTATGTGGAGACTGAACCTGAGGCTTTCTGCCTGCAAAAGAAGTGCTCTTTTGCTCAGCTGCGGCCCTTCCCCGCTCGTTTTTGTTGCCTGCATGGATTCAGGAGAACTGCCATGGCAGCCAGAGGTAGTAGCCCTTGGTAGCAAAGTTCAGCAGGAGAAAGAGGCCTCCATGCTCCCGCCCTTCGTTTTGGGCCTGCAGATTTCTGGAGCTCTCGGTGTGCAAGCAACTTCCTCCTCGGTTGCCTGTTTGTTCTGCCGTGAGTCATATTCGGCCATTTCATTTCCTGCCTCTCCACTTCCCCCTTTGCAGTTTGGTTTCCTCAGTCTAGTCTGAGGGCACATTTCCCAGCCCAGAACCAGAGGCCTTTAGCAGGCAAGCAGAGCAGCTTCTCAGGCTGGCCTTTTCTCGCACACACATACCCCCGCCCCCTTTTAAACCAGGGGTTGGCCACCTTTGGAGGCCAGTGGGCACAACTGGGATTTTGAGAAAGTACTATGGGCGCCTTGCAAAAACAGCTGCTGCGGAGCGTGTTGCATAACACAAGCACATTGGAAGGGGGGGGGGGGAGAGAGAAAGACCACTTTGCTGTTACAGCAGATGAATCTGAAGGGGTGTCCACCCTAGAACATTGTCTAGTCCTGTTGCATCTGATGGGTTTCACTTGGTAATTCTCGAGGACATGGACAAGGTGCATAAAATATCTGAAGCACTGTTACAAGAAAGATGGAGCAATCTGGTTTCCTGCTGCTCTAGACAGTAGGACTCAAAGCAGTGGGTTTAAATTACCAGAAAGGAGATTCTGACTAAACATTAGGGAGAACTTTCTGATGGGAAGAGCTGTTTAAGAGTGGAATGGGCTACCTCAGAAGGTAGTGGACTCTGTTTCATTACAGGTTTTTAAGCAGAGGGATGGCCATCTGTCAAGGATTCTTTTTCAGACATTCCTGGATTGCCCTACAGTTCTCTGATTCGATGACTGTTGGCCATGCTGGCTAGGACTGATGCATATCTCCAAAAATCATATAAACTTGCCCTGTTCCATTAAAGATTTCCCTTCGGGAAGTTCTTTGGATTGTGATCCTTTTGCTAGTTGCGTGGGAAATGGGCTTGGTGCCGTGTCAGTTTTGCCAATAACTTTGGATGAATATGAAGCTTGGTAGCTTTCAGGTTAGATTACTGCAATGCATAGCGTATGAGACTGTGTTTTAAAGGGTGCTCAGAAAATGCAGTTACTTCAAACCCCCGCTGTTAGGCTATGAAAAACGCAAAAATTATCAAGGGAATGGAGCAATGTCCCTGTGAGTTGGGGTGTGTGTGTGAACAACACTTTAAAAATAAAGGGCTAAAAGGAAAAATGCATTCTGGAGTGTAGTGTGTAGAAAACTGATAGAGATAAGTTTTGCTCCATCTCTGATAATCCTAGAACTCGGAGGCAGCAGAAGTATTGGCAACGCAGAGAGGCAGAATAGTGGAACCGCAAAGTCCCCAGTTTGAAAATTGTGGTTGCTGCTCATTTGCATCATAAGCCAGCCTTAAGGAAGCCGCCTTTGCACTCCCAAATACATTACGGTGATGGTAATACTACTGACCTCCCTCCCAAGGTTGTTGTAAGAATGAACTTAAATAATAATGCCCACAAAGGAGTCCTATAGAACCAACCCTTTTCCTACATCCCTGGCTCCCCTACCCACTGTGTCATTCTTCCATGCTTGAATTACTCTCAACCATTGTTTTTTTCTCCCCCCCCCCCCCCCCCGTTTTCCCTGCAGTTTGTAAAATGTGGCTTTGCTGGGTCAAACTTCCCGGAGCACATCTTCCCAGCTCTGGTGGGCCGCCCTATCATCCGCTCCACCGCCAAAGTTGGCAACATTGAGATCAAGGTGAGTAGCGTCTGTGGGCCTCAGATCTCAGTGTGTGTGATGAGGCCAGTCAAATGCGGTTGGGGGTGGAGGGCTGTTTTTTATTCTGTAATGGATAAGGTGGGGAACCAATGGCCCTCGGCCTAATTTCATGTGGCCCTCAGCATTTCAGATGTTAGGGACCCACTCTTGCTCTCTAGGCTTCTGCTCTAGGTATTGCTTCCTCTTCTGTTTCATGTGTTTGCAAGAGGTAGAGAAACAGCTGTGCAAGAACTTGCCTTATTAAATATCTCCCAGGACAACAACATACACACACAAGGAACTCATAAGTCACTTACTCTCAGCAAGTAGAAATATCATAACTGGAAGGACCTATCAGGAGTGAACATAGACCACTGGTACCAAAAAATAATGGGAAAGTTACTAGAAAAGTTAACCAACAAACTCAAACTAGCACAAGGACAAGGACCTCAGTGTGGTTCCCCTTTATTACATACGCAACACTATCCCCTCCAACTGCATACAAATCAATACGGCTCACCTGACCCAACAACCTAGCCTTCCTCCCTCACACAAATGAACCACACCGCAATCAACTAAACACAACCAACCAAGCTTGGGAACCCCTAACCTCTCACAATATCAATATAAATAAATAAATAAATAAATAAATAAATAAATACACAAATGTGATGCTGACACAACTCCCCCTATACTAAGAACAGGCAATAGAATGAAAGAACAATTTCCCCAGTCCATCTCCCCCTCCCTTTGCCCCCAACTGCAAGATGTCGATGACAAAAATGTTTTGCACCAAACGTAAACGATCTTGTGAAAAAGACTTAAGAATTGAAAGTCAAGACAATAGATGTAACGTTCCCTGTTTATCTGTTTGCTTTGTAACACAAAACCCCCCCAATAAAAACTATTTTTTAAAAAGAGAGAAAAAAAGAAACAGCTGAGCAATTGCAGAGTGCTTAGAAAGCCTGCAGGCCCTCCATTGGAAAAAATGTTCCCCAGCCCTGCCATAAAGTTACTGAGAGGCCCTGGAAGCTTCAAATATAGAATTTTTAGCACTCCTGAGAGTGTGTGTAACTACAGTTACTACAACTGGCGGAAGTGGCATATAACTCACCCACTGCAAGAACAGTATTGGAGTTAAAGTCACCCTGAGGGTTTGTATGCTTGTTTATATGGTCCAACAATCTAACTCCACACTGTTAGTTGGAGTTTGATACCTGTTTGTGTGAAGGGAGCCCAAGTTTTGGCCATGATCTGAAGGCTGATTATGCTCTGTGATGACATGGCATGGGGGCTCATGTATTGCACACGCAGGTGTATAGCTGTAGCCCAGCAGCATAACTATTTATTTATTTATTTATTTAACTTTATATGCCACTTGATTGTAAAAAGCAGCAAAATCAAGAAAAGCAGCAAAATCAAGAAAAAATGACAAGCATACTTAAAAACATACAAAACAAAAAACATACAAAACACTAAAACAGATTAACATACTTAACATACAAAACATACAAAACACTAAAACATACAAAAACATACAAAACACTAAAATAGATTAAGATTACCTCAGCTTTCTAGGTGTCTGGGTAGGCCTGACTAAACAAAAACGTCTTTAGCAGGTCTGAAAAGAGTACATGGAAGGTTCCTGCTTCCTCTCAATAGGCAGGGAATTCCCAAGTTGCAGGCGCTGCCACGTCAAACGATCGAGTTCTTACAAATGCGGATATTATGTGTCACCTGTGGCAGGGCCAATTCCGCCAATTGGCGCGGTCGAGTGGGCACATGGGGGCAGGGTAAGGTGATCTCATAGGTGAGCTGGCCCCAAGTTGTTAGAATTGAATTTTGTTTCTCTTTCCCGTGCCAGGACCTCATGGTGGGAGATGAAGCCAGCGAGTTGCGCTCTATGCTGGAGGTGAACTACCCCATGGAGAACGGGATCGTGCGCAACTGGGATGACATGAAGTACTTGTGGGACTACACCTTTGGGCCCGAGAAGCTCAATGTCGACCCCCGCAACTGCAAGATCCTGCTTACCGAGCCCCCCATGAACCCCACCAAGAACCGGGAGAAGATCATTGAGGTAGGTGGGATGTTATTAGCAGAGGAGCTTTGGAGAAGCCGGGGTCCCAGAGCAGGGGGTGAGAAACGAATTCATCAAACCGTCCCTGCAAGATGTGAGGCTGGATCAGTGTGATGGGATCTGTTGTGGCAGGAGCGAGATAGGCCGCAGAGTTTTGTAAGCTCCTTGAGGCAGGGTCCTGGGTCCTCTTGTATACTTTATAATAATATAAAAAATAAGGAAACCTGGGGAGAGGTTGGGTAACTTGTGTTCTGTAAGTGGGGCTGGTCTTGGCGGCTATTGAAATACAGTGGTACCTCAGGTTAAGTACTTAATTCGTTCCGGAGATCCGTACTTAACCTGAAACTGTTCTTAACCTGAAGCACCACTTTAGCTAATGGGGCCTCCCGCTGCCGCCGTGCCGCCACCGCACGATTTCTGTTCTCATCCTGAAGCAAAGTTCTTAACCTGAGGTACTATTTCTGGGTTAGCGGAGTCTGTAACCTGAAGCGTCTGTAACCTGAAGCGTACGTAACCCGAGGTACCACTGTACGGACTTGGGAATAGCCAGGAATTCTAGGGGTGGCTGAGACTTGTAGAACGAATGCTCATTGCCCATTTCCCCTTGCAACACAGGTGATGTTTGAGACTTACCAGTTTGAAGGAGTCTATATCGCTATCCAGGCAGTGCTGACCCTCTACGCCCAAGGTAAGTCGGAGGCTGGGGTGTGTGATGGGAGAGGCCAGGAGTTAAGCAGTGGTATGGTATTAATGCACGTTAAATCTTTTGGAAGACCCACATGTTTTATTGTTTAAGGGAGACATTGTATTAATTCCCAATCTGTGTCCTGTTAATCATAAAAGGGACGCGGGTGGCGCTGTGGTCTAAACCACAGAGCCTCTTGGGCTTGCCTATCAGAAGGTCGGCAATTCAAATCCCCACGACGGAGTGAGCTCCCGTTGCTCTATCTCAGCTCCTGCCAACTTAGCAGTTGGAAAGCACACCAGTGCAAGTAAATAAATAGGTAGCACTGCGGCCGGAAGGTAAATGGTATTTCTGTGCGCTCTGGCACTCGTCACAGTGTTCTGTTGCTCTAGAACATGGGTAGGCAAACTAAGGCTCGGGGCCCAGATCCGGCCCAATCGCCTTCTCAATCCGGCCCGCGGATGTTCCGGGAATTAGCGTGTTTTTACATGAATAGAATGTGCTTTTATTTAAAATGCATCTCTGGGTTATTTGTGGGGCATAGGAATTTTTTTTTGGAGGGGGGGAATGAACAAATTCCTATGCCCCACAAATAACCCAGAGATGCATTTTTAATAAAATGACATATTCTACTCATGTAAAAACACGCTGATTCCCAGACTGTCCACGGGCTGGATTTAGAAAGTGATTGGGCCAGATCCGGCCCCTGGGCCTTAGTTTGCCTACCCATGATCTAAATCAATGTTGTCTGCAATGGACATCAGCTCTCTGGGTGTTTCAGGTAGGAGACTGGGAGAGATGTCATTGGGGATTGAATCTGGGCGTTATACATGAACAGCCTGCACACTACCACTGAACTATGACATTTAATTTAATGAAAGTATGGGCTGGCATGTTGATGATGATGTTGTGTGGACCCCATGTAAAACTGCATACAAAGGCTGCTGAGATTGCAATATAAGCCCCTAGCAAGAAGCACTTTTAGAAGTGAAAATTTGTCTCACTCATTCACCTGGTTGGTATCAGTTCCCGTTGGTATCCAGCTTCCTTTGAAAAGTCTGCACTGAGTGTACTTTCCCTCCCCATAACAGTTTGTAACTGGTGATTTTATTCATGACCACAATGTTCCAGATCCTTTTCTTCTGTCGATCTGTTGTTGGCTTGCAAGCTGTTTTCAAAGGTTTTGTTAGCAGAGTTCGCGCTGCAGTTAGCAAATGCTGCCAACTCTTCAAATAAAAGAAATTCTGGTATCTGGGCAGGCCCAGGGGAGGAGGCTGCTGGGGTTCCCCCCACCCCCATGTCAGAGTGTGAAGCCTGGCTAGTTAGGGCATTAGACAAGATTGTTGTGTATATATAAAAAAATAGATATAACAGATTTAAAGTCAAATTGTTTGCTGCTATATAGGAAATTAATGTATACATATTTATATATTTTTTCAAGCAAACATTTAAACATTTAAAGCTGAGATTTTAGAGATAATTAGTAATATATTTATCTAGGGAAAAATGATGTTTAACATATTAATATACGTATATTTAAAGATAAATTGTAATACCAAGAGTCTGTATTGCCATTCAGTGCAAAGAGACTGCGGAACGAAATGGTTTTATAGAGCTGGGTGTGTCTTGATTGGCTGGCAAGGTCAGCTGGCTTGTCTTCAGGCCAGTACATATTTCGATTTCTGCTTAGACCTTTGTTTAACAGACACACACACACACACACACACACACACACACACACCCGGTTCAATTCTTGCCTCTTCCATGAACTCCAAAGGTGGCCTTAGGCAATCTAAAATTATCTCAGCTTTGGCCTTCTCTCTGAAGCTTGGGGATAATACAGTGGTACCTCGGGTTACATACGCTTCAGGTTACATATGCTTCAGGTTACAGACTCCGCTAACCCAGAAATAGAGCTTCAGGTTAAGAACTTTGCTTCAGGATAAGAACAGAAATTGTGCTCCGGCAGCGCAGTGGCAGCAGAAGGCCCCATTAGCTAAAGTGGTGCTTCAGGTTAAGAACAGTTTCAGGTTAAGAACGGACCTCCGGAACGAATTAAGTACTTAACCCGAGGTACCACTGTAATTCTCCTTGATGGCCACCTTGCAGGGTTGTTGTAAAAATTAGATACACACACACACACTGTGTGAAGAGGTTTGTACACTTTGAAAATGCTACTGAAACAGTCTGTTGCCTTAATTAATATGAAAACCTTTTTTTCAGGCCTTCTCACAGGCGTGGTGGTCGACTCTGGGGACGGTGTCACCCACATCTGCCCAGTCTACGAGGGCTTCTCCTTGCCCCACCTCACCCGTCGGCTGGACATAGCGGGGCGTGACATCACACGCTACCTCATCAAGGTGAGGGCTGCAGAGGCCGTCGCTGGCTTTCTTCCCCTAGGTGTGGGGATGCCACATAGGGCATCAAAGAAATGAGTGAGCAGGATCTGCTGAAACCCTTTCGTGAAGCTGGAGCACCTGTGTATCAGCAAGTAGGGAGCGCCTGTATCAAAATACTGCTGTGTAACCTCACCTCCTAACAGGAGGTGCTCCTGTTCAGAATATCAGCCCTCCAGGATTCCCCCACCGGCGTACTAATATAAGCTAGGCCATTTCACACAAACACACCACCCATCATGTTCCATTTGTAGCCAGTACTTAACATTCCACAGCTACAGACATGCTCAGTCCTCCTCCTGTTGTTTTTGAGGATATATTTCAAAAACCTGCTTCCCCCTTGGGCCCTTGTAGGGGGGTTGGACTAGATCAGAGCTTTCTAAACCGTGTCATGCCACGTGTGTCGGCTGCAGTCTGTAGGTGTTTTGCGTGAACACTCCCAGCACTCTGCTTGTGGCTGGAAAGGGGTTTGTTTAACCTCCGGTTTGCTAGTAAAACGGAATTACTGTGTCACAAAAAGATGCACATCTAAAAAGTGCGTCGCCAACATGGAAAGTTTGGAAAACTAGAGGATCCTCATAGTTCCAACTCTTCAATTCTATATGATGCCAATTTTGTTGGCACTCACTACTATGAGTATGCTATTGGCGGGAGCTGTACTGCTCTGCTGCCTCTCTGTGTGGAGGTTTTATATTTCTAGCTATCCTATGTACTAATAGTGAACACAGTTCTCCAAAAGTGTGGATCTTTGTTTATCTTCCCTTTTCCATTTCCCCCCATTTTTCTTTTGCAACTGGCATTTTGTGGCTATTGAGCATGCCCAAATCTCACTGGGCTGGGTGGGGTGTTGTTGGTTTTTTTGGCCAGGGGTGGGGAGGTGCATTGCCTCCTTAGTTTTACTCCCCCACCTTTCACACTGGCCTAGTTTTGTTTCTATTTCTCCTAACTTGACTAATTTAACTATAATGGAGTGTGTTACGAATTGACAGTGTCAGAGACCATTATTTCCTAAGTACAGAAACTTTTGCCTTCTTGTTATCAACACTTTCCTTCTTGAACACCTTCCTTGCTGGAAAAAGATAGGTTTAGAATTGTGTGTTTGTTACACAGAGGCTGTGCCTATACTTTTCAGGGGTGTGTGTATGTGCCTCCACCATCTCTCAAGAAGGCAAGTAAATACGCCCCATTTATTTATTTAGTTTCTAGGAATGTGAGGTGGGCGGAGTGCTTCAGGGGTGAGTGTGTGCGCGCTTAAGAATCCTTGACAGAAGTTTTTCAGCACCTTCGCCATGAAATATTCCCAGGATGCTTTGCAAGGGGTGGGTGGAAGCCATTAGCAATGACAGCTGATACAATGCAACTGATGGTTTTCTGCTTTGACAGCTCTTGTTGCTGCGTGGATATGCCTTTAACCACTCGGCTGACTTTGAGACGGTCAGGATGATGAAGGAGAAGCTGTGCTACGTCGGCTACAACATTGAGCAGGAGCAAAAGCTAGCTCAAGAGACGACCGTGCTCGTGGAGTCCTATACGGTAATTATTAGCTGAGTTATTAATTACTGTTGGCGGGATTTCTTGCCTGTCCTTCACCATAAGAGCCCTAGGATGAGTTACAAGAATGTTAACTGTATAAAATATTGCAACCAGTTTAAATGAGTTAGAAGGATAGGATTGGTCCTAAAGCATATATATAACTTGGTTGTCAAAGCCCAGAGCATCTCAATGCATCTCAGCATGCTACAAAAACTGTAGAACGAGTGTGTCTGACCCATCTCTGTTCAGGAGAGAATTCCACAGTTTAAGGGCTGCCCCAGGGGATGTCCCGAGCCATGCCACCCCCTGCTCTGAAATTGATAAATATAAATTTATCTATTTAAAATTTCTATACAGTGGTACTTTGGTTCTCAAACTTAATCTGTTCTGGAAGTCCGTTTGACTTCCAAAGCGTTGTAAAAACAAGGCACGCAGTAATGCAAAATGGATTAATCCGTTCCAGGCTTTTGAAAACAACTCCTAAAACAACAATTTAATATGAATTAACAGTCACACAATCAATCTATCAATCAATCAATCAATCAATCAATCAATCAGTAAGTAGCTGAGCTAGGTTCCATACAGTCACAATAACAAATTAACCAAAAAAGCCGCAAAAACAAAAGCACAAAATAAGTAGCAAAAATAAAAGCGGCAAAGATAAGCTCCAAATATCACCTCCATGTTGCGTGGGTGCTCGGGACTCACCAGCTGACAGACCTCAACGTATCACTCAAAACAGAAGTGTGGCACTCAGAACGGAGCATGTTCGGCTTCCGAAAAATGTTCACAAACTGGAACGCTTACTTCCAGGTTTGTGGCGTTTGAGTTCCGATTTGTTTGACAACTAAGCTGTTCAAAAACCAAGGTACCACTGTAGTTAAAAAGTATTTCTAAACCACTTAATGTTCTAAGATCTCTAAGCGGCATATAAAATTTACAGTATAAAACCCAGTCAAAACAGTATTACAAAAGCAGGAATTCAGGAATCACAAAGTGCAATCTTAGGAATCAGGGAAAGCCCAGGCTAAAGGATGTGTTTTTACAGGAAGCTTGTTCATGTAACCAGGGGTGGGAAATGCCCCTTCTCAAGTCACTGCCCTGTTGTCCATGAGGAAAATTTCCCCAGATGATTTCAGTGACCTTACAGGTCGAATGAATGGAACGAGGAGCAGAGAAAGGGGAAGATCATGTTTGCAAAGTGATTGTGGCAGGGGCCGTAAATTAGATCAGGAGTGGAAGTGGGGGCGAATGTGGCTTTTCAGGCTCCTCCATCTGGTCCTGAAGATTCTTCCCTCCATGAATGTTTTTGCCTGGCTGGAATGTGTCTTTGGTCTCTGCTCATGCCTCTTTCTTCCCCTGGCTGGAAGGCAGAGGAGGGGGACATGCCCCACAGCCTACTAGTGTCACCCTTTCTTGTTTCGCCCCTACAGCTTCCGGATGGACGGGTGATCAAAGTCGGGGGCGAGCGCTTTGAGGCCCCTGAGGCCCTGTTCCAGCCCCATCTCATCAACGTGGAAGGAGTTGGTGTGGCTGAGCTCCTCTTCAACACCATCCAGGCAGCGGATATCGACACCCGGTGAGGGGGGCGTTGCCCAGGAGGATGTGGGGGGCATCTCTAGAGGTTAACGTGGGACAGACTTTAGGAATATGTTTCTGAATTGACCCGAATGTGGGTGATGGGGCTTGTCAGCCTGGGAAGGTAGCCCATCTAAGAGAAGGAAAACTCTGATCCTAAGCCTCCACTCTCTTGAGGGACCTCTTCTGGTCCCTCAGTGTGGTGTAGTGGTTAAGAGCGGTGGACTCGTAATCTGGTGAACCGGGTTTGCTTCCCTGCTCCTCCACATGCAGCTGCTGGGTGACCTTGGGCTAGTCACAGTTCTCTGAAGTCTCTCAGCCCCACTCACCTCACAGAGTGTTTGTTGTGGGGGAGGAAGGGAAAGGAGAATGTTAGCTGCTTTGAGACTCCTTAGGGTAGTGATAAAGCCGGATATCAAATCCAAACTCCTCTTCTTCTTCTTCTGGAGAAGAAAAGGCTAAAGAGTAAATCCTACACAAATCCAGAGTGGAGTCCCTGAGACAGTCGGATGGCGCCTTGTATGCCTCCTTCCGGCAACTCCCGCAGCCAGGCTGGGGCCAAACATCTTGCTCTACTTCCTTTGGACCACATCAGAGAGGCTGAGAAGGGGGCCTTGTTGCCTGGACAGCCCAGGACCTCCATACACACTGCCCAAGCTTTGTGCCCCGGGGAGGTCACTGTGGTGCTGCTAATGCAGTGGTTTGACTTCATCCCCGGAGGCGCACTCCGTTGTCTCGAGACAGACAGCTGCCAACAACAACTTCTCCTGATGTTCAGACTGTACATGTCGTTGCATGTGGTAGACAAAACAGTCCCATGCATGCACTTGGGGGGAGGTATCTGTTTGGGAAAATCCTAAGAAATTCAGAAGTACAAAGGGCGGGGGGACCCTTTTGGACAAAGGCCTTAAAGGTGTGGGTGGGAGAACTCCTAATAGCCCCGTGAAGGACTTAAGCATGTTTAGTAGGGACAGAATACTGACTGATTGTATGGTGGGAAAGGATATGGGCGGCTAACTGCAACCTTGAACAGGAATTTGAGTCATTTGGCAAAGAAAACAGGGAGGGGGGAAGGAATAGAATCTCCTGAGAAAGGGCATGGCTGTAAATTGGTCTCAGTGAAGAGGAGCACTCTGCACTGCAACATTTTGCTGCAGGTCCCCACTTGTTCTCTCTACGACAGATGGGCAGAGGCGGCTTTCCTCAATCACCAGCTTGCTCTAGTGAGAAATTTCAGTGGGGACCCGGCCGGCTGTGACTGTCTCTTTCTCCCCTCTTCCTAGATATAAAAGCATTACGGTTCTCCTCTACCCCCCCCCCCCTTTTATATTATCATAGGGCTGAGTTTTACAAACACATTGTGCTTTCTGGGGGTTCCACCATGTACCCAGGACTGCCTTCCCGCCTGGAGCGTGAGATCAAACAGCTGTACCTGGAACGGGTGCTGAAGGGGGATGTGGAAAAGTTATCGGTGAGTTGGGGGGTTGTTTGGGGGGGTGCTGTAATGGGGCATGGAGCTGCTGCCCCCTAGTGGCCTCTCTGAGGGGAGGAGGGATCTAGTCAAACTGGGGAGAGACACAACAGTGAGTGGAGGTGACAGGTTCCTTGCTGTTTGCTTTCTTTTAAACCCCCCCTTTTTTTCCTCTCTCTCTTCCAGAAATTCAAGATTCGCATTGAGGACCCTCCCCGCCGGAAGCACATGGTCTTCTTGGGAGGGGCAGTGCTCGCAGACATCATGAAAGACAAGGATACCTTTTGGCTGCAACGGTCTGAATATCTCGAGAAGGGGGTCCGCATCTTGGAGAAGTTGGGGGTGACTGTGCGATAGGACCCCCCCTCTTTCCATTTCCCTTGCCCTGATGCATTCCAGCCCAATTTCTTATTCTGTTGAGCCACCACTGTGCAGGATGTGGGTGGGTCAGTGAAATAATCTTTTTTTAAACAAATACCGTTTGGGGAAAATAGGAGAAGCATTCCAAGCATCTAGTTATTGTCTTCCTTGCTTTCCCAAGTTCATTGTCCTCATGGAGCTTACAGGAGCAAGCCCCATCACACAGGAAAGAGCTTCTCCCCACCCACACTGGGGTGGGGGACGCACATGTTTAGGGGCCAAAGGTCAGTATTCTCCACCTCTTGCAAGTTTCACACTCCACATTATCTCCTGTGCAGCACATGCTGCAAATGTTTGCTCAGGGAAATCCATCCATTCCCATCCTCCCTTCTTTCGCTTTAATGGAAAGGAAGCAAGTGTCCAGACCTCATGGCTGTGAGATCATATGCTTAAGCATGGGATCAGGGAGAGTTTGGCAGGGTGGGGGCGGCAGCACTTGACTGCTGGCCTAAGTCTTCGCTTTCCCTCTGCTCCCTGCAAACATCTCACATCTCATTCCTTTCCCATGCTGTCGTCTTCCCTCAAGTGTAGCTGAACTGCACAGCTTTGGCTTCATTACCAAGCCAGAGAATAATTATAAGGAGAAATCTATTTTACTTGTGTATTCTGAGTTTTCTAAAGACTACTCTTTCAAGTGGCTACGATTTTAGGATTGTGTAAGGGCGGTGACACCCCCCCTCTCTCTCTCACACACACACACACACCAGTTGTAGGCTTCAGTGATGGAACATGCACACCACAATTGTTTCTGACTTGTTTCCAGGTTCAGCAACACTCCTTTCATTGGTGAGGGTAGATCAAGCGAGGGCAGGGGGGCAGAGACAGCAATAGATCAATATTTAATATGGTGCCATGAGGGTGCTGGGTAAGGGTCTCCCATTGCTGGCCTGCAAAGCAGCTTTGCTGTTTGCTGGTTGAGCTAGCATCCTCTAATACAGGCATGGCCAAACTTGGCCCGCCTGCTGTTTTGGGACTACAACTCCCATCATCCCTATCTAACAGGACCAGTGGTCAGGGATTATGGGAATTGTAGTCTCAAAACAGCTGGAGGGCCAAGTTTGGCCATGCCTGCTCTAATACATTGGTGCACTGGATCCTTCTTTCTTCTCTGGGGCCCCAACATCACACCACCCATTTTCCTTTCCCCATACGAGTTGAAATCAAAACTGCTGGCAAAGACCCCGCACTTTGCAGGCGCCAATCAGCTGGTTGCCGGAGTCTGCAAGGTGCTGTGTATGCTTGGCTCACTGCCAGCATCAATCAGATGACTGTTGCTGCTGACAGCAAGCTCCGCTTGCAAAGGGACAATTGAGAGCTCCCCTTAAGAAATTCACTTGTTTTGGTTTTTTAAAATTCCATGGGCTTTGGGGCGGGGAAGGAGCTCCTGTACAGTTTATGGCCTTCGTGCTCCTATGGAAGGCATAGTTGCTCCACCAAATTTGGGGAAGGAGGGAGGGGAGTGAAATAAAGGAAGCTGCCAATTTTATCCCAAAGTATTATTCCCCATCACTGCCATATTCTGCCCTTCTCTTTCTCCTCAGGCAGTCCCAAATATTTGTTTCCTAAAAGTGGGGTAGGAGGCGATGAAGAGACAACCTGGTTCACTTGAGGTTGGGACCCCCTGTTGTAGTTATAGGACAACTAAAACTTGCTTGCCAGCTTATAAATGCCCAGGCAGTTGGGCATTATCTGCCTGTTCCCTGCCCCCAACCAGAAAGGTCTCCTCTCTCTCTTTGCCAGGAGGAGACAGTGTGTTCCCCCCACTTTGCACACTCATAGAATCATAGAATAGTAGAGTTGGAAGGGAACCCTGGGGTCATCTAGTCCAACTCCCTGCAATGCAGGAATCTCAGCTAAAGCATCCCTGACAGATGGCCACCTAACCTCTGCTTAAAAACCTCCGAGGAAGGAAAGTCCACCACCTCCCGAGGGTGTCCGTTCCACTGTCAAAACAGCTCTTATTGTCAGAAATTTCCTCCTGATCTTGAGTCGGAATCTTCTTCCTTGTAACTTGAAGCCATTGGTTCGAGTCCTACACTCCAGAGCAGGAGAAGACAAGATTGTTTTTGGTGTGAGGATGAATGGATGGGTCCACTCCATACTGGCCCCCTCCCCAATTTTGTTCTTTGTATCAACTTCAGGAGAAGGTGCAAGAAGTCACCTTCCTAATTCTTTTGGTATTTTGTTTTGGTATTATTATTTTTTGGGGGAGGGAGGAATAAGCTTGATTTTTTTAAAAAACGGATCTGCTTTTCAAAACTATCCATGTCTCTGGTTTTCTGTTTAGCAACAAGAACAATCAGCTAAATACCTGGTGGTGGCAACTGGGGGCATGAGATGGTGTTGGGGCACCAGGGAGTGAAGGACCACTGATGCTTATCTCAGCACTGGGGAGGGAGCAAAGTAGCAAGAGGGGCTGGGGGCAAAAGCGGGCAGAACAACAACAAAAACACACACACATCCTGCCACAGTTTCATGTTTTTTAATAAATTTAAGAACAGCCCCGTTCAAACCCTGTTCTGTCCCTCCCCTCCCCCCCACCCCTCCCCAAAGTGGCAACAGCAAAAAAACAGAACTAGGGCTAGGAGTCATAATCCTCCTCGTCTTCCTGGGCTGGCGCAAGCGGCGCAGGTGGGGGCGCAACTGGCACCGTCCCCATTGGTGCAGCGACAGGCAGAGGTATTGCGGGAACCGGCGGGGAAGTGAAATGTAGATACGGTGTTGGAGCACTGCAGGGGGAGAAAAAGGGGGTCGGATTAGTGTGCAGGCCAAGGCACTTTTTCTATAGATTGGGGGTGGTGAAGATCTTTTCCAGGCCTGGGGTGTGTGCCTGTGGCCCTCCAGGCGCTGTTGGACTACAACTCCCAGCACTCACAACCATTTGCCATGCTTGTTAGGACTGAGTCGGGAGCCCAGGAATATCTGGAAGGCTGCAAGTCGTCCCTGTCCCCTCTAGGCTCAGAAACAGATCAGGGTTTCTTTGGTGAGGAGAACAAATAACAGCAGCCTAGACTTTAAGCCAAGGCTGGTGCCAGGATTGAAAGGGGCCATAGCAAAGTGGCATCCGGTCCCTGCCCCCAAAACACACAGACGTCAACAGTTTTGAGGCAGCCGACAACAGCACTTGAATCCCAGCTTGACGGCTAAAAGGGCAGAGCTCCCAACCACAATTCCTGACACACTGCTGGCCAAATGCAATAAGCAGGAGCACACTGAAAATATTACGTGGAGAGATGTGTGGCAGGTCGCACAGGAGGAGGGGCGATGTGGGACACTTCCTCCTCCCCGTTGCTCTCGCTGTCTTCAGAGTCGTCCTGCACAGGCCGGAGAAAAAAAGGGTCACCACGGAACGATGCTATGCTCTTGATGCCAGCCTATCATTTACTCGGAGCAGCCAAGCTAGTTGGATCCTGCAGCCACATCTTTTGCCCTTCTAGGCAGGCAGCTGAAATGTGTTTCCTGGGCTGCTTCCAGCCCAGCAGACCCGATTCACACTGCTGTGCAGGGACAGTGCACTGAACACAACAGGAGCGGGGAACCTGAGACTTGTGGGCCAAGCGTGGCCCCCCTAAGCCTCTCCATCCAGCCCTCAGGACCCTCCCCCCCGGCCACACCCGGACGCCTCTTGCTTGCTTGGAAGGAGGGGAGAGGGGTTTGTATGTGCGCAGGCAAACTAGCCTACTGTACAAAGGGAAGATTCACCTCCATTGCTGGATGTGGCCCCAGGGAGGCTGCCTAGAAAGGAATGCGGCCCTTAGGCTGAAAAAAGGCTCCCCACTCCTGGGATACAACCAACATCACTGCCTCAGCCCACTGCTTGGAGGCTGGACAGTCTAAAACAACATAAGAAAAGAGGGTGGAATATTGAGGAATAAACTGTGTATGTCCGATGAAGTTGGGCTGGAATCGGGGCATGGCATTGTGGGGCACTTGCCAAGGCCTCACTGCCCACCCACTGAGCCCCCTGGCTATGCTCAGCTCGCTCCTTGCGGTTGTGGCCTGCTCAGCTGCCCATCCCAAGTGTGAGTGAGCAGGGAGGCCTCAGCACAACAGTCCCTGCCTGCCTGCCTTGCTGCCGCCTCCTGGGCAGTGCGGCCTGGCAGGCCCAGAAGGGAAGCATACGGGCCGTGAGCACAGTGGCAAGCGGGGGGAGGCCACAACTTCACCCCCCTGTGAAGAATCACCGCTGAGATGAGGCAAGGGTGGCTCCAAAAAAGTTAACCATCTATAGATAGCAGAAAGGGAAGGGGCCGAAGCAAGAGGGTGGTTTTTCCAAGCAAAACCACCAGGGGGAAGGAAGATGAACAGCAGCCGCTTTGGGTTTCTGTTCACACAAACAGAAACCGAAAGTGGGTCAAGAGACTGTACATGGGCATCCACCAAGGGGGATGACGATACAGTTGATCCCCCTCCCTGGATGACCTGCTTCGTCCTCTCTGTGGCTTACTCCACCCGGAAAAATTCCTGCGGGCGCCCATACGGCCCGCATTTTTCTATGGTTGTTCAGGATTTCATTTAAAGGAGGGAGGGAGGCGGGATGAGAAAAGAAAGAGAAAGGAGGAGGAAAAACAGGGTCAGATGATTAATTAACTTTTTAAAAAGTGTTTCTGGACTGCAATTAGAAGAGGGTTTCAGTTTCTGAAGACACTCAAAACCACGCCAGCCCACCTCTTGCTCCGAGTCTGTGCCCGACTGCTTCGGATCCCGTCCTTTGCCTGGGCCGCCGTTCTTTCGCCCAGTGCCAGGTTTCCGGCCCCTGAACCAGAGAGGAAAAGAAAGTGGAGACAGGTGTGCGGAAGAGGCCTCCAGGTTAGGCTATGCAATGCGTTGTCATGGGGCTGCCCCTGAATACCATTTGGAAACCGGGGCTCAATTGCTGGCTTTGACCTTTACCGCCTTGCAAAGCTCAGGACCCCTATCTCTAAAGGCTGCCTTCCACTATATAAACCTCCTGAACCCTGAGATCATGTCCCCCATTGCCCTTCTCTGCATCCCACCTTTGAAGGAGTTCCAGAGAGTGGCGAGAAGAGAAAGGGGCCTTTTCTGTGGTAGCTCCGCACCTCTAGCAAGCTCTCCCCAAGGAGGTCTGCCTGGCACCAACCTTGCCAGGCCAAGACATTTTTGTTTTCCTGGTCATTTGGGCAGCACCAATGATGGGATGTGTTGTTGTTTCTTGCTTTGACTACATTTTGAATATAATGATGCATTTTTATTCATTACTGCACCTCACTCGTCCTGTAAATTGCTTCAGGGACTTTTGCTGGGGGAGTGATTCATATAATTAAATACACCTAAAGCAAGCCTCCCCAGGAAAAGTCTCCACTTTCACCAGGCAGACACAAACAGCGGCTCAGAAACTGATGCTTTACCCCCTGGCTACGGCCCAACACATGTCATGTGTAGTCACTGAGAGCTGAAATTCCTGGTTCTAGTCTTAGCTCAGCCGGACTGGTCTCTTGACAAGGCTGGGGAAGCTGCGGTCCTCTGGAGGTGTGTTTACTTAATCTCCCGCCATCCCTGGTTGGGGGGTTGATGGGAGTTTGAGCTCAACAATATCTGGAGGGCCTCCAATTCCCCATCCTCAGCCTCCCACTCACAATTTAACAAGGACAATACTAGCCAACTTGCAGGATGGTTGCAAAGGTTCCTGAAGCAGAAGCAAGCAAGTATTCATATTATGGGAAAAACCTCCCCATCTCCCCCCTTTAGCAAAGATCAGATTAGGGGAGAGGGACAGAACTTCCTCCAGTGTCTCCCATCCCACCCATTATGAAGGAGGTTATCTTAGGCCAGATCAGATTATTCATCCATCTAGCCCCGTACTGTCTACTCTGTCTTGCAGAGGCTGTCCAGGGTCTGAGGCTGAGAAGGATCTTAGCCATCTCCTGCCAAATGGCCATTTTTGGGAAAGTGGAGAGATGCAATCGGGGATCGAACCTGGGACCTTATGCTACGGGGGCTTCCCCTCCCTTCCTACCTCCTGGAAACTTTCTCCCCCTCCATGAGGTTATCCTCCGTGTCTCCTTGCATATCTGGCACAGAGGCAACAAGGTCCTTCAGGAAGTCAAACTGTTGCTCCAGCTCTATGCATTGTTTCCTGCAAAACCAGATGACAGGCTTAGATGGGAAATCCAGACACAGCTGATGCAGTGACAAAACTTCTCTTTAAAATCAGGGGGACGGGGAGACAAGTTTCTAGCCCTCATGGTTTCAAATAAAGGTTACTAGATTTGCGAAGGCAGGCAGCTAGCTGCCTTCAACTTAGTGGGACTGTTGATGTTTCTCCAATGGGCCAGGGACCACCAGTGGGTCTTAAGTCTACTTTCAAGGGTGCTTCAGGGCCACAGCTCACACAGTGCTTCCTCACTCTTCCATTGTGGCCTCTGACTTTTGGGAGGAGCAATGCCAGCAAACCTGTATGCTTGGTAAAGGTGGGTGGGAAAGAGAAATAAAGAGAAAGAGAAAGAGGCAGGGGAGGGAAGGAAGGTCTCACTCCTCTGAAAGGAAGAAGCCAGAGGAGGTACTGAAGGAAATCAGAAAGAAAGAAAGTTATTTTTTTAAAGTAAATGAAACAAAAAGGAATATGATAACAGTCTAAAGCTGCTGCAGAAGGAAGAAGTGAGTGTAAAAGGAGTGGGCAGAAGGAATGAGAGAAACTGGGAAGTTTGGAGGGGGGAATTAGATACATGTATGAAAGAAAAAGACGAAATAACAGGAGGTAAGTAAGTAAAAAATACTTTTGAGAGGCATGGTTGGGGGAAATAAACAGTTTAAAATAAAAACACTTTCTGCACTTCAAGCCAAAGCACTTGAAGCTCAACAAATTCTGCCTGATACGGGGAGGCTGAACTGCAATACTTCCACAGCCAATGCCTGTGCTTACTTTGAGGAAAGCTGAACTGGGGAACTCCTTGCCACAAGGAATATACACATTTCCAAAACGGGATTAAAAACCGCCCCCCTTTCATGACTGGCTCTGCCCCTGCACCTTGATGTGCAGCCGGTACTCACAAGTGCGATGTGGTCATGGTCTTGGCGTTCCTGGACTGCGTCACGTGACAGGCCTTCTTCAGTAGCGATTCTAGAAAGAGCTCCAGCGCCCGAGCTTGGGGAGACCTACAGTTAAGGGATGCTGTGAAGGGAGCCACCCCCCCAACCCCCTGACAATGTGCAGAGAGTGCAAAGCTTCACACAGGAGGCTGCCTGAGGTCAGATTTGCCCATCCAGTCCTAGGGAACTTGTCAGGCCCCCCAAATATAGTGGGACAACAGCTTCATCCTCATCCCTGAGCATGGGCCATCCTGCCTGGGGCTGACTAGCAGCAGGTCCCTGCTGGAAAAAAAATTCACATATTGCATCCAATATGCCCCTTTGGTTTTAGATAGTACATGAGTAGACGTGTCTAAAATGCCTGGGACGCAAATTTTCACAGCCCTCTAGGGGCAATGGTGGCTCATTTACCAGAAGTAATTTATTCAGTGTTAGCTCTGGAAGTGTATTCACTATTCCAGGGCTCAGCAAACTTTTTCAGCAGGGGGCCGGACTATATTTTGAAAAAAAAAAAAATGAACGAATTCCTATGCTCCACAAATAACCCAGAGATGCATTTTAAATAAAAGGACACATTCTACCCATGTAAAAACACACTGATTCCCGGGCCAGATTTAGAAGATGATTGGGCCGGATTAGGCCCCAGGGCCTTAGTTTGCCTACCCATGCACTATTCTGACCAAACTATGCCTCCTAGAGCAAAATATATGTAGGAGGCTTTGTTTGGTCGGAATCGAATTCCTACAGGTTCCTCAAGCCATCTCCTTGGGGCGAGACACATTCCCCCACTTGGCCTCCTTGCACTTCTCCCCAAGGCTTGGCGGGCGGGCGGATCCAGGCGATGTGACGAAAAGGATACAGATAATCACAGGAACAGCCGCCGCCACCTTGCCAATCTCCTCGTCAGTCTGCATTATCTTCTTGATTCGAGCCTTTTTAAAAACAAAACATGGAGAATGGAAGAGGGTATTAAAACGGAACCCTGGCTTCTCAGATTTCAGCTGGACTTAGCCAAACAGCCTGTAAGATCTAGAAATTTTGTTTCCTGAGTTTGAAAAAATTCAACTTGGCTGGTCACAAAGCTGAATCACATCCCTGGTAGTCACCACATTTTACATGCCTGTGGAATCACAGAATACAACCCCCACCTCCAACCACTCGATAATAACCAGGGCCTTGAACTGGCGCCTTGGAAACTAGCTGGAAGACCAAATTTGACACACTGTACTTCACCCCTATTAACAAGGGAATGCGGCTGTGTGCATGCCATCCATTTAAAGCACATGACACCCCCCCCCAAAGTATCTGTAATTTATTAAGGGTTCCGGGAACTGTAGCTGAGTTTAGAGTAATCTATAGTTCCCAGGATTCCTTGGAGGAAGCCATGTGCTTCAAATGTGATGTGTGCGCATGGCCACAGTGGTGGTGCCTCACTTCCCAACAGGGGTAAACGACAGAGGGCATCAGTGCCACCGGTTTGCCAGCTAGCTCCCAAGTCTAGTTCAAGGTGCTGGTTATAATTACTGCAGAGGTGACGTCTGAACTGGAGGCTTTCTGCTTAGGTGGAACAACCACTCATTAGGTGGTCCTAGAAACAAACACTAGGAAACACTTTAGAAATTGAAGAGGTAATCCTGGAACTCAACCTCAGCCCAGGGGATCATCTATTTTGGAAGCCCAATGGTCCAACTCTGTAGCCCACAGAGTAAAAAAACAACTCAACAACAAAACCTCTAAGGGCTCCTCTAAGCACATGCAGAGTGCATCCCCCCCCCGAATACTATTAAGTGACTTGGACTGGGTGACCAAGGCTCAGCATCTCTCCTAAGCACTAAACCAGGGAAGGGGAACCTATTGCCCTCTAGACTGATGGGAGCTGGGGCGGCCATGGATTTCCCCGGCCCTGCACTAAAGCCTTCCCCTGAACTCTGCCTTGGCACCTGGGGTGCAGCAGGGAGCTGCCAGTGAACAACCAACTTGGGTAAAAAGACACACTGCTCTCGGGAAGCTAGCTTTTCAGCATCGCACCCAGGTTGTCCCATGGGTTGGCAGGAAGGACTGTGCTGCTGGGCTTGCTGAAGGACAGCCCTCAGGCACCCTTGTCTGCCAGAGTCAAGAAAGGCTAGGATCCACTGCTGGGCAAGAGAGTGGGGCACCTGGGGCATTGCGATGCTTGAAGTGGAAATGCCCAGCCTAGCTTCACAGGGGTTGGGTGGAGAGACCCATAGTTCAGTGCCAGAACACAGGATTTGCATGCAAACTCAAGTCTTCAGCATCTCCAGATCAGTGTAGACCAGGAGTGAGGAATGCTTTTTAGGCAGAAGGCCAGAATCCCTTGTGGACAAGTTTCTGGAAGGGGGAGGACCAGAGGCAAAAAGCAGATAGAACTCCTGCCTTTGTGGAGCAGGCTGCATTCCGACATGCCAAATTCACACACACAACGCACTCTCCACCCAGGCTAGCAAGAGGCCTTATCTCAGTCAAGGACATTTCTCAGCCGAGCCAAGACAAAACACTCAGGGAAGGAAGGGAGGGAGGCCAGTATGGGGTGTGGCCTGGGGAGCAGATACTGTCAACTGAGAGTCCCAAGGTCCCGGCTGAACATCTTAGAGAGCCCCATCTGCTCCCCAGCATGAGGTTCCCCATCTCTGGTTTATACTGGGCTAGGTGGACTGGTGGTCTGACTCTGTCTAAGGCAGATTCAGGCAGGTAGCCGTGTTGGTCTGACGCAGTCGAAATAAATTAATAAATTAATAAATTGTCCAATAGCACCTTAGAGACCAACTAAATTTGTTCTGGGTATAAGCTGAAGTGTGCATGTCTAAGGCAGTTTCCTATGTGAATTAGCTGTTTATCCAGAATCATGAGGGCAGGAGTCTTGTTTCTGTTTTAGGGTGCAAGAACACATGCTTTACATGAAGAAGGTCCCAGATCTCCAGGTAAACCCCATAACCTCCAGTTAAAAAGGATCAGGCAGCAACTGATGGGAAAGACGCTGGCCGGCCTGAAATTTCAGACAGAGGAAGAGGATTGATGGGAGTTGGAATTTACCAACACCTGCAAAGTCACGCGCTTCTCAACCCTAAGGAAAGCCCAATCCTATGCATTTGTGCTCCAAAGTAAATCTCATGGGTTTTACAACTCTCATGCTTGTACAAGTCAAAGGATAGCAGGACATGTTCCAGGAGAGGCTCACATGTGTCCCTCCAGATTTTTAAAATTTTAATTTAATTAAAAAAATTAATTGAAATATAAAATCTTACATTCAGCTAGGAAAATTAAACCAAATTGTTTTTCAAATGACAAAGCAGAATAAAGTAAAAATTAAAATTAAAATACATAATCATATTCATGTTCTTATTATGTATTTTGTGTTTTTTATATTGCAATTTTAAGTTGTGAACCGCCAATAACAATAATAATAATAATAAACACTGTCCCAAAAGGCAGTGAAAAGATAAAACAGCCAATGTTGTAATAATGTCCTATACAAATGTATCATGAGTCCATCCATGCTTGGAATACATGTGGGTGATCAGCAGTCTCTTGATCACTCAATCACAAAAAGGTTTTTGGGACCAAGGAAAGAAGGAAGGAAGGAAGGAAGGAAGGAAGGAAGGAAGGAAGGAAGGAGAAGAGGTTTTATAAAATGATGAAAGGTGCAAAGAGACAAAAATAATCTGTCTTGCTCCAAACACAGGAACCCAGGTTTTCCACCAAAATTGTCCAGCAGCAGCACTTTGGACAGAGAAAAGAAAATGCACCCCCTCTTCAGAAAGCCCTTCTACAAAAGAGGCACCCACCAAGAAGCCTTACTATAAGACCTCAGGTTGGCCCAGGACCCAACAATCAACATTAGCAAATAGCAGAGGAAATAAACTCAGACCTATTCCATGCCAGGAGAGGGAAACCTGCTTCCCTCCAGGTGTTGCTGGACCACTGACCATGCTGGCAGGGGCCAATGGGGGCTGCAGTCCAACAACAGTTCTGGAACTAGTGGCCATGCAGATGTGGGCAGACTCCAACTCCCATCAGCCCCAGCCAACATGGTCAATGTTCAGGGATGATGGGAGTTGTAGTCCCAACAACTTCTGGAGGGTCATGGATTCCTCAGGAGCCAGATTGTATCTTGCAAAGGCCACAGAGAGCAGAGGGCACATCTTCCACAGGGGCTACAAAAGCCAATTTCCATTGGCGAGGGGGTTTGTCTATCAGGTCAGGGAACCAGTTCCTGTTCAGTTGTTGTTGCACGACACCTTCCGTCATCCCTGACAAGTGACAAGGGACCACACTGGCTCTGGCCGATGAGAACTGCAATCAAGCAAAATCTGGAGGTGCATCAAGCTTATTCGAAGGAGGATTTTGTTTTGTATTTTATTGGAAAACGGGCTACACTCACTGAATTGCTAAAGCAGAAAACCTCTCCTATGGGTTTTCTCTTCTGTGCGGAGGGATCAGTTGCCTGTGTGTTCGGGGTTACATTTTATTCCCTGGAGCAGGAAGGCAGTGGGGGTGGGGGAGGCAGGCTTGTGTGTCTATTCCAGGAGTGGGGAACTTTTGGCCTTCCAGATGTTGCAGAATTATGACTCCCAGCAGCCAATGGCCAGGGGGTGATGGGAGTTGTAGTTCAGCAACATCTGGAAGGCCAAAGCTTCCCCATACCAGGTCTATTCTAATAAACAGCAAAAATAAGGGGTTCTTAAGACTTCTATAGGCAAGCAGGCACGAGTGTCTTTTAGGGAGGGGTCTGTATTACCTGCTTTCTTTTCCCTCACCACCCCCCTTTCCACATCTTGCTTGAAGCATACGGGAGGTACGGGGGGGGCAAGTAAAAGGGAAGTAATTCATTTGCCGCCTTGATTAATTTATTTAGGCAGCCACCCTAGCCGTGTCTACTCAGCAGTTTCAATGGGGTCCCCCCTCCCCAGCTTCAGCGGGCTTAAGATCGCAGCCTCAAACTCTCTGGGGATTCTGCAGCGGCCGGGGTGGGGTGGGGAGGAGGGTGGCAGTCCAGGAAGCAGCCCCGGCACTTTTTGCTCCCTTCCTCCGGGGCAAGAGGGGCTCCGCTGCTGCGGGCCGGGCTTTGGTGCAAGCTCTACCCCGGGGTAAGGCAGGCGGGGGGAGGGCAGCCGCGGGGGATCTCACCGGAGGAAAGCGCGCATTGTACTTCTTCTTCTTGCTCGGCATCTCCTCTCCTCTTCCTCCTTCTCCTTCTCCCTCCTCCTTCTCCTGCTGCCGGGCCTGCAGCGAGCGAAGAGCCGGATCAGGATCACCTCGGAAGGAGCCGCCTCGCCCGATCCGGCCAAGCAGCCTCCGCCGCCGCCGCCTCCTCCTCCTCGCCGCCCGCCGCGCGGGTCCTAACGCCGCCTGGATCGAGGCAGAAAGGCATGAATGGGCGCTCCTTCCCCCGAGAGCGCGAGGCCCATTCATAAAAACAAACCATCAGTAGACACACATCCTGCGGTGCCCGCGGAACAGAAGGGGCAAAAGGGCAGCAAAGGCTGGCTTGCCTGCCACGTCAAGGAACTAGCGCACAAAGCGGGAGCCCCCAGCCCACCCGCAAAGGCGGAGATGGGGGAACCTGGGACTCCGCACAGGTCGTTTGCCTGCAAACTCCCATCAACCCCGCCGGCCAGCAGGGCCAATGGTCAGGGGTGGTGGGAGTAGCGGGGCGGGGTAACCACTTCTGGAAGGCCTCCACCCCTAGACTCGAGTTCAAAGTTAGGTAAGCAGGAGACTCCCTCCGCCCCCCCCCAAAGTAGAAGCTCGAAGGGGGACGGAGAGGGAGCTTCTGAGCCACATGCACGCACGACTCGTTTCATAGGAGCATGGGGACCACGAGGGTCATCTAGGCCACCCCCCTGCAATGCAGGAATCTTTTTGCCCAGCGTGGGGCTCCAACCCACGACCCTGGTCTTAAGAGTCTCATCCTATCCCGCTTCGAAGTAGTTTGCCATTTAAGGGGCTTAATCATGCTTACTTGAGAAGGGAGTCCCACTGTGTCCAACGAGGATGACTGTCAAGTAAATGTTCATAAAATAGCAGCCCAAAGATGAAAGAAAAAAGAAAGAAAGAAAGAAAGAAAGAAAGAAAGGGCAACAACTATGATGTAACACTCAAATGATAGCAGCAATTTAAAAAATTCATTTGAGTACAAGACAGCTGCCATTAACAGATAGATAAATTGATATAAGGCTGCAATCCTTCTGCACAGGCTTACCCATAAATAAGTTATTTACTTGTTAAAGCACAATCTTTCTGTATTCCCAGAAAGAAGTCCCACTGGGTTCAATGGGCCTTGTTCCCAGGTAAGTGGGCATTAGATCAGCTTTATGTTATAAAGGCTTGCCTGAAAAGTATATTTATTTTAAAATTTTGAATTAATTTCTGCCCTGCTTTTCAATCCAAAAGGAAAACCAAAGGCAGCTTCTTTTGATATGTGAAAAGTACAATGATAAAAAGTATTGTCCAAAAGCACGAGGCACCTTGCAGAAAATAAGCAGCTTTTGGTTGGTTCCTGCCTGGATGGGGAACCCTTGTACGCCACCTTAGGTTCCACGATGGAGAAATGACAGAATATATATGTAGAAGAAAACAAGTTAAATAATGTGGGGCAGCTTCCATCGCCTTCAATACACAGGATTGCTCTGTTGTTTCCATTCCAACAACAGTGTCATTAGCTGGGTTGAAACACTTATGACAAACTCATAAGGTATGTCACAGTGTCAGTGCAGTGAGAGAGACAGCTTGCCTACAACGCCCTGGTATCTTCAGGAATTGATCTGAGATCTGATGTAAAGACTTTCTGACCTACGGGTTACCAAGTTTCCTGAGTGGCAGTGTTGGGGAAATCTAGACTGTTGGGATACTGAGCTTAAAACCAGTTTCAGATGTACTGTGTACTCAATTCATTCTGCGCCCAAAGTAGCAAAAACCATTTTTCCTGCATGATTTGTGTACTGTACATAAACAATTTAAAGGTGTGATCCTAAGCTTGCCATTTCTGATCCAGCAAACCACCCCCTCGGCCCCCCAAAAAACCAGGCCTCTGTGAACAATCAAAGCTTTCCAGCTTGTTTCCTTATATACAAGCTTTTTACTTAAAAAAAGGAAGAAGCTGAGGAATGCCGCTTTGGACCTGTATGCTAGCTCTGCTCACTTGTAGCGCAGACTGAACAAAACAGTAGACTGCTTATTCATTTGTCAGATGAGACTTGCCAGTTAGTTTTGATGCTAAATTCCCCCCTTTTCCTGCAAAATAAAAGTAGCAGCTGTATTTCAGAAAGAACAGAGAAATGCAGGATTTTAGCCCAGTTGTGATAGGGGAACAGCACGCCCTTCCCAAGGTCTGAAGTCAGGAGTTGGCAACATCTAGCACCTGCCAGTGCCTGAGGGGAGGGGACAATGCTGTTCCTGCTGCTCCTGCTTCCATTGCCATCCATTCACTTCCAAAGTGGGGGCAGCAAAGCAATAGGAGCGAGCAGAAGGAAAAGCAACTGCAATGGTTTGATCACTATCTGCCATCTTTCTCTGGGCCACGAAGGGAACTGGACCCCGATGCAAGAGGCTGAGAGCAAGTGGGCAATTTCAAGGTGGAGGAGGGCACTGAGGAGCCCCAAACCTAAACCAAGAACTCAATCAACCAACCATTCATACAAAAGAAGGGCGGGGGGAGTAGTAGCAGGAATGAAACATTAGTTTTTTAAAACACTGCGCCATAAATGCAAATACAGCCCGTAGTTATTATCCCTATATTGATGGTGAGGTGGCAGTGGCTTTGGCTGAGCTGCCAGCTACAATGGCTATGTTCTGCCTCCACCATGTAGAAAGTATGCCACTGATTTTGAATACCATTTGCTGGGAGTCAGAAGTGGGGAGAGTTGCTGTTGCATTCAGATCCTGCTTGGCGGCTTTCCAGAGGTATCTAGATGGCCACAGTGAGAACAGGATGATGGGCTAGACGGGCCACTTTTATATTCTTATGAGGGGATTCCAAGGTAGCCCTGTGGTTGTCCTTTTTAAACATTTGGGCATGTGTGTGAGAGAGCGGCTCTAAGTGACAGCCATGTGGCCCTGTTTGCCCCGTTACCCTAGGCTTTTAGAGCCTGTGGCTTACATCTGCCCTGCAATGTTGTCATCTTTATATTGCAGTAGTGTGTGTGGCTGAGAAGCTCAGAATGCAGTGCAGCCCAATGCTTCCATCCTTAAATTATTTTATTTAAGGAATTTACACCCCACCCTCCAATAACATTCCCAGTTCTTCCAAGTGGCTGAAAGTGAGGCTTACAACAGCCCTGCAATGATATTATCCTCGCATCGCGGGTACTTGTGTGGGTGGGTGATGTTTCAGGAGAGCACTGCCAGGCAGTCCAGTGCTCTGATCCCCGCACTGCAGATGGGCGGGCTGGGGAGCCGTGGTTATACCATGAAGGGCTGCGATGCCAACGGAGCTCTTAACATCACATCCGACGTCAAACTAAACTGGTTTTCCGCTTTATTCCCCAGTGTAAACTACGAAGGAATTTCAACGTAGCTGCGCCTAGAGCGATAGGGACCCACCTCTCAACAAAACTCAAAACACTTAGGCGCAATCCGGAAGAAAGAGGGGGGGGAACCAGCCCTTCTGCGTCACTTCCGGTATAAAATGGAATCCTCCGCGCGCGATACACACACAAACACCCCGCCCTCTTAACAGCCTGAGCACATTTTAGAGGGGGGCTGTTGCTCCATAGAGAAGCCAACTGCTAGACCGGCACCACTCCGGACCCCCATAGGAAACAATGCCCAACATGGCGGGTTGCCATTTGTGAGAGGAGATGTGTTTTAAACCCACCCCCGTGCCCTCAGATATTTTAGGTTTGGGACGAAGAGATAATAATCCTCAAATACTGGGAAGCGCAAAAAAAGAAGCCCCTTTTTTTTCGGAAGATAGCAAAAAAACTTTGGTTCCCTTACCTCACTTCCCTTACCTCAGTTCCCCGGCACTTCCTGTCCCCCCTCCAATGCATTCCCCGCATAACTTCCGGGTTGTGCCGCGCGCCCGGCCGCCTACGCCAGGCCGTTGGTAAGGCAACGCCACTCCAGGCGGGGCTGCTGCGAAAGGGGCTCCGGCGGCGGCGGCGGCTTCTCTGGAGGGGCCAGGAGAGGCCCGCTCTCTCGCGCTCCTCTGTCTCGCCGGGGAGGGTCAGAGAATGGAGGGGGCTCCCGTTTGCCTGTTTATTCCAACGCCTGCCGCTCACTGCAGTCATTGCCAGTAACGGTTCGCTTTACGGTGCTCGGAATGCTTCGCCTCCATTAAGCTTCTTGTTGCACTGAGCAGCCCTGCAAGGTAGGCCAGTGTTATCAGCCCTAAGCGAGGGGAAAACTTCCTGGATGGGTCTTGCTTAATTTTTATTTTTGGCACACTCCCCACCCTTTCCCATAAGCTCCTTTGGGCGACTCCTTAACACACCAGCTGATACTGGCAATTTCTTTAGTCACTGCAGTGTTGTTGTTTTTAACAGCCACGCTCCTTCTGCAACCAGCTTATTGCTATTCCTTCCTTAGACTAAAATTTAATGCTGCCTAAAACGGCCCCTAAGTGAGGAGCTGCGTAGGTCTGCATGTGGTTAGTTTTTGTAGGTTCCCCTCCACAATTAAAAATGTCTTTGGAGCACCCTTTGCTTTGCTGCAGTTAGCGTTGCCTTGGTAAATGGTAAATATGTCTTAAAGGCAGGGGTGGGAAACCTTTATCAGCAGCTAAAGGGGTCACGTTCCTTTCTGGGCCACATGGCAATGATGAGCAAAGCCAGAGGCAAATGTGGGCTGAAATGCAGATTTTACCTTTGCACAGTAGGCTAGTCACACACCCCTCTGTATCTTCCATCCAGACAAGCAGTTCAAAAGCACATCCCATCTTGCAGAGGCAGATTTAGGGGAGTGCGGCAGGTTTGCCTGCACTGGCACCGAGCTGTGAGGGCACTGTGAGGGATGCCACAACAATTAAGTAGAATGAAGTTTTGTGGTGGGGATATGCACCAAATTTTGGCACCTCACAGGGCGCTACTAAAATTCGAAAGCACGAAATCCAGGCAGAAACGTTTGTAGTGAGAAGCAGGTTGAGGGAAGGGTCTGGATTGGGGAATAGATCAGAGGGCCAGATAGCCAAGTCTGGAAGGCTGCATTTGGCTGCTGGGCCTGAGCTACCCTACCCATGCATTAAACTATACTGATGCTTTTACATTGATAATGTTAAGTCATTACGAACTTAAACTTTACTGAATTCAGTGACTAAGCCTGGATCCAACCCTTGGTGTGTAGTGCTTGAAAGGGTTGTGTGTGTGTGTATAAAATGTTTAACTATTTGTATTCCATTTTTACTACTTGGAACGTATTGTGGTTGGAATGTAGGAAGCTGCCTTATACTGAGTTAGACCCTTGGTGCATCTAGCTCAGTATTATTTAAATTGACTGGCAGAGGCTCTTCAGTGTTTCAGACATGCGCCTCTCCCTTCTTCTAGTACATGTTGCTCTTCTGTTATCCTTGCAACAAGGTTTTGAGGCTGATCAAGCAGAGAGCTAGTAACTTTATGTAGAAGGCTGCCTGCTGAGCTGGGGTTTGCAGCCAGGTCTCACATCCAAGGCTAGTGTTCTGCACCATACTGCCCAGCAGTTTTGAGTAACTAAAAAAAAAAAAAGTATGTGTGGTGGTGGTGAACTTCAGTTGCTACTGCTCACTCTGGAATTCCTGTTTTATAAATTCCAAGCTGGGTTACAGTTACAGATAGTTACTGGACACGTTTGGTAATGACCTCAGGGTGAGTGAGGCTTGGCCTCAATTCTCTAATCTGTAAAATGGGACTGTGTAGAGAATTTGCCTTGTTGGCTAGTTGTATGAAGGAAGGAAACATTGCAAGCTAGGATATATGACAGCAGGGACCAGGCAGGCTGCCTCTTGTTTATTACATTTTGCTTTGCCCTCTCCTTCTTTGTCAGGTGCCCTGCAGTGCCATGTCCAGCCAGGATGATAAGACAGGGAAGGAAGCTGCTTTTGCAGCAGAGCAGCTGGCTGCTGAGTCCATGGCGGCAGATATGGACCCCTGGGTAGTTTTTGATGCTCGCAAGACTCCCCGGGCCGAATTCGAGGAGTGGCTGCAGACCTACCAACCGTCCCGTGTGTCCCGGTTTGGTGACCCCGAGTGCAATGCTGAGCCGGTGGGTTGGATAGCAGTGTATGGGCCCCGTTTCTGTCCTGAAGCTGGCGATGTGGTAGGGCTGCAGGAGGACTGGGAGCTGCTGCAAGCCAGCGGGCGCCACATCACCTTCGACATGGTTAAGGAGCTGGCGCTGAACCGGCGAGTGCTGACCGGGAAGTGGCTCATGCACCTGGATAGTGGCTTCAAGGTGGACCATGCCTGGTGTGGCATTGCCCGTGCGGTGCTCGACGGGCGCATTGGCGTGGCCAAGGTCAGCCCCTGCTGCCCCGACTCGGAGCGCAAGCAGGTCATCTGTGTATACACAGACGACTTCACAAATGAGGAGCAGGTGCTGGTGGCCGATGCTGTGATCCGCACCACAGGGGTCAAATGCTTGTTGTCCTACAAGCCTGATGTTTATACCTACTTGGGCATCTACCGAGACAACCGCTGGCACCTTTGCCCCACCATCTACGAAAGTAAGTTTGATTTGGAATGTATCCCTCGGCGTTCGCGCATCACCAACAAAGTGAACAACATAGAAGTGACTTAAAACGTGTTCCTTTGGATGTGTGGCCCTTCCAGGGGAATGGTGTTGTGGCTGGGAGCTACAAGTCCCAGTGCCCCTCCCCTTTCGCTCCCCCTCAGAGAGACCACATTACAGTTGCCAAGCACAGGCCGGCAAGGATGCTGGAGGCAGGATTTCAGCACTGGGTGGCAGCTGCCTGCATTGGTCTTCCTGCAGCCACATTTAAGGACACCTGAATTTATCTTTCAATGGAGTGTGCTGCCTTCCTTGTTTTCAAGAACTTCTTACTAGGAGTGCATCACTGCACTTCTTCCTCAGTTGCCTGTGCGTATGCTTTCATATCACCTTCCCCAGTGACTTTGGGTATCAAAATAAATGCACACACTCCCATTTCATGACAGGTCAGTAGAAAGATTGCTGTAGCAGTCAAAAAGAAAAGGGGTGGCAAGTCAAATGATCTCTTATTTGACAAATCCTTGCATGTTTAGGATATGAATACCCAACATGGTGTCTTCCAAATGCTTTGGTCTGCAACTCCCAGCATCCTTGACCATTCACCATGTTGAGTGAGGCTGATGGGAGTTTTAGTCTAAAACACCTGGAGGGTTTGGCTACCTCTGTGCTAAGAGGCGGCATACTTTCTAACAATGCAAAACATTCCCATCTTGTAGAATAATCTAAGCAGACTATGGGGAGTTCTGTGAAACACAAAAGTTTGGATATTCTTGCTTCCAACAGTTTCATCTAATTTTGCCACAGGTTCCCCAGGCCTGCCATAATGCCTGGGAAAAGTAGTTTCTAGGGAAGTTTTTCATCAGAAACTACTAATGGTTCACCAGGGAGGTGCTGTGTAGTTTTGAAAGAGGGGCTTAAACATAGACACTATCCCAACAAAATGTGTTGGGAGAACAAGTTTTACTCATTTAAGGGAATGTCTCTCAACATTTCTTTCCTCTTGAGGCTGTGGAAAATAAATTTGATTCAGCAGCACTTGCCTACCTGTAAAATAGGTTTTTAAAAAATAAAGTGATTTTGTCTTCTTGCTGAATGTTTATTGCCAGGAGGGTGTGTGGGAAGAGAGAATGGAAATGGAAGAGGCAAGCAGGCCAGCTGGCACCAGTCTTTGAATTGCCTCACTTGCAGTTTAAAGCTAGTTCCTACTCAGGAAACTTTGAATTTTTAAAGAGGCTTCTATACTAGAGTTGCCATAGGTCTGGAATTTGCCGGACATGGCCAGAATACGGCAGTCAGAAGCAGTGTCTGGGTGGAAATGGCTGAAATTGTCCTGGAAAACCTGGACATATGGCAACTCATGTCGGAAGTCAATATTTTGGTGAATTCCCCCCAAAAAGCTAGCTTCCATTTTTTAGATTTTGCAAAACAAACACTTCAACTTTTTGTCTGGATTTTAACTTTTTGAAATAGGGCAACCTTATTATGCAGACTAAGTATGCTTATCCTTGAGAGGGGAAGGGCTGTGGCTTAGCAGTAGATTCAGTCCCCAATGACATCTCCAAGTGGAGCTGGCAATGTCCCTTGACTGAAAGCCCAAAGAGCTGCTGCCAGTCAGTGTAAACAGTACTGAAAGAGGAATCATTGTTCTGACACAGTATAAGGCAACTTCCTACGTTTCTGCATTATGGGAACTGAAGGAAGGACCTGAACATTCTTGCACTATGGTGAACCCTGTCCGTGCTCTTCAAATAACCAGTCGTACCACAAAATGAATTATGTGAAGCAGCTGTCCAGTAGTCAGAATTTGCTTTCTAGCTTGTGCATGCAACTACCATTTCAGGTAGCCTTTCTAACTGAGAGCAGTTTGTTTGGGGATTTTTTTGTGAAGCTTCTCCCCTTCAAGATACAAATGTAAGGTTGTTTCAGGGGCACATGGCTGCCATCAACCCCAGACAGCATGGCCAAAGAAGCCCAGGGAAAGTGGGAACTGGGGGTCCAGCAATATCTAGAGAGCCCCAAGTTGTCCCACGCCTGGGCTTAGGGAAAGAGCATGATGCATGTATAAACCGCACCTTCTACTTCCCTGCTTGATTCATGCAAATTGTACATGTGGATAGGGATATCTTATTTAATGTTTTGGAAGAAAAGCTAGATAAGCGTTCATAATTCTATGGGAGTGCAGGCAAAAGTAATAAAAAGAAAATGGCTTTGGTTCCAGAACCTCTTTCCATTAAACAAAAATATTCTGATCAGCTGGGAAATGGGAGGGAGAAGCTTAGGAGCCAAGAAGGCTGGCTGAGCAAGATGCAAAGAGGTTGGGTGCTTAATGTAACACTCTTCGCACCAGCAAAGCCAAAATGAAAAATCAGAACATCACAATAAATTATACAACCTGAAAGAAAACAGGCACACCTATACGGTGTGCACACCTATGCTCCAGTGTTCTTTTGGTGTGCAGTTATACAACAGCCCAGGAAGCGAGAAAAAATAAGGAATTACTAAGCTGTTTTTTGTTTTAAAAAGCAGCACAATAGGGTTTATCCATGCTTCTAAATGATAATGCACTGATGCCTACCAGTTAGATGTTTTGGATTGTAATTCCCATCGGCACCAGTCAACATAGTCAATGGTCAGGAGTGATGGGACATGACAGCTTCCTGGGGGAAGGCTCCCAATTTGCCCCCTTAAGAACCTAATAGTCCCCATGGCTTCTGGATTTTATGTGACTGGGGTGGGGTAGGGGTGGGGAGAATACCAATACTGGTTTGAGGTAACATTGCCTGCAAATTAAGGCCACAGTTCCCAGATCTTCCTTCCACAAGTCCTTACGGAAACCACACCCCAATTCCACGATAAAAAGAAAACTGCCAGGCTGAGGCTTCAGTTTATTTTTAGGAACCTGCTATAGGAAGAAGAAAGCAAGAATTGCCACATCAGATAACAAAAAAAGAAGAGTGAGACAACTGTGGACCAATAACAGCACTTAAGTGGTTAACTATCTTGACACACCCACCCACCCTTAAAAAAATGCAGCAAATAGTATTTAAAAAACAAGGCGCAATCCCACCCTCACCCTGGACATAACCTTGGCTGCCCCTGCTGGCTTGGCAGCTGCTTTCCCCACCAGACCCTGTTGGCAGCAGGCTGCATCCTAACCTGGGATAACTGGATCTCGCTTCCGTTTTAGACCTTGTGTCTGCGTTCAGCCATCTGAGGCTTTTGGTCTGTCTTCCCACTGCGGAAGGGGAAGATCATCCTGCTTCCTGCTAGCTTGTTTTCCCTCTACGTGGCCTGAACTGTCTTGCTTTTCTTTGGAGGGGTGGCATGATTTGGGGGCTGGCAGGCACTGGGTTCACGTGGAGGGTCTCAAGCCCTCACCCTAAGAGGAAACTGAGCAGGGCTAGGGCCAAACAAAGCCTGCAACAGAAAGGCACCAAATGTCCCATTGCACCCCCTTATAGTAACGGCATATTTTCTGAGCGGAAAGGCTCAGAGTTGGCTTCAGTATGGAAAAAGAAGTCGCCGCCCACATCCTCATGCGATTTCCCATTGTTTTATCCCCCCCCACCCCCCGCCACTGGCAGGCAAGGTGCAGGCCTAGAGCAGAATGACTGGGTCTGCATCCCTTTCATCCACGAGGCTGGCTTACCCCTCACAGCCTTGTTGCTCTTTCTGGCTTTAAAAAAACCACTTAAGAGGAAGAAGTCCTGTGTGCGTGCCACAGAGACTGACACAAATCCCCAGTTAAGGCCAAGGACACCAAGGCTGAAAAATAGCCTGTGTTTTGCCACCACAAGTCCCATGTCTGTATACCCACAACAGCCTGCTAGAGTTAAGCTATTCCTTCTACAGCAAAGGACCAACAAACGATCCCAACTCTTCCCGCCTCTTCAAACATGGGCAGAAGGGACAAACCCTCACGGCCCTGGAGATGGCTGTAGGGTTTCACCAGGAAGGCCTCACCCACCAGAAGAACCTTGGGCAATGCTTTAAGGCACTCCGGAAACAGTACAGAAGTAGCTTTGCTTTTAAAATATCCTGGTACAGCTACTGTAGCATTTAGAACTGTGTGGCTTTTCATAAAAAGGTTAGAAACAGGTTTGACCTGCTGATTTTTTTTTGCTTGCTGGCACAGTTCTTTAAGGCTTCTGAGCTTCCGCTCCCCCTTAATAATGTTTTGTTTGGCATGAGGAGGAGAAGGTGCCGGCTGGCGAGTTTTCAGAAGGCAACCATGGTAAGGAGGAGAGATTCTTCCCCTTCAAACAGTCAAAAACACACACAGCTCCATAGTTCTGGAAGGAAAACAAGCCTTCAGTAGGGAAGCGAGAACTGGCTCCGCCGTGTTACCAAATGTACAACGCCCACTTCACTGGTGGCGGGGAGGAAAGAGACCTCGCCTCTGCCTAAAAGCAATGGTCCAGGCCTATAAAAACCTCATGTTCCAAGAACCTAGAGGTTGCCCCCACCCAAACACATCCTTGAAGGATAGTCCATCCAGTGGGGGGGACCACCAGAGAGGGGGAGAGTTAAGTTGGCAAAGTCTACGCAAACAAAGAGGGGCCACCCGGGATCTGGAGCCCAGGGACAGAAGCTGGTGGTCCTGTGACTCCACCCTTATGAGTTCAGCTGGTTCAGAAGAGAGTTCAAGTCAAGATCTACCATGGAGGAAAAGCTTTCCTCAGCAGGAAGGGCCCCCGGAAGGCCATTGTAGCAGCTGGCACCTGAGCCGCCGCCACCGCCCCCTCCACTGGGCTCCCCTTGGGCTCTCCGCTGGGACACCAGGCGGCTGATCGACTCTGGATAGGTCAGCAGAGTGCCTTGGTTGTCCTGGAGTGCTTGCTGGGCGGCCCCTTCTGTGAGGAGCTGGCAGAACTCAGCTGTGTTAATCCCCTCCAGGCTGGCGTAGGGAGCATCATCCAGGATCCCCCCGAGCTCCATGCCCCCAGCATCCGCCCCTTCGAAGTGGAGGTGCAGGAAGGCGTCTGCAATGCTGGCTTCGGCCTCCGACTCAGAGGGCTGGACCCGATGGCTCACACCCAGGCCCGACAGATCTTCCATGTTCACCGTGCTGAAGCTGGACTGTGGAGCTGCGGTCGGAGGAGGAGCCGCCGCTGGAAGTGGGGCATGGCTGGGCCCCGTGAAGTAGGCGGGAGAAGGGTGCACCATGGCCTGGGGTTTGGAGGTGGGCAGTGGGGTTTGCCCTGATGCTCCCATGATTCCTGGGACACCTGCAAGGAAGATCAGAGAGAGGAGATGACGACAAAGGACACATCAGCACTCCTGCATCAGTGAGAGAAGCGCCAGGGCCTCCTGACCTTCCTGGACTCCCAGCTGGCCAGGGTTTACCGGCCAGAGGATCTCAGAGCTGGTGCAGGATCTGCCCACCAGCCATGGTTTGGAAACTAAGAAGCAACCTCGGCGCCAATGCAAACACCTAGCATGTGTTAAGGCAGAGTTTCCCAAACTTGAGTTTCCAGACTACAATTCTCATCATCCCTGACCACTGGTCTTGCCAGCTAGGGATGATGGGAGTTGTAGTCCAATAACAGATGGAGACCCAAGTTTGGGAAATACTGTGTTAAGGGAAAGGGAGGGAAGAAGTGCATTCCCAAGAGTGGCTCCCAATTTTGCTGGGAGCCAGTGCTGCAACATCCACTCAGATGTGGCATTTTCTTTCTCTTTCAAAAACAACAAAACTTGCCAACAAGTTTCTAGTTTTAAATGCGGTGATTGTGGACTTTATAAGTGTATGTTTCCTAGTGAAATCCTAGAAGCAAGCCAATAGGAAGCTGCGCTGAGCCAGATTCACTGGGGCCCATCTCACTCAGTACTGTCTACACTCTGACTGGCAGCAGCAGTTCTCCAGGGTTTTAGGCAGGGAGTCTTTCCCAGGCCCACCTGGAGACGCCATTGGAGATTGAACCTGGGACCTTCTGCATGCAAGGCAGATGCTCTGTGCCCCCTCCCCCAGCAACAGTTCCAATCATCATTCAATGGGGGAAATTGCCAGATTGTGTTACATGTTTTTCTTTTGAAAGCACAGAATATAAATAGCTTAGAGCAAGGGTGGGGAGCCTTCAGACCACGAGTCAATCTCAGCCTGCCATGGGGTCCAATTTGGCCCATCACACCCACTGACACCACTGGTGATGCCAGCTGTTGGGTTGGAGGACAGGGTTCAATCCTGCTTTGGGTGCACTGCCCTGTTCCCAGTAGAAAACAGGATCTTGCAGCCTAGGTAGTAGGATTTAATCTCCACTCGTCTGCCAATGAGCACAGGTTTAAAAAGCCCCTTTCCCTTTTCCTTTAAGCGGGGGGAAGGGTGGACAGGAGCTGAATGCCAACCAACAGTTTGAACAGAACATATACAACTCCTAAGCTGCTAGTCCATATTGACGTCATGGGACAAGATTCCCAGCCAGACCAATTTTCCTCATAAGCAAGCTGTTAACTTGACAGAAGAGTTACATGAAAGGAAAGGTTAGGCATTCCTCACCGCTGATGTTGGGCCGGGCCAGGCCATGTTTGGGAACAGCAATGCGGCGCTGGGAGCGAGGTTCTGGAGCTCCGACTGTTGGGAGGGAACGGAAGGGGTGAGAACATGCAAAATCCTCCCAAGAGCCCAGCAAGGCTTCAACCCCCTCCCCCTCCCCATGTATGGACACCGGAAGAACCCTCACTGTGAGGGAGACTCTTTGTCTGTCTTGCTTAGTATTGCCTGTTCTGACTGGCAGAGGGAGGGGCTCCTTCCCCATCACCTGCTCCCTGATCCTCCTAAACAGAGATGCCAGGGATTGAACCTGGACTCTGTATGGAAAGTGTGAGCTCTTATTTACTGAGCTATAGAGGAAGCAGTATCCCCCCTGCAACATCAAACCCAGGTCTCATGAGATTCCAAGGTATTCCACCTCCTGTGCTCCTCTCTGTTGGAGGCCAGTGTACTAAGAAGAGCAGGGCATGGGCCCCTCAGCCTCAGCCATTCCATCTGCCTGCCTTTTTACTTGCAAGCAACTCACAGGGTGGCTCTGCCTGCTGGGATATTCCTCCACAGCCCTGCTCTTGCAGAACTTGGTTGGAGGAGGAGGAGGATGGGGACAAAACTAGAAGGAGTAGGCTCCACCTGCCAAGGGCTCTGGGCTCTGTTTTCCTCTTGGTCTCCCTGTCTTCTGCCCCAACAGTCCCAAATGGGGCCCAGTCACCAATGTCTCACCCCCCTGAAGGTTCTTCAACCAGCCACACCACCCTTTTCTTCTACCCCTCTAACTCGAGCCCTACCTGCAAAGGGTGTTTTCTGAACAAAGTTCTTGAAGGTGCCAAGGGTCCGTTTGCGTTTCTCGTCAATACGATTGAAGTCACCTGTCCAAAAGGAAAGGGGGGGGGAATAAGGACACATTTGCTTTGAAAGGGAGCTGATAATGTACTCTCCAATCATAGGCAACGACTGAGTAACAGGAGAGCTGGAGTCAGGGAATCACGCCTGCACACTCACAGCGGCGTTTGAAATTCGCCAGGCACTGGGCCCATTTTGCACCTGACTTTTGGCCACTTGTGAGCAAGTGAAGATGCCCAGGTGCCAGGAAGGCACCTGACGTCTCCATCACCTGGAGGCGCATCCCTGGGGATCCTTGGATCTTGCCTGCTTTCACACACTAGCAACACACCCTTTCAAATTCTCTCTGTGGTATTTCATCTGCGCAATCAGAACTTTATTTCAGGAAGCAAAAATTCACATTGAAAAGTATGTCTTTTGAGCCACTGGGCCCCAAAATGAAAACTAGGCATTCTGTTTTGGCAACTGTAACCCTGATTCAGGGAGCCCTTTGGTACCTAACATACATCTGAGTTTCTGAGCTGGCTCACAGCTGAAAGCTTTGACCCTAAACTCATAGAGCTTAGAACCTGAGCATGCAAGAGAGGACATACCTTCATCAGGAAGATAACGGAACTCCATGGGCCCACTGACTTCCTTGTCGGATGGGCGACGCAGCTGCATCTGGACTGTCACAGGCTCCCGAAGGGCTTGGTCCATGTACGGCGGGGTCTTGAAGACAATGGCCACTTGGCGATGGACGTCGGCTTGGGAGAAGGAGCCCTTTGCCTCCCAAGAGTCCTTGAAGAAGCGGACTTCAATGTCCTCTGCAAAGGAAGCGAGGGGGGGAGGATTGAGGGGTTCAGACTCACTGAGAACGTAAGAACACAAGGAGAGTCCTGAAACTGGATCAGGCCAATGGCCCATCTAGTCCAGCATCCTGTTCTCACAGTGGCCGACCTGGTGCTCCAATAGGAAGCCTGAAAGCAAGTCCCAAATGCAACAGTGCTCTCCCCAATTGTGATTTTTGGCAACTGGTACTCAGAAGCATTCTGCCTCCAACAGTGGAGGGTGAACCGAGTCTCATCCTCTTTTAAAGCCATCCAGGTTGGTGGTTGTTGCTACCCCTTGCTGGTGTGAAGGGTGGGGGAAAGAACAAAATGGGAAATACCAACACCTGGTCTTGTTTCCTTTCACCACAAATGTGGAATCAACTCCTGTTCCCAAACTGAGAAATGGCCAACAGCACTTTTTGAAGGCAACAGGCCAAAATACCCATATGCACACACCAAACAAAATGTGGAAGACTTTTTAACATTTTGAATATATCAGCTGACTCCCTGAAGTTGCCTGCCATTGGGCGAGATGCTGTGACATCAGGGCAAACCTCACAGAAAAGCCCAGGACTGAAGTGGGCAAACAGTGCTGGAAGCGAAGAGGTCAGTTTGGCCACATGGTGACTATAGTGAGCCTGCATTTAAAAATGCATAAGTTAGGGAGGATTTTTAAAGGGTTGGCAGACACAGGAGGCTTTAGAGATGGTTTCAGTCATTGTTATGAGCAAAGATGTGGCTGGAAGGGCTTTTTGAGTTTTCCCCACTACACTAAAAACTGCCTTAAGAATAAGAACAGCAACAGCAACAACAAAACAACAACAACAACACCATGAAAGGAAAACACACATGAAAAGTTGAACCCTTGCTGCTGTTGTCCAGAAGTCCTTTGCAGCCTCTTCCAAGGCTTGACCTCTACATCTCTTCCAAAGCCCAAGGTGGCCAATGGAAGTAAAACCCTGCACTGAAAAGGGAGGCATCTCTTACCTTTCTGGACCTTGTCACAGAGGAGGAAGATCTCGTCTCCACCTAGGCAGCTCCCTGAATTGCGGTTCACACGGCAGATCTTCAACTCGGCTGTGTTGGGAGCACCTGGAGAAAGAGAGGGCGCCGGGGCCGTCTTAATGACTCGGTGGCAGTGAGGGAATACAAGAGGCTGTGTTATGGAGACCATTGGTCCATCTAGCTCAGTACGGAATACACTGACTGGCAGTGGCTCTCCAGGGTTTCAGGCAGCCTACCTGGAGATGCCAGGGATTGAACTGGGTAACTTTTGCATGCAAAACAGGTGCTCCACCACTGTGGACCTTTGTTGAAAAATAAATATCCCAGTCCTCATGATTCTGAACAAAGGACCAAATTGAAAAGGGACATCTGAAGCTGCCTTATACTGGTCAGACCATTGGTCCATCAAGCTCAGAACTGCCTGCACTGACTGGCAGCAGCTCTCCAGGGTTTCCAAATCATGATTTAACGGAAGCCCTATTAATTTCAATCAAGTAGTTAGTGCACCTAACTCTGATCTGCATCCATTCCATTTCCTCAGGGATAGAATTATTTACTTGTTGGATGAAGAAGCTGCTGTTAAGTTGCTCTGGGACCCTCAGATAGAGCAGGATGCGAAAATCAAAAACCAATGAATGATCAGTGTTGGGTCTGCTCCACTGTCCATCCCTGGTTGGTCCCTCCCTCTCTAATAAAGGTAGCGGTGTGCATCAGAGCCACCCCCCGTTAGCACTCACGATTGTCATAGATGGGCTGTGAGATTGCCAGGGGCAGCTGGACCAAGCGCCCACTGCCTGCATCCTGAATCCACACCTGGAAACAGAGCCGAACCGCGTTCAGGTCATAGTCTCCTTTTAGCTCTTCCATGGACACTGGAATCAGGGGCAGGCGGGGAGGGAGAGAGAAAGCAAGAAATATAAACAATACAGTTAAGTCTAGAAAAGGGAAGTAAAAACTGTGCACCTGCATCTAGATGGTTCAACCCCTGGAAATGACAATTAAAGAGAATGAGGCAGCACAGGGGTGGGTCAACTGTTTTCAGCTTGTGGTGCAGATTCCCTCCTGCGCAACATTTCAGGGACCGCATGCCAGTAGCAGACAGAGCAATGAATGCAAATCTGAGCCTGGAGGGCACCCTGGTATGTCTGACGATGGTTGGGCTTAGCTGCTGCTTTTACAGGGATAGGAAACCCTTTTCAGCCGGAGGGCCAGATTCCCTCCTGGGCAATCTTCTGGGGGCCACATGCCAGGGACTGTCAGGGCCAGAAGCAAAAGAGTGGGCAGAACATCAGGTGTGAATTTTAGATTTCTACAGAAGGCTAGTTTCTAGGCACACCTGCACACCCCTCTCCATCCTGGCAAGAGGCATTATCAAAGTTCAAGGGCACATTCTAGCTGGTCTAGAACGGTGTGAATCAGGGTGAGTGAGGGGCATGGTCTAGGGAGAGCCCCAAGAGCCAAACAAGGAGGCCTGGGGGGCCGCATTTCATCCCCGGGCTTGGCATTGCAGCATCTCTGAGACAGCAGGTTGCAAAAAAGGCCCTTCTCTGCTGGAGACTCCAAAGCAGCATTGCTGGTCATCACATGCACAGCTAGGTGGGAGAAATAGTCTGAGCTAGTCCAAGACAGCTTCTCACGTTCCAACAACAGACCCCTGCCCCCCACAAAGCCCTTGACCACTGTCACGGCCGACAGCGCTCCTCACCATTGAACGGGTTGTTGTTGGTTTCGATCCGCTTGGCCACGGCCTTGTCCAGGTCTCGTTTCCGCACGCATTGGATTCCCAAGTTCTGGAAGCTGGGAAGGAGCACATGGAGCAGGCAGGGGTCAGTGTGCAGCTTGGAGGGAGGGGGAGAGGGAGGCACAAGGAGGTGAAAGGCATCGGGTGAGAAGCACGGCTGCTTCCCCAAACACCAGCGAGGAAGATCCCCAAATCATCCACCTTCACGTGGAGATGGTGATGCTCTTAACATTGGCCCATCTAAGCTTGCTTTATTCTTTGTACAGACTCCCGTGTAAAGAGCCAAGCGCCCCACTCGCACTGGGCCGCCCGGCTGCTTTTCACGCTAACTTTTCTCCTCGCAGATCAAGGTTAAATGGCCGACAGTGAAACCTGCAGAGCTTCAAGCAGCCACCGTCAAAACATGGCCCACAACTACCTCCTCTTGGGTTTTAACCTGCGTAGTTTTTTATTTTGGACTTTGCAGCTGCAGTGGTCGCGGAAGGGCAGTAGCTCAGCAGTGAGCACACCTGCTTTGCACACAGAAGGCCCCAGGTTCAACCCCAAAGGCATCTTTGCGTAGGGCTGGGCAAAGATATGCTCTCTGAGACACTGCAGTTGTTCATTTAGTTTGGCAGCTTCATCCCTCAAGTTGTGCTTATGTTTGCACTTTTGTTTGCAGACAGCAATGGCTAGCGGTTGATGCAAATAAATAAACACCCACCCCCAAATCATCCTCCCAAATGGCCAGAGAAAAAGACCGGGGGGGGGCAGATACCCAGCTCTCTCCCCTTCCCACATCCGCTCACCTGTGGATGGAGCGCTCTGGAGACAGCTCTGCTTCATAATAGCCTTCTTTGCAGTCCTTCCCCACCAAGTCGTGTGGGTGGGGCCGGTAGGGGACCTCCTTGGTGACCAGCGAAATGCGGACCTTGCCTGGGCCTGTATAGTTGTGGATCTGAAAGCAAAAGGCGGGGAGCTGATGTGTGGCAAAGGCTGCAGCTCAGAGGCAGAGCATCTGCTTGGCATGTGGGAGGCCCTTGGCTCCATCCCCAATGGCATCTCCAGGAAGGACTGGGAGAGACACCTTGTGCCCCTGAAACCCTGGAGAGCTGCTGCTGCTTCAGCATCTCTTAAGTCCAGTGTTCACAGTAACCTTGCAGAGTAGGGTCGTACGGCCTTCCCTGCACTGCAGAAATGGGGATATGTAGCTCAGTGGCAGGTACAGCAACTGCCTTGCATGATTCAATCCCCACTGGCATCTCCAGGTAGGGCTGCCTGAAACCCCCAAGAGTCATAGAACCACAGAATTGTAGAGTTGGAAAGGACCCCTGAGGGTCATCCAGTCCAGCCCCCTGTAATGCAGGAATCTGAACTAGACCATATGTGACAGATGGCCATCCAACCTCCACTCAAAAACCTCCAATGAAGGAGAGTCCACAACTCCCAGAGGGAGTCCATTCCATTGTCCATACAGATCTTACTGTCAGAAAGTTCTTCCTGACGGTTAGTTGGAATCTCCATTCTTGAAACTTGCAAGCCGTTGGTATGAGTCCTACCCTCCCACAGAATGACACATGACCTCTTTCTTCACCAAGAGCCTGGAATGTTTATGATCATTCCATGCCAGCACACCAGTCGGTGTCAGGGGCTTCACCTCCGCAAAGGGCAATTAAAGTACAGTGGATGCTCGGGTTGCGAACGTGATCTGTGTGGGACGCATGTTCGCAACCCGCAGCGTTTGCAACCTGCAGCAGCGCGTCTGCGCACGCGCGGGTTGCAATTTAGTGCTTCTGCGCTTGCGCGACCGCAGAAACCCGGAAGTAACCCATTCTGGTACTTTCGGGTTTCAGCGGGTCCGTAAGCCGAAAAAATGCAATCTGAAGCGTCTGTAATCCTAGGTATGACTGTATCCTTAAAACGATGCCTTTTATTCTGAAATTCACACTCCCATGGCCACACATACAAGCCCTGCTTCAATCCCTCAACCCCCCAAAGACTTCTAAGTAACACTTATTTCTAGAAGAACCCCCCACCCCACTCCCAAGTGCTGTGGGGCTGACCTTGATGGTGGGGTGGGTCTTGGTGGTGTCTGTGCTGCGTTCCCCGGGAATGGAGCCAGCCAACCGCCCTTCGCACTGATAGCGGAAACGCATGCCGCGCTGCTTGGGCTGTTCAATTATCTCCACGACAGGAGTGCTGCTTGCGGGAGGGTCTGGAGGGAGACAAAAGATACACCTATATTAGTATTATATAAACTGTTAGTAAATCCTACCAATTGTTGTCGTTTTTTATTTATACACCACTCAATGCGAAAACAGGATTCAAAGTGGTTTTCAGAGCATAAAAAACAGGTGTGCAGACATGAAAATGTGAACGCACCCCCACTAAAACATGAAAAGCATCCATGATTAAAATACACAATGAATCAATCCCACAGAAACAGCAATTAAAACAGGACTCTCAGGTGGAGAGATCAAGAGAATCAAGAGACACCCCCCTACAGAAGCCAGAAACACTTGGCTATTGTGTGTTTTTGAAACAAGCCAGGCTGCAGTTGATAAATGCTTCTCTCTCTCTCTCTCTCTCTCTCTCTCTCTCTCTCTGTGTGTGTGTGTGTATGTAGAAATTTTTATTATTTTCAAGGGCAAGCATTACAAACACAAAACAGGGAAACACTAACTAACAGGTAAGGTACATACAAAAAATAATAATAAAATACAATGCCCTATACATAGATTCTCACCAACTCTGGAGGTGTGAGCTCACACCAACAAATCCAAGTGCTTCGATTCTTTCAGTGATAATCACCTCATCAATAGCAAATAATACTAATGTTAGTCAGGCACCTGCATTGCACTGCTTTCAACACCGGCTAAAATTGTTTTTGCTGTGTAGCACAGCCTGCTAAGACATGCAATTTTATCACTGTTAGTTTATTTGCTCTCACACCTGTTGATTTTATCTGTATTTTGAGAACTGCATTACGCCTACTGTTTTTATCCTATTACAGAAACCTTGCTAAATAAAAAATGAGCTATTAATGAAAGCCACCCCATTCCTAAAATGAAAATGACAGGCTTCTCTCCCAAGTTAATTCAATTTCTCTTTGGTGCCAGGCTTTAATCCCGCAATGGGGAGATGGTGCTGGGACCCCCAGAATATGGTCTGAAGCAAGGATGGGGAACCTGTGGCTTTCCAGCATTGCTGGGCTCCAGCTCTTATCAGCCTTGGCCAGCATGCCCAATGGTCAGGGGAAATGGGAACCTTAGTCCAGGAACATCTGGAGAGCAACGACTTCCCCATCTCCGGTTTATCCCTCATCTGCACTACACATTTAAAGCAGCACCATACCACTTTAAGCACACACAGCTTCCCCCAAAGAATCCTGGGAACTGTAGTTTGTTAAGAGGGATACGAGCTGTGGGGAGACCCCTATTTCCCTCCCAGAGGTTCAGTTCCCAGCATGGCTCGACAGTCAACCCCTCTTCACTTGGAATTCAGAGAATTGAGGCTCTGTGAGGAGAAACAGGGGTCTCCTAAGAACCCTCAGCACCCTTGAAAAAACCACCACCTACAGTTCCCAGGATTCTCGGGGTGTGGGTGGGAAAGCCATGACTGTGTACCTAACCTGCCACACCGGGCTGTTGTGAGGATTAAATGACGGGGAGAACCACGTACACCCCCTTGAAGAAAAGGAGATATATAAATGCAATGAATATGAGTTAAATAAGTAATGAATGTATAGCGCTGAGATGGGGCTTTAATCCAAGCCAAACCCCAGTGCTAGCTGTCAGCTCTAAACAGCTGTGTCAGTGCATACAGACTTTCTTTCCCCCAACTAGATCCAACATTTGAGCGGAGGGGCATGGCTTTTGGGAGAGAAGCTCATGATAAATACATACAGCGGTAACAGGTTACATACGCTTCAGGTTACAGACTCTGCTAACCCAGAAATAGTACCTCGGGTTAAGAACTTTGCTTCAGGATGAGAACAGAAATTGTGCTCTGGCGGCTTCACGTTAAGAACAGTTTCAGGTTAAGAACAGACCTCCGGAACGAATTAAGTACTTAACCCAAGGTACCACTGTATTTTTGACGCCACCTTTTTCAACGAGCCTTTTGTGCTCCCCGCCCCTCGAATGTGGATTTGGAATCGTTTCATATATGATTTTTTATAAAAATATCGTTAATAACAAATTGCTTTGAGGCATTTCATACAGTGGTTTTTAAATGAATGCGAGTGTTATCAGAAGCCCGAGCCCTCTTGGTGGTGGGCAAGGTGCCCCTAGGCACACATCACACCTTGCGAACGGCTGACTCTCAATACTTTTCATTTAAGAGAGAAAGAAGAAACAGCCTCTCCACCTTATTCCAATCCCCCTAAATGCAGTTGTCCCTTGCTGGGATTTGCAGCAACAACCAAAGGTACTTTCCCTGAAAATTAAGAACTGCCTGCCAACTTTCTGTCTGGACAGAGAAAGGAATGTTCCCAAAGTCACACAGGCAGGCCTATGTGTGTCCCCTCCTGCTCCCCCCCCCTTGTCAAAAGGGGCCCTGTTTTCACTCTGTCCTGTGCTCTCACACTGTTTCCTCTGGGAGTCAACTTCCCCCCTCCCAAACTTGGGGATTTCCCGATCCAAGCTTTGAAGCAATACAGGAATTTTTCTTTTTCTACTAGATTAAGTCACAGGCACAAGCGAAGTCCAGCCAAGCTTGGCAGCAGATGGTAACTGCCTTTTCCACTGTGCAGGGACAGAGGCCCCACCCCTCCAAAACTGTGGCCTGACCCATCTGTTTTGCTTGGCAGAATCAGTAACCCCTGTGTTACCTGCGCCAGACTCCTTCGCCCGGGCTATTAAAAAAGAATTAAAATGCAGGGCGGATCAACCTGAGAAGCTAGAGAACTCTCCCAAGACAGGGGAAATCCCCACAACAGGGAGAGGCAGTACAGCAGGATCCACATCCACCAGAAATCAATGACCTCACCCTCCACCGACACTGTGAAGCCAGGAAACAAGGACTACAAGTCATTTCTCTCTGCTCCAGTCACAGAACCTCCCAGCCAAGATGTGAATTAGGACTTAGAAATCAGAAACTGATTTATTCAAAATCCAATAAGCCCCTGCTCTCCTTAGCTTGGCCCACAACTTATTTCTGCTCTTCTAGTCACCCCAGGTGAGGTTTACATGTTTGTCTGTCTCTTGACCATTGCCCCTTCCGTCACAGAAGCCAGACAGCGACTGCAAGCATTCCAACAGTTGTTCCCTGCCCTGCTGGAGCAACATTCCACAACATTACAAGGCAGCTCAGCCAACCCATGTGAGAAGCTCCACCACCACCAATTATACATGCCCAACAACTACTCCCCGCCCCAGCCAATCACTATCTCTCTACCCAGAAAAACTTTTAACTCCTGACTCGGCATCTTTTACAGCCAGAAAAGCTTTTGTCTCCACAGCAGCCAGATGTAAGGGATGCAGTAAAAGAAACAGAGGGACCATCTCTTAGAACACTAAAAATAATATACCAAAAGTGTGCATGGCTTCAGGAGCAGTACAGTGTCCAGGACAGGATCCTGAACCCCAGAATAGGATCCTGGACAAAAAGATGTAGCTCATAGTAGAGGAAATTCACAAATACTGTATCCTCCGATTCTTGGAGAGTAAATATATTACTGCGTAAAGCTGGATCGCTGAATTTCTGGTACCAACAGCACCCAGCAATTAAAGATTTTTCCTTTCTCACTACCATAAATCCTACTCCTGCATTTATTATATTTTTTTATGACAGCCCCTTTACCACTTCAAATGAGTGATATAGGAAATCTCAGTGTTTCAGAACATGCCTCTGTTTTTTTCTGAACTGACTTTTTTGAGTTTGTCTAAGAAGTCTTGCAACAGGTGGCCCGACACTGGTATTTTAACAGACAAAGAAATGGTGAAAAGTCTGGGAAAGCATGTTACTGAATATTTTTTGCTTAAGTCATGCCTTCATGTGGGATTCCTTCAAAGCAGCCCTCGGGGGCCAATGCAGTTCTGAAACTAGTGTTCGAAACCACTGCAATGGGAACACTATTTCTGCTCTTGCTTGCAGAAATAAAACTCCCTGAGGTGAAACATAAAACCACAAGTAGTGAACATATTTACAAAATGCTTCAAAAGATACCAATACAATACTAATAAAATCTAAAATCACTGTAAATTAGGGTCCTTTTTTGTTTTAGGAATAACATAAAGGTTATAAACATTTGTAAATTCAGTGCCACGGGGCTTCTATTTTTTCTTAAACAAAAACAACACCACGACTTAGATCTTTATTAAGTTTATAAATGCTTTTAAATAAAATAAATAACATAAGCAAAGTGCGTGGTATCTATCAGGTTGTGTTATTCTGAAACGAATAATAAGTTCTAAGAAAAGCTTAAATCCCATCTCCTTCCATTAAGGAAGTGGAAAATTGGGGGCCACTATCCTCCCCCTTCCCCAATTCAAAACTTCCCAGGAAATACTGTCATTTGTGATATGTATGACAACAACACGAAACCAAGACATGCCACTTACCTGGAAGACCCCAGTTATGTTGCAACAACAATGGCAGGAGATCTGGAGGAAGGAAAGAAAACAAAACACCAGCATGAATAACTGTGGAAAGCACGAACCTAGGAAACTGCTTATAAAGAGTCAGATGACTGGGCCATCAGCAGCCCTAAAGCTGGAGAATTCCCTCCCCAGGGAAGCACACCTGGCACCTTCACTGTATTGCTGCTGTTACCTGCTGAAGACACAACTCTTTAACCTGGCCTTTGATATTAGAGGTATGTTTTAGGACCCACCCGGTTCTTCCATTTGTAAATTGTATTTGCATGTTGTTGTGACCTTCCCTGGAGCCTTGTGGAGAAGGAAGGATATGAATTCCAGTCATGATGATAATGATAAAGATAATATTATGATGGCAAAAATAATGGCATCTGCACCAGCAGGGGCTCTCCACTAGGGTTTCAGACAGGAACCTGTCAGCTGTACTTGGAGATGCTAGAGGTTCAACCAGGGACGTTCAGGTGCTCTGCCACTGAGCTACAGTCCCCCCCCCCTCCACCAGCAACTGAATGCCATGTCTTACTCAATACCTAATCCATACATAGGCAGCAACTCCACACAGCTTGACCACCCAGCATTAGCCTTGTAAAGACTTCAGCCATTACTTCAACCGCTGCGGTCTGCCAAGCAAAAGGTGTGTTGCTCATGATCACTTGACACTATGCAGTTAAGGAAATGATCCCAAGCCTGCACTCTTGCTTAACAGGATCAGCTCAGTGTCCACCTCCCCAGCAGGCATTAGGATATAAGGATGCTTCTCCTCCACTCTCCAAATGATCACAGAGGCCTCCCATTTATTCCCTGTTTGCAATGAGGCTTGAAAGGAACCCTCTGACTGGCAGCCAACTTTTTCAGGCCGTGTCGGCGCACTCTGATTATCAAGCGAGCGCTGTGGGTGCTGCTACCCCCTTTGCGTCTCTTCTCCCGAAACACGGGAAAGAAAAGATACGCGTGCACTTCATGCTTCCAAGAGATCAGGGTAAAAGTTGGATCCGGCTGACTTACACTGAACCTCGAAAAGCACACAGAGCTGAAAGAGGAAGTGAGGAAGAGTCACTTTTCCAGCTTCCTGCTTAAGGCCTGTGGACCTTTTTTACCCCTTTAAAAAGTAACTGTGCTCGCTACCTTATGGCCAAGGGTCAACAATACCATGTGTGTGTCCGTGCACATGCTCAGAGGCTTTGGAGCACCAGGAGAAAGACTGAAAGGGCGCCACCTGACACCACACTGGCAACCGCGTTGTAGTCAACAGATTCTCCCCAAACCTAATTTTAGTCTGGGGAGGGGGGAATTAACTCTCCCACAATTGTGGTTCCCCCAACACACACACACACACACACACACACACACACACACGTACAGTGGTGCCCCGCAAGACGAATGCCTTGCAAGACGAAAAACTCGCTATGCGAAAGAGTTTTCCGTTTTTTGAGTCGTTCCGCAAGACGAATTTCCCTATGGGCTTGCTTCGCAAGAAACATCTTGCGAGTTCTTGCGAGTTTGTTTCCTTTTTCTTAAAGCTGCTAATCCGCTAAGCCGTTAATAGCCGCTAAGCCGCTAAGCTGTTAATAGCCGCTAAGCCGCTAATAGCCGCTAATAGCCGTGCTTCGCAAGACGAAAAAACCGCAAGACGAAGAGACTCGTGGAACAGATTAATTTCGTCTTGCGAGGCACCACTGTATGTGAGAATCTGAGGAATTTTCCCATCATCCGATAGGGGAAACAAAGTACAGCTGCCACCTGTATTCTGAGGGTAATGAACCTTTCCCAGAAATCCTATTCATCCGGAAAGTTCACATGGGGGGGGGGGGCAAGAGTCCACAGAGTGGTAAACTGAACTGGCAGAGAAGGTGACACGGGGGAGGAAAGTAAGCAGAGTAGAAAGGAAAGGGAGAAGAGAGACAGGAATACCCACAGGTGAAAGGAAGTAGAAAAAGGCAAGAAAAATAAAGGGCAAAAAGTGTTTTGAGAAGGTAAGGAGAATGTGGAAGAAGGGATGGGCAAGAGAGAAAGAGGCAACAGGAAGATACCTGGTGATAGAAAAGATGGCGAAAGAAGGTGAGAGCAAAGAGAAGGTGGAAACTGAGAGGGGGGGAAGGCAAGACTAGCGACGCAGGAGAAAAAGTAGAAGTAGCTAAATAGAGAAGAAATGAGAAAGGAGGTGGTGAAAGTTATGGAAAGCGAGAAAGTGACAGAAAGGCTTTCTGATTAAGAAAACGCAACCATTGTAAAAGTGAGCATGACTTCACTACTGAGGAAATGTAATAAGCGAATAGGAAGAGAACCTACCCAGTTGATGCTGACACAAAACCCCACACGTACACAATGTAAAAGAATGTTTCACCCCCCTTCCCCAACCTTATACCGCATACAAAACTAACGTCTCATATCAAATGTAACTGATCTGTAACAAAGAGACTCTACAACCTGAAAAAAAGACAATGCATGTACTTCTGTAAACCAGGAAAATCTTTTAATAAAATTTATTTAAAAAAGAACTGAGCATGACTTGCCCTCTTGCTTAATGTCTACCATAGCCTTCACTGAAGAGAAAACCCCCAGAAATCAAAAGAGGATACAACTATTAAAAGTGTTCCGAAGTCTGACTAACAATACTTGGAAAACAGCTTCACTTGTTAGCATGCCAATACCTCAGTGTGGCAAGACACTGCCTGGTACTATTAAGTTTAAATCAAAAGTGAAAATGTGAAAGATGGTCTGGTTGGCAGTCAGAAATGGGTCTCTAGTCTGGACTGGCTGAAGATCACAAAAGCGTGTTTGGGAGCTGGAACTTCCACACAAAGCTTCCAAGACAGAGAACAGATACCTTAGGTTTTTATGTCTAATCTAGTTTAATCCTCTCTCTTTTTACAATAGGCCAACTGGTCTGAAGTGGCTTGTTATTCTGTAGTATATGTTCAGAACCATTTAGAAGGGAACCCTCTAGGTTAGATTACTTTTAAGTAAATTTCTGATTGGCTCCTTACAATATTTAATTTCACAGATTTTGTCACTGGTTGATACCACACTCTTCTCCAAGGAAGGAGGCAGGCTTTTACTGATCACAAATTCATATAAGTATGTGAAACACCATTGGAGCCATTCAAATCAGGTGACTCAAGGCCCTGCAAGGACTTACAATGGGGGTGGAAGTTGTTGGTAGACTACAATTCCTATGATCACTGGCCGTGCTAGCTGGGGCTGATGGGACTTGGGAGTACAACAACATCCAGAAGGCCACAGGCTCTCCCATTCCTGCCTTATACCCCCCTTCCAGAACCTCCTTTCTGCAAGGAACTCTGCACATACTCAGAAACCCACGGCTCCACTCAAACAGGTACAAATGGAACGAGTTAAGTCGCAGCAACTTTTTTTGAGATGTCTGAATGAGGGATCAGTTTCGTCTAATCTTTCCCAGTTTTCCAAAAGAAACTTCTGTACAACATAGCAACAGCTGGCTGTGTTAACAAGCTGTTTCTCTGCAATTTCTCACTAAAAATCTCCCCTGTGAGTTCCAACGAACAGCTACCAAGCCACCACTTTTAAGTGTTTTTCTCCTGCTCTTCAAGATGAAAAAAAGAGTTCTTATGTTTATTTCACAAGGTCTGATTAAAGCCTGTACCTTCTGTACTTTGGCAAAGTAAATCTGGAACACCTTGTGCTTAGTATTTATGGAGTTGGGTTTAACTGAGGGGTCCCTTTCCAGAGCCCACCCTGCCAGAGCCCCAAAACTCCTAGGGCAGGGAAAACCTCTACAGCCCAAGGGCCAAATTCCCTTGCAAGCAGCCTTCCAGGGGCCACATCCCAGTGGCGGGCAGAGAAATATATATGGAAGGCACAATTCCAGCTATATTCCAGCCACGCCAAAGCCGAGAGGTCAGCACCCACACTTCTCTCCACCCAGGCAAGCAAGACACAGGTCTAGGACACATTTCAAACAGACACAAGTTCTGGAGGAGGGCAAAGACCAGGGCAAGTGAAGGCCACAGGCTGGGGAAGAGTCTCAAGCCCAGAAGGGAGGCATGCTGAACCACATTCAGCCTCCAGGCCAGAGAGGTTTCCCCACCCCTTTTTGTTTAGGGCATGTCAGGAGGTCCGGCCTAATAGGTGGAAGACTTTCAAGCATGCTTTTTCTCTTTCTTTCTTCTGGAATAAAGACTTCCTCCCCAATGGTCCATCGCAGCCACCAGCAGAGAGCGATAGAAAGAAAAGAGAAAAAGGTGGGAGGCAGGCCTGTGTGTCATGGAACTGCAGGCTCGCTTGCACGCACACAACAACCAGAGGCCAGGATACATATGTGGGCCTCCCCTATGTGAAACGGAAGCTAAAACTGCTAATGTTAAGTAACGCCAAGAAGAAAAAGATCAAAAGGCTGGACTGCCCTACCAGAGGCTGTGGTTACCCTGCAGCACAGAAAAAAAACGCTCTGAAGGTGGTAAAAGGGTGCTGAACTAAGCTTCCTGGATTTAAAGAGAGAGAGAGAAAATGCATGCACACACAAGTTTCTAGTTCTTATGGCTTCAAAGGCAGGCTTGGAAGAGGCTGGGCAATGGCTGCCAATGTCTCAGGTGACAGCAAGGCGGCCAGATAAAACTACCAGCCTGTGTCTAGCAAAATGGTAAAAATTAAGGGTGCTAAACTAAGCTCTCATGCACACCTTTGCAATGTTTTGTTGCAGCTGGAAAAACTGGCTCTACCGGGTGCAAAGTTTAAATAAAACCTAGACATAGAACATTAATTTATCTCTCTTTTTAAACACAATCTCAGCTATACTGATTGACGCACAAGTGTGCAGAACTACAGAGCAAGGCAGCTGGGGCTTTAAGCATAGAAAATCCAAATGCAGTTGCCCTGCCCAGCTGTGAGCCTCTGGATTGGTGAGGGCAAGTCAAGTCTCTCTCTTTCTCTCAACCTGAAACCCACCTGAAACCCTACGTTTAAAGCACATGGCTTCCTGGGAACTGTAGTCTGTTACGGGTGTTGGGTGTGAGGCTAAACTACAATTCCCAGGATTCTTTGGGAGAAGTCACGTGCTTAAGATATATGGTGTAGATGTTTATATCAACAATCCAAACGGAACATGTAGAGCATAGTTCCTGAATATTCAAAATACATTTCTTGCAGTTACATTTTGTTCTATTTCCTTGGTTTCCGATCATAAAAAGAGGGCACTGCTGGACCAGGCTCAGAGGCCCACCAAGAAGACCTGGGGGCAATAGCCGCTCTCCCCACTTGCGTTTCCACTCAGTCTTACTCAGAGGAGTACTGCCTTCCACATGGAGGCAGAACATGGTCATTTTGGCTAGTAGCCGCTGACAGTCTTATCCTCCATGAATTCGCCACATTTGTCACTTTACGAAAGATAACGCAACCAAAGCAACATAAAGAAAAATAGGGAAAAGTTAAAAAGGGAAGGGGGAGCCTGGGTTTAGGTCTATTTCTGACCATATAAATTGGAAATACAAATCTGAGCTGTGCAAGTCTCAAGAGAACGTGACTGAATGGTCTGGTATTTCTTCTTTGTTCTCATGCTGATACGTCGCCAGTTCAAATAAGGACAAGGAATGTAACCCATCACTGCATGCCAGGCAACTTTCTCCCATCGTGCAACTCAGAGCGAAGCACAAATGGGGTTTCCAAACAGTTGAAAACCCAAGTGCAGACTAGACCCATACCTGCTTAGCTTCAGCAAAGTGGTACAGCCTCATGTGCCTTCAGACCAGGGTTTCCCCAAACTTGGGACTCCTGGTGTTGTTGGACTACAACTCCCATCTTCCCTAGCTAGCAGGACCAGTAGTCAGGGATGATGGGAATTGTAGTCCAAAACCGGCTTCCAGCACTGAACCGCTATGGGTTGTACCCACTGAAAGTCACTTGATCCAGGGACAGTGCACATATCTATTTTTCTTAATGGTGACGTGGACCATTCATAACATAAGAATACTCTTCGAAATTGCGAGCAGGGCAGTGGGGTGGGGTAAGTGAAGACAAGCTACAACAATGAACTACAACGTTGTTCACTGCTCCTGCTCAGGCTGCACAGAAAAAGGCATTTTGGTTCCTGATTTTATCTGATTGTGCAGCTAAACTATAATGGATAGAGTTCTACAGGATGTGTTGCTGGTGCTGTGAAAGCAGTCAAGATCCAAGGATCCCTAAACATGCACGTCCAGAGGGTGGAGATGTCAGGCACCAACCAGCCTGGCGCCCAGCCATCTCCACTTGGTCACAAGTGGCTGATAAAAAGGTAAAGGAACCCCTGACCATTAGGTCCAGTCATGGCCGACTGGGGTTACGGTGCTCATCTCGCTTTATTGGCTGAGGGAGCCGGCGTACAGCTTCTGGGTCATGTGGCCAGCATGACTAAGCCGCTTCTGGCGAACCAGAGCAGCGCACAGAAACGCCATTTACCTTCCCGCTGGAGCGGTACCTATTTATCTACTTGCACTTTGACGTGCTTTCGAACTGCTAGGTTGGCAGGAGCAGGGACCAAGCAAAGGGAGCTCACCCCGTCATGGGGATTCAAACCACCGACTTTCTGATCGGCAAGCCCTAGGCTCTGTGGTTTAACCCACAGCGCCACCCGCATCCCTAAGTGGCTGATAGTCAGGTGCAAAATGCACCCGCTAATTTCAAACACTGTGTGTGGCCCCAGGAAAGTTATCCAGAAAGGAATAAACCCTTGGGGTGAAAAAGGTTCTTACACACACACACACACACACACACACACACACACTAAGTCACCCAGCAGGAGAGCTTCATGGCTACATGGGGTTGAATCCAACTAAGTTCTACTCAGCATAGACCCAATGCAATGAGCCTATGCTAGTCACATCTATTGACTTCAATGGATCTCGTCTGCATAAGATTGGTAGCGGAGCCAACCCATGGCTTCTGAACCTACCCTCCCCAGCCCTGGTCAGACACTCCTAACCACACTGGCTCTTGCACCACCTGATGCCACAGCAAATCTGCTTCAGTCTTTTTTAAGGTGCCACAAAACACACAGTTGGGGTTTCTGCTGAATGAGACCTTACACAGTTTCCCCTTAGGAAAACAAAACTGAACAACAACACACAGGCATAACACACAATGCAGAAGCTGAGACAGCCCCCCGCCCCAAGGAAAATTGAGTTTCAAAAACAGACACATAATGTTCTTTGTTTCGGGCCCCAAAAAGAGGAAGTTTGAGAGAGACACATTTCCAGATACCCAAACGCTGACAGAAAACACAAGCTTTAAGAAACGGGGACCGGGCTCGATCTTATAAGAGAAAAGGGAAAAGAAGGGAGAATAACCAAGGTTATTTCTTGCCTAAGGGATATGGAATGCAAATGAATTGTAGAAACGCCGTAATTCTACATTATTCTCTTTTTTTTAAAAGAAAGGTGCATGCAGGTGTGTGTAAATGAGTGTACATGGAGAAAGAGTGACTAAACTTTTTTTTTAGGTAAGGAAATAGAAGGTGCCAGGATTCAAATCTACCTCATGATCCATACTCTGATCTGGAAGTCCTACTGATGGGCTTTCACTGCACATGCTCAGAGGGTCTCCACTGACTACCACTTTGCAAACAGTTTCTATGATCTGCAAGGAGTTATTGTGTCATTTATCAGAAAGGAGAAAGAGATAGCGGACCCAAGTCAGTCTACCCAAAAAAGCTGCTGCTTATTGTTTAGTCATTTAGTCGTGTCCGACTCTTCGTGACCCCATGGACCAGAGCACGCCAGGCGCTCCTGTCTTCCACTGCCTCCCGCAGTTTGGTCAAACTCATGCTGGTAACTTCGAGAACACTGTCCAACCATCTCATCCTCTGTCGTCCCCTTCTCCTTGTGCCCTCAATCTTTCCCAGCATCAGGGTCTTTTCCAGGGAGTCTTCCCTTCTCATGAGGTGAGCCTCATTAGGTGAAGCCTCAGCTTGAGGATCTGTCCTTCCAGTGAGCACTCAGGGCTGATTTCCTTAAGAATGGAGAGATTTGATCTTCTTGCCATGGGACTCTCAAGAGTCTCCTCCAGCACCATAATTCAAAAGCATCAATTCTTCGGCGATCAGCCTTCTTTACGGTCCAGCTCTCACTTCCATACATCACTACTGGGAAAAACATAGCTTTAACTATATGGACCTTTGTCGGGAAGGTGATGTCTCTGCTTTTCAAGATGCTATCTAGGTTTGTCATTGCTTTTCTCCCAAGAAGCAGGCGTCTTTTAATTTCGTGACTGCTGTTGCCATCTGCAGTGATCATGGAGCCCAAAAAGTAAAATCTCTCACTGCCTCCATTTCTTCCCCTTCTATTTGCCAGGAGGTGATGGGACCACTGGCCATGAACTTAGTTGTTTTTAGTTTGTTTTTTTATGTTGAGCTGCTACCTTGCAATAAATGCAAAACTAGCCTGCTGGGGAGCAGATAGAAAAAAAGACTGAGAGCTCTGTCCTTCCTGAAGCAGTCCACTGCATTCCCACTGCCCTGGTGTAGTGGTTAGAATGTCAGACTAGGACCTGGGAGATCAGAGTTCTAATCCCCACTCAGGCATGAAGCCTAATCTGGGTAACCTTGGGCCAGTCACTATCTCTCTGTCCAACCTCCCTCACAGGGCTGTTGAGTATAAAATGGTAAGGGGGGGCAATTAGAAGCATGTATGCCACCTTGAGTTCCTTAAAGAAAAGTGGGATACAAACATAATGAAGTTAATAGGTACAGAAGACGGATGGAGCAGCCTCTTCTCCCACCTTCTGCCAGCCAGCTCACTCATCTGCATGCCCTTCCATCTCACCTATGGTGAGCAGGCAAGGACTTAAGGAGAATGGAGAGTTAGCACACAGGATTTTCCTACCTTAACTGACAGAGCTTCTTCAGGGTCTCGGGACTGGCGGTGGTGCATATCAACGTCTACTGGACCAGGTTCAAAGGGGGCCCACCTAGTCCAGCATCCTGTTCTCACAGGGGCCTACTGGATCCCCACGATGGCAAACCCATAAGCAGGACCCAAATGCAACAGTGCTCTCCCCACCTGCCATTCCCAGCAACTGGTGTCCAGAGGCCAAGTGCCTCCAACAGCAAAGATCACAGCCATTGTGGCTGGTGGCCAATGATACCTTTATCCTCCAAGTTCATGTTGTCTAATTCTCGTACAAAGCCATCCAGCTGGGTGGCCATTGCCACAACTTGTGGGAGCAGGTTCCATCCTGTAATTCAATAGCTCTGCTACCTGAGAGCCAAGCGCCAGGAGACTGAAGCTACATGCAAAGTCTAGGCAAGTGGTTCTCAAACTTTTTTTGAGCAAAAGCTGTCTTGAGGCACATCAGGGGTTTTTTTTGTTGATAAGAAATACACTGGAAAACAAAAAACTATATTATACTGAAATGCTTAAATGTTTCTTTGATTGTCCTTGAATCTTCCCATCCTCTCCTGGCACACCACCCACTTTAGGTCTAGGGCTAGGCTCTCCCCATGCCATATAGGCCCTCCTTAAAGAGCTGCCTTGCAGCCAGATGGACCGTTGCCCAACAAAGACCAGTACTGCCAATCTGGCTATTGGCTCTTCCCAGTTACAGGCAAAGATGGACCTTCCCTGTTCCTATTACCTAAGAATCCTGGTTTATGGCCTGGAACAAGTTCCTTGCCAAACTCATATATGCAAATCTGGACTCGCAAGGGAGACTTCAAAGAATGTGCGGAGGGGGGTTGTGGGGGGGCCCTGTGAGCTAGCCCCTCTCCCACCATCCCTCCCCCTCAATTCCATGCATTTGACATTAAGTACATATTTCCCTCCAAAACATTTCTTACTGAGTTTTAACATACAGACCTGATGCACACACATTCTATATATGTGCTGATTTGCTTTGAGTGTGCAGAGCTCCTGAGGAGAGAGCCTTGCCCAATCAGGGCCCCATCCCACACGAAGCTCCACACATGCATCAGTGCAACTACATAGAACTCCTTCTAATGCACATCAAATCTGCAGATGTGAGAGGAGCATGTTTGTGGGCACAATGGTGCAGCCCCCTCACCCCATTATTGTCCATATCTCAGCTGGTAGAGAGCACGAGACTCTTAATCTCAGGGTTGTGGGTTCAAGCCCCACATTGGGCAAAAGACTCATGCATTGCAAAAGATGACCCTCGTGGTCCCTTTCAACTCTACAATTCTATGAAATTGTCAGTCAGATTTTATTTGTCTACCAAATGCAGATTACAGCCAGAAAAACCACATCTGGGACATCGCTATTTGTAAAAAAAGGAGAAGAGAGAGACCGGGTTTCCACCACATACCTTTAGCAGGATCTCTACACCCAGACAGTCAGAATCCAATTACCAATTACGTACATTCTCAAGCCACGCAGAGTAGCTCGACTTCTGCACTGCAATTATGCTTTTCAAAAACTTTCTTCTCCACATCGTTCGCCCCCCATGTAATCCCTGCATGGTGCCAGTGATTCCCGGAGATTGACCTTCTGTATGCAAAGCACATGCTCTACCACTGAGCAACAGCTCTTCCCAAACAGGAACATAGGAAGCTGCCTTATAGCATATCAGAGCACTGATCCATTTGCTTCAGTATTGTCCACACAGATTGGCTGTGAGTTTGTTTTACTTAATCCTGCTGCCTTGAGATGTCGGTGGGCGGCTAGACTTGGGACATTTTTCATGCAAAGTATGTGCTCTGCCAGAGCCCTACATTCCATCCCCAAAGGTAGAGGACAGAGGTTCTGCTGGAGAATGTAGGGATTTGTCCCACTCCCACCACTACCCTTGCACACTAAGCAAGAGCCACAGATTTGAACCAATTCCCTGGCTGAGGGTCTTTCAGAGAAGCTGTTCCCATGAGCTTCCAATGAACTCCAGCATATGCACATACCCCTTTGCAATGACGCCGTGTTCAAAATGAGCTAGGCGCCAGCGCGTTTTGCATCTGGCACAGGTCTAATTGCGACCATGTAGAGATCTCTGGATGCCAGGATGGCGACTAGGGAAAGTAAAATGTCCCTTAGAGAAGGATCTGAAATATTTCCCTTGAAGCTTGGATTTGTTTTATTCTGCATTGTTTTATTTGATGTCTTAATGTGTTGTAAACTGAGATTTGTTCTTTAAAATATAAAGTGGTACAGAAATGAAATGGACAACAACCACCATCAATGGGGGGGAAATGGTGCCTAGACATTCTGTAAGCTAGGTTTAAGGTGCCATTTGGCAATTGGATATCTGAGCTTCTAACACTGAATGACACCTAATTCTAGATGGAAGCAAGCAAGCTCTGATTTCATGCTGGTCACAGAAATGCAAACTGTACAAGCTCCACAACCACGAGCTTGTATTTGTCTTCACCACCAGCAATATCATTACAGCAGCACCTCGGCTTATGTTACCCTCGGGTAATGTAAACTTCGGGTTGTGAAAGCGGCAAACCCGGAAGTGTTTCACCATGCCCGCATGCGCAGAAGCGCTCTACTGCACTGCGCACAGGCGCAGAAGCGGTCCCTCCGGTTGCGGAAACCTCGGGATCCAACCGGAGCTCTGGAACGGATCCCATCCGCAACCGGAGGTACCCCTGTATTTTCATCCCAAAGAGCTCAGAGTGGCAAATGTGTTTCGTAGCTCCCATCCACTTTATCCAAACAGTGTAAATAAGGTATGGTCAGGCTTAGAGGAAAGATAAAGAGCCTGGTGCCCACAGATGTTGCACTACACCAGCCCCAGCCAGCAAGGGCAACGACAGATGATGCTGGGAGCTTTGGTCCAGCAACAAATGGAGGGACACAGTGTGCCTGCTTGTCAGGGCTGGTCACTGGCATAGCCTTGTCAAGGTGCACAAGGAAAACTAAGCCAGAAATTCTGCCCATTCTTTTCTTTTGAGGCACAGGAATAAGGGTGTAGGCATTTGGGCCTTCAGAGCTATGCTGTAGCTAGGCCTGCCCATTTTGGAACAGGTCCCAGTTATCTTGCCCTGCGACTCAGAGACATGGAGAGGCCAGAAGATGAAGCACTTCCTGTCCTGACGGAGTTTTGCTTTTCCCCAAAACAAATCCTTCTCATTGGCTTGAATTCTAAAAAACAGCACCATGCCAAATTGCTTAGTGCTTTGCAGGAGAGCCCCAGAGCCTGTTGCTTAGTTTATATGCTAGCAACTGCCTTCACCACTGCATTAACTACAACACCGCCACCTGCACACGTGGGGCTGGTGAAAAGAGTTTCAGATAGGATACATAGGATAGTAGCCCATGGCCCAAGGAGTTGCATGCAGACTTCATGCCTTGGCAGCTCCAGGAAGAGATGCATAAGATCCCCAGCAGCAGCCACCACCTGGATAAACTGGGGGGGGGGGGGGGACCTTTGGACCATGGGCCAAATTTGTCTCACAAGACAAGTTTCCCAAAACCACACCCACCCGCCCCCCACGCCAGATGTCAAATGCATCATCAGATGCAAGGTAGGTACAGACACATGTCAGTTGGCTGGGCAACTGAGCTCCCTGTGGGAAACTCAATTGTGCAGCCAATCCCTGCACAGCGCAGGCTTGAAGTCAGGGCCCATCAATGGTGAAGCAGTGATTCCAAATCTGCTGATCAGCAGCGCCTCAAAGCAGCATGCAGGCCTCTTTAAAAGTGTCATGCGGTGCTTTGATGTCCTGGGGGTCATTGATCACCGCCTGATGTCATTGTGATGTCAGATTCAGCCCATGAAGGGTATGTGAGATAAAAATTTGGCCTGCAGGTCAAAATCCGGCTTCCCGCTCCCTGGGGTAGATGGTGGTGTTAGACAAGCTACCTAAAGCAGCAGCTATGTTCATACATCACAATAACCCAGGGTTGCTGGCTTATTATGGTTCATCAGGAACAGTAGGATATACATGGAATCAATCAATGCCTCAACACAAAGCTAACAGGACCAAACAACAGCTTCTCGCAGCCCTAGCACATTTATTTTTCTCACCATGGTAGGCAGAGCCATCACCTCTGTGATTCAGGAACATAAACTAAGGCAGTGACAGGGAACCCTGTGGCCCTCCAGATATTGGTGAACTACAACTCCCATAACCCATGTGCAACGCCCGTGTCAGCTGAGGTTGGTGGGAGTCCAACAACATCCGGTGGTCCAGAGAGTCCCCATCTCTGAACAAACAGCAGAGTTTTAATAAACGGTGCAGTTTTTGTAATTTGATGTTTCTTTTTGAAATTATGAAAGTGTACAATGTTGTTTCTCCCCACTGCCTAAGGCAGGGTCTGGGGAACCCATCACCCTCCAGATGTTGGACTGCATCTTCCATTGTTAAGGCAAGCTCCTCCCCAATATTTTTTTATTAGAAACAGTGTATTTTTTTTAATAAATCAATTGATCATCCCTGATCAATGGCCATGCCAGCAGGAGCTGATGGGAGTTGTGAGTCCAACAAACACCTGGAGGGACGCAGGTGCAAGAGGTAAAAGACCAAGAAAAGGAACAGTTTTTTCATTTCATGCAACTGTCAGAATTTGTTGCAGCATAGAGCCAGTAGGGCAGAGTACTTTAGAGTGACAGACTAGGGCTGGGGGGGTCCTCAGGTTCAAATCTACACTCAGGTGGGCAAACTTCAGCCAGTCACTATCGCTGAGCCTGGCCTACCTCACAGGGCTCTAATGGAGGGAACATACATACCTTTGTTAAAAGTAGCATCATGATGACAGGGAAGAATCATTTGGGAAAGGATGAGCAGCTTTATCTGTTCCCACCCTAGCACATAAGAATTGGTTAGAGGGCACACATGCATCACTGCCATTCATCGAAAACATTGACAGTTTTGGATTGTATTAGTCGCACCCAAGAGTAGGTCCATTTAAATGAATGAGATGACTGACAGGTCTCTTCATTTCAAGAGGTCTACCTGGAGTAGAACTCAGCTGGATACAACCCAGATGAGTACACTGACCACATTCTCACACAGCACAGCAAGATATGATGGCCAGTGTTAGAAACTGAGATATGAAAGCTAGGAGCTAAATGGCACCTTAAACCTAGGTCATGGGCGCCACAATGGAGTGTCTAGGCACGCTTTTTAATAACAAGAATACAAAGCTGAAAATGAATGAACTGCAGCTAAAATTTTATCTTCATTTTTCACATAGTCTAGTCCGCATCCTAACACTGCAAAAAAACAAAGCCCTACTTCCCCTCCCTGCCCGCCTAATATTATTATGAGGGTCCCTTCTCCAGTCTTCAGAGAGTGGCTGGAAGTGGGGAGGCAGAAAAAGGTCCTGCTTTCCTTCCAGCAGTGGTAGTTTTAATCTGAAATTTTAGGCAATACCGCACCCTGAGCTCAGAAACTGCTTGCATTAATGAAATTCCCTGTCACAAAACTGCGCTTAGAACAATGGAAGTTTCGAACGCTGATGATGGGCACTAGGACGCCCCACAAAGACAAACAGAAGACAGCAACATTCCAAAGATCATCAAAAATCTAAAATACCTGAGCAAGTAGGAAGGTCTTCAGCTGGCACCTGAAAAGCTTGCAAGGTGGACACCAGATGTGCCCCCCATGAGGAGAGGATCCCTAAGTTTAGCTGCCCCCCCCCCTTCGTGAAAGATTGAGGTACATTTGAGAAGGGTAAATTTGAGAAGAACTCTAACAGAAGATCTGAAGATGCATGCAGGCTGATAATACTACATAAACCATAATCACTACAAAACTACAGAAAGTCAAATATCACTGCGCATCAACCAGCACTAAATAATCCAGAAAGGATAACCAACTAAAAGCATTCGGGACCAGCCGTGTTTGGGGACAAACCTCTATTACAAGTTAATTCCTCCCTGCCCCCAGCTCCAACGGCAAAATCGAAATTGTGAGCCCTATCAGTCGAAGACAAAGGATAAAGTGCACCAGTAGGAAACAACACAGAAAGGAGCCATTAGTGAAGCACATAGGAGCAATTTCTTCCAGGAACCAGTCACAGGTCCAACTTGTAAGCAGGCTTGGCCAACCTGGTGCCGTCAAGATGTTTTGGACCACATCTGGCTGGTGGAAGTTGTAGCTCAAAACATCTGGAAGGCACCAGGTTGGCCTAGAAACCTACAAAGTGTGCATGGTGTGTCAGTCGTCCCCAACCTCCTCCTCAGATGCCCATCCTCTCATCCCAACTCAGAGAATGCCCCTGCTGCAAGAGGAATAGCCCCAACCAAATACCACTCCCTCTTGAAATCAGCCAATCGCTAGGCTCATTTTGCACCTGGCTATTGGCCACTTGCAACCAAGTGAAGATGCCCAGGTGCCAGGATGGTGCCTGACGTCTCCACCATCTGGAGAGGAATGCCTGGGGATCGGTGGATCTTTTCACACACTAGCAACACATTTCATTTATTGCTCATCACATAGGGAATGTTTATTAAGAAACCAATAAACATTTCTCCTCCTCTCCTCCAAATCAGAGACATCTCACCTCACACCTTCCTAGTTTTATTATGTTTTTATATATGTTGGAAGCCACCCAGAGTAGCTGGGGCAACCCAGTCAGATGGGCGGGGTACTAATAAAAATTATTATTATTAGTTAACAGAGGACCAACCATTTCCCTCTTCCTTCCTAACTCACCCCTTTAACCCTGGCCTTTGACAGGTAAGACATTTTTGTGGGACCCATCTCATCTTCCATTTTTGTTTTACTCTGTACACTGCTACATTTGCTCAGGATTGCTTTGTTTTAATAGCTGCATCTGAAAATCGTTTTACTTGCATGATTACATTGCTGTAACTCAATTTGGAACTTCACAGCTGAGGGAAAGTGGTTTTTTTAAAAAAACATACTTAAGAATTACTGAAATCAACCCAAGATAGCCACTGCCATTATTTTCAACAGGTCTACTCAGTGTTTTTCTTCTTCTAAAAAAATGTACCAGTACTGCCACTGAGTACCCCCAGGGGGGAAAAAGCACTGGGCCTTCTCTGAGCGGGGCCAGCACTGGATCCGACCCATAACTGCTTGCAACTCACCAAACTGTGTTTCTGTGTGTATTTGTTAATGTTTTGTATCACTGGCTAATGGCACAATGTATTCTAATGATTTCAAATGTAAGCGAATAACAACGACGACGAGGAAGAGAGTTGTGCATCGTTTGCTAATGGCAAAGTATGCGTTTGTGTTGCCAGATGCGTTGCGACGTGAACAACAACAACAACAAAGTGGAGGGGGGAGAGGAGGAGGAGGAGAATGCACACCCCTCCTCCCTCCACTAAAGCGGGTGTGGGGAAGCCCCACATCTGGGGCAGAAAGGCAAAGATGCCCCCACCCCCGGACCCACAACTGAGAAGGAGGTTGCAAGCAGAAGGCAAAGGCACTCACCGTCCATGTTGGCAGCCTGGAAGCCCCCCTGGGGCAGAGAGTCCCCCATGCCAGTTGGGTGGGGAAGGTGCGGGGGGGACACCACCGCCACGCAGGCCCGCGGGAGCAGGAGAAGAGGCGCCTCCAAGGAAGGAAAGAAGCCAGCCTAGAAGCCGTCGGTGGTAGGCGGCAGGCCCAGGCTCCCTCCCCGCCCCCTGAGTCCCACTACTACTACTACTACGGCGCAGCAGGAAAGGGCGCTCGCAGGCGGCGGCGGAGGCGAGACACGCAGGCGCACCCAGCCCGCTCCGCTGGAACCTCGGCAGCAGCAGCAGCAACGCCTCGGGGTCGGAGGAACCACCGCCACCCCGCCCCACGTGACTCCGCCGCCTGCCGGGAAGGCGCCGCCTCGCGCCGCTTCTCGCTCGCGCCTCTCGCGCTCATCCTCGCCGCCCCCCCCCCCCGCCCGCCCGCCTCTTATGCAAATCGCGGGCCTAAGGGATCGGGCGCAAGTGCCTTACCTGGCTCAGGAGGGAGAGGGAACCTCCGAGGAGAGCCCAACTTGGATTCTGTTGGGTTTTATTTTTAAAAAAGCAATAATAAATATTTTATTAGTGTTATGTTGCGGGTGGCAATGTTTTATTCTGTGAAGCGCCCTGAGATTTTATGAGGAAGGGCGAGGTATATAAATCTTAAGAAATTAAAAAGTATGCAAGCACAAGAAGCGTTGTGCGTCCCAACATCCTCGCTTCTCATGCGCCTCTCAGAAAATAATAAAAGGAGAGGAAAGTAAGGAGACGACCTATGAAGGGGTTGCGGGGTGGAGAGGCAACATAACAAAAGCTATGTAATACGAGGAATGAATTAAAAGGAAATATATTTGAAATATACTCGGAGTTCTGTAGTGATTTCATGCTCTCTATTGCAGCTTGTAAAACAGTGATTGAATTGCCCCCCAAACCTCAGGCTTTTATATACATTATTTACACAATGAGTCCCATCTGATTGGCTGATTAACTTCCTCTTGGAGCCTGATTGGTCTTTTCCTGCAAGCCAATCAGTTGTTGCAGTCTAGGATCCTACTTGCCTATTGTTCTAAGATCCAAGCTTAGTAAGGTAAAAATAAAGGTAAAGGTAAAGGGACCCCTGACCATTAGGTCCAGTCGTGGCCGACTCTGGGGTTGCAGCGCTCATCTCACTTTTTTGGCCAAGGAAGCCGCGCATGGAAACGTTGTTTACCTTCCCGCCAGAGTGGTACCTATTTATCTACTTGCACTTTGATGTGTTTTCAAACTGCTAGGTTGGCAGGAGCAGGGACTGAGCAACGGGAGCTCACCCTGTCGCGGGGATTCGAACTGCTGACCTGAACGCATCCCTTAGCTTAGTACATAACACCATTGCTTAGTGCATAACACCATTGTTATAAGGAGGAGGAACAAAGGATAGAATCATCTTGGCTGCTGCCATCCAGAGACTGTGGAGCATGACTCTAGGACTCAAGCTGGCCAAAGCTATGAGAGAAGCAGGGAGATGCACTCTGCTGATCTAATACTGTGTTCACTTCCATCCTAGGCTCAGGTTGTATTTATTTGAACAAGCCATTTATCTCATAGTCACCATAGTCTCTTGTGCCTCTTTTTATCCAAAGGAACACAGACCCTGGGTAAGTGCTGGGACTAGAGGTGGCGCCGAACCTTTGTGTTCTTTACTTTCCATAAAATTTTTTTAAAAGGGCCCACCTTTCAATAAATTTCAAACTGAATACTTATAGTTGTTTTTAAAATAAATGAATAAATACTAAAAACAAAACATAACTTAAGCCAGGGTTGTTTATTCTTTCTTGGTTCTGGAGCAAAGGTTTTCCTCTCCGCTCTTTAATTAGACTGTTTGGGTGGCCAGCAACTGCTTTCTGAAAAGCAGTCATCAGTTACATAATGCTATCAGTAACATGTCATCAGTAACATAAATTATAGCTGTGTTAACTGTATTTCATCAGTGCAAGGAGGCTCTGCAAACCCTTTGCATGTACCTGACAATGCCAGCCTCGGACATGGGCCCTGATTTATCACAGACAGGCATTTATGCAAGGAGCTCAAAATGATCTACACGATTCCCTATCCATTGCTAAGGTCACCTAGTGAGCTTCATAACCAAATTGGGGGTTTGAACCTGGGTATCTGCTAGTATTCCTATTTTCATCTGTGAAATGTGAAGATATTATTTTATTCTGGTGAAAAGGGAAAGCACTTCTGGACACCTTGAATGCATTCACCTCACTCTCCATGTGACTACAGCCAACACTGACACGCATCTAGTATTAGGAGCAGTTTTCTGTTCAAATTATGTCTATCCATGGAAATGCATATGCAAAAGCTTGCTTACAATTTTGTAGTTATTTGCTTATTTTTTCAACTAACAAAGGTCTTACTTTTTCATCTATGTATGGAATGGAATTCTAATGGGCAAAAAACAACAACAACCCAGTGCCCTGCTTGTAGTTGCACACAGAATTGTTATCTGTTGGTGAGAGCCTTGAGTAGTAGAGTGAAAAGTCCCTGGTTCACTCCCTGGCATCTACAGTTAAAAGGGTCAGATAGTCAGGGATAGAAAAACTGTTATCTGGCTGAGACCTTGGCCAGCTGCCACAGTAGACTAGCCTAATGAGTTTAGAAAAGGCAGCTTCTTTTTTAGACATGCTAAGTGACTGCTTTCACTTTGCTTTAGTTGTCCTCAGAACAACAACAAAATCCAAATTGGGAATTGGTGTATTTTTATTGGTGAAAGGGTTGGTTAATTTTGCAGCCAACTTCTGTATGTTTTATATTATTGCAAAATTCTCAGCACATCTCCAGTCTGATATCTTACAAAATTTGCTTTGGTATCTTGGCAGAAAGGCAGTATATAAACGTAATGAATTAAATAAAGGGGGACGGAGTCGGTTAACTGCCAAGTCATAAATGCTCATACTACACAGATTACAACAACAAAAATGACAACTTCCGTTTTCTGGGAGGGCAGCCAGGTCACGTTGCAAGCGTTTTAGAGTCACTTCCTAGACCATCACGTGACAGCAACGCCTGTCGCTGTGACGACTTGAACTAGCATCATTTCCCTTTCTCTGCTGCGGGCTCTAGCTGGCTGTCCTCGTCACGTGATACTACGACCATAGAGTTCAGAAAGAAGCCTATAGAAGGATCAGAGCAAAATAGGAAGTTGTCATCTGGAGCACACCGGAAGCGATCGCTTCCTTTCTCCCCCCCCACCCGCTGTTTGGTAGATGCCGGAAGAGAAGGCCCCGGCTAACGGCGAGGGTCCAAGATGGCGGAGGTGGTGAGTTGAGAGCCGGGGATTGCGGGGTGGGGGTCTGGTTGGGCTTGCTGGCCCCTCTGCTAATCTCTCTCTAACTCCTGCAGGAGGAAGTGACCGAGGGGTGTCGCCTCCCCGTGCTGCGCCGTAACCAGGAAAACGAGGACGAGTGGCGTGAGTGAGGGGCGGGGCGGAGGCTCAAGGGGCGGGGCGGAGGCTCAAGGGGCGGGGCCAGCTGTCATCATGGCCCAGAGGGGAGACCTCTCACCTTGTGGGGGAAATGATATCTGTTACCAATGAACCTTGGGGAGGGTTAGCATGGACAAGAAGGTGGAGTCAAAGAGGCTGGTGAGGCTGAGGGCCAGCACCGCAGGGGTGTCAGGTCTAAGGTCAGGCTGCGAAAGAGCATCCTGCAGTGTATTGGAGTGTGGTACATGGGGAGGCTCAGATTCAAATCCTCATCTGCCTATAACACTCAGTGATTGAATTGGGGTCAGTTGTAATCTTGGTCCAGGTGTGGAGAGCCTTCAGCCCTCCAAATCTTGTTGAATTATAACTCTTCTCAGCCCTAGTCAAGCTTGGCTGGTGGACAGGAGTCCAGCCTACTTTCCAGGATTGTTTAGACAAAAATAGAGAAGGGAGACCTGTATGTATCACCTTGAGCTCCTTGGATGAAAGGCCTGGTATAACAGTAAATATGGGCCAAGATGAGGTGGGACCAACAGCACAGTCTTACCTATGCCATCTCAGAAATATGTTCTATTAATTCATTGGAGGCTAGTGTGGTTTTGAGTTCCACCACAATCAAGATGTCAAGGAGTCTAGAGGTCTCTGGGAATTTGGGGAGAATCCAGTGGAGGAAAGGAGCGAATGGAATTTATTAATCTCAACAGGTTTTGATGACTTTATGATTAAAGGTATTGCAGAACGAAACACACTTTGTTCTCCATGTACAAAAGGAAGTCCAAGTATCTGTGGCAAAATCATATTCTAAACTGTTTTGTATCTTTGCCCTTATCCTACCCATTATTTGTCAATCTTCTGTCAGTGATGAGTTCCAGTAACAGAATCTGGTATTTGGATACATCCATGACATTGATTACTGGCAATGCAGGTCAGGGCTAGCATTTCTTTACAGCACTCTTACCTGTTATTCATATCTGAAAAGATAAATTGAGTTAAGAAAGAGTAGTGCCCTCAGCCATCTAGTCTTACAACCAGGATTTGAACTTGAGTTTTTTTTGTCTAGGCTCACATTAGTTCTTAATACTCACATTTCACAGACTGAGAACATTGATTGTGAGAATTTTTTTACAGAGATCCTTGTGGCAGACTAAACTAAACTCTAAATAAAATATTCAGGCCCACTGATATAACATTTGCATCGCAGGAATCCCAAATAAGAGAGTCTTCCTGACACTTTTAGTAGTAGCCTTTTCAGAGGTCCACAAAGTGGTCTCCTCTCCCTCTCTCTCCCTCCCTCCACATTCTCTTAGATAATATATTTCTTTCTTTCAACAGCACTGGCTGAAATACTTAGCGTCAAGGACATCAGCGGCCGAAAACTTTTCTACGTTCACTACATTGACTGTGAGTAGATGGAGACAAATCCATTTGGAGGGTGGGCAGGATGAAATCATAAAATGGGCTTTTCCAGATAGGAATGATGAAGAACGTCTGGGAAGGCAAAAGGTTATAGAAACATACTCAAGATACTTAGAAATTGAAAGCAGAATATTTTTTAATTACTATCCAGTAATTAAAACTGGTCTACCCACTTAAATGGGGAAGTAGACCAGCCTTTTCCCAGAGCAGGAATGGGGAACCTGGAGTCCAACTCCCAGCCAGCTTGGCTCGACCCTGGCGAGCTTGGCCAATGACCGGGGCTGATTATCGTTGTTATCTAACAACATCTGGAGGGCCACAGGTTCTGCAGCAGACTGCCCATAGAGCTCACAGCAGAACCAGCATGCTAAGCAGGGGTAAACTTCCTTTCCATCTGTCCTGAGCATCAGAACCAGTCCTAATAAAAAAAGTTTTTGGAGTTGATTGTTGCTGACTTCATTCTTCACGTTGGGAACATCTGAGAATGCTTTTGAAACTCAGTATTGGGCCAAAAACAAGACTCCATCCTTCCCCTGTTGGGATGTGACTACCAAGATTAGCCAAAAGGCGTGGACTCTTCATTCCAGCCCTTGGGACCTGTTTTTGCTTTTGATGTGTATATGTACGTAATGAAATCTCGTCACCAAAAGTAGACAGCTGGCAGCTACAGTAAACAAGCAGGTGGGAAGACAGGCAGAAGCTTGGGGCACTGCCTAGAAAGATAGGGGGGATGTAACAGGGATTGCTGCTAGCTAGATAGCGATCCAGAGCCCTGCTTTTATCATCATCTCATTCCTCCTTAAAGATGGGGGTGGGAAAATTATCCCTTGCCTTGAACCATGCAGTTAACAAGCGTCTGGATGAATGGGTGACTCATGACCGGCTGGATTTGAAGAAGATACAGTTCCCCAAAAAGGAAGCGAAGACACCCACCAAGAATGGGCTGCCTGGATCACGGCCCAGCTCTCCGGAACGTGACGTGGTAGGAGGAAATGTGGGCCCTGGGGGGGGGAGGGGAAGGGCGGCTTTGGGAGGATGTGATCTGGCAAGGGATCGGTGGGTGGTGGTGTTAGTTTGGACCTGGGGAAGAGAGTGCTTTTATTAGCATTGGGGTTAATTCCCCGTCCCATTCCCCCAGGTCTCTTTGGGCTAAGGACAGAGACTTTATAAAGAACGAGGCCTTTGGAAGCATTGGTGGTTTTCTTCCGGTCTTGTCCCTTGTGTCCTTTTATTGTGCTGCCCAGCCTGCAGCATGTGGGGATGGTGGTCCCTGCACCCTTCCCCAGAGCGGCAGTGCCGCCCCTTGCCCCTCCCTCCCATGTGTTGGTAACACCCCTCTTCCTCCCCCACTCAGAGGAAGACCTTGGATCTGTCTCTACAACCAGCCGCAACTCCATCCAGCGGTAAAACCCTTCCCATTCCGGTGCAGATAACCCTCCGTTTTAACCTACCTAAAGAGAGGGAGGCCGTCCCCGGCTCGCCCGACCAACCCCTCTCCTCCAGCTCCTGCGTCCAGCCAAACCATCGCTCAACGGTACGAACCGGCGCTCGGCCGCCCCGGCTCGCTCCTTTTGTGTCTTTTGTCTACCCGGCACGTTCTCAAGAGGCCGCACAAGCTGGGCGGGGTTGGGCAAGGTCTGGGCTGGCAAGGGAGGCCTCCAAGGGAGGAGCCCGGGGGCATTCTGGCCTTCATCTTGAGGGCACTCTCTTCCCTCCCGAGTCAAAGAAGAGTAGTGCAGGTGACCCCCTACAGGAAAAACACCAAAGAAATAAAGAACGGGTTCAAATCAAGCCTCCAGTACAGTGCCCTGTGCACATTGGCATTCAGAACCATATTACTCATTGAACTAAGCTCTTGAGTGTCGCTCAGGGTCTGGAGCCTGTGAATGACCATGGAGCCCCACTAAAAATACTACTCAGACGTCCATTTATTGCTGACTAAGTGCCCTGGAGGGACGTGGGTGGCGCTGTGGGTAAAACCTCAGCACCTAGGGCTTGCCGATTGCATGGTCGGCGGTTTGAATCCCCACGGCGGGGTGAGCTCCCGTCTTCTGGTCCCAGCTCCTGCCCACCTAGCAGTTCGAAAGCACCCTTAAGTGCAAGTAGATAAATAGGTACCGCTTTGTAGCGGGAAGGTAAACGGCGTTTCTGTGTGCTGCGCTGGTGCCAGCTCGCCAGAGCAGCTTTGTCACGCTAGCCACGTGACCCGGAAGTGTCTTCCGACAGCGCTGGTCCCCGGCCTCTTAAGTGAGATGGGCGCACAACCCTAGAGTCGGACACGACTGGCCCGTACGGGCAGGGGTACCTTTAAGTGCCCTGGAAATTTTATTTGGTTTGAAACCAGCTTAGCTGCTACAGTCACTTCATTCGGCCCCAAGTCCCCAGGTTCCTTGCTTCACAGCCTCGCTGTTAAGCAAGTTAGAGATTTGAATCGTAGTTTAAATGTTGGGTGGGGGCGTTTTACTTGCAGCTGTCCTTTTTATATGGACTCTCTCTTTCTCTGTGATGTGTCTGCCTGCAAACCCATTAAAACACACCCTGCACCTAAGGTGTCTTTGTGTAAAAGTCTCTGATACCAGAGGCGGGGGAAAAGCTGTTGTGAGCATACAAGCAGACCTTCCATTGTGGAAGGTTCCCCTCCCCCCCAGATGCGGGATTGGGACAGCCATACATGCTCCATTGACTGCAGAAGATTGCTGTACAAAGCAGGTCTGAGTCCCCAAGGATGGGGGACAAGTAATCTCTGTAAATGTTCAGAAGAGTCGGAGCTCAGTGATAGAGCACTTGCTTTGTGTGCAGAAGTTCCCAGGTTCAATCCCCAACATCTTCAAGTAAAACTGGGAATGCCTCCCTTTTTGAAACCCTGGAGAGCTGCTGCCAATCAGTGTAGACAGTAATGAGCTAGATGGACCAGTGGGTTTGATTGATTATGAAGGCCCCAAAGCAGATGAACTTGAGCCATAACCCCTGTATGACCTTCCCCGCAAGGCCCAATCCCCGTGGGGGCTGTGGGTCAAAGTCACCATGTTTTTTGCTATGGGACATGCAAGTGGGGATCTCTGCTTGGAACTGAGTGGGCACATGGAAATGTGTTTGGAAGCATATCAGCGGCTGTTGAGGAAGGGCAGGTTATTTCATGGGCAGCCCCAGAAATAACTTGCTTTGTTTCTGTCTCTTCCAGAAGAGGAAAGTGGAAGTAGTTTCTCCAGCAACCCCCATCCCCACCCCAACAGAGACAACACAAGCATCAGTGTTCCCCCAGGTAAGCCACTCCGCACACACCTCCAGTGGTTCTTGTTGGACGAATGGGTCTAGGTAAGGGATTATGCCTTTCGGGGGTTGTGGAGGAAGAGAGAGCCAGGTTCTGAAGAGGAGCCTGTGAGTGTCTCCACAAACACCCAGGATGCAAAAGCTGCTCTTCCAGCTACTCAAACAGAGGTTGGTGAAAGGCTGGAGTTTGCGTTTTCTTAACGAGGAAACCAAATCTGAATCCTTGCCTTTGTGCAAAACCACATTTGATTTTGACCTCAACTTACAGAACAGCACAAGGGGATGGGTGTGTGCACATGAGACCCAAGCAGGCGGCGTGGAATTTTAGCTTTTCCTTTGGGAGGGCGGCTGGATTTTATTCATGCTCCAATGTGGGCCGTTGGCCCACAGAACACATGGCCCCAGTCTGAAACTAAGCAGGACAGGGTCTGGAATGTAGGCCTGCCTGAGAACACCACACTGACTTCTGAAGAGGAAGATGAGCTACAATAAATAAATACACCTCCTAAAAATAAATATACCTCCCAAGCCAAATAGGTTTGTGACCTAAAGAGCGGGGATGCATGTGTTGCCTTCCTCTTTAGCAGCCCTCCAGACCTCTTTGTCTTGCCCTTAGAACCCTTTCACCAACCTGGCTTGCATCCTCCTTGACTATTTTTGCTTGGCTAGAATGTCTCCTTGAATTCTCATACTGCTTCTTGGGTGCCAGGATGGAGAGGAACGTATATGTAAGTTAACCATTGTTCCTCCACCCATGTTTTCTCCTGGCCCTGCCCGCCACGGGCGGCCCCCGAAAAGTTGCCTGGATGGGTGAGTCACCTCAGGGTGCAAAAAGTTCCTCCCTCTTGCTGTAGCTTCTGTCCCTCAGTGAGTCTTCTGGAGCTCTTTTTGAGGTGCCTTTTAATACTTTTCTGCATGAGCTGGAGAGAGGGGGAGGGAGTGCCTGGACAGTGACTTTCCCCTGCTCTCTCTGACATCCTCCTTGACCCCGTTTTTGTCTTCCAGAATGGCTCCGCACGCCGAGCGGTGGCTGCCCAGCCTGGCAGGAAGAGGAAATCCAATTGCCTTGGCACTGATGAGGTAAGTGCCAGGGCTTGGGGTAGTGCCTGCCAGCCTGCTTCCCAGGGGGGCACCAGCCTGGAAGAAGGAATGTGTGGCTCTTCCTCGTTCATCCAGAATCTCCCGCCTCCCCCCGGTTTTTGTGAGCAGGACTCCCAGGACAGCTCTGACGGCATCCCCTCAGCCCCACGCATGACAGGCAGTCTGGTCTCGGACCGCAGCCACGATGACATCATCACGCGCATGAAAAACATTGAGTGCATTGAACTGGGGCGGCACCGCCTGAAGCCTTGGTACTTCTCGCCCTACCCACAGGAGCTCACCACCCTCCCCGTCCTCTACCTCTGCGAGTTTTGCCTTAAGTACGTCAAGAGCCTCAAATGTCTCCAGAGGCACCTGGTAAGTCCCAGGACCCAGTTTGGGCAGCCTGTCATCCGGGACCCAAAGTCTGCTGGACTGGATTGCTCTGTTTCTCAGCCAGCTCTTTGTCGCCAACACCTAGCGGCTGCCCGAGACTGCATGCTGGCTACCGTTGGGATACCAGGTCTAACAACACCCTGAGTTGCCCAGACCCGCCTGTTTCTCAAGACGCCAGGTCTGTCTTCCTGGGTTGGTAGACCTGGTCTCTGGCCTGGGTAGACCTAATGCCCAGTCTGACTTGTTATAGCAGGTAAGCCCAATGCCATACTGTGCCTGCTCCTGCAGAGTCAGAGGCCAGGCAGGTCTACCGTCCCGACTGGCTGTCGGGCATGCCTGGAGACTGTTGGGCTCGGCAGACCTGTTGATGGGGATCTACTACCCATTGCCCAGGGTTGGTAGCCCTGATGCTAGCCTGGGATTTCTGCCTGACGCAGCCTCCAGGAGGTTAAACCTATTGAGTCTAGTAGACCCTGTTGGTCTTCTCCTGCCTATTGGAGGACAGGTCTGCCTACCGTCACATCTCTGTCACAGCCTTGCGGGCTACACATGCCCATCGTGCCAGTTTGTGCATTCAGAAGATTTGATTGGCAAAACGTCTCCAGATGAGATAGGGCTTGTTTGAGTACACCCCTATGGGAACATACTGGAGGGAAAGCTTGCTTCTTCACCCTTGCAGGCTAGTTTTCTACATGCCCCCGAGGTATTTTATACGAGAAGCAGGACTTGGAGCAGTTTTGCTCCTCAAGCCGCCTGATTGCATCAGTTCTGTGCAACTCGGAATCTCAAAAAGCTCCTACAATCACCTGGGGAGTCAATATATTTATTTATTTTATATATTGTGCTAACAACAGTGATGACAAAAAATACAAATCAGGCTGATACAACAGAAATAAAACAAGAATACACTTTTAAACATAGAATAAAATAAAACCCATTACTGTCTTGGGTTGGATGAATCTTAAAGAGGAACAGTATCATATATTTTTGAATCAACCAAATCCATTGAGAAGCAGCGGGAGGTAGCAGGCAGTGTTCTTCCTTATTGACATTAGTACAGTGGTACCTCGGGTTACAGACGCTTCAGGTTACAGACTCTGCTAACCCAAAAATAGTACCTCGGGTTAAGAACTTTGCTTCAGGATGAGAACAGAAATCGCACCGTGGCAGCGGGAGGCCCCATTAGCTAAAGTGGTACCTCAGGTTAAGAACAGTTTCAGGTTAAGAATGGACCTCCAGAACGAATTAAGTTCTTAACCTGAGGTACCACTGTAATATAATCAAACCAAACCCCTACAAATCTATCCAAAAATCTATCCTTTTTACATTGTCCCCTGGAAATGCATAGTTTGTTGGTCAGCTTTTATAATAAAGCAAGTTCCCAAACTTTGGAATACGAAAAAGAAGTATTGGCTCCGTTTGGAACTTTCTAGAAATGAGCCATTGTGGCTCTAGCAGCCATCTCAAAATGAGCAATTAGCTCTTTATTATGTATACTAAGACCAGCTTCCTCAAAAATAGGTAATGGTGCAAGCTGGGCAGAAGGGATAAGAAAACAATTCAAAATTGTATTGATTTCTTTAAAAGCCAGAGACCATAAATGAAAATATGTTTGAGTAACAGGCCTCTGGGAGTTCTGTACCAGTTCGTGAATCACTTTTAAGGACAGTTCTTTATATTTTGCTGAAACAGAGCGGAGAGGGGGCTTCACCCATATTCTCTGCCAGGTATCATCCTCTTTGCCCCAACCTGTGTCCTGGCTCCATGCTAATCTTAAACCGAGCTGCCTGTTTGGTTCCTGTTTCAGTAAAAGTTTGTATAACCCAGAGTCAGTATTGAAATGATAACTGTGTGTGCTTACTTTGCACCATCCAATTGTGTAAAACATGGGAGAGAACTCTTGAGCCCCTTGCTGGACTTCCAGAGAGGGAAGACGCAACACTCATTTCCCTGTGTGTGTGCTCCACTAAAGGTTAGGTTCTTGATTCCCCACCCTCCATCTGGCATTTACTCTGGGAACAGTTAACTTTGTTAAAGAGCAGTATCATTGGTTCCAGACAAAAATCCCTAGTGTGTGCTGGAGCCAGGTAAGGGGCTGCAACTTTGTAGGATCTTGAGCTTTTACCTCCCCACACCCTCCAGTCTGCCCTGTCCTGTCCTATGTCCCTGCCCCCCAAATGCAATTCCTAGAATCACAAGGACCCGGAAAGGTTTGATTTTGCTTGCGAGAGTTCAGCCTGTGATCCTTCTGTTTTGCAGACAAAGTGTGACTTGAGGCATCCGCCAGGGAACGAAATCTACCGCAAAGGGACGATCTCCTTCTTTGAGATCGATGGGCGGAAGAACAAGGCAAGAGCAGTTATTGGGCGCTGATGAAACAGGGATTCTAGGAAAGCTGATTCCACGATGATTGCTGGGGCTTTGTTTTGGGAGATGGGGATGGAGAGCGCACTGGTGGCGGCTGTTGGCCGTAGATGTCTCATCCACCACACACACACACACACACACACACACGAAGTTGGGACTGCTTCATCTAGTGCAGGGGTGGGGAGAAACTGTTGCCCTTCAGATGTTGTTGGATTACAACTCCCAACTGCTTCAGCCGCTGTGGGGGTTGCCATCTAGGAACTTCTGGAGACCACGGTTTCTCCACACCTGACTCAGCCCAGTGATGTCTGCTCTGACTGGCAACAGCTTTCCAGCAACTCAAAACAGAGAAATCTTTCCTCCTCCTAATTGGAGAAACCAAGAATTAAACACAAGACTTTCTACATGCAAAACAGTTTCCCCATCACTGAACTACAGTCTCTCCCTGTAAAGCTACAAACTTCCAAATGCCAGAGCAGGCGGTTTCTTCATCCTGTCCAGTACCCTCTCTCCTCTGACTGGCTGTGGTTCTCCAGGGTCTTCCCTGTCCCCTTCCACCTGATCTTTTTAACAGAAGGTGCCAGGGATTGAACCTTGGGCCTTCTGCAAGCAACAGTAAATTTGGCCCTCCCTGCTGCCTGCTCCCGCCACCCACCCAAATGCGAAAAAGGTACAAAACTGAGTCACATAACGTGTGGTCTGAACTGATAGGCAAGGCAGATGGGTGTCCCATCTGGTACGACAAGACATTCACAATGACAGAGAAGCAATGCAAAATTGGCATTTTCAGTCCTTCATTGCAAAAGTCTTTTCTTTGTGTGCTCGTTTCCTTTCCTCCATTTCCTCCCAGAATCCAGATGTATGGATTGACAAGTCTTGGGGCAGAATAGAAGGGAGGGAAACAATCCAATCCAGTTGTCTCTGTGTGGGTGGGCAGATAGGGTGGAGGTTCATCCCCACATTGTAAGGCAGGCATGTTTTAAAAGTCTTGAAACTGATCCAAAAGCAAAGGTCATGTGCTCAGTACTTGGGGAGGGGTGTTTGGAAGTGAAACTTCTGGGTTTGTCTTCTCTCCCCTCCACTTGCCTCCTTGTTTTTCTGGAGATGTAATGGAGTGAGCATCCCACACGAATTTCCCTCTCCTTGGAACTGGGAAAAATGCATTTTAAATTCCCTGGAGGCAGCACTGGGTTTCTAGACACCGTATGTGAAGCTGAGAGGGGGAAATGCTCATAGCCTCATATTTGAAATGGCTTGTGATTTCCCTCCCCCTCCAGTCCAGTCTTGCCCCACAACCTTTTGCTGCTAGAGATGAATCTCAGGCCCTCCTTTCTCAAGGACGTGCTTGTTTACCCTTTCCATATCTCTTTTCAGAGCTACTCGCAAAACCTCTGCCTCCTGGCAAAGTGCTTCCTGGACCACAAGACCCTCTACTATGACACAGATCCCTTCCTCTTCTACGTAATGACAGAGTACGACAGCAAAGGCTTCCACATTGTCGGCTACTTCTCCAAGGTAATGTTGCAGAATTAATGTGCGCATACATCGGATAGATTTTAAGAATTTCTAAATTGATAATGCATTAATATAATATTAATTTGCATGGTGTATGTGTAAAATTCATTTGTCTCTTTCAAATACATTTAATATCATCAAGTTCTTAAATTAGTTACAGTTCCGATTGAAATGGTTCTGAAGTTTCCACCATGAGCTGAGAGTTTTACCTAACTGAATGCTATTCTTTTTAGCCCCAGTGAAATTTTGTGGAATGCTCACAATAATGTCTTTGCTTTGCAAATGTGTCCAGGGGCCAACCTCTATTGATATTTATCATCCTCATCCTTTTATGTTTTGTCCTGCCTCTGAGAATAAAGATTTATTATTATTATTATTATTATTATTATTATTAAGCAAGGAGAAAGAAGTTAGGGGGAGAGCTGGTAGCAACAGCCTAATGTTATCTGTGGAGCAAGTTGGCTGTGAGGATCTACACAGAGCACTGGAGACCTGTCCAGCTCTATCCCTCTCTGCCTTCTGATATTTCATTAGGCATTACATTTTCTGTTTTCAAGGCTTTCCTTGCAGCCATAAGGATTGGAAACTTAGTTTATAGAATAAAAGCTGAGGGCCTACTGTTGATGAATTTTGCAACAGTTATGAAACCAAAGAATGGGCACTGTCCTAATGCAATCTCCATTATGCTAGTTGTGGTCAAACCTAAACAGCTTCCTCTTGACAAGGGACAGAGAGAGGGGAAATCTCCTGTCATGCCAATGTCAGGGATCCCGGGGAGAGTCAGTGTTGGAAGGGCTGGAACAGCTCCTCCAGTGAAAATTAACATGCTGCTTGTTTTGCCACTACGTGCAGGAGAAGGAATCTACGGAGGACTACAACGTGGCCTGTATCCTGACCCTGCCCCCTTACCAGAGACGGGGCTACGGAAAGTTGCTGATTGAGTTCAGTAAGTGGAGTCTCTTTCCATTTTCAATCCTCCATTTGAATCTTAGCAGGTTGTTGAATCAAACCCTCCTATATCCCCAGAGGTTGTTTTTCTGGATTTGGCCCAACCATTCCTGACATTTTCAGGAGACAGTCTCTTCCCTGACACATCGAGGCTCTAGAGGTGCCCTCATCTGTGCATCATGTTTAGATTGTCATGTGCAAACATGGGGAAGAGCACTTGTGGGGCTGCCCCACAGCTGCCCCACAGCTGTGTAGCTCCCTCATCTTGAGTAACCTTCAAAGCCCAAACTTCAGCACCTTCCCCCACCCCCCACCCTAGATGTGTTGTCTAAGTAGTCTTTTACATGCACTTTTGGTAGTTTGGTATGAAGATCCTGCTTTGACGACTCAGTTGCTTATTAAAACAAACAAAACCACAGTTATGCTTGCTTTATCTATGCATTACATAGATTTATTTACTTGCAGGATAGAAATCCTACAAAGGTGGCTTACAAGTAATACAATTACATATTTTAAAAATATATTAGAAATATTAACATATCAAAAACACCACAGGATCCTTTCCACATGACTGTTGGTGGCCATGGGTTGTGGGGAGAAAATCCAGCTGGGGCAGGCCGAGGAGGGCACCTGGTTGGGGAGCGCTGCTATAAACAACAGCCTGTTTGAGGTTGCTGTGATGTTTGCTAGCCGCATATTAAGACACTTAAAGTTATATCCTATTTTATCAGGTCTCCCAGCTAGGAAATGCTCCTTATTTTAGAAAGTGCTTGTTCCATGGAGTAGGCAGTCCCAATTTCACATTGTGGGAAAGACTCCTAATCCTGCCGATTCCCAGTTCCACCAGTCGAGTGCTGTATTTTCATTATTTATGAAAATTCACTTCTTTAAAATTTGGGTCGAGGGCGCCTCTTGGCCCTCATTTTAAACTCCGTGGCTTGAGACAAAATAGGTAGAACTTTCCCTCATTTAGTCATCTCTTCCATCCGCCACATTGTTCTTTCTTGTGCACCGGGATCTTCTCACAGCCCCCCTCAAGCTGCCTCACTCTTTCCCCTCAAGGCTATGAGCTGTCCAAGGTGGAAGGGAAGACAGGCACGCCAGAGAAGCCTCTCTCGGACCTGGGGCTCCTGTCCTACCGCAGCTACTGGTCCCAGACCATCCTCGAGATCCTCATGAACCTCAAATCGGAGACCGGAGAGCGTCCACAGATCACTATCAAGTGAGGTCCAAGTAATGAAAGTTCACTACTGAAACCCCTGTGGGCAGCCTCTGGGCTGCATGAGGCCCTTGGGAAGGCTTTCAGTGCGGCCCTTAGCAGTGCTGATGGCAACCCCTCGCTGCTTAATTTTTTGCATGGGGTTGAGAAGACACCATGCGGTGGGTGCCCAGAAAATCATGTTCCCCTCAGCTTGCCAAATAGCTGGAGGGGGGAGGGAGCTGTGATGGGGAGACAATGGTGTGTGAGGTCATTTCCACGTAAATTAGCCCTCTGTGTGTGTTTTTGTGTGTAGCCACTAGCACAGGCATCCCCAAACTCTGCCCTCCAGCTGTTTTGGGACTACAACTCCCATCATCCCTAGCTAACAGGACCAGTGGTCAGGGATGATGGGAATTGTAGTCCCAAAACAGCTGGAGGGCAGAGTTTGGGGATGCCTGCACTAGCACATAACCTGTGACTTCCTAACCTCATGTGACAAAAAAAAAGAAAAAAAGTCCATCAGGAGAAGCTCCCAGGTAGGAGCTGGGAGAGCTCGCTTTCGTTTGAAATAGGGGTTAAGACGCAGCCTTAATAGAGGGCTTTGTATTTCTTCTCTTTCTTCTATCTTTTTTGTCTGTTTTATATTTATTCAGATTAGTTTGGCTTTTATTGTATTCTATGTTGAAAACTTTCAATTAAAAAACTGATTAGAAATAATAAGGTGGCCCACTTCACTACCTGAGGTGCATGCTAAGATTGTAAGACTGGCCTCCCTCTTTCACTGGCCCTTCTTTATTTTGGATTGCACTCAGTATTTCTTCTCCTTGTTTCCAGTGAGATCAGCGAAATCACAAGCATCAAGAAGGAGGATGTCATCTCGACTCTGCAATACCTCAACCTCATCAACTACTACAAGGTAGCATGCCTGAATGAATGGCCATGCAATTTGCTCTGCAGCAGCAAGACTCCAACATTTCTAGGCACCACTTTGGAGCTTAATGGGCAAGTTTGGGCTCCCAATTTAGGGGTTCCCTAGAGCTCCCAGCAGACAAAGACACAGATGGGGATCACAAATGGGGAATTAAGTCTCCTGCACCCAGGTGTTGCTAGATTCCTAACTACTATCAGCCCCAGCAAGTCTAGCCCAATGGTCAGGGCTGATGGAACTTGGAAGTCCTAACAATTGCTAGAGGGCCTCAGGTTCCCCACCTTTGGGCTGAATTCATCCTGAAGGAAGGAAGTGTTATAGTAACATGAACCAGCTCTGCACGGAGGACACACTATCTTGGGGTGGATGTGTCTGCATGTGAATTTTGTTTGTGTTCGGCTGATGGAGGGATAAAAACAACAGGCGGTGATGTGCTAAGGTTCTTGCAGTTTGTCTATGCAGTTTTGCATAACTTGCTCTGCTTCTGCTGATGTGGCTGATGTCTTTGCAGTGGCATGGCCAGGAGTAGAGTTGCTGTGCAAGGCAGCCTTTGCTGAACCCATGGCCTCCATCTATTTTGGACTCCATCAGCCCCTGCTAGCATGGCTAATGATCAGGGAAGATGAGAGTTGGGAGTCCAGTAATACATGTAGCTTACAAATTTGGAGAAGGCTGCTATAGGGTAACAGGTATGAGGGTTTTTTGTGTGGGTAGGGGGAATAGCATTACAGGGAAGACTAGAAACTGCAGAAATTTCTTGTGGGGTAGGGAGTTGCAGCACTAGAAAGTGATACAGCTTGTTGGCTTCAGTTTTCCCCACCTGCAGTAATGGGGGCAGCAGAGGAAACGTGTTCCTTCCCCTCAAGATAAACCAGCTAGAACTGTGGCCTGCTTTCAGGCATTTTTAAAGACGAGACTCATTTTTCCTGAGAAGATTCCATGGAAAGGGATGGGCAGGGAGATGCTGCAGCCCTTGGCTGTCTGTGGTTCTCCGCCACGTCAGATTTACCTCTTGTCACAAAAGGCGCCAGGAACCCAGAAGAGGTATTTAATATGCAGGATTTCAGGAGCTGAACCATAGTGGCCACAGAAGTGGTGGGAGTGAGCAGGGTTTCAAGTATAGCCGTGTCCCCGTCATGAGGACTAGAATCTTTGTTTAAAATTAACAGAACCAAAACACGTCTCCTTTCTAGGGCCAGTATATCCTGACACTCTCCGAGGACATCGTGGATGGACATGAGCGTGCCATGCTGAAGCGAATCCTGCGCATTGACTCCAAGTGTCTGCACTTCACCCCAAAGGACTGGAGCAAAAGAGGAAAGTGGTGAGGCCTGCGCACCTGAGTAAGGACCAGCTGCTTGCAGGACGTCCACCCTCCTCCTCACTTTCTGTGACAATGGGGATCAGGCAAGGTGACCATGCGCTCTTTCGAAGACATTTTCCAGTCGGCTACCGAAGCAGGCACCGTCAGCCAGCCAGACCTCTTGGCGCGCTGTTACCTGGGCCTCACGTGCCCTGGACTTGCCTGCTTGTTTGTATATAGGACTTTTTGGATCCCTCGCTGAGCGGTTGTGTACAGAAGTGGAAAAAGCACAGACCAAGCTACCCAAGCCGTCCCCCACCCTTTTTTTTTTTTTTTTGGACCGGATATTTATTTATATATATAAATACAAAACCACCATCACAAATCAAAGTTTGGAGCTTGACAAAGGCAGTTGAAGGGCAGCTGCTTTCTGCTGCGTTTCAGCTGCAGGCAGAGAAACTGTTGTTGCTGCCTCCTTCTTTTGAGGCTGGAATTGTGCAGTTGCTTCCTTGGGAGGAGAAGCTGGAGGCCAGCTCTAGAAAGCTGCTCTCTCCCATACTGCCTGAGGCTGTAGCAGCATCCACAGGGGTGAAAGTGTGGAAAGAATCTGTTATAGGTTAGCATACGGTAAGACAGTCTCGCTCTCTCGCTCCCTTTCCCCAAAACCAGTCTTCATGAACCAGAGGAGCAGCCTTAAAAAAAAAGCAAACCCCACCCACCTTCTGTGCTCAGAATAAATTAACAAAATGGGTTTTTAAATGGCATGTGTGTGTACATCTTTTTTCTGGATATGGTATTGCTTTTTCACAAAACCAAGACCCTCAGACAAGCAAATGGGAGTCTGAGAAGGAAGAGGCTTATAGGCCAGAGCCACTACAGCCTGAAGCAGTTGAAGCGATGGCTGCGTACACATCATACATTTAAAGAATTCTGGAAACGTTAGGTTTATTACGGGAATTACAACTATAGTTCCCAGGATTTGGGGTTGCTGGTGAGCTGTGGTGTAAGTATATGCCACATAAGGAGCCACAATCACTTTACCTTGTAAGGGGTTTTCAAAGCTGAGTCTTTGCAATACAAACTAAGTGTGTTTAAAATCCATTTCCACTACCCTGGCGCTCTTCCTGAGGAACTGTAGGAACTACAGCTCTGTGAAAAGATAGGGGTGTCCAAAACTCTGGAGTTGCAAGATTTTCCTGGGAGACAGAAAGCGTGGGAATTAAAGCAGTGTTGACATGGTCTTATCTATGTAGTTGAGGGAAACCACCAGAACCAGGTGTGGCAGCAGGATCCTTTGACTTGATGGAGCACATTCTCAAAAGTCACTTTGGTGAGGAGTGAGCCCACAAAAACTTGCTTTAAAAAAAAATATTGCAGAGATAGACCAAGATCGAAAGCAAAGTTCCACTTGAATGGTAATACTGTAAAAGAAAAGGCTGAATGCAAGGAAAGCACAGATCTGCACGTTGGTGGGGCTGAGTTAGCAACAGCATCCAATCTGAAAATGAGAGGCCTGCAGAAAAAGGACTCCTTAGCCCCCCCACCCCAAAAAAATCCAATACAGAGTTCGAAGTGCAGCCTGTTTGTTTTTTTTACTTCCATGTCACCAGCAGTCACAAGCTCCCATCTCATTCTTCATCAGCCACAGGAGCATGGATCTACAAGGGAACAAAAAGGATCCTTTTGAGGAGGGATGGGGAACCAGCAGCCTCCCAGCAGAAGTTATTGGGCTACAACTCTCATCTCCATCCCTGACCACTGGTTGAGGTTGATGGGAGTCAGAGTCTCACAGCAGCTGAAGGGCTATGGTTTCCCCACCTGCTACAGCCACATTCCTGTCCACAAGATGCACGTAAGAGTCGGTCTGACCAGACACCGTCCCTAACAACGTAGAAGAGACGGTGTTTCTAGTCAGAGAGGAGGAACTGCAGAATTAAGCCACTCTCGGAGAGGAGTCAAGGCAAGAAAGGTGCTAGGCTGAGCAAGGCGGCATCAGTGTCAAACTCTACCAATGCAGCCCTGCACTTATTCAGCTTCACCCTATTTGATTTTGGTGCTGTGCGTGTTTCCTGCCTTTGCCGCCCCCTGCCACAGATTATGGGTGGGGAGGGAACGGCACCAAAACCCTCGCCTCCCAAAATGCACAATAAGGCCAATGTTTACTGGAGCGTCTGTTTCTCCAGAAGCATGTTTTTAAAGTATTTGCCCTATGGAATCAGAGCTGGAGGGGACCCTGGAGATCAAGGCTAGGGAACCTGTGGCCCTTTAGGTGCTGTTGGACTACCACTCCCATCATCCTTGACCATTGGCCAGGCTGCCAGGGGCTGATAGTGAGTCCAACAGAACTGGAGGGCTAAGTACTCCCCAACCCTGCTCTTAATTGCCACAGGAAATCCAGAAATCTAGAACGGGTTCCCAAACTAGTCCGCAAACTTTCAGGTGCTCTCCAGTGTGTCTGCATTAAATATACTGATTTTTGGTTGCATTTTAAAATTTATTTTGCGGTATTACGATCTGAATTCTATGGGACACAATAAAATACAACATAAGAAAGAAAAGCAAAACAAACCAAACCAAACACAAGAGCCATATAGCACCTGCAGATACTACATGAAGACTGTTAGATTCCCAGCTCTCACATCTTCACCCTAACCATACCCAGCTCCTTTCCGTGACTTACAGGAATAATACCAAAATTTACAGAAAGGGCCTGAAGGTATGCTTCCAAGTGGACCCTCCCACCCTGAGCTTCCCTGCCCCTTTATAGATAAGATACGCACCCCTTCAGCAATCTTTGGCCATTGTAAGGACATGAGGATCTCATCACTGCTGTTGGGGGCCTGCTCCAGGTTCCAGACAGTGAGTGACTCAAAGGTAGACTTCACCCGCACCTGCCGCTCCTGTAGGAAAGAAGGGACAGTCAATGGGGATCCGGGAATTAACCCTCCCCTCTCCAGACTCCACCCACCCAACAACTCACCTGCAAAGCTGCATCATCTTCCTCCAGGACCAGCCCCATGTAGCCCTCAGGTACGAGGACTTCCTTCCCTTTTAGGCTCCGCCCACGGAAGGATACGGATGCCTCTGCTGGGCAATGCAGGATGACAGAGGACAAAAACAAACCAACATAGATTCTCAGTCTGGGCTTTCCAGGCAGAGAGGGGGCTCCACACCTGCTCTCCAGTCCCTTTAAACTGGAAATCCCTCCTAGAACCACCTGCATGCAAAACTCATGTGTTCTTGCTCCTAATAATAATAATAATAATAATAATTTATTTATACCCCACCCATCTGGCTGGGTTTCCCCAGCCACTCTGTTCTAACATAGTCAATATTGTTGTTTTATCACAATATATTGTGAAACTAGGGAAGGAAAGAGAGAGGGAAATGAGCAAATTTCTGACAGGCTTCTAGAGTGACGGTCAGTTTATTCTTTTAGCATATTATTTTATCGTTAATATAATGGGTGTGGGGGAGGGGGCCCGGTGTCAGCAGCTGTGATCGAGGAATGTTTTGGGTCACAAAACTCTTATGCCAGAAAGGCTACTCCAAATCGCAGCGCCGGCCGCCAGTAAGGGAAGGCTTGCTTCCATGATAGGTTGAGGGACTTGGAGCTGATCAGCCCCAGAAGACCTCAGAGGATGTTGAAGACTGGCAGTTATGGCAGCCAGCAAAGGCTTGGGGTTGAATTGAGATCCTCGTTCAACTCGGGGAACAAGACCAAGGAAGGTCTAGCCTTGAAGTCAGGAAACGCCACCTGAGCAATTCAGTTACTTATAGGAGGCATTTCTATGGTGTCATTTTTCTTGTGCTAATTTTTATTTTGGTAAAAAAAAACCCAAGCCTTCTAAATAAATAAATACGTTATTACTGGATTCCATACACACTCTTCCAGGGTGTGTAATACAACAACATTAAATACCTAAGCAGCGCAGAAGGGCCAGAGCTCAGTGGTCGGAGCTCGTGCTTTGCATGCAGAAGGTTGTAGGTTCAATCCCTGGCATCTCTAGGGTAGGAACATCCTGCCTGAGGCGCTGGAGAATCACTGCCAGCCAGTGTAGACAACATTGACCTAGATGGGCTAAGCGGTCTTTTCTGGTAGAAAGCACCTTTGTTTGTTCTAGATGGACAAGGGATTCAGGGCTCCTGCACCTTTCATAGCTGTCCAGAAGAGGGAATTTAGGCAGCTATTGTTCAATCAAAGGTGCAGGAACCCAGTCCTCTTCTCCCCCGTCCACCCTCTCCCATGCCCTCCCCGGTGGTCCATTACTGCACTCGGAAGCCTGAGCCTGCCAAGGTAACACCCCTTGCATCGTCTCCCCTGCCCCATTTACTTCAAGCAGCACCAACCCCTCGCAGCGCAATCCACTCCAGGGTGGAGACTACACAAAGTTTCTTTGAAGCACACTCTTTTCCCCTCGGAGAATTATGGGCACTGTAGTTTGTTAAGGGATGCTGGGAATTATAACTTTGTGAGGGCTAAAACTACACTGCCCAGAATTCTTTTTTTATTATTATTATTTTTGGGTGGTGGGGTGGGAAAACGTGCTTTAAGCAGATATGGTGTGTCCGCAGACCAGGCCTACTTCGAGATACAAGACTGCACTGAGTTCAACGGGGCCCCGAGTTCGGATTCTGAGCCATTTCTTTCCCCCCTTGCAGAGCAAATCCTACCCCCTTCCCCAAGCCCACACGGACAGATAAAAGTCCCTCTCGATCCAATGGGGCCTTAGTGCCCCATAACCGGCTGCCCAAGGGGTCTGCATCCCACTCTCCTCCTGCTTCGCTCACCGTCCGGTTCTCCGGGCCGTCGAATGGCCGGCGCGAAGTACCGCCGCACCGCAGCGGCGCCGTCGTGCCGGACCGCGCAGGGGAGCAAGTGGAGCCGCTCCCGGGGCGCCCCGGGCAAAGAAAGCAGCGCCAGCCGCGCCGGGCCCCGCTCCTCGCCAGCCATGAGCAGCACAGCCGTCCGCCCTTCCTTCCTTCCTTCCCGCGGAGCAGCCGCCCTCCTGCGCCCCGCCCAGGCGCATCCACTCCCGGGTCGCGCCCAGCCCAGCGCCGCCTCCTGCGCCCTCCAGCGCGCGTTGGACTCTCCTCCGCAAGCCCCGTCCGCTTTCAACGGGTCCTGGCGGGCACGTCCGACTCGAAAAGGGAGTTCGTTCCCCAGGAAAGGGTTGCCAGTTTCGGCCTTTCATTTTACACCCCCCCTACCAATCTTCAATTCGGTTCTCCCACATTTCTGCAGCATTAGTTCAGTTAGTTCAGCATTAGTTCAACTAGTTCAATGCAGCAATCTTTCAGCATCTTAAAAGGTAGCTTCTTCTAAGAAACGCATTTAAGTATATAGTTTGGACGGACGCCCACGTGCTTGCAAGCACTTTCTAAGAATATAGTTCATTTTCGTATGTTGTTTTCACGGGTATATTCGTTCTTAGCAAAAGACATTTCCCCACTTGGCTCTGCCCCAGGCTGAGAGGGTGGGAGAGACATCATCGTGCGCCACAGGGGTTGGGGTTGGGTGTGGGACACTGAGTTCCTTCTCTCTTTCCTTCTCTGGGGGTGGAAGCCCCCCCCCCAATCCAGACAGCTATCTCAGCCCCTGCTGCTGCATATGGAACCCTAGACCAGCCCCATGAGAATGGGGAGGGGTTGTTTGCAGGGGGAAAGGAGAGGTGTTTGTGTGTGTGTGTGTGTGTGTATTGGACTGGAGGGTATTTTTTCAGAGGGGAGTGAATCTTTACTTTTCAAGGAATCTCCCACCACCCTCCTGTGCTTACCAGTAGTTTGCAAGAGGTGTTGGGGCTCAAATTTCAGAAGCCCCCTGTCTGGCCTGGCTGCGATGATGACCCAGCTGCAAAGGAAGACCACCCTCTGTTCATGCTCAAGGATGCTGTCTTCCCCAAGCAATTTGCAAAGAAAATGCCCATGTTTCCCTGGTATTGCATGCAGGTTCAAGAGCTGAGCTCTGGGAACTCAGGGAAGGCTATAGGACCTCACTCACCCAACCTGGCAAGATGCTACCATATTTAATAGCGGCACAAAGCAGCAGAAAAAAAATATAACAGGTTTTACTTTCCCCAAAGTGTGGAGCTGAATTGACTGGAGCGGGAGGGCAGCTTTTCCTCTTGAATTTCTGCCTGCTGTGACTCTTATTTCAGCCTGGCAGACTCTTATTTCAGGAATATCCTAACCCAGATGCAAAGTAAATAGAGCCAAAAGGGTTCACTCCATGTTAGGGTTGAGTCCCCAAATGCATGGATCCCTCTTTCTGCCTCCATCCCACCCAAGTTATCATCACTGAATTTCTCCACCTCTTGCCTTTTGAGTCTTGGATTGATTCTCTGCCAGAGATGCCCACAGACCCAGACTGCATCCCTCCCAACATGACCACCAGCCCAGAGAAGCTCCAGCCCTTTCAAGCATCAGCAAGGCAGCCCCCACCCCATGTGAAAAGGGTGGGGTACCTGATGCATCATCATTCCCAGCATCATAGACTCTACCGAGCCAAAAGCTGGGGCTGCAGTGTTGCTGGGGTCAGGGCGACAGACTGGGAAGGGAGGGTTATCAGCAGAACAGGAGACTGGACTCAGCTACAATTGGCAAAGAAAGAGCGCTTTATATGCCTTGTTTATGCATTCTAACACTGTGACAAGAGATGGCGCTGTGGAGTTCGGTTTTTTGCTAACCCGATTTCTCATACAGAGTTTGCAACGCGTTAATCTGAAACGCGTCTTGGATGTGTCTAGATCCAGCCTGAGTTCTTCCCCATCCCCACCCCCACCAAAACAACAACAACAACAACAACAACCCAGTCAAAGAGCAAAACAGTGCAGCTTTAAAATGATTGACATGATGTTTCTCCAGTGGAAAGGTCCTTTGGAAAGTACTTAGCCACAGATTGCACTGCAGAATTGACCTTTGGAACCTCTTGCTTCAGGATGTTGGGGTCGCCGCTGACAGGATTAGGAGAGGAGCTGTACCTTTGTGATCAAGCATGCTCCTCCTCCTGCAGAGTCCATCTCTAGCTCAGTACTGTCTACAAGGGCTGGAAGTTGCTCTCCAGGACTCCTCAGGGGCCCTTTGCACCTCGAGTGTTTATGACCGGCTGGGATTTGTCCCAGAACTCTAGTCATGCCTCTTGGGTCAGTCACAATCTCTTAACCTGACCCACCTCACAGGGATGTTGTGGGGGTGAAATGGAGAGCGAGGAAGAACCATGTGCAGCTCCTTGAGTTCCTTGGAAGGAGGGTGGGATAAAATGAAATAAACAAATCAATAAATCGTGGCAGCTTGACACAGTGAAGTTGCAATCACAGGGTTTGCAGCTGCGCCTCACTTAAACCACACACACACACACACACACACACACACACACACGGAGGCTGCATACGCACCATGCATTGAAAGGACATTTAAAGCATATACACAACCAAGAATCTTGGGAATGATAGTTTGGTAAGGGTGCTGGGAACTGTAGCAATGTGAGTGGTAATTCTGCGTATGCAGCATACATTTAAAGCACACACAAACTTGGTTTTGTGTGTGTGTGCATGCGTGTGTGTGCTTTAAATGTTTTTTAAATGTATGCTGTGCACACATGCACACACACAGGCACACAAACACACAAACACACACAAGGAAGGGTGGGAAACCTGGGCAAAATGTTCATTATTTTGTCAGCTCTAAAGGGGTGGAGATCCGCAGGCTTTTGCAATCAGGGCTGGATCTCAAATGGATGCAAAGTGGAATTGGATAGGGACTGTATGATCTCATCCCATACACTTAGTAGATACAAGCAAGGAACAAACAGGAAAACACACAAGGCCTAAAGATGTGAAATGTGAATGAGGAACCTCAGTTCTGTTCTCGCTGGCTCTCTGTGCAGAGAAAGAGGGGTGCATGTGGGGGGAGGCAGAGTGTCACGCAACCTGGGGTCCCAACAAGAGTGGGAAGGTACACTGCTAAGCCCCGATCCACGCAGCCAAAGATTTCGTGACTCTTCTGGAAGGGCCCTGCGGGTATTCTCTAAGGGCTGGTCCACAGTAGAAGAATTTCTTGAAGCTCAGAGCTCAGTTGCAGCTAATTTAACCGGCAGATGACTGGAAAGAGTCTGAGTAACATCTGGGAAGCAGAGTTGGCATTGTCAAAAAATGTGCTGTCTGTGCACTCCGTTCAGGTTCTGCTGCTTCGAAGGAGAGGGAGCAATGTCACCAACTCCGGAAACTGGTTTCAAAGCTGGGAATCATATGGCGCAACCGTCAAGGGTGGCTCGATCTCTGAGCAAGCACAGAGTGCAAATTCATAACAAAGAAGAGAGTGGCCTCAAACATGTGCAGAGCTTTTATTCTGCACCATGGCGCAAACACAACCATGTTTCAGGAACTGAAGAGTAAAGGGATGCTGGTCTGAGCCCCAAGCCCATCTCATTAGCCGCTGAGCCAAATATCCATAATTATCCATATTTAGGTAGAAAACTGAGCTGGAAACAGACCGTGGCATTAAGTAGGGTTTGGCTTGTGAACCTGTCAGGCTAACAACATTAGGCTCTTACACAAGAGCAGAGGGTTTCCTGAGCATGGGCAGAGTAGCTTTCCATCACTGGCCCTTACACCTGTGGAATCAGAGGGAACAGTTTTCAGGATAGGGGAAATAGCATCTGGGTGTAATGATCTTTTCTTTCTTTCCTCACTTCCTTCAAACCCCTTTACAATCAAGGACCTTTCCTCCTATATCAAGGATAGGGAGCCAGTGACCCTTAAGATGTCGTCTTCATCCACTTTGACCAGCAGCACCAATGGTCAGGGATTATGGTCAGAGCAATTAATTCAGTAACACCTGGGGGGCCACAGATTCCCCTTTCCTGTTCTATAATCACCGCGACACTGTTTACCATGGGCACATTCATATGTGTGGAGCAGAGCTCAAGAGTGGCAATTCAACATCTCTCTACTGAATTGTCATGGGTCAAAGTGGCAGGTGGGGGCTCTTGCATAGAATCATAACATTGCAGAGTTGGAAGAGACCCCAAGGCTCAACCCCCCTGCAATGTGTTGACTGTGAGTCTTCGGCCTGGTACTTTCCTGGGACGAAGGATTCCAGCAGCATCTGGAAGGCCACAGGTACACTGGCTGTCAGCAGGGCTCCTAGGTTCCACCAGACACGCTTACCTGGAGATGCCAGGGTTTGAGGCCAGGACTAGTAGCATATAAATGGTTGGGCTTTAGCTACGGCCCTCCCACAGTTCTTGGACAGGAATCCCAGGATGGCTTTATAGCTTAGATAAATTCACAACAGCTAATTTTCTTAATGGCCACTAGCCGTTACTGCCCTCCAGGTGTTTTGGGGCTACAACTCCCATCATGCTGTTTGTGGCTGATGGGACCTGGAGTCCAATGATGGGCCACAGTTTCTCCATCCCTTCGTGATGACAGGAGCAAGCCCAGCAGTAAATCAGACCGTGCAAGTTGGAGTTAACTCTTTATTAGCAAAACAGGGGAGTCAGGCCTAATGAGCGCAGCAACCTGTTTCCACTAAGTCTTGCCCCCCAGGAAGCAGTTGCTGCGACTGAAGGTCGCTGCCTAAGTCCCCTCCTCTCTAGGGTTTTCCCCAAAGCAATCTGAGACTCTGCCTGCATGAAGCCAACTTCTCCTCCTCCCTCTTCATGCCTCTCCTGGTTTTGAGACACCAGGGACAAGGGGAGCATGTCATAGCAGGAGGGGAAGACACCCCTGTTGATGTATCTCTGCCTCTTGGCCTCCCTCCTCTCCTGCTTCAGCTTCCGCCTCAGATTCTAGTCTTCTCTCTGCCACAGACTCTCCCTGCTCACTAAAACCTGGTGCCTCTTCAGCTTCCGACCCCTCCCCCCCTTCTCCCTCTGACCACTCATTGCCACTCCACCACCCCACCCCACCCCGGGCTCTGAGCCTCCTTCCCTTGGAGGTTCCTCAGCTGATTCCTGCTGCCATTCCTCTGCATCCAACCAGTCCATGACAATACGCAACATCCAGGACTGTTGCTTTGCTGTCCTGCTAGTTGGCTTTCCAAGGGCACCCGACTGGGGATGGTGATGGCGGTCTATATTGGCCTTTGGCCTCTCCTTAGGTTCTTACAAGGGGAGACTGCTGGGAGGGCCTCTGCTTTTGTGGGTCAGGCTTGCGAGTGCAGCAGATCCCGGTTACGGAGGGGGTGCCTGCGTGGGCCCATGCAGCCAGGGGTCCTGCATTCTGCACCGTGGGTGTGTGGGAAAGCCATTCGGAGCTTGTGATTAGAGCCAGGTGGATGTGGGTGAAGGGCAGGGCTTGTGCTTTCCCCCCACCGCCCCGCCCCCTGGGAGGTGAGTCAGCCCGGGAAGAATCTGATGAGTTCATCCCTTCTGTCCCCGCAGCAGGAGCCCCACCCTGGGCCAGCTCTTTGTTCCAGAGGCCATGAGCCAAGATGACCCAGAGGAACAGCTGGGCCCGCTCTCTTTCCGCGGTGCTCGGGTCCAGCCTGCCTGGAGAACTTTTGGCGTGGCCAGGGTTACGAGCTGTCATTGACCCAAGTCTCTGTGTGCGCTGAGGACTCCCATGCACCTTCCCACCTCTGGCTTGGGAGGATTGCCCTGGCTGGCTCTAACCACTAGGGGCCCACTGCCTTTCCGGAACTGCACACAAGCTTACTTCCTGTGGAGCACTTGGAGAGGGCGGGTGGACAGACAGAAGCAGCAATGGGAAATGGAGTTAGGAGGCTCCGGGGAGAGGCAGTGGGTCCCCTCCTGGAGCTGGGGCTTTGGCGACGAGGAATTAGACCACCAGTTCCTCTAGCTCCATATCATCCTTGCAAAAGGGCAAAGCAGCATAGAATTATAGAATTGTAGTTGGAAGGTTTCCCCCTTGGGTCATCTAGTTCATGGGTAGGCAAACTAAGGCCCGGGGGCTGGATCCGGCCCAATCACCTTCTAAATCCAGCCCATGGATGGTCCGGGAATCAGTGTGTTTTTACATGAGTAGAATGTGTCCTTTTATTTAAAATGCGTCTCTGGGTTATTTGTGGGGCACAGGAATTCGTTCATTATTTTTTTCCAAAATATAGTCCGGCCCCCCACAAGGTCTCAGAGACAGTGGACTGGCCCCCTGCTGAAAAAGTTTGCTGACCCCTGATCTAGTTCAACCCCCTGCAATACAAGAATCTCAACTAAAGCAGCCATCCCAGACCCTCCAAGTATCCGTATTTTCCAGGGACGTCCGTGATTTAGAGAAGCCGTTTCGGTTTCTGATTTGAACCCGGAATGTCCTGCTTTTCCTTAGGATGTCCCTATCTTCATCGGAGAAATGTTGGAGGCTACGGTATCCACAGACCCACCCACACCCCAGACCCTTTGAACAGTAAGGTCTAGGATAGAGAGCTCACCCTGTCCCAGCCCAAAGTCCTCCAGGTTCAGCCCTCTCCCCAACACTGGGACCCATCAGCTCTCAGGCAGTTCAGGCAGGTGGCATGAGCCATGAGTTTCAGAGATGTTCTGCCGTTTCCAAATACTGTATGACTGTGGCAGCATGGCACTGATTTATTGATCAGATGGAGAGCTGCTGCCCCCTGCTGGTGGGTTTATAGGACTTCAACGTGACAACCTGGGTTGGTTCTCATAACAGCATGGTTTTGCAGGGATGGAAGGTTCCCCACAAATGTAGTATAAACAAGGAAATAAAGAAAATGTAGTAAGTTTTTAATAACCGAAACAGATGGAACAGAGATGCGGAGGGAGAGGAGGGGATCGTTCCAGGAAGAGGGAAAGAAAGGAAAGAAGGAGGGAAGAAGGAAAGAAACAGAGAGAGAAAGAGAAATCCTTCCACACTTGCAGCCAGACCTGGAATAGTGCAAAGCCAAGTAATCTGACTGAAAGGCCAGCAAAAATCCAGACTGGAAGGCAAAGTTTCTTACAAACTCTTGCAGTGGATCCAGACTTGAAACCTGACCAGGCAGCAGTAGGAAGAAAACACAAGTAAATGCTATTAAAAGCTTGCTGGGCCAAAAAGCTCCTGGAGCTGGACAGGAGTTCACCGCCCCAGGCTGGGGGTGGGGCAGCAGCTACTGCGGCTTCAGAGCATAGAAGACCCCCCAGCGCTGGTCCCCATCCGCACAGCGCTGCAGCTTCTCCCTCCATCCAGAGGCCAAGGACTCAAACTCGCTCTCTGAGAATTCCTAGGCAGAGAAGAAAGAGAAGAGTCACTCACAATCCCTGGTGGGGTGAAATTTATTGTTTTGTTCTCTGTCTAGGCAGGGGACAGATCTGTCAATTGAGGTTTCTTCCAGTTTCTCATTTTTCCAAGCATAAGTTCAGTTGTTTCCACCTGCACATCAGTTTGGGGACTTATTTTTAAAGTCCTCGTGAAAATCCATCAGCATTTCAGTACAAATTTCTCCCAACATACACATTTTCTTCAGTATTTCTGCCTAATGCATGCATTTTTGCAAAGCATCTTTCCCCATATATTTATATTTCCCCTCAAAATGCATTTTTTATGCTTACGTTCACCAAGGTGTGCTTTTTTATGCACACCTTACCTTCATTTTTGCATTTTTGTACACGTTGCTTGGTTAGAAACTGCTTTGCAAAATCCAGAAAAGTGCAAATTTCCAAGAATAGTTCTGTTTCAGTTCACATATTGTTCCAGTTAGTGCAAATTAGGTAGGTTCGTCTTTAAATTCAAACTGAATCATGTTGTCCCCCCCATCACCGTATGGTTTGTTTTTATTTACACTGCTCAGAAATGCTATGATTATGCACAATATAAATGCTGTAAATAAACAGAGAACAAGAAGGAATTGTAAATGTCCTCATGGTGCAGTAGAAATATTTATACTGCCCGCTCTCCGCTCCCTTGGAAGTTTTGCCTAATGTTTGTCTGAAATCTGCTTGCCTGGAGCTCCCGGCAAATAAATTAATTATTACAATTAATTACACCTATTTGTTGCTCATAAAAGGTCTCGAAGCAACTTACAACTGTAAAAAAGAGAGAGAGAGAAGTTCTAAAGCTTAAAACATCATATTCTAAAAGTGCTTCTCCTGCATTTTGATAAAAAGGACAAATCCTGCCTCGCCTCCGCCAAAGATGACCACCACAGCATTATTTACTTTGAGTGGCCATAATGCCACATGATAAAAAGGACAGATTGTACCCCAGCCTAGGTCACTGGTTCTACTTCGGCCCTTTTCAACTGCTTGCCCAGTCCTCCGAAATGCCCTTGCTCTCTCCCAATATTTGTTTTCATGGCGCCATCATTGGTCAGGGCCAGCCCACCCATGAGACAGACTGAAGCAGCTGCCTCGGGCGGCGGAATCCCAGGGCAGTTCTCTGCTCCTGCCACCAGAGAAGTGAGAAGCGGCAGAGGCAGCTTCCGGCGACATCTTACCACTGCTTCTGCTCGCTTTTTCCCTGTCACCGGAGAAGTGACTCTGGCTTCCAGGTTTCGGCAAGATCTCCCCGGAAGCTGGAAGCCAAAGCCGTGTGACCCTGGTAAGCGAGGCTTTGGCAGAGGGGAGACGAAACAGGACAGGCTGCTCCTGCCTGTGGTCCAAGTCTGTCAGTTTTCAACAGGTGTGTGTGTGTGTGTGTGTGTGTGTGTGTGTGTGTAGCCACACAGGGAGAGAGACAAGCTCAGCTCTAGGCTGCTTCATCTCCAATCTGCCGACCCACCTGGACAAATTGCTGCCAACTTCTTTCCAGCTCTTGCAGCTCTTGAGTCAAGGCTGACAGCATCCGCTCTGTATAGTCCAACGCCTGGACCTGCCTGAATCCAGCCTCCTGCAGCACCTGGAAGGTGTTGGCAATGAGGATGAGAGGTGAGGGACCTTTCTGAATTCAGCTCTGCCAGAATCAATGGCTCCCACCCCTACCACACCCAGCCTTTCGGGAGCCTGTTTATACGATCACATTCCCTACAGCAGTGGTTTTCAACCAGTGTGCTGTGGCACCCTAGGGCATAGATGTCAACTTTTCCCTTTTTTAAAGGGAAATTCCCTTATTCTGAATAGGACTCCTCACAAGAAAAGGGAAAAGTTGACAGCTATGCCTTAGGGTGCCTTGAATGGTGCTCAGGGGTGCCTTGGGCAACACTGGCCTCTGTCCCTCCTTCTTTCCCTCCCTCCCTCTGATGCCCTCTCACGTCTCTGCCTCCCAAAGGCTTGCACAGCTGTTTGTTGCAGCAGCCCTGGCTACAAGCCCCCCAGGCGAATGGTGCCTCTGGGGCTGGCCAAGGGGTGCTGGTTGCCAGGAGCTGAGGTGGCCTCGGAGTAAGCAAGCAAGCAGGTGAGGGAGCCCAGCCAGCCAGCCCTCCAGCCCGTGCTGTTGGGAATGGACAGACAAGCCCCAGGCCCTGGTGGGGCAGTGTGAGGAGACACCTCTCTTTGGGGTGGGCGTGGGGAGCAGCTCAGAGACCAGGAGTGGCAGCAGCGGCTGGCCAAAGGACTCCCAAGGAGAGGGGAGAGGAAAAGAGGCTGAGGGAACCCTAAACACAAGGGAGGGTGTTCGAAAAAGGGTGAGAGGCTGTGGGCTCTGCAGGCAAGGGGTGACATAACTGGGCTCCGGAGCCCCACAGGGGTGCCACAGAAAGAATGCAGTGGGTCAAGGGAGCCTTGGACTCAAAAAGGTTGAAAACCCCTGCCCTAGATTGAAAGCAGCACGTTAAGGATGATCATGAACGATTCTGGATTGAGAAAAGCTATGTTTTGGGGCTACAAATAGGGTACGTAGCCTTAATCTAAGTAAAACACCTGCTATGGCCTACTTACTTGCCTGCCTTCTTTCACAAACACACACACACCCATACCTGGCCATATTCCCAGGGTGTGAGAAGGCTGTAGCCCCTCCGTCTGACGTACTCCATGAAAGCTTTTGACCAGGGGTGAGGCCCACAGCAATAATCAGAGATGAGAAGCTGCCCGCCTGGCTTCAGCCACGACTAGAGAGGAGACAGAGAGATGGCTGGGTAAGATTTGAGGGCGGTGGGTGCTGGTGTTGTTGAATGTTGTTGTTGTTGTTGTTGTTGTTGTTGTTGTTTAGTCATTTAGTCGTGTCTGACTCTTTGTGACCCCATGGACCAGAGCATGCCAGGCACTTCTGTCTTCCACTGCCTGCCGCAGTTTGATCAAAAGGATCCAGAATACCATCATTATAATTACAGTGGACGCTCGGGTTGCAAACGTGATCCATGCGGGATGCACGTTCGCAACCCGCAGCATTCGCAACCTGTGTCTGCACACACGCGGGTTGTGATTCGGCACTTCTGCGCATGCGCAACTGCTGAAACCCGGAAGTAACCCGTTCTGGTACTTCTGGGTTTCGGCGGTCCGCAACCCGCAAAGACGCAACCTGAAGTGGCTGTAACCCGAGGTATGACTGCATACTATTATTAATTTGTTGTTGTTGTTGTTGTTGTTGTTGTTGTTGTTGTTGTTGTTGTTATTCACTCTTTATCCATAGATCTCAGGGAGGTTCACAGCATGGTGTTATAGATTTGCAGGGAAGGGGGGACTCTTTAAACCCTAGAAGTTGCTAAATGGTAGGATTTTGATTGCTTGGAGTACTGAAAGGAAGACTGGAGGCCAGTGGAAAAATATAGACTAAGTTTTCTTTCCAAGCTAAGGTCTCACCTGGGAGAGAGGCATTAGAACGGCAAAAGGTGTTGATGATGCATTTGAGGTGTGCCTGGAAAGCACAAGTCAGAGTGGTTTCCCCCTTGCCCTGTTCCTTGCCTGGGGAAAACCTGCTCTTTAGTGCTAAATTGGAACAAACGTCGATCCGGGGAAAATATAGATTGCTGTTTGCTCCAACTGAACACCAAAGAGCAGTTTTTCCTGGGGGAAGCAGCTGGACAAGCGTAAGTGTGAATAAGCCCTCTGTTTTGTTTACACCAAAGGCTGCTTCCTGTTTGTGTGTGTTTCCTCACAGAACTCAGCAGGAAGATAGGGGCAAAACCAGAATGTGATTGGCCCTATCGCCACCTAATTTCAGCCTTCCTGCCTTCTGCCCTACCTACAGTTGCCGTATTTCAAAAAGCAAAATTCCTAACACCTGCAAAGTTGGTGAGCTTTTTTTTTTTTTTAAGGAAGAACCCAAAATTGTCGAGCTTTGGGAACTGTTTCTGCTGCTTTTTCCATCGCGTTGCCATACATGCGGGTTTTCCCCTTCACACCTGAAAACCAGGACACGTCAGGGTTTCTCCTGACGCATGGCAAGCCTAGCCCTCCCAAACCCATTGGGCACGAACTGCTTGTTAAGGGCATTGATAAAATAAAGTACTGCTGTTTCCCATGTACTCTGAGCGCTGCTTCATTTTAGGGCACTGGGGGAAAACACAGTTTTTGGATTCTGCCAGAGGGCTGCCCCCAATGATGCGAGGCTGAATTGCTTGTATTTTTCTGCATGTTAAGAGGCAGGAGACTCACCAAGAACTTTGCAAAGAGAGCACTCTTGCCTGGCACATGCAGGACAGTGTCCCGGCTGTAGATGACATCAAAGGTGTTCTCTGGGAACGTCCTTCGCGTGGCATTGCCAATTTCAAACTGCACCTAGAAGCAGAGCCGGCACAAGAATGTTTCAGAGTGAAATCCAATCAGCAGCCTCTCCTACTAAGTAGCATTGCAGCTGATCCACCTAGGACAGGCATGTCTAAATTCAATCCTAAAAAAAGCTCAGCAACTCTGGTCAGCTCTCACGCATGTTCACTTCATCGAATCTGGCCCTCTTTGAAGAAAGTTTGGACACCCCTGACCTAGGAAGTGTTTTCACCCAAGCTCCCATGAAATGAACAGGAGCTCTGCCCTTTTAGATGGCTGACTTAGAGAGCTACACAACATACATTTTTAGCTCCCCGCCCCCGAATCCTGGGAATTGCTGTTTAGCCTTCACAAAGCTACAATTCCCAGCAACCTTAACCAACTATAGTTCATAGAATATTATTTTTTTGCGGAAGGTGTGTGTGATGTACTTTTAAATGTATGGTGTGTACACAGCCTTCACTTGCTTAGCTGCTTCCAGATGACCTGTTTATCCTGATATCTTTGCAGGGAGATTCAACAATATTGGCTATTGAATGAGCATTCATTTCTGTTCTGCTTTCGGGGAGGTTAAGTGATGTTTCTTCGAAACTAGAATTATCCCACACTTCCCAGTGCTTTTTCCTGTAACTTTCCTTAATGCAAAAAGTCCAGTTTGGGAGAGGGGAAGCAGTTAGGGATGAAGGAATCTGTTAATTTCAGTTTGTCTCAGTTTCTCATTCTTCCAGTTTTAAATTCAGTTCTCCGAATTTCCATAGCAATTTGTGATTTTTAAAAACAATTTAAAGTCTTGATGCATTCCGTATCAATTTATGGATTTTAAAATATATATATATATATTTTGATGAATTACGTAGCAATTTGAGATTTTTTAAAAACATTAAAAAATCTTGATGAAAATTCATCAGTATTTTAGTGCAAATTTCTTCCTAATACACACATTTTTGCATTCAGTTTTGTACATATTTTTGCACGTAATTAATATAAAATATATTTGTTGCTTGCATGAATATGCGCATTCTATGCGCACTTGCTACTGATGCGTGCATGCTTGTACACAGTTCTTGGTTGGAGAACTGCAACTCAAAACTCAGAGAAGTGAGCATTTGTGAAGGACAGCTGTATTCTGGTTTGAGTATCGATTCGAGAAGTGCAAGTTGGGTAGTTTCTCGTTTAAATGCAAACAAAAACGAATCTCTCCCCATCTCTTTGTTGCCCCAAAGCACCAAATCAGCTTTAACAGCTTAACATGAATTTGCTGACATGAGATTGAGCCAGTTTGCTACAGTCTAGATGCCCCTTTAATTCCCTTTAATTAATTCGGAAGGGCTGTAGCTCAGTGGTGGAACATCAGCAATGCGTGCAGAAGGTCCCAGGTTCAATCCTAGCATCTCCAGGTAGGGCTGGGAATGTCTACCCTACCTGAAACCTCAGAGAGCTCCCTATCAGTCAGGTGGACCTGAAGCAGGTGTAACTAGTATAATAGGGCAGCTTCCTTTGGTTCCCCCTCCCTTTCCCCTCATCATTACCAAGGATCCAGTCTCCTTTTGCGCTCGCTCCAAAGCCAACTCCACCATGTTGTGGGAAAGATCCATGCCCAGGACTTCCACGCCAAACTCCTTGGGAGGAAAGGAAAGAGTCAGGCCACCTCAAGGCTAGATGATAGCTCAAAGATGGGACCATAATCATAGGCTGTTTGTGAACTTCTTTTCTTTTAGGTTTACTTAAAATGTGGTGGTCCGGAGGTTTAATGCTTTGAGTTTTATAATGTACATTCTAGGAATGGGAGATCGTTTAATCCTGTTTTGTATGGTTTCCTTCCTTCCTTCCTTCCTTCCTTCCTTCCTTCCTTCCTTCCTTCCTTCCTTCCTTCCTTTTTCCTTTCTGCTCTCCTCTTTTGCTATATCCTTGCTTTCATATTTTTATGTTGTCACTGCTGAAAATACCATTAAAAAATTCCCTCCCCGTAAAAAAAATATGGGGCCATCATGGAAGAAAACAGGAGCTTCCAGCACTCAGTGGCATAGCGTGAGTTGCCAGTGCCCAGGGCTGCCCAGAGGAGGTGGTGGGAGAGAGGGAAACAGATGGAGAATGCATGCACATTCAGCTGTCTAACAGTATCCGCGCCACCCAGGAGATCACAGCCACAGAGATAAGAAGAGTCGTTCCATTGTCTGGAGAGGTCACTCCCTAGTTCTCACTGCGAGAAGTGAGGTTACAGGGAACCAGGCAGAAGGCCTTCTTGGTAGTGGCGCCCGCCCTGCGGAACGCCCTCCCATCAGATGTCAAGGAAATAAACAACTATCTGACTTTTAGAAGACATCTGAAGGCAGCCCTGTTTAGAGAAGTTTTTAATGTTTGAAGTTTTATTCTGTTTTAGTCCTCTGTTGGGAGCCACCCAAAGTGGCTGGAGAAACCCAGCCAGATGGATGGGGTATAAATAATAAAATTATTATTATTATTATTATTATTATTATTATTAGTTCGCATGGAGAAGCTGTTTTCAACAGAGCCCAGCGATGGAAGCGCTTAGCTGCATTGAGGGAGAACCAGGTGTTGAAATTTTGCGCCCCTAACAATTTTGTGCCCGGGCCAACCACCCCGTGCTACGTCACTGCCAGCACTAGAGTCTTAAGTCAGCCCTACTCATTGCAGTAATCTGATGTCTAGGTTAGATGACTGCAAGGTGTTAGACGTGGGGCTGCCTCTGAAGACGGTTCAGCTGGTGCAGAATTCAGTGGCCAGGTTGCTCATTGGGGCAAGGCAGTTTGAGCATATTACACAGATCTCGGCCCAACTGCACTAGCTACCAGTCAGTTTCCAGGCCCAAGTCAAAGTGCTGGTTTTGACCTATAAAACCTTAAATAGACTTCATGGAAGATACAGCTATCAGTATCTACTAGCTGGGATGGCTGTGTTCCAGCCTCTGAATACCAGTTGCTGGAAATTGCAGGTGAAGAGAGTTGCAGCAGCACTTCTCCTGTTTGGGGGCTTCCTACAGACATCTGGCGGTCACCGTGAGAACAGGATGCTGGACTAAATGGACTTTGGGCCTGATCCAGCAGACAGGCTTTTCTTATGCTCACAGTCAACCCATGTTTTCTGGGATAAGGAACATGGATGGCATGCATGTCAAAAAAGGCCATACAGTCTGATAGAAGATGGAATGATGGCTGATGATGCAATACTGCGATGTCACAAGTTGCACTCTTGCATCATTCCTTCTTGTCCGCTGCTCTGTAAACCTGGGATGGGGAATCTGTGGCTCTCCAGAAGCTGTGGGGAAGCTAACGTCCATCAGCTCCAGCCAGCCCCTTCCCCCCTGTGTTGGATTTTAGTTGTGTAAGCTCTTTGGGAGTAGAGACCCATTCTCTTGTACTCTGTGGAAGCACCATGCGACGCTGCCAGAGCCAACCATTGTCACCATTCTTAAAGGTAAAGGGTAAAGGGACCCCTGACCATTAGGTCCAGTCGTGACCGACTCTGGGGTTGCAGCGCTCATCTCGCTTTATTGGCTGAGGGAGCCGGCGTACAGCTTCCGGGTCATGTGGCCAGCATGACTAAGCCGCTTCTGGTGAACCAGGGCAGCGCACGGAAACGCCGTTTACCTTCCCGCTGGAGCGGTACCTATTTATCTACTTGCACTTTGAGGTGCTTTCGAACTGCTAGGTTGGCAGCAGCAGGGACTGAGCAACGGGAGCTCACCCCGTCGCGGGGATTTGAACCGCCGACCTTCTGATCGGCAAGTCCTAGGCCCTGTGGTTTAACCACAACGCCACCCGCGTCCTGTCACCATTCTTATTCAAAGGTTTATTTGCGCTTGTACCTTAGCCATGTAGAAGTCACTCCCGCTGAGTCCGCAGCCAACATCCAGCACTCGTTGGCCCTGTTTCAAATCCAGCATACGTACCAGCTCCTGTAGAGAGATGGGGAAGGGGTAGGCGGGTCTCTGGCAGGAGGGCAAGGGCAGTAGCTGCGTGGGAAAGCACTGGCCTTGTGTGCAGCAGGAGCTCCCAGGTTCAATCCCACGTAGGGGTGGGAGAGACCCCTGCCTCAAACCCTGGAGAGCCACTGCCAGCCAGTGTAGACAGTGCTGAGCTGCATTGACCAATGGTCTGACTCAGTAATAGACAGTTTCCTATATAAGCCAGTCCTTTTTTTCAAGACCATGTGGACTAGAAACTTACTTTATTTCGAAGGGAATGTTGAGCATATTTCGAAGGGAATGTTATTATAATTTCCTAATATAGCTCAGTTGGTTAGAGCATGCTGCTGGTAAGGCCAAGGTTGCAGGTTCGATCCCCGTATGGGACAGCTGCATACTCCTGCATTGCAGGGGGTTGGACTGGATGATCTTTAGGATACCTTCCAACTCTACAATTCTGTGATTTCTATGAATAGAATTTCTCCCCAGCAACTGATGCCCTTGGCAAGTATCTCTGCAGACTTCCCCAACCTGGTGCCCTCAGGATGTTGCTAAGAGTCCAGCTCCCACCAGGCCCAGCCCACATGACCAGTGGTGAAGGATGATGGAAGTTGTAGTGCAAAACGTCCAGAAGGCACCAGTTTGAGGGAACCTGTTCTCCTATGTTAATAATTTCTGGCATCTTTAGCCTGTTTCCCCAAAGCCTGAGGTCTTGGACCTGCCCTCCACTTCCTTCCCCAGCTCCAGATACCTTGGTGGTCGTGAGGCCTCCGGTGCTGACGAACCCAGGCCCAAAGACCCACTCGTAGCGACGGATGTTGCGGGTGGCATACTGCTCGCTGTCTAGAAACTTCTGGAAAGTGTCGTATCCCCAGGTGGCCTCGGGGTTTCGGGGGACTTTCTGGAGAAGCCAGCACACCTGGTTGCGGTTTTGCTTCCTCTGTGAAAAGGAGCGTAAGCCAGAAACAGGCATTCCCATCATCTCATTTTCGCTTTTTGAATTTTAAAACAAGTTTCTAGTCCCCAAGATCCTGGCAAACTGCGAGAGCCCCTGACCAAGCCGCCAGGGTAGAGCCTGGGGCCTAAGAAGTAAAGCGCTGGGAAGGATTAAATTCTGAGCAGCGGATGGAAAATTAAAAATAATAGTAACGAAAGTACTGTGGAATAAATAATAAGCATAAGGAAGAATAGAAGGGTGGGAACAACAACACCGTGAAAGAAGGGTGGGAGGTCAACTTATAAATTATGTATTAAATCTGATGTTAATTTATATTTTAAAAAATGAAACTAAATAAAAATTAAGTGGCAAAAAAGCCACACCCTTCGATTTGGGGGCCCTGCCCTATCGTTGGGCAAGCAGGGTATTGCCCCACCAAACCATAGCCTGCCCTCAGCCAGCCCCTACCTGTTTGCCTCCATACTTCCATCCTGTCCAGGGACTGTCACTGCCTGTCAACTTCCTTCTCCTGAGTCTCAATGCTGCTGCTCTTGTAGAACTCAACAGGGCGGAGGCAGAACTAAAACCAACTGGCGTTGGTGCTGCCTCCACCAGCTATGGGCGTCCTCTGCTTCCCATCCCACCAGTTCCAACGGGCACCAGATGCCATCGCTGCCCGATGACATCCTATGCAGAGGTGGCTGTGGTTGCATGGAAGGCCCTCGGCACGTGCTCCTGTGCTCCTCCGCATGTGGCGCAGCTTCAGAGCAGAAGGGCGGGAAGGGAAGAGGCGGTTACCTTGATGTAAGTTTGCACCGATCGGGACATGACTATCTCAAATCCATAGAGCTCGTCCCCGCACGTCTGATGGGCTGAAGTGAAGAGGTGATTGTATTCTGCAGGCGTTCGATAAAGAGTGGGGTTGAAGGCCCTTGGCTGGTCTCCTGTGGGGGAAAAGATGCTAATAGGATTGGGAGCTTGATTCTAGGCAACCAACCAGGGCCGGATTTAGGTTTGATGAGGCCCTAAGCTACTAAAAGTAATGGGGCCCTTTAATATGTCCAGCTGTCCTTTGTCAACAACAAATTGTTGCTGTTTTTTGTGTTGAATATATGCTATATGGTAATTTATAGGACCTAATAGGTATCTAAAGCCATTTGCACATGCAGAATGTAGGCACCCTATATATAGAAATGAGCAAACCAGTGATATTTTAGGGACTAGGCTAGCTGGCGGGGCCCATTTCTTACATCATAGGAGCCTACACAAAACACTGTTGCTGTATGTAAGTTTTATTTATTTTTGATCTTATATTTTGGAAATGTACATCCAGTGGTTTTTTTGGGGGCCCCCCCAAGAGAGCAGGGGTTTAAGCTATAGCTTGTTTAGCTTATACGTAAATCCGGCACTGAATCTAACCTCTGCAATGGATTCAGAGTTCAGGGCTGGGCAAAGTGGTCGGGGAGAGGCCCTTGCTCAGTGATGGGGTGATGCACATAGAGACCTATAAGCTCAGCTAACTAGCCAGGCTAGAGGCCTTGTGCCTTTCTTTGTGCTAGGAGCAGCTTTAGTCCCAAGGTTGTAAACAACATCCCTAAGTGTCTACATTTGACAAAATAGAGTCCTTTGTTTCCTTGCCTAATGAATAGGTAATGAAGGCAAGACCATACATGGTATAATTAGTTGTGTTGTGTTGTAACTTTAGATTGGAGGAAGTTTATGCATATATATTGCTTAATAGATAACAGCTACCTATATTAAGCAGGCCCCACCCATTTTGGCTTGCTCAGCTTTTGGAGAGAGCCTGTTTATGACCTCCAGGTTTGTTAAATGCATTCCTCCTTGATTCCTGTTTATTTAGCCTAAAACTTGTATGCATGCTCAAGTACAGTGGTACCTCGGGTTAAGTACTTAATTCGTTCCGGAGATCCGTACTTAACCTGAAACTGTTCTTAACCTGAAGCACCACTTTAGCTAATGGGGCCTCCTGCTGCTGCCGTGCCGCCGGAGCACGATATCTGTTCTCATCCTGAAGCAAAGTTCTTAACCTGAAGCATTATTTCTGGGTTAGCAGAGTCTGTAACCTGAAGTGTATGTAACCTGAAGCATATGTAACCCGAGGTACCACTGTAGTTCTTTGTAGTTAAAAGGATTCCTCAGAGGAAATCTGATTGGTTCTTACAAACACTGTGTAAGAGTTCTTTTGTTAATAAAAACGGCCTGGACAAGAGAGTGGCTATTCGCACTTCCTCCCAGAGTCTTGCTGGCCAAGCCTCGTGTCTATTTTATTAATCAGGGTCCAGTCCTTTCCTTTGCCTTCAGAACACAACAGGAGAGTGATCCCACTGAGCCATTATTGCTAGCAATAAACACCCTTTGTTTTCTCACTGCCGCATGGAGATTTCCCTCAGCCTCAAAGGTTAATTTTGCTACAGGAGCATTTCTTAACTGCACCGCCCACTGAATGTCAACTCCACTTATGGACCTTCCAGGGTCTCTTGGGAACTGGTCTCCTTTGCTCTGCCCCCTCACCCATTGGAACTACTGACCAGACTGGTAGAAGCAGGATTCCCGGAAGAAAAGTCGCCCTCCTGGACGCAGCCAGAGAAGCATCTTCTGGGCCACGTCACTCACTTCGGTATCTGACAGGTACATGAAAAGCCAGTTGGAGAATATGAGGTCGAAGCTACGGGGGGAGGAGAAGAGAGAAAGGCTAAAGCTTTCTGGGAGATGATATATAATGAATTGAAAAGGATGTTTAAAACAACGTTTGTATAAAAACAACAACCCAGAAGCTTTTCTTAGGGACAGAACTACCTAAACTGTGTAGAAACTTATTCATGTATAGTAGCAAGAATATTACTCGCCTCAAAACAGAAAGAAGCAGAAGTCCCAGCAAAGGAAGAATGGATACAAAAAACTTATGGAATATGCAGAAATGGAAAAAAATACCAGAACAATAAGAAATCAAGATAACAAACTTTTTTTTTATAAAAGAATGGAAATGGTTTGTTGGATATTTCCAGATTGTAAATTGTAAACAGATTGTAAACAGATAAGAACATTGTCAGGGTTATTGCAGTTTCGTAAGAGTATATATTGAAAGTAGATGATTAAATGAGCAAATTAAGTTAATTTGGATATGCAGAAGATATTAAAAATAAATTTAAGGGACTGCAGGAAGAGGGGGAAGGAAGTCAAGTTTTGAAATGTTACAATGATTTTAAAATTAGTGAAATGTCTAAACCTGAAAAGCATAAATAAAATTTAAAGAAGAAGAAGAGAGAAATCACTGTGAATCCTGCAAGGCCTGCTCCTTGCTTGCCTGGTCCATTCCCACCAGGCCTGGGAGGCCCTGACCGACTCCAGCTATAAAGGCTGCGTTGATGGGAGCTTGTATGAAGGAGAACCAGAGAGGTTCCATTTTGCCTCAGTTAATAGGCATTAGCTCGGATCAAGACTAACAGAACGTTGGCCTTCTCGGCGGTTAGCCTCCTCTGTAACTTTTCCACCTCAAAAGAACACCATACCCTCTGAGATTCCGGGGACAAAAACTGGGACGCTTCTTTTTTCTTTTTGGGTCCTGAGCTCTCGCGCATGCGCAAGGGCGCAAGACCAAAAGATGCTCGCTTTTTGTTCCCGCAAGACCAAAAAACAAGCGGCTTTCATTCTGGTGCTCTGGCGCAAGCCAGCTGACACGCACTAGAGCACCAGACCCCAAAAATAGGACATTCCAGGATCCAATCAGAAGCCGGGATTGGCTTCTGTGATTCCGGGATATCCTGCTTAAATCGGGACTATTGAGCGGTATGTAACACTACGATGTATAGTCAGCAGAAAGCTGGCCCAAAGCTGATAAGCACCCTGGCACCCCATCACATACAAATTTAGCTCTTGCCCTCCCACTTCCCTCAAAAATGTACTGACAAGCAAACTAAGCGAAAGCTGCCAGACGTCCCATCACCCCCTAACCTGTGTACCAAGCCAGTGTAACTGCTAGTTTTGCAAGATGAGATAAGACAAAAATAAGTAGTTTTAGGTTGCCATGGGGATCGCTTGCACTAAATGACAATAGAAGCGTAGCAAGTATTAACATATGGAGTTAACTGTATAAATTGTGCGAAAAGATGAGCAGGATTTGGAACTTGGTGCCTTTTTTCTCCAGTCTGAATAAATCTTTTCTTTTACCCCAACCCTGGTGTGATTATTGACTTGTCACCCCAGCATTGGACCATTGCGTCTGAAGCTCAGGATGTCTAGAGACCTTCAGGCTGGGGGTCCTTCACCCCATGGGCCTGATTAGACCCACCAGCTCTTTCCATTTGGCTCACAAGGCCCCCCAAAAGAGAGAGAAAAAGTATAATAAATCGCCACTGAAATCAACAATAAAATCTGTTTCTACCTCTGGCTTGGCAACTGCAGGCTGGTAACGTCGGCCTGTAGGAAATCCACGTTTGGCTGGTGTCCGTTCTCTTGTCGGTTGTGCGCCAGGAAGCTCTCCATGAAATCCACAGCTGTGATATGGTGCGCCAGCTTCGCAAGAGCTGCTGTGAACCGGCTGACAGAAAAGCAGGGAGAGGGAGGTCTTAGGCCTCAAACCCAACAAGCACATTTCTCCTCTACTCTTCCCCTCGTCCCTGAAATGGGCAATAATAATAATAATAATTTAGTTATATCCCACCCTTCCCAGCCGAAGCCGGGCTCAGAGGGCCTGTTTTCGCCTCATTTGAAACTGTTTTGAGAGCTAGTGTGGTGTAGTGGTTAAGAGCGGTGAACTCGTAATCTGGTGAACCGGGTTCGCTTCCCCGCTCCTCCACATGCAGCTGCTGGGTGACCTTGGGCCAGTCACACTTCTCTGAAGTCTCTCAGCCTCACTCACCTCACAGAGTGTTTGTTGTGGGGGAGGAAGGGAAAGGAGATTGTTAGCCGCTTTGAGACTCCTTCGGGTAGTGATAAAGTGGGATATCAAATCCAAACTCTTCTTCTTCATTGCATTGGCAGCGCATTTTCCAAGGCATCTGGGGTTCCCCCAGGGGTGAGCGCAAGGAAAGGGGCTCTAGGATGTGCAAAGTTGCTGGATTTGACATAGCAGTTTCCAGCTGCTTCCAAGAGGTGGAGAACTTCAGGCCCAGGGGCCAGATGCGGCCCTACAGAGCTCTCTGTCTGCTGGGATTCTCCCCAAGGGCCCTGCCCACCACAGGGATGTGGCCCTTGGAATGTTGCTTAGAAGGGAATGTGGCCCTCAAGCTAGAAGAAGCTTCCCCATCTTTGCATTAGAGTGAAGCAACTGCCACAGATGTTATTTAACAATGACTTAACAATGTGTGGTCTGTTCAATGCAAGAGGAGTGCTGTATGCAAGTGGACTTAATGGGATAAAAGGCTCTAACAGCCTGTATTCCTAACGCTATTCTACTGCTTGCTTTTGTGGATTTAAACTCTGCTACCGGGGCCCCTCTCCTGCTGCAGAATGAGTTTAGCTGCACGTTTTGAATCCAGGCACCCAGCCGGTTCTTTCATTATTTACCCTACACATGTGGATCACAGGGATTCTATTTTCCTCCCACAAGATGGGTGTGTTTTGCGGCCTGCCCTGTGCCCCCTAAGCTGTTTGCCACCCTTGGGTGTGTGGGAGGGCAATGTCCCCTCACTTGTACAGTGGTACCTCGGGTTACAAACGCTTCAGGTTACAGACTCCGCTAACCCAGAAATAGTACCTCGGGTTAAGAACTTTGCTTCAGGATGAGAACAGAAATCGTGCTCCGGCGGCCGTGGCAGCAGCGGGAGGCCCCATTAGCTAAAGTGGTGCTTCAGGTTAAGAACAGTTTCAGGTTAAGAATGGACCTCTGGAACCAATTAATTACTTAACCCGAGGTACCACCGTACCTCAATAAGATTCTCTGGTTGGTTTTAGTGTAAATATGTAAATTGGGGGTGGACTATCCTTCTCCTGAAGCCACAAATGATCCTAGGCCAGCTCTGAATGCCTCTGAACATGTACAAAATGCTTTCCCCCCTCTTCCTAGTGAACAGCATAGCCAACAAGCGCTGGGGGCAAAACCTTCAGGCAGGCAATCTGCTGTCAGTTGCTTGGTTTTTTGGGGGGTGGGGTGAAATCAAGGTCTTGCCAAGACAGTTGGCCGCCTGAAGCAAAGGACTCTCCCTATCTGCTGGCTGAGGCAGCTGCCTCCCTCTGCCCAATGGTAGAGCTGGTTCTGCTGGAAATGAAACTACAGGATTTGCATAGCTGAAGGGGGGAGGGAGACAGCAGGACTCCTGGGTTCCCCTCTGGCCCTGGAAGGACAGTAGAAATCCTTGGGGCTTTATTGCATTATTACAGCTTTATCTGTCGAAAGGAAAATGAGGCATTGTGTGTGAAAGGGGGAGAGCGAGATGGCTTGACCAGACTTTGGCCTGGGAGAAGTAGGGTCATCACCTGCTCCCTGCACTAAGACTCACCCTATGCCTGCTCCCAGTTCCAACACGTCCTGTCCTTTCAGGCAAGGCAAGAGGGCAATGATCTCTGGGGTGTCTTCCTGTGTGAGTTGCTGAGCCCCCGAGTCCAGCATCATCTCCTGCACTGAGGAGTTTTGCGAATGTTCTTCCCAGAACTTCCGCATCCTCAGACGAGGCGAAGTTTCTGCTGCTGTGGGAGCAGGTAAGAAAGCAGTGGCTCATTTATTTTCCCCAATTTTATCTCCTCCCTTTTCTGCTCCCCCACCCTCAACAGTTCATTCTCCCAACAACCCTGAGAGGAGGAGAGCAGGAGAGGAAGAGAATCATCCAGTGAGCTTCATGGCGGAGTAAGGATTTGTACCTGGATCTCCTAAAGAGGATATTCTCTTGACTTAACAGAAAGAGGAAAATGGCAATAATATATTATATTATCACAGAATCGTAGAATTGTAGAGTTGGAAGGGACGCCAAGGAATCTTAGCTAAGGTATCTGTGACGGATGGCCATTATATTATATATTTCATAAAATGTATACACTGCTTGCAAAAACAACAACTAAGAAAAGCCTTACAAAAGATTATTAAATCCCTCCTTTCTTCCAAGCACCTCAAGGGGGGCATATAAATGGTTTAGCCCCTCCCCATTATATCCAATGCTTTTTTTCTAATAAAAATGTTTAGGGGTACTCTCATTTTGACTCAAGAAAATCACCATTTTATAGTTCAAATTAGGGGAAATAAATACAGTAAATGGACAAAAGGCCACCATCAGGGGTAGCAACGGAACTGACAATTCACTGTGCTAGAGAAGAAACTAAAAATTTAATTTTTTTAAATTTCTTCTCCCATTAGACTCACAAAATGTTTAGGGGTGTGCATACCCCTCTCACCCCCCCAGAAAAAAAAGCACTGATCATATCCCACATAAAAACCCTCCCCAACATGAGTGCCAATGAGGGTTCTCCCAGGTTTGGTAAACAGCATGGGAGCTAGGGAGTTCTGCCACTGCTCCAAGAACATAGCCAGGATTTATGTTGGGGTGGGGGTGGCTGGACACGTCCACCTGTCCTATTCCAGAACCGAGCGACCTGCAACGCGATTGGTCAGTTCACCAGTTGCCTCGCCAGAATGCGCCGCAACATCTTCCATGTGACCTCAGCAAGCATTTCAGTTTCAAACAGTCTGATCATTCATAGTTTTAGTTAAGTGTTTTTATTTATTTACTTGATTTTATTTTTGGGGGTGGGGGAGCAATGGCAAGCTTATGAGTTAGCAAGGCAGAAAGCGGGGGGAGGGGTGTGAAACATTTGAGGAGGCAGGAGACCTTTGGGTGGTAGATGGTGGTGATGCTGCAGAAGAAAGTTCACAGGAAAGGATGCACCAGCGATGTGTCAGCGTGTCGTGCAATGGCTAAGAACCCAAGGCAAGAACAAGGAGTCGGTGCTGGATTTGGGAAGAAGACAAAAGAAACCAGTGCTGAGACTGAAAGAGGAGCGTCCCTTTGATGCCAGAGGCCAGAGGACTTTGGCAGCAGACGGCTGGACAGAGGAGAGAGGATCGAGGTGAGAGGTTGAAACAGCAAAGAGGAGAAAATAGTTCAAACAAGAGACAACCAAGGGTCTGCCGAGGGGACTTAAGAGGACCCTCCTGAGACCTCAGTTTCTTTTGTGAAGTATTTGGGGTGTGGGTGACAGTGCGTCCTGTTGCCATATTCCAGGCTTCTCTCTGCCTTCTGTGCCTTTGGGAAGCCAGGAAAGAAACCCCACTAATTTCCACCCACCCTACAAATAGTATTTGCTCCTGGACTCTTATTTCCGTTGCCTGGCTTAGGAACTGTTCCCTTCCCTTCATTGTCATTTCTAACCCCCCCCCCCACTCCCAAAATCTGCCCACCCACAGCAGCCCCACTCACGTCCTGCCATGGGGTCAGCTTGCTCCTTCTGAATGTTCCCTGGGCCCAGCGTTCTGATTAATCATTAATTGACAATTGTCCTGATAATGGGGCGGGCAGGCAATCGGCATGATCACCAGTTCAATCCACCTGACCCTGCCTATCATCCAGGAAAAAAATGGGAAAGAATCCCTGTGGAATTTCCCCCACTCCAAATTAATTGCCGCATTTAACCTGCCTTAGAAAGAGCAGCTGGAGAACCAGGCCATGAGCGCATCTAGCTTAGTACTGCCAACACAGACCTGCAGCAGCTCCCCTGGATTTCAGGCAGGCCTGTTTGAAGATGCTGAACCTGAGACCTTTTATGTCCCACAGGAAGATGCTCTACCACTGACCTTAAGGTCCACAAATAACAACACTTTGGTGGTCCTGAGCCTCAAGGAGGTTAGATGGGTTTCAACTAGGGCCAGGGCCTTTTCAGCACTGGCCCCGACGTGGTGGAATGCTCTGTCACAAGAGTCTAGGGCCCTGCGGGACTTGACATCTTTCTGCAGGGCCTGCAAGACAGAGCTGTTCCGCCTGGCCTTTGGTTTGGACTCGGTCTGACCCTTATGTTTCCCTCCCCTTATGGTCTTGATTTATCAGCTATTTTAAAATGAGGCTGCATGTTAAATTGCATTTTAAACTGTATTTTAAATTGGGTTTTTTTCTCCCTCTCTTTTCCCCCTATTATGTTTTTACTGAGATTTTATTTTATTGGTGTTAGCCGCCCTGAGCCCGGCTCTGGCCAGGGAGGGTGGGATATAAATAAAAATTTATTATTATTTGTTATTATTAGCTTTGAGAAATTCCTCCATTGCAGGGGGTTGAACTAGATGATCCTCGTGGTCCCTTCCAATTCTTCTATATTTCTGGGAGGGATACACAGGAGGCCAGATTCAAATTCCCACTGGGTTAGGTAGGATTAGCTGCACTGTACTCTCTCTGTCTCCTAGCCTAGTGAACCTACCTCATGGGATTGTTGTGAGGACAAACAATCCCTTCTTTGGAGGTCTTTAAGCAGAGGCTTGACAAGGATATGTCAGGAGTGCTCTGATGGTGTTTCCTGCTTGGCAGGGGGTTGGACTCGATGGCCCTTGTGGTCTCTTCCAACTCTATGATTCTATGAAATGGCGTAAGGCAATGTCTTGGATCCTAGTTGGGCTTCTGCTTGCAGAAGGTGATCACCCCCAACTCCCCCTGCAGCCTCTGGAGTTTGTACTCCCCAGAAATCCCTGCTGGATTGGGGAACTCTTTCCACCAAAGGCAGCATGGGCGGCAGATCAAGTGGCTGCAGCAGAAATTGGCAAAAATCACCTCCCTCGGCCTTTTGCTAGCAGGATCCCCGCACTGTGTCTCAGTACCACCAATGGATTAAAAGAGCACCTACTTAGAATCCAAGATTACATTCCTTCGCCACCCTGGGCGCTTCTCCTAAGAATTTTTCCTTTTGTGTTGTGCCTTTTAGATTGTAAGCTTGTAGGCAGGGGCTGTCTTGTTTTAGCTGAATGTTATGTAAGCTGTTTTGGAAGCAGAGGGGGGAAACAAATGCTATTAATGATAATGCACATACACAGCTCTGAGCGAGGTGGGAAGGCAAGGGGGAGTTTAAAATGCAATTAAGGCAAACATCCAGGGGCGGAGAGAAATGTACCCAAGAGATGCTCCTTACTCAAACTTGCTTGCCAAAAAATAAAATAAAAATCAACAGCATGCCAAGAAAGGAAGGCTAGATTTTGACAAGCTAATGCTAAGCTTGCCTTAGAACTGAGAAGATAACAAGTTATAGGCAGAAAAATGCACCAGGAATTTGAACAACCAAAGGAAAAAAGAAGATGCATTGTGGGGGAGTCAGGATGCAAAGACAGTGATAAGTTAACGATAAGATAAGGGGTGTTTTGCAAGGAGAGATGCTCTAGGTAGCCTTTGAAAACTGAGCATCAATATGAGGCAGCTACTACAGATGGGCTCCTTCTTAGAAGGCTTGGTCTAAAAACAAGTCACCCCCACACTGTAGGGCAGGGATGGGGAAACTCAGGCCCAGAGGCCCAATGTGGCCCTCCAGAAGTCTATATCTGGCCCCTCATAACTTTCTCCACACGCGACACTGGCACTGCACTCTAATAATGCCCCTTGCTTGCCTGGAAGGAGGCTAGAGAAGGGGGTGGGGTGGGTGTGGGTGTAGAAACTAGCCTACCATACCAAGGTAAAAATTGCATTCATTTCTTGCCTCTGGCCCCACACATCACTGGTATGTGGCCTAGCAGGGAATGCAGCCCGCAGGCTGAGAAAGAGCCTATGAAGAGCATGCTGGCTAACACTCCAGTGGCCCATCTAGTCCAGCTTCCTGTTTGCGCAGTGGCCGCTCAGATGCGCTGATGGGAAACTTGCAAGCAGAACCCAAGCACAAGAGTGCTCTCCCTGCTATGGTTTCCAGCAACTGGCATTCAGAAGCATTACTGCATACCCTCCAACATTTTCCCAATGAAAAATGGGACATCTTATTTCATGATGATGATGATGATGATGATAATCATCATAATTTATTATTTGTATCCTGCCATCTGACTGGGTTGCCCCAGGCACTCTGGACAGCTTCCAACATAGATAAAAACATAATGAAGCAGTAAACATTTTCTAAGAAAAAAATCTCTACGTAGGCCTGCTTTCAGATGTCTTCTAAAGGTTGTATAGTTACTTATCTGCTTGGCTCAGGGGTTGCATAACTCCATACGCTCCAACATTTCTCCGATGAAAATAGGGACGTCTTTAGGAAAAGTGGGACATTCCAGGATCAAATCAGAAACCTGTAAATCCAGGACTGTTACTAGAAAATAGGGACAGCTAGAGGGTCCGTTTCTGCCTCTGACCATGGAAGCAGAGCTAGCCATTGATAGTCTTATCTTATCCCTGTTACGTGGGATCTGTTCCTTTTTATTGTACAACATCTGCATTAATGTTAAAACCCATGTAGGGAGCTTAAGCCCGCAACCCAATACCTACTTACTTAGACTCATGGAATTGTAGAGTTGGAAGGGGCCACGAGGCCCTCTAGTCCAACCCCCTGCAATGCAGGAATCTTTTGCCCAATGTGGGACTCGAACCCGCGACCCTGAGGTTAAGCGTCTGGTGCTCTATCCCCTGCAACTGAGCTATCCCCACGGTGCAAAATATGTGTCAGAATAAAGGCTCATTGAACTGAGCAAGATTTACTTTCCGGTAGGCAATGTGGTGATAATCACTTTTAATAGTTAAATAAGAATATAAAGGATATCTTTATAGTCCCCCCCCCCCGCCAACATTTTATTTTACAGGGTCTTTGTCTGTCTATACTGCTGTTATTTATATGCATTTGATCAATAAACAAAGTATTTCTGTGTTAAGAAATTGTAGTTTATATTTATTAACAGCAAAACATGACTCAGCAATGGTGTAACACTCTTCCCCCTCTAGGAGAGAGGACATCAAACAGCAACAAGTTTAGTTTAAAAAAACTAAAGGTGCAAGGGAAAAAAACACAAGAAAAGTTCCAGTAGCTTATTGGATGCAATTATATTTTGGGTGGGGAGCCTGTAGCCTTCCAGATGTTGTGAAACTACAAATCCCATCCACCCTGCTGGCAAATGGAAAGCCGGAGCGCCAACCCTCCCCGTCCTTCCATTACATTTTCTTCTCTCTCTCTCTCTCCTACCTCTCCTAAGCATTGAAGGCTAGAGTGTCGCTCCCTGGCTCCAGATTCCCATTCAAAATCTAGGATAGGACCCATTCACCCACTTGCTCTAATAATGTTGACATCCTTGCCTTCTTTGGGAACACCTCCTGGCCCCGTTTGCGTCATCAAAGTTCCCCCAAAAGCCCAGCTCCAGGAATCGGCGCTCAAGAAGGCTCGGAAGACGGAAGAAGGCAGCCTTTTACTCCGTTGCCGAACCTGCCCCTTTCTTGTTCTTGGAAAAAGTGACCCAGGCAAGATAACCCTGACTGGTCCTCTTCCGTAACATGCAGCGGCTGCTGTGAAGAAGGACCAGGGGTTAAAGGGCGCCCAGCTTGACCCAAAAGCTCCTCCTTCTTGCTCTGGGGTATACTGTAAGTTTCCAACCTCGCCACAGCCTGTGAGGAATCTTGAGGGAAAGGGTTGCGGTTGGGTAACTGGCTTCTCCCACCGGGGACAGGAGGGTGGGGCAGGTTCTTTTTCTTCTTTTTCCCAACGGGAATGGGGGGCGGTGGGACCGCCGGGGGGGACAGGGGGCTGACAGCCTCTGTGGACACTTGGACCTTGACGTTGTTCTTGAAGCGCTGGCGCCGGGTGCCCACATCCTTGTGCAGTGTTCCGTCAGCCGGCGGGGGGGTTGGAATATCATGGGATCTGGCAGGTTGTCCGCAAACCAGCTTTGCACAGCTCCCCACCTGGGTGTCGCTCTTGGGGCCCTTGTCTGATCCGGAAAGAGGCACCGGCGGAATAGGCCTGCTGAAATCCTTAGTGTTCAGGGATGAGCTCCAAAATTCTGGAGGCGGGCAATGAGGATGAAAAGAGAGAGAACAAACTGTGTTAAAAAAGCATTTGCTGGGTGCTCAAAGCTCTAGCCTGGCTATGATTATCTTTGTCAGGCCAGAAAAAAGAAGAAGGTGGAGATGCATTGGTTGTGGTTGCTAGGCAACCACTGGGAGCAATCTGCATCCATCAGTGACTAATATTGTTAGGAAGCAGTTTTATACTTGAGCCACATCTGCACCTTTATATTTAAGAGTTGTACTGTACTGCTTGAAACAGTCATGGCTTCCCCTCAAAGAATCCTGGGAAACTGTAGTTTATGGTTGCTGAAAGATATTGAGAGACCCCCGCCCTTCTTCCCCTCAAAAAGCCGCATTCAACAAACTGCAGTTCCCAGAATTCTTTGCGGGAAGCTACAACTGTTAAAGAGGCATAATATGGCTTTCAATGCAGAAGTGGCCTTGATCAGTACAGTGTTACCTCAGGTTAATAACTTAATTCGTTCTGGAGGTCCGTTCTTAACCTGAAACTGTTCTTAACCTGAGGTACCACTTTAGCTAATGGGGCCTCCTAACACTGCCGTGACGCAATTTCTGTTCTCATCCTGAAGCAAAGTTCTTAACCCGAGGTACTATATCTGGGTTAGCGGAGTCTGTAACCTGAAGCGTCTGTAACCTGAGGTGCCACTGTAATGTTTCTTGGGGGATCATCTGGCTGGATGTGGCCTCCCAGACCTCTCTGTTCGGCCTTTGGGATTCCCCCAGGCCTTGCCTCTGACTTGCCCTGCCTCGCAGCCCCCTTGAGTGTCTTTTGCCTGGCTGAAAATCTGCCCTAGAGCTCTTGCTTGGATGAAAGTCAGGGAGGGGAGGTGTCTCTGGAAACTTAGCCAACTGTAGGATTAGTTGCTCCACCCACTTTTCCCACTGGCCCCGCCCACTTTTGGTAAGTGGACCTCAGGAAATAATGCAGCCCGTGAGATGGAGAAGGTTCTCCACCCCTGACACCCCCTGTCACTGAGCTGTGTACCCCCACCCCTGTCAAGGAGCCTAGGAGGTTAAAAGCCAGGCAGGTGAGTGTGGGGTGCTGAAGTGGGGTTGCTGTTCAGGGGTTTGGTGCTGGATGGAGATTTCTACCACTGAGTCAACACTGAGCCACTCACCAAGCCCCAAGTGAGCGATGGCCTCCAGCTGCTGGCAGGATGAGGCCTCCCAGATGAGCAGAGGAAGGCGCAGAGAGAGAGGGAGGATGTCCCTGAGGCAGTGGGCAGGGGGAGGGAAGAAGAGAAAGTCTGTCAAAACTCAGCCAGAACTTTGAAGAAAAAACAATGCACTTGGAAACCAGAAACCAGAACATTCAATTTATATCTTTTTCTAAGCGGGAAATCATAGAATCATAGATTTGGAAGGAACCACAAGAGTAATCTAGTGCAACCTCCTGCAATGCAGAAATCTTTCATCCAACATGGGGTCGTGGGCGTAGCCAGGATTTTTGTTAGGGGGGCAGAACTGATGTGATTGGTCAGTTAGTTAAGTTTTTCTATTGTTTTACTTGATGGGGGGCAGCTGCCCCCTGCCCCCCCCTGGCTACACCCGTGACTGGGGCTCGAACCCACAACCCTGAGATTAACATCTGGAGAGTCACTCCCAACACCTGGAGGGTCACAAGTTCCCCACCCCTGGGCTACACTGATCAGCATTCCAGAGTTTCAGGTGGTGTCTTTCACAGTCACACCTGGCCATACCTACAGTGATTGTGCTCAACCCCTGTGCCCTGACACTTCCCCCAAAAGCTGACATTTTAAAAGAAAATGGTCAGATAGGAGCACTAGACAATTCACTCAAGGACCTTCTCCCCTCACATATATATATATTCAGGAGTCTCGGTTGACATTGAACCACCATAGGAGATAATGGTGGTCTCCAAAGGTGGCAAGCCACTTACGGGGTTATGCAGTAGGAAGCAATGAGGTGCAGGAGGCTGGGGAAGGTCAAATCCGAGCCCTCTAGGAAGATGACTGGAGAACATAAGAAACAGATGGAGAAAAGTTAACCCCAGGCCAGAGTTGGGACGAATTTCCTCCCCAAAATTCTCCTCCATGAAAATTATTCCCAGAACACTTGAATAATCCCCCGACCTTGCAAGGCAAATGCATTCGCCACCCTCACCTGCACGCTCCTGGCATAAGCAATGGGTCGTCACAAAAGCCGGCGATGAATTGTCGGGGAGGCGTAAACACAGGACTTGACATTGCCGCGTATTTGATCTCCGCACTAAAAATGTCTGGGAGTGGGGAGAAGGGGGAAGAGAAGCATGAAAGCAGGTTAAAGTAGACTATAATAACAGGGACACACAGACAGCAGCATCAATAGGTGGGAAGAGGTTCCAAATGCTAACTTTTTTAAAAATGCAAACTCTGTAGGAAATAGAATATACTAAGAAAGCACGGCTGCATTTGGATTACCCTTTTTTGCAGGTGGGATGCTGGTGTTGTAAATTTCCTGTATGAGCGAAGGGATTAAAGTAGATGGCGTGTGAGGCCCACTCTGATTCTATGGCCACAAGGAATTCTGGGAACTATAGTTTTTTAAGGGTGCTGAGAGGAGGCCCCTATTCCCCTCACAGTGCTACATTTTCCAGATTCACCTGTGAAGACGGATTGACTGTTAAACCATTCTGGGAGTTCTGCCTTCTCACTTTTGTGGAAATGGAGACATCCAACAGGTGAAGCTGTCTCCCTCACAAATGCATTCCAACACTGCAGCCTGAATTTCAGACGTTCAGGTGCTTCCTGAATGGAAAGGAGCCTCTGTTGAAAGGGAAACGTTGCAGCCCAAGCCAGTGAGGCAGAGGTCACTCAGAGTATGCTCAGAAGCACTATTCTCATCACTCCTGTGCTCTAAAGTGGGGTGCTAATGATGAAACCCTGTCGATCCTCACCCCGGGAGGTTCACGCTGAAGGATGTGAAGTGCAGCGGCCGAGTTGATGCCCAGCTGGAGCCAAACTGGCTGAGTGAGGCGCAGTCGTCCCACGAGGCTGATGCTCCGGGGGGAGACCACCGTCCCGTGCCGTGGGTTGGCATAAGGCTCGGGATAGTCGTAGATCGGGTTCCGAGTCATCCTGAGAGGGAACAAAAACCTCCCCTGAGTCCAGCGTGAGGAACTGAAAGGGGCGCAAACAACAGGCAACCCAAGGGACCTGCCCTGCTTAGCATGATTTTACTTTATTCCGTTATTTTTTTTTAATTAGATTTTGCAAATTCATTCACACAAATGTTATTCTTGCAAAAGTTAAAATTTTACACAGGATTCTTCCAAATCCTAGGACTTCCCTCCTCCCCCCTGTGGGTTCTTTAAATAACTTTTTCTACTGCGTATTATAAATCCATCTAGTTTACTGTCCTCCAGTGTATCCAAAGTCTATGTATCATTGCAAGAGTTATTTAAAGCCTGCCAAAGAGCTCAAGTGTTTACAGTGGTCTTTCAGATACAGTCTATATTTGCCCCACTCTCTGTTGAAGTTTTGGTCCTCCTGATTTCTGATTTCCCTGGTCAATCTTGCCATCTCTGCATAGTCTAATAATTTCATCTGCCAGTCTTACTTTATTCCATTTCTATCCTGTGACATCACGCATGTTGGGAGGAGGCTGCAAGGCCTGCTGCCACCGCAGCGAGATCCCGCGAGGCCTGGCCCCTCAAGATTGGCGGGGGCTCAGCCCTGTCCCAACATACTTTGAGGGGTGTCCGCAAGCCCATAGATTTGGTGCCTATGGCTTTTGAAGCACATTTGAAGTGCATGTTTCCCCCTCAGAGAATTATGGGCGCTGTAGTTAGTCTGTTAAGGTTTGCTGAGAATAGTAACTGCGAGGGGTAAATAGCAGTGCCAGGAATTCCTGAGGAAAAGAATGTGCTTGAAAGGCTTTGCTGTGTACGCAGCCTTTGAGTGTATACTTCTGGCTGAAATGTGACAGAGCACCTGGGGCATAGGAAGCTGTCTTGCATGGCGTCTAAAGGCTGGTCCGCCTAGCTCAGTATTGTCTATGCTGACTCAGTGGCAGACCTACATTTTTGGGGCCCTGAAGCTTGAACTGTCTTGGGGGCCCCTTCAAACCAGCAGCGAGGTCTGGGTCACCACTGTTATCGTCTTCGGTGGTGTTGCTCCATGACAGATCACCACACTTTTATAACATTGGTGCTACAGACTCAAACTTGTTGAAATATAAAAGGTAAAGGTAAAGGGACCCCTGACTATTAGGTCCACTCGTGACCGACTCTGGGGTTGCGGCGATCATCTCGCTTTATTGGCTAAGGGAGCCGGCGTACAGCTTCTGGGTCATGTGGCCAGCATGACTAAGCCGCTTCTGGCGAACCAGAGCAGTGCACGGAAACGCCGTTTACCTTCCCGCCGGAGCGGTACCTATTTATCTACTTGCACTTTGACGTGCTTTCAAACTGCTAGGTTGGCAGGAGCAGGGACTGAGCAACGGGAGCTCACCCCGTCACGGGGATTCAAACCGCCGACCTTCTGATCGGCAAGTCGTAGGCTCTGTGGTTTAACCCACAGTGCCACCCGCAACAACAAAATGAGTCAATTCGAATTGTGCGACTCAAATTGGGTCTACCAGACCCGCATTTTTTAAGCAACGTGGGCAAAAGTCGCTTCTGGGGCCCCTTCAGGATTGAGGGTCTCTGAAGCTTAAGCTTCATTGGTTTCATAGTACAGTAGATCCATTCCTACACTGGCCGGCAGCATCTCTCCAGCAGAGAAAGGTCTTCCCCAGCCCTACCTCGAAAGAGAGAGAGAGAAAGAGAGAGAGAGAGAAATCAAGGGGAGGGGAGAGGGAAGGATATCTGGCAGGCACCAAGGAAGGCCCACAGACTATGCGTGCCCATGGCTGACCACATTATATAGCCCACCAACTTGGATCAATTCATGAAGGACAAGGAAATCAAAGGACACTAGCAGCCACAATGGCCCTTTTCTTCCTCCACTGTCAGAGGCAGTATGGCTCTGAATGATAGAAGTTACTGGAAATCGCAAGTGGGTCGAGTGCTCTTTCCTTTGGATCTTGCTTTCAGGATTTCCAGATGTATCTGGTTGGCTAGTGTGAGGACAGGATAATGAACTTAGATGGGTCTTTGGCCCTGATCCTCTTTTTATGTTAGATGGAGAAACAGCTCCGTCCTATGCGTTTTATTTTCATGCTCTGCAGAAATCCAACAGGTGCAGATTATCCTTGTGTGGAAATACCTGTTGAGTTTCTGCAGCAGCGTCACATTGGTCTTTTTTTTTTTTTTAAGCACAGGAACATGCCAGGGAGGGGAAAGTTGCCACCCTCTGCAGAGACACAGCTGGATCGAACATGAGCTGAAGGCGGGAGCCATCCTCAAGCTGTTACAAAACACAGCGGGGGCGAGAGACGAGAAAGTAAGGCAGGCTATGAATCAGCTCCGTGGCATGAGAAGCTGCAATTTGGAGACGGGGAGGAGCACAGCTTCGAGTGGATCACTTAGCAGCTGCCCTGCCCCACAGGGGGAAGGAGAAGCCTGTGGAAATGGGCCTCCCGCTGGGGTGGGCAGAGCTAACCCCTTTGTCCTCACCCCCAACCCAAAACAAAGCTGAAAAAGCTTCTCACTTTGGCTTAACGACCCCCTTTGTTCCATTTGCCATCTCTCCCACCCACAAACAGTCCCGATGCAGACGGCAAGTTCCTTAACCACCATCACATGTATAAAGCACATGGCATTTTCCATGTGCTATCAATACATTTTTTTACAATAAAATAAGGCGGTTTCCTGAATGCAGGCTCAGCCATCTCAAAGGCATGACACAGAAGGAAAAGGAATGGGGAGGGAAGAGGAAAGCAAGCATGGGAACAGGGTGATGGAAGGGTCTGGTTCAATCTCCCCCTGGCTGTGATATTCTTGCTTATGGCTTTCGTTTAGCTAATTTGGCAGCTCACGGGAAAATAAAAACAGCAACAATAAAATACACTAAAACTCCTTTAAAATAATAGTAAAAATAAATCAAGGAAAAAATGAAACGGGCCATGTAAATATCATAGAATCATAGAGTTGGAAGGGACCCCTAGGGTCATCTAGCCCAACCCACTGTGATGCAGGAATCATACATGACAGATGACCATCCAGCGCTGAGGGCCTTCTGGCAGTTCCCTTACTGCAAGAAGTGAGGTTACAGGGAACCAGGCAGAGGGCCTTCTTGGCAGTGGTGCCCACCCTGTGGAACACCCTCCTATCAGATGTCACGGAAATAAACAACTATCTGGCTTTTAGAAGGCATCTGAAGGCAGCCCTGTTTAGGGAAGTTTTATTCTGTTTTTAATGTTCTGTTGGGAGCCGCCCAAAGTGGCTGGGGAAACCCAGATGGGCAGGGTATAAATAATAAAATTATTATTATTATTAAATATGTGTGAATGAACTATATTTCTTAAAGACACACCATTCTCCCCTGTGCCTCATTCCAAAGGAGCACAAAACCTGGTTAAGTGCCAAGGGCCCGCCAGCAACACGGGGGTTAGAAGTGAGATCTGTGTTTCCTAGAGGAGAAGGCCTGGGAGCAAAAGTGTGCCTGAAGTCAAAACAGTGAGAGGTCTGAATTTCAGCACTCCCTGAGCAGTTCCAGGGGATGGACCAGCAGGAGGAGAGACAAAAGAAAGCAGCAACAGAAGCGACAAATCCGGTGAGATGAAAGCAGCGGCAAGCAGAGCGTGTGAGACAACAAGTGCTATATTCACGGCTGGCAATTCATAATAATAATACTAAACAGTCATCAAGGTCTCTCCTGAGCTGCAGTGCTTGTGGTTGGGGAAACCATGGGCCCTGGCAGTTCTACAATGTCCTCTTCTCAAAAAACCCTCCTAATGGAGCCAATAGGAGTTTTCTTTCCCTCCCCACTGCAAGCCTAATTGTGGCACAAGAGGGGGAGGGGTGGAAGGTCACACAGGTAGGGAAGGGTTAATCTTTCATTTCCCAGCTCTGACACACAACCCCCAAACACACACACATCCACCTCACACAATATTTAGGGGTTTTATTTTTTGGGGGGGAGGAACCTATCAGATCCATCTGTTGCAATGGATCAGGCTAGGACTGATTTGAATCTCTTCTCAGCCACCCATAAAGCCCACCGGGTGACCTACCTGATTTGGTTGTGAGGCTAAAATGGGGAGGGGGGGTAAACCATGTATGCCGCCTTGAGCTCCTAGTGTGGGAAAGCAGGATATAAATGTAAGAAACAAAAGAAAATGAAGTCTAACTACTTCACAGGGTTGCTGGAAGGTGGGGGAAGAGAGCCACTCCAGGCGATGGGAACTTGAGCCAGTTAGCCAAAAATGCTGGGCTCAGCTAGGCCAGGCTCCCATAGTACAGTTGGTAGAGCATGAGACTCTTGATCTTGGGGCCCTGGGTTTGAGCCCCGCATTGGGCAAGAAGATTCCTACATTCATACAGGGGGTTGGACTAGTGATCCTCATGTCCCTCCCAATTCTATAATTCTGTAATCCATCCGCACAACTCTTGACATGCACAGAGGGCAGGGCAGGAGTGACATCAACATAAGGCCAAAGATGAGGTGCAGAATCACATGCAAAGACATGCGCAAGAGGGAAAGAGGAAGAATGGTGTTTCCTTCCTTCCTTCCTCCTGACATCGTATAATTGGGGGCCTGGGATGGGGGCCTTTCAATTGGAGCTGGACAAGGCCTTGTTTGCCAATAATACACAAATCCTGGGCTGGGGAACCTGGTGCCCTCCAAACAGTAGACTCAAACTCCCATCAGCCCCTGCCAGCAAGGCCAGCGGTCAGGGATGGGTGTTTGTTTGTGTTGTTCATGAACATGCCCTGGCCAGCATCCCACTCTTGAGCTCAGCAACCCAGCAACCAAACCTCCCACCTTTCACCAGTGAACACCAGTAAGCCCGTTTCTGCAAACCCAACAGTCCTAGTGCCCAGGGACCATCTAAGATATAATAGTTGTGAGATGCCCCCCTGGGGACATGGGTAAGTATCCCCCGCGACTGACTTAAGTTTTGATTTCAACGGGTCTTTTAAGAGTAGGACTGAGCTGGATACAACCCTATGCATGCTGACTCAGGCACAACCCCCCACGAGTTCTGGAGTAGGGGGGCAGGTTAAGAGAGTGTAGGGTCAGGGCCAGTGTGGCTCAGCATGTCAAGGCTGTGATTTAGAAGACTTGGGTTCAAAATCCCCAGCCATGAAGCCTTGGGCCAGGCACAACTTCTCACCTTAAGTCTACCTCGCAGCGTTGTTGTAGGATAAAAAACGGGGAGGGAGAAAGTGCTGTGCGCCACATCATATCCCTTGGAGGAAAGGCAGGATACTGCGGAATAAAATAAAGCTTTCCCAGTGCCCCCAGACGCTAGCAACCCACTTAATCCAGAGTGACTCCCATCCTCTGGCGCCAGATACAGAAGGAGGCTTGTCCCTTCACCCCAGGGATGGGGGAACCGGCAACTGCTCCACAGGTCTTGCTGAAATCCACAGGGCTCTTCACAGCCCTGACCATTGGCCATACATGCCGGCTGTTGGGAGCTGGGTTTGAACAGCCCCTGGGGGAGCAATGGGAGAGTCTTAACTTTTTCCTCCTCTGCCATGCGGCTGAGAAACCAGAGCTGGAAATGACCTCAGGAGTCTCAGCTCCCAGTTCCTTCCTGATCAGCAGCACACCCCTAGTGTAACATCCCCGCACAAAACACACGCGCAGCACACTTTCTAGCAACGGGACTACAAAGGTGGCCTCCACGTGACCAGCTGTATCCTTTAGACGACACTGCCCTCCCCGAAGCAAGGAGTCCACAAACAAGGAAATCAACTGCTGCGGGGAAGCGCCGTTGGCACCAGTTCCCAGCAATACAGTTTGGTCAATAGAGGAAGGGAGAGAATTCCCATCTACAGCGCCCTCCCCCCAATCCAGGGTACCCCATCCTCGCCACTCACCTCTCCTCTCTCCGGCAACTCCACGGCGTGCTCCTTTGCCTCCTCTATTGCACTCGGTTTCTCTCTCGGCTGTGCTCATCTCAGCTGCCTGAAGACGTCTTGGCTGAGATCCAGCTCCGGGGCGAGGCTTGGGCAAGCGGCACCGGGAAGGAGGGTGGGCACCTGGCTCTCAACAACAAACTCTTACTTCATGGGCTGAAATCTTGAGAAGGCTGAGCTCACCGCAGGGCTCCTGCCACGGAAGAGGCGGCTGGCTTTGCAAAATGCCAAGGAGCAGCAGCAGATTTCACAGAAACGTAAAATGGTTAGAAGTTGGAAGGGACCCCTGGGGTCATCCAGTCCAACCCCCTGCAATGCAGGAATCTTTTTGCCCAATGTGAGGCTCGAACTCACGCCCCGTAGGTTAAGAGTCTCATGCTCTTACCAACTGAGCTATCTGGGTCAGTTTGATTGGAAATAGAAAAAGGGAAGAAAGCACAAAAAGGGGGGAGTCTCTGAGCAAGTGCAGAGAGCCTTCCATGTTTCAAACCCCTCTGTAATAGCTTTTACCAACCTAGGGCTCCCACGGTGATGGGATATGCAGCCAGAAACATCTGGAGAGTCCCAGATTGGCAAAGTTTGCTCCAGAAGTATTATTGTTTAGCAGGGAAGGTTTATTCAGATTCCCACTTCCATTTTTTTCTTCTTGCTACTTCTCTAGGTTTGTCAGGGAGCCCTAGAATGGAAAATCAGTTCCCAGAGTTCAGCTCCTGAGTAATGAGAATCACAGAATCGTAGGCTTGGAAGGGACCTCAAGGGTCATTTAGTCCAACCCCCTGCAATGCAGGAATCACAGCTAAAAAAGAGAGAAATAATAATAATGACTTTCCAAACAGTCTAAGGTAGGCCAAGGAAGGCATCTTCTCTGAGTGCTACCTGGCCAGAGGTGCTAAACTGGAATCAAATTGCCATGCGCTCTGTTGACAGTACAGTTTTACAATTATGTTGAAAGAGGCAAAACGTTTCTTTCATTAGGGTAATAAGGAAGCATTCAATTTTCAACACTTTCCAAACAGGCCTGCAAAATAGCACTACATGGAACCCTGGAAAACATCTGCCAGCTGGGGACAATACTGAGCTAGTGGTTTAAACCAGCTCTTTATTCAGGATCGTGAGGACTAGACTCTTATGTCATTTTTAGGGGAAGGGCCACAGAACAGTCCCTGGTTCACTCCCTGGCAGCAACAGGTAGGACTGGGGAAGAGACACGGTGTGAAATCCTAGACGGCAGCTGCCGGTCAGTGCAGGCAAAATTAATCCAATGGGCAAATAGTCTCACTTGTGGTGCCTCCAGACAACCTGTTTGCTGAGCATTCGTCCTCAATCCGCCCCTGCCGATATGCAGCCCTGCCCCGTGACAGGTCACCCCTGAAGGAATGTCGTCCTCTACAAAAGAATATAGGTTGCAACTTCCATGAAAAGCTTGCATTGCCCTTGCCAAGCTACCCAAACATTTTATAAGGGAAGATCTCTACAGGGCAAAGGAACAAAGGAACCTGGGTGCCATAGCTCATGTCCCAGAGCTCAAAACAAGGTAGAAGTTCTACAGTGGTACCTCGGGTTACAGATGCTTCAGGTTACAGATACTTCAGGTTACAGACTCTGCTAACCCAGAAATAGTACCTCGGGTTAAGAACTTTGCTTCAGGATGAGAACAGAAATCGCACGGCGGCAGCAGCGGTGGGAGGCCCCATTAGCTAAAGTGGTGCTTCAGGTTAAGAACAGTTTCATGTTAAGAACGGACCTCCAGAACGAATTGAGTTCTTAACCCGAGGTACCACTGTATTTGCCAGACACAAGTAGGGCTGAATGAGGCAGTTCCCAAGTACAGTGGACGCTCGGGTTGCGAACGTGATCTGTGCGGGAGGCACGTTCGCAACCCGCAGCGCCGCGTCTGCGCGGGTTGCGATTCAGCAAGCGCCGAAACCCGGAAGTAACCCATTCCGGTACTTCCAGGTTTCGGCGCATCCGTATCCTGAAAACATGCAACCTGAAGCATCTGTAACCCAAGGTATGACTGTATAGCTTCCTGCACAGCAGCCTCATTGCTTTGAGTTGCCTGTCGAGCATTCAAATGGGAACCGCTCATCCCAGCTAATATGAGGTCAGGAAGGAATTTATCTTCATCTTCAGCAAAATATTTCATTTTGGCGATTTTTTTTTTTTTGTCTTCTTGAAGATCATTTTGGTCAAAGCCTCTGCTCACAACCCTTAGTTGGCTCTTCTTGTTTAGCCGCAATAAAGTTTTCCCATCTCTTCTGTTTTAGCACCTGAGAGTTTCTCGTTCGTTTCTGTGCTTTCTGAGAAGCAGTGCTTGTGTGCAAAGGAGAAATGGGCAGGAAAGAGACAGAACAAAGGTCTAGCCCTGCTTTGAAGAAAGAAGGAAGGAAGGAGCCACGGCGGGGAGTGGGTGGGGGGAGCGGGGTGGGGAAGGATCCGGTTGGTTGGTAGGAGTCAGGAATCCCTTTGAGTCTTTCTGCTTCTGTTCCAGATGCCTCGGCCAATTCCCTGGCAAAAACATCTTAAGAACTTAAGGAGAGCCCTGCAGGATCAGGCCAAACACCTGTGTAGTGCAGATTCCTGTTCTCACGGTGGCCAGCCAGATGATTTTGGGGAAGCCTGAAAGCGGGACCTGAGAGCAACAACAATTCTCCCCACTTGCAGGTCCCAGCAACTAGAATTCAGGGGCCTGTTGCCTTTGACAGCCGAGGGAGAACAAAGTCATTATGGCTAGTAGCCATGGATACCCTCACCCCCCATGAATTTCATTAAGCTTTTATATCAGCCCAACACACACACACACACACACACACGGCTGGACAATTATATATATCCAAAACCATTTTGTGAAGTCAATTTTTTGCTATCAGTTTCATAATTCCTGACCTGGCAACATACCACAGATCACAATGTGTTTGGCTGTGTGCTATGCGAAAATCACAATGTGGGGGGAAACCTTGAAGCCAGCCGATGCTTCTCTTCGATTTCTGCAGCCCGTTAACTCTGATGGCTGAGCTCTCCCCTGCCTCACGCAGGCTGGGGGGAGGGGGCAGAGAATCACAAGGGCAGGCACGGCAAGATGGGAAAAGATGGGAAAAACCGTGAAGCCAGCCAATGCCTCTCCATAGCTCCATGCTTATTTCAGGCATCGTGATCTATCGGTACTGTATTTTTCACTCTATAAGACACACTTTCCCCCTCCTAAAAAGTAAGGGGAAATGTGTGTGTGTCTTATGGAGCGAATGCAGGCTGTGCAGCTATTGCTGAAGCCAGAAGAGCAAAAGGGATTGGTGCGCACCGATCCCTCTTGCTCTCCTGGCTTCAGGGATAGCCCTGCAATGCCTCCTGAGCAAAGAGGGAGGAACGCTCCCTCTTCGCTCAGGAGGCTTTGCGTTGTTTTCTTGTTTCTTGTTTTCCTCCTCTAAAAACTAGGTGCATCTTACGGTCGGGTGAGTCTTATAGAAAGAAAAATACGGTATATCACGATGCTTAGATGGTGATATCTCGATGTTGAAAACCAGTTATCGCCCCGCCCTACGGTTCGCCTCTATAATAGTCCCATCCTTATGTCAGACATTGTGATTTATCCATATATTGCAATGTTTAGCTCGTGATATATTGCGTTGCTGAAAACCAGGTATCGCCCGGCCTTACAGATACCACCACTGCTACAGCCTCCTCAAAAGTAACAAGGAAGTGGTCAGGACAGTGGTAGCCAACCGAATGTTTGGAACTCCCATCAGCCCCAGCAAGCATGGACAATAATATGAGGACAATGGAGGTTGTAGAGTTTGCGATCTGCCTTCTAACTGCCATCTCTCCCTCCCCTCCCCTTCCTCCCACCCCACCCCAAAGCAGCATTTCCTCCCTTCTCAGTCCAAACAAGCAAACCTCAGAGACAGCTGGTCTCAAATTAAAAAGCCAGGCCTGGAAGCTGGAGGGAGGTATTTCACTTTGGTGTTTTATTGGATGTTTCTTCCAGAAAGAGAGGAGCTGCCGTCAACGCCCAGCCCCAAACACGGAGGGAGGGGCACGCTGGGCAAGCACAATCAAAACTGCCACAGGACCAACAGGGGGCTGGAGGGGGAGGGCTCCACGCCAAGGGCCCCCGTCACTAGGGGCAGCGATGCTGGTATGATTCCAAGGTAACTGCAAGCAAGCCCTTCTCCCTTCCACCTGCTGCAGCCCAAACTGGGGTGGTTCGGGGTGGTCTTTGCTGCTCCGAAGTCCAAGAGAGGGAAGCTGTGCCTGTTCCAGGAGAAGCGAGAGAGCCAAAGTCTGCGCTGCTAGACCTTGCGCACGGAATACTTGCCCTTCTGGAGTTGCGAGACGTAGATTTTGGTCTTGCTGCCGTCTTCCCTGCGCAGCCAAACCTCCCCAGTGCTGATGGCAGTGATCACAGCCCTAGAGGAAAGGGAAAAGAGTCAGGGGTGGCCAGGCAGAATGTGTCTGTTTTTTGGGGCAGGGGGCCAAGGCAGCATCTCACACAGACCCTGATCTCAACATGCCAGCCGTCTCCAAACCTCACTCCAAAGGAACGCAGCTTATACCAAGTCGGACTACCGACAATGGCTCTGCAAGGTTTCAAAAATGGAGTCTCTACATGGAGATGGGACCTGGGACCTCCTGGATGCAACAGAGGTTCTATATCGTGCTTCTATGACCCTTCCCATCTCTCAGGGAGAGACGGGAAGCAGGGGCTGCTCTTTTAGGTGATGCTGGAGCTCACCCTCCTCTCCCTGAGATGGTCCACTCCATCCTAGCTGGTTGCAAGGAGAGGTTTGTTACTTTGGGCCAAACTGGGTGTTAACCAGAAGCGAAAGGAGGCCTCTGCCACAGGCCAAGGCACCAAGGTTCACTGAGAGGCTGAACTTGCTCCCTCCCCAAAAGAATATCAGGGCAAGGAGAGGGACTGGCTGGACCCCATCGACTGGTCAAGTAAAGGAGAAAGTGCCTTGATGCCTGCTGTCTTCTGTTCTTTTTAAGTCAAGCCTGAAAGCACCAGGAGCTGTCTTATCCTTTTCATACATATGCAGCCAGGGGCAGGGACCATTTTGCAGCCCAAGAGCCATGTTCTGTTCTGGGCAGCCTTCCAGGGGCCACATGCCAGTGGAGAGGGCAGGGCCAGAGGGGAAGTGGGCAGAGCAATAAAGTGTGCTATTTTCTATGCCCACAGACCCCACCCCTCTGTCAGCCCTCCAAGCATTAACTGAGAGGCATTATCAGAGCTCAAGGACACTTTGCAGCAAGGCAAAAAACATTCAGTGAGGGTGTGAAACAGGACCAGTGGCAAAGGAGGAGGAGAATGAAAAGCCTGGGAAGATTCCTGAGCGCTGCAAAAAGAGACTTGGAGGGCCGCATTTTGTGCCTGGGCCTTGAGGTTCCCCACCCTCTGATACAGACCATGTTAGGTGCTTTGTAAGTTATACTATACTGCTACTGATGTTTATTTATTTAAAAGCATTCATAGAAAGTGTTATTGTTTTTTTAAAAAGAAGATTCTAAGCGGTGTGAAACATTTAAAAAACCATCAAAACACAAAAAAATGCAACATGAAAACAGCAAAACAATTGTATAAGGGCGTATAAAAACAAGAATACAGACAAATGAAGACAGGGTCTTACGGGCTTAGAAAAGCCTGAGCAAAAATTATAGGTCTTTATAATAACACTAGTAATACATATTTGCAATTAACAATGCTGCTTTTAAGGAAATGCAAATAGCAGCTTGGGGCAAGGGAGACTGGTCACGGGGTCAGAGCAGGCATGGAAGGGGAATTTAACCCTTTCCTCCCCTACTGCTGTGTCCTGAGAAAAATATCCAAAGATTGTATATCTGAGGGCAGATATACTGTCTTGTCACTGATCTTTAAACTTGGAATACCATGTACAGTTTCTGGCTGCCCTGTCTCAAAAAAAACAATATTGCAGAGCTGCAGAAAAGGGCAACGAAAATGATCAGGAGATTAGAGGAATTTCCAAGAAAGGTTACAACACTGGGGGCTTTTTAGCTTAGAAAGAAACATATAAAATTATGCATATTTAGGGAAAGAGGACAGAGAGAGGTTTCTCTCTTTATTTCTCTCTCTCTCATATAACATTTGAACCCAGGGACAACGAAGAAGCTGAATGCTGGAATATTCAGGACAGAAAAAAAGAGTACTTCTTGACACAGTGCATAGTTGAACTATGGAATCTTCTACCGCCAAAATGTAATAACAGCCACCAACTTGTACGGCTCCAAAAACGATTGGACAAGTCTATGAAGGATCAGACTATCAATGGCTGCTAAGGATGGCTCTCTCTATGTTTTTTTTGTGTGTATTACAGATAAAGAAAACCTTCTTTTATCAGGCAGTTTGCCCCTGAATACAAGCTGCTGGGGATCTCAGGTTTGGGAGAGTTCCAATGGGCATCAAGGCTGGACACTGTGAAACCACAGTGCTAGGCTAGACGGGCTCTTCTCGTCTTTTATCTGACTGGCTGCATAAATGCACAAGGTAACTATCCTCAGCTGCAAGCTCAGGCCAGGATCTGGGGCGTCCTCCTGGCTGCACCCACCACACCATCTGCCCCTCCTCTTTTTCATCACTCACTGGACAGGTGCCTCGTCCCCAACTTGCAAGGAGATGCTCTGCCCTTTGACGTAGGCCTCGCCTTCGTAGTGGAGCTGGCCATCTTCACAGTGAGCAGAGAACAGGGCAGGGGACGGCAGTTTCTCGGCCTTCACTGGGCCTGAGGGAAGGAAAGGATATGGTGGGATGGGGAAGTGGAAAAATCAGGGCCAATATGTTCTAAGCAACATTCTTATTCTCTCTGGGGTTTTTTCCCCAATGAATGTCTTTTTTTCGGGTGTGGGGAACCTTTGACTCCCCCAGATGTTGCTGAATTGCCACTTCCATCATCGCTGTCTGTGCCTGCAGGGGCTGATGGGACTTGTAGTTCAGCAACCTCTGGAAGATCGAAGGTTCCCCACATGGGTTGTTGTATCTAAAGGGGCACCTCTCCCTATACTAACCTGCCTGTGCCCTTCGGTCTGGGGTGGGGAAGCCCATCTCGATGTCCTACCACCAGGGAGGACATTGTGCCTTCTCTGTGAAGGTGCCCTGACCGGGCACCAATTTTAATCGCATCCCAGCACCAGAATAAGATCCACGTGTTGGACATTTATGAATGGTTTCTCACTGTGGTAATGTGTATATAATGATTATGATTGGGATCTAACTGCTGATGATCTGTTCTTGCTGTTGATCATTCTGTTAGAAGTTTATTTCTTTCATTGTGTTTCATTGTTGGGATTTGTTCATCTTTAATTCTGTGGTTACCTGCCTTGGGATTCATATGAGGGACAGATATAATTGAAGTGCTTTGTGTTTTTAAAAAGTATTGAAAGGACGCTATATTTTTAAAAACACCAAGGACGGATATTTTTACTTGGCTGATTATGTTGTTTGTTAATTTCCTCCAGTCAATTTTATGGCACATATTTGTCACTTTTTAAAAAGTAAAACTGTAAACTGCCCAGGCATAAATATCGTGAAAGGACGTGTATGAATGCCTTAAATAAAATATATAATGAAAAATAATCAGTGGGTTGGGGGGGGGAGGAAACAGGGAGGAAAAGTCAGATAGCATCTGCAGTTTAAACTCAAGGGTGGGGTTGATTGTGCATTCTACTCATTCTGCAGATTTTGTGCATGCACACATCCACTCAATTATGACAGCCATGATCCAATATGCAAATTAGCCTATCTTCATGTTCCATCATTTATTCTCCCCTTCCAAACCGTATTTCCAAATAATTGGGCATTTATGCAGAAAGGAACAGAGAGAGGGCAGCTGGGAAGGACTGGAAGAGCAGAGCAGTCAGGTTGCAGAAGACAACAGATGGGGTAGGGGGCGGGAAGCTGTGCAAGGCCGAAATTCAGTATCCCATCTACATCGAAACCCAGCTTCTAAGCTGTCACCAGACAGTGCTCACTTGTTTTTAAAAATATAATCTTTGCGGCCATAAGGGCTAGAAACCTGATTTAAAAACAAAACAAAACCCAAGATTCTAAGGAGCACCAGATTCCATGAAAAGACATGCACCCAACACACACAAACACAGGGGGTGGGGGGGTCCTGGCCCTGTAACCCTCTCCAATGGACCAAGCAGACAGAGGCTGCCTGCCTTTGAACCACTGCTCAGTTGGGCTTCTGTATCCTCCCAGACATTCAGGCACAATCAGGACTTTATTGAAAGGCAGGGGAAAGATCCAGGACCACACCCCCTCCTCCTTGCAATGAAGAGAGAGAAAAAACAGGGCTCTTGCCTTCTAGTTTCCTCTTCGGCGAGGACACAGCCGCTTTAGCCTGGGAAGAAAGAGATGAGTGTAAGAGGAAGTCACACTCCCAGAGGCCCCTTGCTGAAGAAGTCCCTTGTCTAGTCGGCTGGGTAAAGCCTGCAGACCTCCAAGGGAGAGGCTCATCCCAAGCTAGAAAAAGGGAACGAGGAGGCCCCCCAAGACCCTAACTCCTCTTTTGCAGCACTATGAAGTCCCAAAGGGACTATACACCCTTGATCAGAAACACAGGAAGCTCCCTTCCACCAAGTCAGGTCTTTGATCTGTGTCAGCTGAGGAACCTGTGAACCTCCAAATGTTGCTGGGACTCCAATTCCCATCAGCCCCTCCCAGCATGCAACAGTCAGGGAAGATGGGAGTTTGGTTCCCCATCCCTTGTCTACAAGGACTGGCAGTGGCTCTCCATGGACTCAGACGTGGGTCTTCCAAGCCCTACCTGGGACATTCTATAAGCAATGCAAATCTTCTCGGTAAAAGGTAAAGGACCCCTGGATGGTTAAGTGCAGTCAAAGGCGACTATGGGGGTTGCAACACTCAACTCGCTTTTCAGGCCAAGGGAGCTAGTGTTTGTCCACAGACAGCTTTCTGGGTCACGTGACTAAACAGCATGACTAAACCGCTTCTGGTGCAACAGGACACTGTGATGTGTGCCAGAGTGCACGGAAATGCCGTTTACCCTCCCGTCGCAGTGGTACCTATTTATCTACTCGCGCTGGTATGCTTTCGAACTGCTAGGTTGGCAGGAGCTGGGATAGAGTAACGAGAGCTCACCCTGTTGCGGGGATTCAAACTGCTGACCTTCCGATTGGCAAGCCCAAGAGCACTGAGCTATGATCATTCCCTTCAAAATAAAGACTCTGGTCCCTCATTGTTCTGGATAAACAGCTGGTTCAAACAGGAATGGAGGAAGCTACTTTATACTGAGTCAAACAATTGGTCCATCTAGCTCTGTATTTTCTACACCAGTGTTTCCCAAACTTGGGTGTCCAGCTATTTTTGGACTACCGTTCCCATCATCCCTGACCACTGGTCCTGCTAGCGAGGGATGATGGGAATTGTAGTCCAAAAACAGCTGGAGGGCCAAGTTTGGGAAACCCTGCATTAGTGTGATTTCCCATGACCAGCCTCTCCATGAAAACCAAGGGCGAGTTCTCCAGGCTTCCCCTCTTCTGCTCCCAGTCTCAGAGACACTTCAGAGTCCTCATTCTCTCCCTTCACTCCGATCAAGGTGACACGGAGAAGCCCGTTTCTCTCACCCTTACCTTTTTGATGGCTGTCCAGTCCTCCATGATATCCATTTCACGCAGCATGTAGACGATGTACGGGCGTGGGAAAGACGAGCTAAGGGAGAGGTGCCTGCACCCCAGCAACTATGATAAAAAATATAACTGGGATTCTATTGTCCATCAAGTCATCTAACTGAGGGAAGAACTTTGTGTGCCTGGCCCTGGATGCTGTCACCAGCTCTGCTCTTGGATCTGAATGAAGACTGGTCTTAAAGGCAGACAAAACTGCCCCTGTCATCAGCTACCACTTGAAGAACTTGTGCTTGAGCTTGGCTTTTACCTCCTCCCTCCTCCCTCCTTTAACCTTGTGTGCCATGTCTTTTTAGACTGTGAGCCTGAGGTCAGGGACCACACAATTGGAAGGAGCCCAAAGGGTCATCTCGTCCAATGTGGGAATCACAGCTAAAGAATCTTAGAAATGATATTTTTAAAGCAGCTCTTGAGACAGCCTGTTTGGGTAAACGGCGGGGAATAAATGCTGCCAATTAAACACTACTCATCCCCACTCACCCCTTTTCCTGAAATAATTTTGGGCAAGTGCTTAACCCGCTTCCCATCACAAACACTGCATAAGAAGCTGCCCAAAGCCGCTCTGCTGAGCTGCTTCTCTTTGCCATATGCTGGGCACCACAGCCTCCTCTAGGGCAGAGCCATCGGGGTGTGGGGTGCACAGAAAGGATATCGGACACCAGTGGTGCTTTCTTCCTCTTGCCAGGCCGGAGTGGGTCCCATTCCTTTGAGCTGTGCTTCGGTCGAAGTTTGTCATCCCACCATTCTAGGGGACGGAGAGAGAGAGAGAAAAATAAGCCCAAAGGGGAACCTCAGCATTGAGGGCCATCGATGCTCCACCGACCCAAATGGATTCAATGCTGGGTCGGCATGGGGTGGGCGAGTAACAGGCATTTATCAGAAGACGATTTGCAGCACCCTCACCAAACCACGGTTCCCAGGATGGGAGAATGGAGCAGCTTCAGGAAGTGTCAGGGGCCACATAAAATGAGGTTGGGGGCCAAATTCAGGGCTGCAGGTTTCTCCATCTGTGGGTCAAGGCAGCCTTGGTTTTTTAAAAAAAGGCTTTGTGCACCATCGTTAATTCTGCCGAGTTACCCGCAATGACGACATCTCACAACCCAGGAAGTCAGCACACTGCTGAAAGCAGAACTTGGCAACTTCCTCCTCCAGGCTAGATGACACTTTTGAAATACATTTTTAAAAACCAGCTTTTTGGGGGGCTTGGCAGCAGCTCTCTCTGAGGGTTTAGCCATCACCTGCGGTCGAATTCTTTCCATCAGGGGAATGAACCTGGGACCTTCTGCAAGCAAAGCAGGTGGTCTGCCACTGAGCTATGGGCCCCTCCCCATAGAAGGGACAGCGTCTGCTTGCTCCTCCGGACTGACCTGAAGTGAGGCCCACACTGTGCCTGTCATCCTCCAAGCACTGGATCCGTTCCAAGAGGCGTTCCTGAAGGGTGTCGAACAGCAGCAGCTTCTCACTCTGGTTGGGTAGAAGGGCGACGTCACGTCAGGATAAGCCAATGTGGTGCCCCCACCCTGCAAAAGTCCTTGGACTACAACTCCCATCAACCCTAGTCAGCATGGTAAATCGCCAGGGGTGCTGGAAGTTGCAGTGCAAGGACATCCGAAAGGCATCATGTCAATTCTGTATGATAAGAATGATTTTATTACAGTTGTACCTCGGAGGTCGAACGTTTTGGCTCCTGAACGCCGCAAACCCGGAAGTGAGTGTTCCGGTTTGCAAACGTTCTTTGGAACCTGAACATCCAACGCAGGTTCCGATTGGCTGCAGGAGCTTCCTGCAACCAATCGGAAGCCGTGCCTTGGTGCCCGAACGTTTTGGAAGTCGAGCGGACTTCCGGAACGGATTCCATTCAACTTCCAAGGTACGACTGTATTTATATGCCACCCATCTGGATGGGTTGTCCCAGCCGCTCTAGGTGGCTTCCGACAAAGTATTAAAACCCTCAAACATTAAAAACTTCCCTATGCAGGGCTGCCTTCAGATGCCTTCTAAAAGTCAGACAGATGTTTATTTCCTTGACATCTGATGGGAGGGCGTTCCACAGGGTGGTATGGATTAAGTGCATCTTCCCCTTCTTCTTTCTTCCCATCCAGTTGGGGGTTGCTATTGATTCTACAGCCAGCGCAACATCTAAACCTAATATTCAAGCTTTCTTGGCATGAGCCCAACTGGGTTTCTCCCCACATCACAATAATTTCTGCTCGCTGTCTCACAAGGCACCCAGCTGTTCTGTTTAATGCCAAGGCAAATTTGCACCTGGTTTTATGCTCTCAGAAAAAGCGTGGTTTCCTTTCGATTTATTAATGTTTCACTCCTGCCTTTCCTCCAAAGACCTCAAGGTGGTCTCTGTAATACTCCTTCACCAATTTCATCCACACGACAGCCCAGTGAGGCAGGCTAATGCGAGCACGAAGGACCGGCCCAAGGTCACCCAGTGAGATGGCCACACAGAGATGCCAGGAAGGCCTGGGCCAAAACGTTTCCCACCCCTGGGCCTAGGAGTTCACGTGGTGGATCAATGGCATATCTGTGAAAACGCTGATCGGGGCTGTGTTTGCAAAAAAGAGAACTGGAAACTAGACTAGTTCCCCGCCTGCTCGTCTTCAGCTAATTAAAGGCAGGGACCTTTTTTCCACGACAACCACCAATCAGTTCTGTAAAGCTGCTGGTCAGCAGAAAGCACCGCTCAGGCTTCTTGCTGAGGAACCCGGTTGTTTGTTGCTAATTATTGTTTGTCGAGTGCACCGTGTGGTCCTGCAAGCTCCCACATGCAATTCTCGTATGCAAGCTGAAACCCGACTCTGGAATTCCAAGCTGGGATACGCAACGAAGTAGGAAACAGGGCACACTCAGCAATGTCATGTTTTTGAATAGAGCCCATGGAGCAGCCCTCCAGATGTTGTTGGATTGCAGCCCCCATTGTCTCCAACCACTGGGCATGCTGGCTAAGACTGCTGAAGTCAATCAACATCTGGAAGGCCGCCAGTTCCCTGTCCTGCGGGAACTGAAGTCACATTCACGGCACATTTTGAACACATGGCTTCCCCCCAAAACAATTCCGGGAACTGTTGTTTGCCCCCTCAGAGCGACAAATCTCTTAACAAACTATAGTTCCCAGGATTAAAAGCATGGTGTGATATTATTTATCTGCTGCATTTATATCCCGCTTTTTCCTCCAAGGAGCTCAAGGTGGCGTACATGGTTCTCCCCCTGCCCTCATTCAATCCCCACAACAACCCTGCGAGGTAGGGTGGGGCTGAGAGGCAGTGACTGACCCAAGGTCACCCGCTGAGCTTCATGGCCGAGTGGGGATTCGAACCCTGGTCTCTCAGGCCCTGGTGCGGCACTCTAACCACTACACCACACTGCCTCTCACATTAGCCCCATTAGAGCCTCTGCCCATATGCCTGTTAGAGTAATAACAGAGGAAGCTGCCGTATATGGAGTCAGTCCACTGGCTCATGTAGCTCAGTATTGTCTACACTGACTGGCAGCAGCTCCTCCACCCTGCATATGAGATTTTTGCATTCTGCCTTCTTGCCCGAGAAGTTTGTGATGAGGCTGCTTTTCCGGCCCCCGCCAGGATTTGAAAGCGGCAATGAAGGGAGGGAGATGGGACCAAGTGGGGCTTCTCACCTCCAGGTGCTGCTGTGCTCCCTGCAGCTCACAACGGTGCTTGTGGTGGATCACCTCCAGGCAGAAACCTCGGTAGATCCCTGCAGAAAGGCAGAACGTTGAAGCACTGTTCATAAAACCAGGACGGTAGAGTTGGAAGGGGTCCTGAGGGTCATCTAGCCCAACCCCTTGCAATGCAGGAATCACAGATGAAGAATCCCTGACATGTGGACATTTAACCTCTGTTTTGAAACCTCCAAGGAAGGGGAATCTACCGCCTCCCGAGAGTGTCTGCCATACGGTCTAATGGCTCTTACTGTTCTCCATCCTCAGAAGCTCAACCGGGGCTCAGCTCCACCACCACTTCCTTTCAATGCAAAAGACCAGCCACGGAAGAAGTGCCTCTGAGCACCTACAAAGTGCATCTGCCTCCTTTGCAGCACAGCCCATCCCTGCGTTGAGGCAGGCATGGCTTCCAGGGAGACACAAGCCCCTTGCAGTCTAGTTCTCATTTGTTTTCATTGATTTATAAGGTGGGTTTTTTTTACTATAATATTTCCAGACTGGTTGCAACAACACAACGTACCTTTAGAAAAACAAATAAAACCCTCTGAATTGCAAAAGAAGCAAAACTTTCCCAAATGGAACATTACAGTATAAATGAGACAAAAGAGGCGAGTCCCACGATACAAAATACCTTAAGCATCATGGACAAGTATAATGAAGTTTGGAACTGCTTTATACAAAATACAGTAGGTTAAAAACGGTAACTACTAACTGTTAACAATTGGTATAGTGATGTATTATTCTTTTTTCCTTTTTATTTCTTTCTTCACTTTTTAAAATCAGAACACGTCTAATAATAATTTTATTATTTATACCCTGCTCATCTGGCTGGGTTGCCCATCACTATATGGTTTGTTTGTTTGTTTAAAAATAAATATTTAAGGACCAAGGCCAGGGTAAAGAGGCACGTCTGCAGTATATGGTGAACGCTGTACGAGGAAGATAACCCATGCACCTCTTCTAGAAATTAACCCCAGCCCTAACTCCAAATGCCACAACCTGGAAGCCATCTCTCCACCAAAGCTGTTATGATTGCTTACACTCTGGCTGGCAAGAGTGGCCAGGGGGGGGGGGGTCCTCACTTACCAGCCACTTCAATCCGAATCTGCATGTGGTTCTGCAAGACCCCGAGCGGGTCAAGGTACTCTGACGCTTTCCCCGCCATCACGTCCTCCAGCTTTGCCTTCACCTGGCTCAGGCGCTCCTTGAACAGCCTGCGAGAGCGGCAGCAGCAGCAGCAGACAGGTTAATCAGAGTTGCCACAAGAGCTCAAGGTGGGTGGTGGAATTACCCCCCCCCCATGGTATGTGGGGTGGCGGGGAAGGGTAAGTTAGTATGACCACACTAAATTAAAATATGCGAGCATAGAAGTTGTACTGGAACTGGAAAATGTCAAGGTTAAGCATTTTTCAGAACAGCAAAAAACCTTGGGTGTGTAGAGCATACAGTATGCAGGTTTCAGGAATGGAATTATATGAACAGTGAAAGAAAGGAGAGGCAGATTGGAGCCACAAATTGGGGACACTATTGCCTAATGGACTCATAAATTATATAGACTGGATGACTTAACTTGTTGTGGGTGGGGGGTGTTCCCCCACTTAAGGGAAAAAAATATTTTCTACTCCTGCAAACCGTAGGGTTCTGCTGAGCAGGACAACATCCCCCTCTTGTTTCTCTGTACCCCCGTTTTGGCTACACAGCCAACATGCTCAGCACCCGAGTTCCCTATTAATGTATAATGAATATGTAAGGGTTATGCTTTAAAACAGGAAATGGGCAGAGAGCCTTTGGCCCTGCAGATGCTGCAGGACTACACTGCCCATCATCTCTGATCTTTGTCTGTACTTGCTGGGGATAATGGGAGATGAAGTCATCTGGAGAGCCAGGTTCCACATCCCTGCCCTAAAAGGCTGTGTGTGTGTGTGTGTGTGTGTGTGTGTAAATAGAAAATATAAGTGGGCCTAGGAAAAAAGAATTGTGGAAGGAAGGAACATCTCTGAAAAACTGACCCAGGGGCGATGCCAGCCCCTCAGAGTCAGCATCTGTTTGGGGGCTTATATGAGACAACAATCTCATGGCTTGCACATTCCTACTAAATAAGATTTTATCTGGTGACATTTATGAATACTTGATATATCTTGTATATGCAATAAAGAACCTTGTATCCCACCATGAAATATATTTCATTCTTTTTTAATCCTTATTTTTTTATCTTGTATTTTTCTTCTCCCTGCCTTTATGCCTATTTTTGCAATGTTTTTTGGTCTGTTGTTTTGTTTATTGTATTTGCACATCTTTTTCTTTTTTTGGAAGGAGAGGAATTACAAAAAAATATATACTGAGGCAAGGAAGTCAAACAACAGCAAAACCCAGTGCAATGAGAACAATTAGTTCCTCTGAACATTTGGGAAGAGAACAGCAGATGGGGTAGTTCCCTGAGATGGTCCAGGAACAGCCATCTGATGATGTTTTCGGCTGCCTGTCTGCTTGCTTCCTCCTCCTCCAAATTGTCTCTCAGAGGACAGTGGATGCTCACCACTAATAGCATCTGTTCCTCCTCCGCAAGTTTGTCTCATCCCCTTTTAAAACCTGAGGCAGTGAGTTCCACAAATTAATTTGCCTTTAAGCAGGGAGTAAAGATTTATTTCCAGCAGGCTACTTTTTCTAAAGAAGCTCTGCGATCCTATTGTGGGGTTGAGCATCTGGGCGCTGCCTCTAGTCTTCAGATCTTTATATGCTTCTTTTCCAAACCTTAGTGCACAAAAAAGCAGGGCCTCATTTTCGCTAGTCTCAAATCAAAGTTGCATTTAACTCTTTTTGGATATCTGTAGGAAGCGCATACACTTACACAGACTCTTTGCCAAGGATCCTAAATTTAGCACACCTTCAAATTTCCTTCTTTAAATCTAAGCGATAAAAGGGAAGTGCATGCTATTGAGTCATCACGAATTAAAAATAACTTATGCCATCCCAGCAAAAATGATCTCCAAGTAAAGCTTTGAATTTGGAATGCAATGTTTGAAGCACACTGACACTTGATTTTCCTAATCAAAAAATTCAGTTCATTTGCTTTTTGCTACTGGAAGGACTCTTGAGATATTTATACAGTGTCTCTCTTTTTTTAAGTTTAAGGGAGTTATTGGGCAGCAGGCACAAGAAACCACAGTGAGCCAGAAACCTTAAGGAGGATGAGGCTCACCTTGCAGGGTTGTTGAGAGGGTAACTGGGGGTGGGGAAGCACCTTGGAGGAAGGGTGGGCTTAAAATGTAATAAATAAGTACAGGGGAAAGAGATGGAAAAAACTCACTTCTCTTTGACTTCAGAGAACTCCTTCTCTAAGTCTAACATCTCATCTAGGCACTCTGAGCGTCTCCGTTCATAATCTTCATCGTCCATCTCTGCAGGTAAAAGAGACAACATGTGTCACCTGGCTCCTCTGAACAGGTCTTGCAGGGCAAGAAAATTGAACAATGCTCACTATCTGGGATCTCTTTCCGTTCAATGGGCTTAAATCAGTGGGGAAGGACTGTAGGTCAGGGGAAGATCACCTGCCCTGCACACAGAAGGTTCCCACTCCAGTCTCCAGTAACTCCAGATAGGACTGGGAGAACCTGCCCTCCTGCCCCATTTGAAACCTTAGAGAGCTGCTAAACAAACCAATGGGTCTGACTGAGTAGTATGTTTCTATGTTCCTAAATCTAGAACAGCATCAGGGAAGAAAGGGTTGCAAGCTTTTCGAATTGCACAGAATTTTCCCCTTTTGTTTTCCTACCACAGCGAGCAGAACAGTGGCGGGGGGACTTCAGGCCTGTGGATCTCATTAGGCCCCACCAGGTCTCCCCCTTAGCTAAAACCGTTCTAGCCAAGCCATGCCCAACTGCCTTATACCTGAAACCATACCGATGGGAGGTGGGGAGCAGGTTTGCATTGAACCAAATGTGAGCCCACTCTGGAAGGCTTGCATACGCCATCTTGGTAGTCAAGATAACCCCAAAACTAATTGGGAGTTGTTGCAAGAACGAGCTCGCTTAAGTATATTCACTTGCTTTGATACATGCTAATTGGCTTGCTTTGATACAACTCTTATTTGTGGGCCTTGGGATGCTGGGCTCTGGGCCCAGAGAGTGGAGCTGTCTGTAAGCCCTGGGTAGTTGCCACCTATGCCCTCATGGGCCAGGTGGAGGTTCTGGCCAAAGTGATGTATTCGGCTTTGTGGACCAGTCATGATTGCTTGCTGCTGTGGTGTTCATCCCGCATCTGTCAAGGCAGCAGGGCTCTCTGCATGCTGAATTGTAAGTTTACACCTTTCTTTAATAAAGCACTAGAACTGGCCGTGTGTTTTTGACATCCTTCTTTGGTATCCCTGCATCAGACCACTCCCAAGAGCCCTCTCTTGGGCAGGTGGATCAGAACAAGGTGTAGATCTGCAAAGCCCCATGCACAGTGCTGCTTCTCAAGCCTGGCCATCTACTGATCGTCATTGGCTTTTGCAAGCAACCACCACCCAATTGTCAGGGCTTGCAGTGTGTCCCGTGCAGCTGTTTGCAAGCCCCGACAATCAGCTGACAGCACTGCACTTTGCAAACCCCAATGATCAGCTGATCACCCACCCACCTACCTGTCAAACTCGTCCCACTGTGAGTGGGTGGTGTTCTCCACCCCCGCCTTAGAAAGACCACAGAGGCTAAGTCAGATTGTCAGAGTAACAGCTCTTTAATCTCTTCTTTCTCCTCTTCTTATGCTTTCTCTGTCTTTTTGTCTCTCTTTTCCTTTCCCCCATTCTGCCTTTGTTCTTTTTTAGATTAAGTTGCTGTTTTATTTTGGTGTATTATATAAAGATGCTTTGCAATGGGCAAGAACTTTTGTGTGGTTTTGAATAAGTATCAATATTTTTTATTTTATTTTTTAACAGGGTGTTAACAGAAAAAGAAAGGGAAAAACTCAGTCCTCCTTACTACTGTTTCCAATTGCTGGTAAGTAAAAGGAAACCAAAAATTATTCTAGGGTTCAGATTTGTATCCACCTGTCAAAGTGACCCGTGGCAGGTAGGGAAGCTCAGAATCCAGCCCCTGGGTCAGATCCTGCTCCCTGTTGTTGAACTCTAGTTCCCATCATCCCTAGACAGCATGGCCAGCAGTCAGGATTTATGAGAACTGGGAGCTCAACAACATCTGGAAGGCCACACGTTCCCCACGCCTGCTCTAACTGGAGATGCCCACTATGGTACCTGGGATCTTCTGTGTGCAAACCATCTGCTCTCCCTCTGTACCATAGGTGTTCCCATAAAAAGGTAAGACAATAGGCTTTGTGGTTCTGAACAGCTCTGTCCTGTCTGCACTGACTTGCAGCAGTTCTCAAGGGTTTCAGGCAGAGAAGAGTCTTTCCCACTCCTACCTGCAAATGCCAGGGACCACACCTAGGACTTCCTGCATGGAAATTGCATGCTCTACCCTGAAAGAAGGAGTTGGGAGGCGTTTTGCTCCTGCCAGCTACCTGAACTCTCCTCTTCTGATTCAGACTGGCTGCCGCTGCGCTCGTCCTCGCTCTCTTCTTCGCCGTTCATCTCTGTGGTCGAGTCTCCTTCCGCCTCCATCTCCTTGGGCAATGGCTGCACAGGCATTGTGCTCTGCAGAAACAAGAGGGCCCAGGCTAAGGAAAGGAGGCTAGGCAACAACTAAGCAGCAGAAAGGTGAATACGGCACCAGGCCATCATCTTGACAATAGCAAATTATGATATACACGTATTCCAAAGGGGACCGTGCTAAGCACAGGAATGGGTTACAAGCACGGCACTGAGTACTTTGAGTGTATCAGCGGGAAATGCGGCTTTGTGGTCCTTAAGGTTGCAAAGGAGGGCTGGCAGGTACAATAACCGGTAAATTGTCGCCAGCAACTAAGCAAGCTTCTAAGCTGAAAGCCTGCCCAATTAATATACCAATTACATGCCAAAATGGCTTCTCAGTGGACTGCAACTATAAAATCAATTATAACATCCATACATACACACAAGAACAATTCCATCAGAGCATCAAAACAGCCTTAATTAATATGTACAATGAAAAAAAGCCATTTAAAAGGCAGGACAAGTAGAACAGTTTTTTGCAAGATCAGAAGTTTAGGGGACACTTGCCTAACCAGGTGTGTCTTCAGAAGCCAATGGAAAGACAATACTGATGGACCCTCTCAATTTTTTCCGCATTACCCAACATAAGGAAACGTTTACATTTTCTCAAGAAGTGTTGCTAATACAGAGTTTGGATTTTGTTTTCTTTTTTGCACATACAGGTTTAATCAAGCACTTCAGTCTGAAGGAACTGCTAGACAGGTGTATTTCCCTGACACACAGAGAACCTAAGAACCTGGCTGCAGGTTACATTCATCAGACGCTTTGCCCATTGAGAAGCATGGAGGCTTGCCAGAAAATATAAAGAGCCATGGTGTCTATGTTCTACCTCCACTATTGGAGCTAGCATGGCTCTGCATATCAGTTGCTGGGAATCACAAGTGGGGAGGGGGTGCTGTTGTGGTTGGGTCCTGCCTTCAGGTTTCCCATGGGCCTCTGGCTGACCACTGTGGGAACAGGATGCTGGACTAGGTGGGCCATTGGTTTGATCCAGCCACCTCTTCATAGATTCTTAAAGATGGAGGGCTAGCTCCCCTCCTCTCTCAGCTCTTTATCTCATAAGAACACAAGAAGAGCTCTGTCGGATGAGACCAAAGGCTATTCTAGTCCAGTACTCTGTTCTCACAGAGGCCAACTAGATGCCCATTGTAAGAAGCCTAAGTGCAAGACCTAAGTGCAAGAGTAAGACCTAAGTGCAACAGCCCTCTCCCTACCTGTGATTCCCAGCAACTCGTATTCAAAGGCTAATTTTGCTGCTGAATGACAAATTAGGAGCAGCTATGAAGGCAGCCAGGGGTTCCGGCTTCTGTGTCTTTGCCCATAACCACCTCCTCCTTTCTCAGCCTCCAGAATCCTCAACCATCAGCACCTTGCTAACACACGACTCCTTCAGAGGAGTTAAATCAGGCATAGGCAAACTCGGCCCTCCAGATGTTTTGGGACTACAACTCCCATCATCCCTAGCTAACAGGACTAGTGGTCAGGGATGATGGGAACTGACGTCCGGAGGGCCGAGTTTGCCTATGCCCGATAAATGAAACGTGCAATCAGGGGTTCCCTTCCTTAGGACAGGGGTGGGGAACTTTTGGCCCTCAGGACATTGCCAGACTCCAATTCCCATCAGTCCCAGGCAGCATGGCCAAAGGTCAGGGGTGATGGGAGTATGAGTCCAGCAAATGCCTGAAGTGCCACAAGTTCCCCAGCTCTGTCCTGGGACCTCTCTTCCCTATACTGGGAACATAGAAAGCTAGCTGCCTGACCCCAGGTCAAACTTTTTGGCCATCTAGCCAAGCCCTGTTGCCTTTGACCAGTGCTGGTTCCCATGAAAAGCGCTTTCCCCTTCCTTGACTACCCTGGAGATGCTGAGGACTGAACCTGGGACTTAACCTGCGTGCAATGCACCCGCTCAGCCCACCATTTGCTCCAGGAACCCTCCCAGCACTTTTTTAATAAGTGCTATGAGGGCCCCTGTAAGACAGGAAACAAGGGCTTCTTTTAAATCAAGAATAGGAGACCAGTTGCTGTTGGGTGCCAACTCCCATTAGTCCCAACCAGCAATGGGCAGTGGTTAGAGATGACAGGTGTTGTAGTTGGAAGGGCAAATTCCCCAGCCAGGTTTTAAAGGGGAAGAAAGAGGCGACTAGGGCTGCACTCCAAGCCACAAGTGCCTGGGAGTAAACCCCACTGAACTCCGTGGGGCTGGGGGCTGAGTTAACATGCATAGGGCTGTAGCCGAAATCAATGTCAGCCACTGCACGGTAGAGGACAGGAAAATCAGCACATCTCTCTTTCCCAAGCAGTGGCGACTGGATATGACTGGTTTGTGGGGCAAGAGTGAGAGAGAGGAAGGAAGGAAGGGGAGCTGCACCTCTTGAATGTCTGCCTCTTCAGGCAGCTTTTCAAGTCACAACTTATTCCTCCTCCCAGAGCCCTTTATCCCTCCATCTTGTGTGCAGTTCACCGCCCAGCTAGAGGTCACTGGTAGTGATTTTAAGGTGGGTTTTGGAAGGGTTGTGCGTGTGTCTCTTTCTCACGGTTCTCTTAGGAAATCCAGAGACGATCCTGCAAGCGCTGCTTCTTCCTCCTTTGCAGTGAAAGGCACCATTTGGCAAAGCAGGCATACGAGCCCCGACATCACCACCCCCGCCATATCTAATGGTCTTTCCCGCACCCCGATAGCATTTGCTTGGTAAGAACAATCCAACAGAAGGACCTGGGGGGCACATAAATATAGCAAACCTTACCCCCATATTACAACAGACTCAAGCATGTGCCCGAATGGATATCATTTAGGGGAGGATTGCCGAGCACTTCCAAGGAGAGGGCAAAGAGAAGCATTTTCTCCCCCTATGTCGCACATGTAACACTGAACTTAAGTGGGAGAAATCGGTCATATGCGAACACCCCCGCCCCCGGGTTGTAGTGTGCTGGCCCATGTATTCCCCCTTCTCTCAAAGCGGGGGAAATGCATAAGGCTGGAATGGGCGGGACCACCATTACCCACAAAAGGGGGGTAATAGGGAAAGTCTGGACCCCTCATTACCTGGGGGAGGGGCTGAGGAAGGCGCAAACCCCGCTCTGGCTTTCTTCAGCAATCGGAAGTCGTCCTCATTCGGCCCCGCCCACCAACGCTAACCAATCACAGCGGCTAGCATTTTCTAAGTACCCTACACTCGTCTATGGTGCTGAGTCGCCGTCAAGCTCTATGGTTCCGTGAAGCACTATGGGAATCCGGAAGCGGAAGAAGGGTATTCGTTGCCGTAGTAACGAGACAATAAAGAAAAACTAGAGAAGCGAAGGGGAGTGAAAATGTGCTCTCTCTGTGTGCCTACAAAGTGGCGTGAAAGTTTTCATAGCAAAATAAAACCATACAGTGAAAAAGTAATTAAAAAGAAAACCAACCGTCCTCCCAGGAAGGGTTCGTTTGCATGTATATGTGCTTATTTGAGTGCATCCTAAATATATGCTCACATTTACAATAGTTAGTACTGTGGCTAAGTTGAAATATAGACGTAGGAAAAATAAGAGCTGGGGTGGGTGGGGAGCCAAGAGGCAAATTCTGGCTTGAAGCCTCACTACAAGATTAGTACAAAGGTGGTGGTTGCCATGCCAACCAGTACTGTTGTTGCCATGGAGACTGCCATTATCTTCCTACTGCCCACCCCCACACCCTCTGATGTTTAAAAAGAAGAAGAAAAGATTGGCATTTGTACCCCACGCTTTGACCAAGGAGCTGAAGGCATATCTGGTTGTTTGGGGTTTTTTGTCATCCTGCACATCACAAAAAACCCTGTGAAGTAGATTAGGTTCATCTATCACCCTGGGAACTTTGGGGATGAGCAGATTTTCAAACCCAATTTGCCTAATTCTAGTGTGACATTCTAACCATTACACCATACTGGATTGTTACCTTCTTGTCAAACTTATTGGCTGAAAACCATTGGGTGTTTGGGGGGTTTTGTTTTTAAAAAAATAAAGTTATAAACACTATGACAGCACAGCAAATCAATGACATCACACCATGTCCTGTTGCTTACTGCCATTAACCCCCCCCCTAACAAAGTACACCCAATAAAGTAGGCTGTAAACCTAAGCAACACATTCTGATTATAGATAGATTATAACCAAGCATAATAATGACAGCACTGATGACACCAAGCATCTCTGTACATATGCCGTAATGCAGTCAGGGCTATAGGGCTGTCACAGCAAGATTTGGGGGCATGCAGATTTCTAATTATTCACTGTCTCCACTGAAAAGAGGTCCATTTTTTGTGTAGCTAACCGCAAAGCAAGTCAGAAAAGAAATAAAAAAGAGGTGTTACAATGTGGCCTTGAATGAATGTACCGGTATCTTCCTCGATTCCTTACAATGCTTAAAAAAAATATTTATGTAGCCCAAATTGGAGATGGATCATCCAAATCTTATTATGGTGGGATTCAGCTTGGTACCAAAGCACAGTGGTGCCTCGCAAGACGAAATTAATCCGTTCCGTGAGTCTCTTCGTCTTGCGGTTTTTTCGTCTTGCGAAGCATATTAACGGCTTAGCGGCTTTAAGAAAAAGGAAACAAACTCGCAAGAACTCGCAAGACGTTTCGTCTTGCGAAGCAAGCCCATAGGGAAATTCGTCTTGCGGAACGACTCAAAAACCGGAAAACTCTTTCGTCTTGCGCGTTTTTCGTCTTGCGAGGCATTCGTCTTGCGAGGCACCACTGCACTTGAACTTAAATACCTTCTGTTATTTGATAGTAATTTAGACAAATTATTACTATTAATTGCTCCAGATAAAAGTGAGAAAAGTGCTATTTAACAAATATTGGAAGGCATGTGATGGTTGTTTGCTAGTACCAGAGCACCTGTGATGTTTGAGTGACATCCAGTCATAGCATTTGGTTGTGTAGTGCATGCATACCCTGTGCTAAATTTATAAAACAAATGATGCCAGGCTTCAAGCTTAAAAGTGAGGCTCTCTGATATGGGTGCTCAGTAATTAATGTTCGTTTCAGTGAGGCTGGAGAGGACTTTGCAGTGAGTTGTGGATCTTCAGTGGAGAGGTGGGGGCACTACTCTTTGGATTTCTCATTCCAAACTCCAAAATGCCCTGATCCACCTTTGAGGACAATCTTTCACTAAAATGTGTTTCTCCCCACACCTCCATCCTCCCCAATCAATTTCCAGAAATACATTCTGTTGGAATGCTTGTCACAAAGTTGACAGAGCTAAAGCGTTTTAAATCAAACTGGTTCAGTTTAATTCATTTACAGACTGTGATTGTTCAGGACAGCAATAAGTTAAGCTCCTCCACCCCGTCCCCAGGACAGACGTCAGTATATTTATTCCCATTATACAGAAAAGGAAATGGGGGTCACCAATCCGAGAAGCAACGTTCGGTGCAGGGCCCTATAATCTTGGCTCACGGTTCTGTTTCTCTGCTCCAAATCACCGTATCTCAATTCCCATAGCTTAGAAATAAACCTCAGCCCTGATTCCACAGGTCTTTTACAGAAAATGCCAGTCAGTGAGAAATAGACTGGTGGGGAGAATCACATGTCTGTAAGCACTGGGAACAAGTGAAAAGAATAGGACTGCAGGATTGTCCACAGAATCCAGATTCAATGGTTGTTATCCCAAAGTTATTATCTCAGAATTTGTTTACTAAGAAAACAACCCACCATCTACAGGAATTTAAAAATGGCAGAGTGGGCTAGCTCTACTATTTTGGATAATCCCGCAGGTCACTGTGTTTCTCTGTGTAAAATTATGAACACCCATCAAAGGCAACCTGCTGGTGTTTACACCAACGGTGGTTGGACTACAACTCCTACCATCTCGGACTACTGGCCATGTTCCCTGAAGGCAGCTGGAGTCCAATAACACCTGGAGAGCCTCGGGTTCCCCATCCTTATCAGGTTCCCCATCACTGCTCACCCCAGAAGTGAAGTAACTGGGAGGTGAGCCAATAAGACTTCCTAGTTTTTTGGCTGGGATTGGCAATTCACCTTCAACAAGCTTGACCTTCTGAATCAACCCTTGAGATGTCTGTGAGATTGAGGCAAACCCCCATATTATATTTTTAAACTACACACACACACAGAGCACTCAATGGGGGTATTCTCCTACCTGAAGGGGTCTCAGTGTGTGTATGTATGTGCATACACAAATTCCCCCCAAATGAAGCACAAATACTTCTAGCAGCAACAAACACATTTGGAGCGAGCAGGTCAGCGAGTCACTAAGCCATTTCTCTCCCTCCAGTTGGCACAGGAGTGGTCCTTATCCTGAGTCAGACATTTCTGTTGTGACAGTGTGCAACACTATGCTCCCATCGCCGTCCAGCTAAGAGGCTCCGCTCTATTTCCACAAAGGTAGACGTGAGGTCAGCACCGTCGTGGTGAACTGGGGTATCTGGTCTTGAGCTCCTGCTTGAACTGCCGGAAGAGCAGCTTGTTGCGTTGATTCTCGGCATCCTTTTGTGCGTGGAACTCGCTTGCCACCTTGAAGCCCTTGTGGACCAGGAAGGCATTGCTCAGCACAGAGAAACGGTACCCAGCCACGTGGAGCTCGCAGGCCTGGCGGAAAAGGACAGTGTAAGGACAGCAGCCCACCACCAAAAACCTACAACATGCAAGAATAACTGCACCTCAAAATACCTCTGGGTTATTTATAGTGACAGAAGCCCCTCATTTGACCTGTAAAGCCATTCTGGGCAAGCTATGCCCACCTGACCTACACCTGATGGTCATATATGATGTTAGGTGTGGGACACTTTCCAAGGATAGAGACTCTGTCCCCACCATCGCACCAACAAGCATGACCAGTGGTAATGCTGAGTAGGTGTTTTAGCCCAATGGGCACAGCTAAGATGTAAGGCAAGAACGGGAAATCTCAGGTCTGGGAGTCAAGCCTCCCTATCTTGTCCTCTGCCCAGGCTCTACCTCCTCCTTGGCCAACCACTGCCCTGCTCTCAACAGGCCACACCCCCACCCCCTCCTTGCTCCACCCCCTCCTTGTTGAGTGTTTCTGCTAGAATGTGTTCTTGAAGGCAAGATTCTTGCCCACCTGGATGGAGGAGAGAGAGGGATGTGGCTGTAAAAACTAGCCTACCACACAAAGGTAAAATATACACCTGTTGCTTCACCTGCTTTTCTCTCTGGTTCCACCCACTGCTGACATATGGCCCCCAGATGGCTGACCAGAAGCAAATGTGGTCCTTGAGTTGAAAAAAATTCCCTACCCTGATATAAGACTCCCCACCTTTTGGTTCAAATGTAGCTTTCCCACTACCTGGCTTGGCCTCTCCACCAACAAAGGCTACATATGCACTATACCACCAAAGAACACTAAACACATGGCTTCCCCAAAATAATCCTGGGAACTGTGGTTGTTAAGGGTGCTGAGAATAGTTAAGGGGTAAGCTACAGTTCCCAAGATTATTTGCAGGGAAGCCACGTGCCTTCAATGCTGCCCCAAGTCATGCCCCTCCCCCAGCCAGGGCAGCTACCTGGCTGATTCGGTTGAAGCCGTACTGCTTGAAGCGCTCATCGTAGGGGGGCACAGAACTAGCCCCGATGTAGAAGGGCTCCCAGGGGTCCCGCCACTCCACCTCGTAGGCCACGCGAAGGGGGCCTCCGATGGGGAGATTCAGCCAGTAGGAGTAGTTGGTGGGCGCCTGGCACCGCGGGCACAGCTCCTCATAGAACGGCCGGATCTCGCCCACTTGGTACAGCTGCAGCAGCTCCGTCTTGGTGCCCGGGATCCGGCGGGTGTGGCGGATCTCGAAAGCCGGCACAACGAAGACCCCCGGCGTTTCCTCGGCAGCAGTTCCGGGCAAAGCCAAGAAGTCCTCCCGCAGCCCCTCGCTGGGCACCATGTCCATGTCCACCGCCAGCATCCAGTGCCCGCCGACGGCTCCCCGAGCCACGTTGCGCAGCAGGTTGTTCGGGTACGAGGCGTTGGCGGCGTCCAGCGCGTAATTGCGCCGGCCCGCGGCTACCCGCGCCAGCTTGGCGAAGACATCCCCGCAGGCCTGCAGGCGGGCGAACTCGCCGCGGTCGGGCAGCTCCGGGAAAGAGGCCGCTTGGTCGGCGTGGCACACCAGGTGGAGGCGCACCAGCTGGCGGACGGGCGCGCACAGGGCGGCCAGCGCGTACACCAGCGCCGTGGCCAAGCGCACCTCGGCGGCGCCCGGCGCGAAGAGGGCCACCGACATGGGCCCCCGCCAGCGCTCGGCCAGGCGCTGCGCGTGGTGCAGGTTGCCCAGGCTGGTGTGCGTGACCAGCACCACGTCGGGGCTGCGCTCGCCCTCCCAGGATCCGCGCACCATGTCCCGATACACGCGGTACTGGCCGCTGGCGTCCAGGGCGCCGCCGCTGGCCAACACCTGCTTGAGGCGCTCCTTGTGGGCGTCGCGGGCCGTCGGCGCCCGTCGACCCTGGAAGAGCTCGGCATAGCGGGAGCGCTGCTCCTGGCCGTGCAGCCCCGACAGCAGCGCCAAGTAGAGGAGCTGCAAGCCGGCCACCAGCGCCAGCGCCGCCACCAGCGCCTGGAAGCAGGAGCAGTGCATGGGCGGCAGCCTCAGCGACGGGCCCGCTCGCCTGCCCCTCCTCCTCGCCCGACCTCACCGGAGGCCAGCCTGGAGGGAGCGCACCGAGAAGCCAGGCCCCACACCTTGCATCCTTCCCCGCAGCTGCTCAGGCTGCTTCCCAGGCGGGTGCCTGCCGGCTCTTGCAAACAGTTTCACGTCTGGGGGCGGGAGGAGCGAGCTGTCCTCGGCGCCCTCTGCTTCCTTGGAGGATGCATTGCAAAAACACGCGCAGGCCCCGGGCAGGTGCGACTCCCCTCCCTCCTTTGCACTGCTCTCTCCCTTGTTTTGCAAAGCAAGGCAGATGCATCGCCCCTTCCCTCGCACACACCGCACTAAGACGTGCGTGCGTGTTTTTCAATTATTATTATTATTATTATTATTATTATCGTCGTCGTCGTCATCATCATCATCTGCCATTTATTATTAGTATTGTTTTGCTTAAAAGGAAATGTGTGGGAATGCATGGAGAAAGTGCAATGCCGCGGGGAAGAGTTGGGAAAAGAGCAAACAGATTGTCCGGAAGCGGACTAAGGGATCTAGTGGGAAGAGGCACACTTGCTCCGTGTGACGAGGTGGCCGAGTGGTTAAGGCGATGGACTGCTAATCCATTGTGCTCTGCACGCGTGGGTTCGAATCCCACCCTCGTCGGCATCGATCTTCTCCCCTTTTGAGTTTAAAGGGAAAAGTGGATCAATTCTGTTTATCAAGCCCACACTCTGCAAGGTGGTTTCCCCCCAGGCCTGTAACCGGAAATTCCTCTCTTTGAAACAGTCTAGGGAAGAGACACCCACATAAAGGGCAACTTTCACTTAACAGGTGGGAACACCCAACAAAGAGTAACTTCATGAATTCATGGGGATTCCTCGTGGAGTTGGAAACGGGTTTGGGGGGGCATTCAAAAGTGAACCCCTCCAGGTAAATATTTTACTCCTACTGAAAATCTCATAGATTGTCTATTCAGAAATAATAATCCCTGCTGAATTCAATGGGTCTTACTCCCAGATAAAAGTGGGATTGGCACCCTAGCTCTGTCAAAGATGTGTGCAAAGGGCAGTTCCTTCTCAGGTGCTTTACAAGAACTAAGGCCCTTCAAAATGCATCACACAATTTAATAACCATTCTCAATTCTTTAGTTTAGAGTACAAGGAACTGTGATCTTCTCTTGTAAATTGAATCAAAAGGGTAACTGAGTTAGAAAAATGACCAAAGTATTATTCAGAAAGACAAGTACCGGTATATCAAGGATTTGGTTTGTGGGGTGGTCATAAAAATGCTTTATTAGTTTCATTCCCCCCCCCCCCCATTTTTGTTTCTTGACTTGCTTCTAATTGTGAAATTACTCAAAAATACAGTAATTGTTGCTGGACGCCCAAATCCCATCAGTGAGGGATTATGGGAATGGTAGTCCATCAATATCTGAACAGCTACAGGTTATCCCTCATATGCTCTAGGCTAGGATCTGCTAGGATTTTTGCCCTGGAGACAATTATTTGTGTCATTGTTATATTTTTATTTCTGTCATTTGCACAATGCACGGGGGACTCATTGCCACAAGAAGACGTGGTGACCACTACAATAGTTTCCAAAAGATAAGTGGGACCTGGAACAAAATGTTGCAGTGTAGTGGGATGCTGTTCAGGATTCCAGGCAATCTTTTTTTTTTATTAAAAAAAAGCTTTATTGGGGGTTGGGGAATGATAAACAAACCAGAATCCCTCCAGGGTAATGGCAATAGTTCAACACTGTACATGCAGCAAAAATATTCTTTAAAAAATAAAAATGTTTGAGCTTTGAATTCATTAAAAACAATCACGCACAGGATCTGATAAAATGTCCTTCCCACAAACCACAAAATAAATTGAGTCGTTAAAAATAAACACAGTTTTCCCATTGCCCTTTGTTCCTTAATAAAGTTAGTTATAATGCCAGTAAGTATTGAGAGCAAGTATCTGTTTACAATGAAACACACTTAAATATATATTGCTTAAGTAGGCAACAAGACTGAAACCATTCAAATGTACCATAATGAATATTGCAATCAGATCACAGTGAATAAACCATTGTTGTGTCTTGCCTTTTCCTGCAGTGCAGGGGGTTGGATTAGATGACATTTTAGGTCCCTTCCAGCTCTACAATTCCACAGTCCTATAAGGCAATACCTGGCCCTAGCCGTGGGGTACCCCCCAGACTGTACTTTTTGCAGATACAATCAGCGACATATCACTGACGCAATATTTGTGCATTCATGGTGGATTTATTCTGGACTGTCCCCCCATCATTTCACTTTATTGGGTGTTCTGCTACGCTTCCACAATGTTACTCCTTGACTGATGTCGGGAAGGGCACTCTTGTGCTATATAGCGCAGCAAAAGTGGGGTGAAAAACATCCTGGAACATCTGTAGTATGAAAAGTTACAGGATTTCATCAAGAAGCTATGGGACATGTGCTGATGAGAAATGAATCTGTATGTCCATTCTGAAACTTTTGCAGGCGCCCTGAAAGCGGGATTGCACATAACTGCCCTGATACCATCATAAGCACCAATCATAAGTGCACAATAAAAAGGATACCTAGAGCCCTTAGACTGTGTTTAATAGCTGAGGATATTCCATGGGAGCTATTGGATCAGGTACATTCAGATGGGAGGCCCTCTGCCACATGCCGCTGCTTCCCTGTTCTTAGATGTTTGTAGAACCTTTGGCAGATTTTCATCCCCCCTTTGGCCAAATTACACCATTTCCCAGCCATACCAGTAGGCAAATGATAATTTAATGTATTAGTCCAGGAGCAGGGAATCTGTGCCCCCCCCCAGATGTTTCTGGATCCCATCCTCCCAGACTAACGTTTGCTGAGGCTGATGGGGGTTCAAGTCTAACTACATCAGGAAGATCACGGTTTCCTCACTTCTCTACTACTCCTTGCAACCCGTCCCCTTATTCCTTTCAGAGAAGCATTTGCAACTGCTGAGCAAGTGCAGGAGGTTTATACTTGCATTTCTTTCCCTTTAAAAATGAAATAAACCCTCCACCCAAATTCCAGTACTTTGAAACCTCAAAATTCTGATGGGCCATGGTTCATCGTTATCTCCTTTTCTCCAGATGTACTTCCTTTTTAATCTCATCACTCTGAGCATGTCATACACAAAGCAAGCCTCTCTCAAGCGTCACATGGCCAGAAGAAGGTGGCCTGGGAGGGGGGACCTACTGGAGAACCGAGGAGGTTGAGCAGGGTTTGTGGGACAGAACCACAGTTTTCTAGACCATGCTCCATGACGAGGGGAAGTCCAGCTCTTCCCATACAGAGCTGCCCCTTTCAGTTTTAAAACCAGGACACCTGAGAATTCTGCTAGCCCTTCCCCATAAAAAAATAATAATTCAAGCTTCCAGTCTGCTGCAAAATAGGACATGGCTTCCACAGCTGCATCCATGCTGCAACTGAGGACGGTGTATGTGTTCTGTAAAATGGCACACGTTAAATGCCTCTGTGAGTTAAAGGTTGGGATTGTATATTAGGGTGGCTCATTGTAAAGAGATTCTGTACAAAGAGGCCTGACTTCCCATTGGGACATCTGGTTTGCCACTGTGAGTCCAAGATCCTGGATTAGACAGGCCACTGGCCTGATCCAGATTCCAGCTATAGAGTTCTCTTCTTATGTTCAAATTTCTGGAAGTTCTTCAATGAATTTTTGGACCAAAGGGCCCCATCTAGTTCAGTGTGCAGAAGTCCTGAGCAAGCTCTGCAAGAAGAAACTAAACGCATGTCCAGCTGTAATGGTGGAAGATGGAAACAGAGCGGCTCAGGTGTGAGCAGGTGAGGATCAGCCAGAAGAGATGCTGGCCGAAATCCTGGAGGTATCCTATCACGACCATGACTAGTAGCTATTGATCGCCTTATAAGTTATACTCCTCTATGAATTTGTCTAATTCCCTTTTAAAGTTGTCCAAGTCGGTGGCCAACACTTGCCACTTGGTGAAAGAGCACCTACCTTACATGCGAGAGGTCCCAGGTTCAGTCCCCAGCATCTCTGGATCTTACCTCAACACTAAATACGTTAAAAAAACCGAAAAAACCCAAAACACTGGCAGTGTCCTCCATTACATACCGGAGGGAAACAGGCTAGCTTAGGAAAGCAGCTGCTTCAGGCTTAACAGCGGAGGCCTAGCCCTGCTTTGAATAGCCCTGCCAGCCTAAATGAGGCTCCTTTGGCCTGAAGAGAAGCTTGGTCAAATGCCAAATCTGACTAGTTTAAAGAGGCTACACATGATATTATTTCTCACCACTCCTATGCCTCTTTTTGCAGAGCCTCCACCACCAGTCTTCCAGATGGTTTGGGCTACAGAAAGTGATGGTTGGGGCTGTTTGTCCCAAAACATATGGGGAACACCTGGTTGGGGAGGCTGGAGGATGGACCCCTCTGGAAAGCAGTATCTGACATCTCGTGGACCTCTTTATCGGACAAGAACAAGTTTTAGCAGACAAGTTTGAAGCAATGCAAGCTGAGAAAACCAAACCATAAACCGGCCAGTGGGGGGGGGGGGAGCAGAGAGCTTGCCCTATATGGCTAATTTGAGATGGAAGCAACAAACCCAACTCTATTAACGGACTGGATACAGACTTCTCCCTTCCTTACTTACCGTCACCCTCTAGGAGGATGTTCCGTAGAGCAAACGTGTGTTATGCAACAATACTTCCTCAAGTTGAAAGCAAAGGGAGAGCAAGAGTACGTGTGAGGATATTGCAAAATCCCCCTTTGTTGTGCGTCCTCAGCCAGGCACAAGTGGGAGAGGCAGAGCGGCTCCTCCACCTCCAGGGGCGTACGAAGGGGGCTTGCAAATGGCCCCTCCGTACCGCAGCCTTCCCTTGGCTTGGTAAAAATCCAGGAATCTTTCAGAAAAGTCCAAGCGTCTTTAAAAAAAAATACATTCAGGCTCCTGGGGATTTAAAAGGGTAGCTGAGTGAACGTGAACTTCTGCATATACAGGAAAGAAAAACCAAAAAGAGCAGTTGCCTTTGTTGGAAGATGGTGGCAGAAGCCCGTTTTGCTACCCAGAAGGAAATTAGCTGCTACACAGAGGGCACACCTGGGAGGGAGAGAAGGGCAACCAGCCGCTCCTCGAGTCTTCAAGGCAGATGCTTTACTGTTGCCGAGGTCCAGCAAGTCCTGGACATCAGAGCAAGGCCTTGAGGATGAAGGACAGCCCAGCTCCACAAGAGAGACCCAACGCCAGGAAAAACGTCATGATGGCTCCCGCCAATTCGCTCTCATGTGGTTGCACCTGCCTGGGGGCGGAAACAGAGAAGAAGACACTTTATAATCTGGCAGAAAAGGCCAAGGGCGTAGCCAAGGGGTGCGGGGGGGTATTTGCTCCCTAAATCAAGTAAATAAATAAAAATAACTAACTGACCAACTGCATCTCAGATAACTTGGTTCTGTCCCCCTATAACATAAATCCTGTCCCCCTATAACATAAATCCTGTCCCCCTATAACATAAATCCTGTCCCCCTATAACATAAATCCTGGCTACACCCGTGGGAAAGGCCCTTCCTCTTTGCCCAACCCAGAGAGGAAACCAGGGCTGGATTTATGCACATGGAAGCTACAGTTTACGGGCTCCAATTATGAATGGCCTTTAAATACAACTTTTTAAAACTCAATTTCAATTACTTTGTTCTCAAAGAAGATCACAAAAGTGTCTTAAGCTTTATGTCCTACGCAGAACACTCACAGGGCATGTTGGGATGCTTCTGCTGTTCAGAGGGTGCCAAAATGTGTGGGTCACTGCTACATAGAATAATAGAGTTGGAAGGGACCCCTGAGGGTCATCTAGTCCAACCCCTTGCACCCTGTATAAACTACATTTCCCAGGACTCATTGGCTATTAAAGTGGTATAAGAGAGTGCTTTAAGTGTGTGGTGTGGCCTAAGAGGAGCACAACAAAAATCAGAATAATTTGAGGGCCTGCTGTTCACACCTGGAATTCAGGGAGATGGCATTTTTACCCGTTTTTCGAGAATGGTGGTGGCTCAGGGAGCCTTGCATGGAGAAAGTCCCTGGTTCAACATCCCCGGCTTTGCCAGGTAGGGCTTGGCAAGACATCCCTTGCCTTAAACCCTGGAGAGCCACTGCTGGTTAGTGCAGACCAGGGGCTGCCAACAAGGTGCCAATGCCCCAATGCGAAATAAATACAGTGGTACCTTGGGTTAAGAACTTAATTCGTTCCGGAGGTCTGTTCTTAACCTGAAACTGTTCTTAACCTGAAGCACCACTTTAGCTAATGGGGCCTCCTGCTGCTGCTGCACTGCTGGAGCACGATTTCTGTTCTTATCCTGAAGCAAAGTTCTTAACCTGAGGTACTATTTCTGGGTTAGCAGAGTCTGCAACCTGAAGCGTCTGTAACCTGAAGCATTTGTAACCCGAGGTACCACTGTAAAGAGAACAAGGGATCCACTCTTGCAGACACCCCCCTGTTCATAATGCTGCTTCTGCGTGTTTCAGGAGGGGCGACGTCGCTCAGAGCACACTCACTTTGGCGCCAGGCACATGGTGAGGGAGACGAAGTAGCCATTGGAGAGGGAGAAGACGACCATGAAGAGGACGAACCAGGCATCCTGGCGGAAGAGCATGGGCAGGTATTCCCGCTGGGGGACATTGCACAGAAGCAGGAGTGGGACGAGCAGCAGGCGGAGCCCCACCACCGCAGGGAGCAGGCGCAGATGCTTCTCTGGCTGGGGAGAGCAAAAAGCAGCGTTCTCAGCTTCATTACCCTATTTCCTAATAAACGTCCAAAGGTCTCGTTTTATGACGTGATGGCTGTGGACCTCCATACTCACAAACCTACTAGACTTTTATTTCTTTCTCTTTCTTTTTCTTTTTATTTATTCTATTTCATAATTCTTTCTGCATCGTTATTTTAACTTCATAAGAACGTATTGATCTTTTTGGCTCCCAGTACGTTTCCGAGCACAATTCAAAGTGTTGGTGTTGACCTTTAAAGCCCTAGACGGCCTCGGCCCAGTATACCTGAAGGAGCGTCTCCACCCCCATCGTTCAGCCCGGACGCTGAGGTCCAGTGCCGAGGGCCTTCTGGCGGTTCCCTCATTGCGAGAAGCAAAGCTACAGGGAACCAGGCAGAGGGCCTTCTCAGTAGTGGCACCCACCCTGTGGAACGCCCTCCCATCAGATGTCAAAGAGATAAACAACTACCTGACATTCAGAAGACATCTTAAGGCAGCCCTGTTCAGGGAAGTTTTTAATGTGTGGCATCTTAGTGTATTTTTGGTCTTTGTGGAAGCTGCCCAGAGTGGTTGGGGAAACCCAGCCAGATGGGCGGGGTACAAATAATAAATTATTATTATTATTATTATTATTATTATTATTATAAAAAGATGTCTAAGTACTGTATTTTTCCGTGTACAGTCATACCTCATGTTACGTCTGCTTCATATTACGTTCTTTCAGGTTACGTCCCGTGGTGACCCGGAAGTACCGGAAAGGGTTACTTCCGGGTTTCACCGCTCGCGCATGCGCAGAAGTGCAAAATGACGTCACGCACATGTGCAGAAGTGGCAAATCGCAACCCACGCGTGCAGAGATGTGCTGCTGCAGGTTGCGCTCTTTTCATGTTGCGAACGGGCCTCCGGAACGGATCCCATTCGCAACCAGAGGTACCACTGTATAACGTGCCCCCGTGAATAAGACGCCCCCTATTTTGGGGGGCTCAAAATTAAGAAAATGCACTATGCACTATCCATGTATAAGACAACCCCTTATTTTAAACTTTAAAAAATTCGGAAAAAATATAGTCTTATACACGGCAAAATACGGTAAATAAAACCTGCCTGGCCTCAAAAAGAGTAGAAGATCTTAGGATTCAAGCATACTCCTATGTAATGAGCGAGGAACTTTTTTCAAGGCAAGGGCAGCATATTCCCTTCTGGGCAACCTTTTGAGGGCCACATGCCAGTCGCAGGCAGGGCCAAATGCAAAAGAGGGAGGAGCAACAAACATAATTTTTACCTTTGTACGCTAGGCTAGTTTCTATGCATGCTCAACTCCATCCTCCACCTGGGCTAGGAAGAGTCATTGCAAGAGTTCAAGGATGCATCCTGTCCAAGCAAAAACACTTGGGAGAGTCCCAAGGACCAGGCAGAGAAGAGACCTGGTGGGCCACATGTTGTCTCCACCTGCTATAACAATCTGCCAAGTGTGAGATAAGGCTTCCTGAGCTTAGTGGCCCAAGCCCACAAAAGCTTTCCTTGAAATCAAAGTCTTGTAGGTGCCACATGCCTTATCTGCTTTCGTTATGGGAGGTTAACACTGCTGCCTCTCTGGAGTTCATCCAGAGATAGTCATAATAGTCACCCTGATTTTGGACAGCATGAAGCCAATCCCACTTCAGAAACCAACACTTACCCAGAGGAAATAGGAGGTAGCGCTGCGGCCCAGCCAGTCCATGACGTTGAACAGAAGAAAACAGCAGACAGGAGTGAAGAACTTCCCTAGGCATAAGAAAAAGACAGAGAAATAGGAGGGAGATGAATGCAACACTAACCTGTAATTAGATTTGCTTTGAAAAATCTGGTTTTACTTACGTTTTATGTCTACTACTTTTAAAAAGTTTGGTTTAATTGGGATTTTCCTTACAAATGTTTTATACCGTTTCAGTAAACTGCTTAGAGGGGTTTTTGTCAATTAAGTGGTACACAAATCTTCTTTAAATATAAATAAAACTGAAGTTCTCATATGCCAGGTGTGAACAAAGCCCAGGTGTCCTTGATTCTTCCCTCCACACTTGCCAGCCTCTCCTGCCACACCCTTTGAGAACCACTGGCCTAGCCCAATATTGTCTACTCTTGGCTGGCAGTGGCTCTCTGGGGACAGAGGCAGAGAAAATTCCGACATGATCCTTTTTTAACTAGAGACCATAGAATCATAGAATCATAGAGTTGGAAGAGACCACAAGGGCCATCGAGTCCAACCCCCTGCCAAGCAGGAAAAAGATGTTGGAACCCTTCTGCAAGCAGAGTAAGTGCTTCATCCCTGAGCCTCAGCCATCTTTCTAGGATGGTAAGCAATTGCCTTAGTAGTAGTAGTAGTAATAATAATAAGAAGAAGAAGAAGAAGAAGTTATTTATTTATTATTTCTACCCTGCCCATCTGGCTGGAGCAACTCTGGGCAGCTTTCAAAAAAACCTTAAAAGCAGAATAAAACTTCAAACATTAAAAACTTCCCTAAACAGGGCTGCCTTCAGATGTCTTCTAAAAGTCGGATACAGTGGTACCTCAGGTTAAGTACTTAATTTGTTCCGGAGGTCTGTTCTTAACCTGAAACTGTTCTTAACCTGCAAAATTAAGGAATGTTAGAGTGATGTTGGACTGAAAATAAGTGGTTTCCAGCTGTACAGGTTAAAGTTAATGATAGACTAAGATTAAAGATTAAGATTAAAGATGTTTAAAGAAATGGAAATTTGATATTAAGAGGGAAAATTTTAACGGTATATGATATTAAGACCAAGGATTAGGTTTAAAGAAGTTGAAGTTATATATTTTAATATTTTATCAAACTAAAGATTGGGATTAAAAAAGTGGAAAAGAAACTGCTGGACAAATAATTTGGATTGGAATACAAAAGAGGGAGGTATGAGGAAGTCCAGAAAATAAGTAACTTAAAAATGGAAATGGAAAAGAGATATTGTTTTTAATTGTTATGTTTTTTGTTTTTTTTATTGATGAATTTTGTGTTGTTTTTTGTGTGTGTTGCTGTTATATGTATTGTGTCTTTCTTTATTGTTTAAAACCTTAATAAAAATTATTTTAAAAAAGAAAAAAAAAAGAAACTGTTCTTAACCTGAAGCACCACTTTAGCTAACGGGGCCTCCTGCTGCCACCGCGCCGCTGGAGCACGATTTCTGTTCTCATCCTGAAGCAAAGATCTTAACCTGAAGCACTATTTCTGGGTTAGCAGAGTCTGTATGTAACCTGAAGCGTATGTAACCTTAAGCGTATGTAACCCGAGGTACCACTGTAGTTGTTAGTTTCCTTGACATCTGATGGGAGGGCGTTCCACAGGGCGGGCGCCACTACCGAGAAGGCCGAGTCTTGCTGTCTGTTTTGCAAAGGCAGTATCTCTCTAGGGCCTCAGACAAGGGTCTCTCCAAGCCCTCCATGGCAGTGCTACTGGGGACTTCTGAGCCTGGGGCCTTCTACATGCAAGGTAGCTCTACTGCTGAGCTGTGGGCCTTTCTGTGGGGCTCCAGCTCTCAACCGCCTCTAGCCAGCTGGGACCGGCCCTCCTCATCCTTCCACCACCCCCAATGGAATTACTCACTCCAGGTTTCGTTCTCTGATGTGCTGGCCACACTGGCAGTGATGGCGGGAAACACAGACAGAGTGATGGAGAAGACCATGACGATACAGAGGGCCATCTGCCAAATCTATAACCGGGAGGAAGAGGAAGAGAGAGCAATGTGAGCGAGTTGGGTGCTGGCGAAACCAAAACCCTTGCTAAAACTATTCCCCCACCCATCCTAGTCTTGACGTTTCCTGTTACTTCACCCCTCCGGCCACAGTCCCTACCTTCCTGAGCACACCTAGGACTGACGGTTTCGGCGGAGGCAGGCCTGCCCCATTGCTCCCATTCATAATCTCCAGGGGGCATTTTGAGTCTTCTTGCTCCAGGGCGATGGCAATCCCATTGCTCAAGCTCAGCGGCTCTCCTCCTTGGGTGGCACCCGGCACGGGGCCAAGGCCATCCTCTGGGGGGCGGGACAGAAAAGGAGCCAATCAGCATGCGGCAGAGTCAGGTGACCTACAGGCTCTAATTGCCTTCTACTCTGCCACACACACACACACACACACACACACAGTAGAACTTCAGTTTACGAGTGTCTCGGAAGCCTAACGATTTGGAACCCGAACACTGAAAACCCAGAAGTAATTGCTTCCATTTCCGAATAATAATTACAATATTATTACATTTTGGGGGTTTGTTTAGTATTGAGTGAGGGGTGTTTTTTTATGACTACATCAGGAATTCCGTTGTTGGGTTGCCATGTACCTTTAATTAATTAATAATAATAATAATAATAATAATAATAATAATATCATTTGAGCTTTGAGGGTTTTTTAAAAAAAAAACCCTTGCAATTTATTTATTTACTTCGTAACATTTATACACCGCTTAACAAAACAAAACCCTGAAAGCGGTTTACGAAAAAGTTAAACTGTCTAGATGCCAGCCAGGTAGAGGGAGACTTAATTGTACACTTGGGGTGGCCAACGTGTAGCTCTCTAGATCAGGCTTCCTCAAACTCGGCTCTCCAGATCTTTTTGGCCTACAACTCCCATGACCCCTAGCTAGCAGGACCAGTGGTCAGGGATGATGCGAATCGGAATCTCAAAACATCTGCAGGGCCGAGTTTGAGGAAGCCTGCTCTAGAGGTTGCTGGACTACAACTCCCATCATCCCTAAATCCCTGGTCTTGCTGGCTGGGGCTGCTGGGAGTTGGGAGTCTAACAGCCTCTGGAGGGCCAAATGTTCCCCCACCCTGCCCTACAATCTCCATTATTAAATTTGTGAATAGGTTCCACAATTTGGGATGAACTCTCAAGGGGGGAGCCTGGCTGACCCACTTCTTAGGAGGCTGCTTACCAGGGGAAAGAAGCTCCGCCTTGGTCTCCAGCTCATAGCCTGGCTCTTCCTGGGCTCTCTTGTGCAGGTGGTGGCGAGCAAAATCCTGCAGAGAAAAAAGCCAGCCGTGGTTGCAAATGGCAGGGTGTTATCAGATTCCTCCATCAACCCTTCCCTCACCTCTGCAAGGGAAGCTGATAAGGCTGAGAACACAATATGAGCCTCCTGGATCAGCCAAAGGGGGACCCATCTAGTCTAGTATCCTGTTTTCTCAGTGGCCTCCCCATTTGTGATTCCCTGCACCTGGTATTCTGAGGCCTGCTATACTGCCTCCAACGGGGGGGGGGGGGGGGAGAATAAAGTTACAGCGAGTTCATAGACTTCACTTCCAGGCAATCCAGATTTCTTTGCATAAAGTTTGCAGGGAGGTTAGAGAACGCTGGCAATTTATTTATTTCTAATTTGGTTGGGGGGGGGGTAGACAGCATTGCAATGCAATGCAAAAAGAAGAAGTCAGATTTTTATGGGGGGGGGAGGTGAGTTTGTTGCACAGGAGTGCCAAATTGACTTTAATAGTGCAACCTGAATTTGTCAGAATGTGTGAATGAATCCCGCTCGAAGATCACGTCAGTCTGTAAGCGCCCAGAAAGCAGGTTATCTGCTGTACAAAATGGGTGAAAATAAGGAGATGTGTACATGGTGCAGGGGGAGGGGGAAGAGATCATGATTGTCCACATTGCTTTAGCCTAGTTGGCTTTCTAAGTGGATTAGACCATGCCAGCGCTTACAAATCTCTTCCTCCCCTCCTCAAACCCAGTGGAAGAGCTCCTCCTTATTTTGCAAAACCAGGGTATGGGAGAGAGGGCTTTGTCTCACCTTGTGGGGCAGCAAGATATAGCAGATGATCGAGATCAGGGTCCCAACACAGGGGGTGACAAAATAGCTCAAAGCAGAGGTCTGAGCATCCACACCACCTGAAAAGCCAGAGAACAATGAGATGAGGATGGGCAGCCTATGGAGAGCACTTTCTGGGCTACCCTTCTGGCCGGGGCTTTGACACAGCCCGTGGGGGTGAGGAGTAAGTTGCTAGAACTTGCCTCGTATTCCTTCCCCACAACCCTGCTATGCAACTTGGCATAAATGCAAACAAACAAGCCCATAGTTAAACACTGTCTTATCACCTCCGAACCTCTACCAGTCACCAGTCGAGCTTTTGTCATGTCATGGAATGCTCACAAATATTTGGGGTGAAGATGTCTCAAGACAGAATGTGGAGAAGGGTGGGGGGCAGTTTGGGAAAGAGAAGTGATAACTCAGTATGCAGGAGGAAGGAATTCTCACATAGGAGGGGGTGAGGGACAGGAGAGGGGTTAGTAGGAAGGAGGAATTAAAGGCAGGAGTGTTGGGCAAGCTATGAGACTGAGCTGGGGAGTGGGTGGGTGGGTAAGGGGTGCCACAGCCACATCGCAGCAGAGTGCACAGAAAAACACAGAGCATTGCTGCGTTTCCCCCCCGCGATGCAGGTTGTATTCAAAACACCAACGAATTATAACTTGGTGCACCTCAGAGGTCCTTTCTTCTTGTTCCTGGAAGAGGCAAAGGCCTGAATGAAGAAAGAGGTGGGGAAGAGAGATGAAGAAGTGAGAAGCCTACAGAGAAAGGGGCAGTTGGGGGCGGAGTGGGGACTTCACATTGGGCCTAAGGAATGCATGTGTGCTTTGGGCAGGAATGAACAGGCACGTGGGCTCAGAAGGGTGAGGCGTACTGAGGAGGAGAAGCATTTAAGCCCCCTTGAGATCCTTGGAAGATAAAAGGTGGGACATAAATGTAATGGATGATAAATAAAATATAAGTGGTATTTTGGAGGGCAACAAAGCAGCTCCGCCTCAGACCAACTGGGCGCTCCACATTCATAAGCCAAAGGCAGGCAATCTGAAGTGGCTGTTATTAAAAATGCCTCTCCTGAAAGGGGGCCCACCACTTCCTGAGGCAGCCTGCTGCACGGCTCAGTGCCTCTTACTGTTTTCTCCCCCACCCCTGTAGATCAAGTTTGACAGGTGGAGAGGTGGGGGTGCCCAGCTGTCAATCACCTGATGCCACAACGACATCAGGTGACCTGCTTTTGGTCCAGTGCAACGTGTGACATTTTGAAGCGCCAACAAATCAGCTGATTATTGGGTTTCAAAGCACTGTCTGGGGCTCACTGCAAGCAGCAACGTTCAGCTGGTCATCAGGGCTTGCACAGAACTGAAGGAGCCATCAGAGTGTCTCATGTTGCTCTCTGAAAAGGGCCAATGGTCAGCTGAATGTTGATGCTTGCAAACACCCTGTGGGGCACTCTGAAGCCTGGTGGTCAGCTGTAAACCTGACCCGTCCATGTCTTTACCTGCCCCACAGGTAGGGGCATATTAAGGCCCACAGACAGGCTGGACATTCCTCACCTCTGTCTTAATGTTCAGCAGAAATCTGCTCCCTTGCAATTTCCACTGTTTGGTTCTGGAGCAACAGAGAACAGGTTGCCGCCATTTTCAACGTGACACCCCTTTCAGATATTTGAAGGTGGTTCTCCTTTCCCCCTTGGCCTCCTCGATCTTCTCTTCTCCATGCAAACCGCCCCCCCCCCTTCCCAGCACTTTCCCAGCGGGCCCTCAGAGGACTTGCTCTCCAGACCACACACTCCTTGTCCTCCTCACGATACTCACTGGCCATGGAGAGCAACATGGCGGTGGCTGCGAAGGTCCCAGCCATTCCTTGGCCGCTCAGGAAGAGAGTGCTGTAGCTTTGGGGGAAGGATCCCAGTTGCCCAAAGAGGCTGCCTTGCAAGACGGCACAGAAGGCTGGCGGGAGGAGAGGAGAGAAAGAAGGTGGAGTTTGGGGGGCAAGAATGTCAGCAGCCAACATGCTTAGTGGCATTTTACTTCCTTATAAGCTCACACACCCAGGACGGGGACTAAGACCATGGCTGGGGGCGAGCAAACTTCCCCTTTCCCCCAAGCACTAAGAACCACAATCCCTCAGGGGAGATCATTCCTCACAGCCAGAGGAAGTTGTGCAACTTCCTCTCTCCCTCTCTTGTCCAGCATCTTCAGGAGACAGTTTCTGACATAGGCCTTCAACACTGGCATTTTTAAATTGCTGTCACCTGTCCTAGGACTGTATGGTAAAGGGCGGGTGAACATCAGCAGCAGCAACAACGGATACCTATTCTTAGATTGCAGTCCTAGAATGACAGAGTTAGAAGGAGTCTTGTAGGCCATTTAGTCCAGGGGTGGAGAACCTGAGGTCTCGGGGGAAGGGGTTTCAAACGCGGCCCTCCAGGTCTCTCTATCTGGCCTTCGGAACTCTCCCCAAGCCACACCCCCTCACTGGCCCTGATTCACACCTCAAGTGTTTTTGCCTGGCCTTGATCTATTGCTTGTCTGGATGGAGGATAAAGAGGAGTGTGTGTAGAAAACTAGCCTGGATAAAATTGAAGCTCCTTGGCTCTGTATAGGGTATACAGTATCTCCACCCTCATAATTCAGCCCAGACTGGGGTCCAGCTCCGAGGGCCGTCTGGCAGTTCCCTCACTGCAAAAAGTGAAGTTACAGGGAACCAGGCAGAGGGCCTTCTCGGTAGTGGCACCCTCACTGTGGAATGGCCTCCCATTAGGTGCCAGAGAGATAAACAATTATACGACTTTCTGTAGACATCTGAAGGCAGCCCTGTATCGGGAAACTTTTTAATGTCTGATGTTTCGTTGTGTTCTTTTATATTCTGTTAGAAGCCGCCCAGAGTGGCTGGGGCATCTCAGTCGGATGGGTGGAGTATAAGTAGGTAATAAATTATTATTGTAATTATGATTATAAAACTGTTCTTACCATCCTAATGCTCAGTCTGCCTTCCTGTAATTTAAGCACATCAGATCCAGTCTGAGCCAGCAAGTCTTTTCCCCTCTTCGGCATGACAGCCCTTTCCCTCAGCCTTTTAAAATTACATTGAAATTACACTTCTGCTTCACCTTTCATCCCAGAAATTCAGAGCCACAGATCCATGGTTCTCCTCACTCCTCTTTTACCCTCACAACAACCCTGTGAGGCTGTTCAGACCGAGAGACAGCAGCTGGCCAAAAGGTTTGGGGCCAAGCATGGATTTGAACCTGGGTCTCCCCGGCCCTAGACTGACTCTCTAACCGCTACACCAGACTGGCTCTTGGTCATTCTCTTCTCCAAACTCAAACCCTGGAGGTTACAGATCTGCCGCAGGGCTTGGGAGCAGACGACAATGGTGTTATTGCTTTGAGAGGGACAGCCAGGCCCCAGCCAGGCCATGCAGAACTCACAGTTAATGAACCAGACGCTTGCCATGGTGATGGAGAAGAAACTCTGGGCCGGCATCTCCACCCTGACCAAGACGGCCGTCAGCACAAAGAGGAGCAGGATCCCGATCAGGCTGCTCAGGATTCGCACTTTGTCCGGAATGCTTTGCAGGGGTGGAAAGGAGAAAGATGAATGCTTAAAGGTTGCGCAGCCTAGATAAGAGTCGGAGGGGGCTGAGCAGCTGGGAGATGCGGGGAAGGAAGCGAATTGAACCCACGGCTTCAAGTTACAAGAAAGGAGATTCCAGCTATACATCAGGAAGAATTTCCTGACCGTAAGAGCCGTTGGCAGTGGAACAGACTGCCTCCGGAGGTTGTGGACTCCCCTTCACTGGAGTTCTTTAAGCATAGGCTGGATGGCCAGCTATCATGGATGCTTTAGCTGAGATTCCTGGACTAGAGGACCCTTGGGGTCCCTTCCAACAAAACAATTCTGGGATTCAACACTGATGCCGGGAATTGAACTGGGAACCTCCTGCAAGCAAAGCAGAGGCTCCACCACGGATCTATGACCCTTTGTCTCAGAAGGAAGTAGGTTTCTGGTCCACATTGTCCTGAATAAAGGGCTGATTTAAGTAGGAAGCTGACTTATACAGAGTCAGGCCGTTGGTCCTAGCTCAGTATTGTCTAAACATACCAGCAGTGGCTCTTCAGGGTTTCAGTGGAGGACACTCCCAGCCCTACCTGGGGATGCTGGGGATTGAGCCCAGAACCTGCTGCATGCAAAGTAGATGTTCTACCAGTGAGCGGCGGCCCTCAAAACAAAGCAAGTTTCTGCTCTCTCTGCCTCAACTCTCCCTATGTACTATGGAACCAACAGTGGTCCTACCTCACAGGGCTGCTGCAAGCACAATCAAGGCTTTGTTGTGACTGACCCCTTATAGCGCAGTTTATAGAGAACACTTTGGACACATAGGTGGGGGCAAAGTCAAACAGTGGAAGGGGGAAGCAGGCCTGTACATTTTGCCTCACGTCTCAGGTTCTACAGACACTTGCTTTTCCTTCTTTTAAATGAAAGCGGGGAATCTGGAGATTACGCTTCACCCATGCCCGGAAAGGGAACCTGGCAGAGTGTGGAGACAGAGGTGGGCAACACCCATCTTGGGCATGGGATCAGGGCCAAGATGGAGGAGCAAGAAGCAAGCTAGCTCACCATTGGTAGAGGAGGGAGTTGAGAAGGGTGAAGAGGAGCAGAGGCAGTTGGGAAAGAAGAGCCAGCCAGTTGCTGAAGTTAAAGTTGTCACTGCAGTGGGATGAGGGTTCAAGTCCCAGGCCTGTCCAGTTCCCATCCTCCTCCTTGCCAGCTGAGCAGTTCCCCACAATGAGCCGAGACTGAAAATACTGAAAAGAAGGTTATACTCTGTGTGAGCGGTGTCTGTGTGTTCAATTCCCCAGGAAGAGAGGGGCCAGGACTCAGACTCGCCCTACACCATGGTTATTTATTAGATATTTATATACCCCCTTTCATCGCAAGATCGCAGGGTGGTTCACAGGATAAAAATACAATACACATTGTTGGACCATTAAAGCTCTTCCCCTCTTAACCCACATGTGTGCAGGCTAATTGAGGCATGGTGCAAGGACACTTTGCACATGCTCCACTGCACCTTGCTTATCCCTGCCATGCTATGCAATCGATGGAAGTTCCAGGGCTGGCTATAGTGAGCTAAGCCCAAAACTCGACCTGTTTCCTCAAAGCACCAAACAACAGGAAGCCATGCTGCCATCACAAACTGCCTCCATCACTGCATGCCACCAGCACAATGGGGCTTCCATTTCCTCTCTTCCTCCTCCTGAGCACCCCAAAGGTGGAACTGCAGGGTTGGATAGGCAAAGAGCAATCCGTATATTTGTGCAGGTGTTTTTTTTAACAATCAATTTACGGACTGATGCCGGAAAGGGATGGAAAGGCCTTGCGAATGAACTCATCCGTGTGAAACGGAGACTGTCCTTTCCGTTCCTGCTCCCAGGTTAAGTGGGATCCAGGGATGCAGCCTAATTCATCCTGGGCAAACGGCCTTAGAGTGGAGCTGGATTCAGAGTTTCCTCTTATTTTGAAGAGCAAGAAATGCAAAGAAGTGAGTGTGCAACAAGGGCGATGATTCCTGGCGTGAGCTGCACGTGGGATATTTAACCACGTGCAGTCAAGCCAACGATTCATGTTTTGCTAGATAGGCACACGGCAGGAGATGAAGCTCACAGAGTTTTCCTGCAAGTTTCCTAAAGAGGTTTCTGTGAGAGATGCTCCCACTCTGCCTGGGCACCCTCTCTTACTCTTCCTATCTCTTTCCACCATGCCAGCAGCATAAGAACATCTGCTAAGCTAGACCTAAGTATGTCTTTGTTACAAAATTACCATGTTAAGTCTGCCCGGACAAAGCTGCTGTATCTGTTAACTTTTCAAAAAGTATTCTGAGTGAGTAAATGTTTTCTTTTTTTACCTTTTACAAGACTGTTTGTCTGGTTGTTATTTTAAGGGATAGAAAAGGGGGAAATACAAGGGAGAAGGCAGTCTGCCTTAAAGCATCTTGCATTACTTAAACTCAAAAGGCTAAAACTAGCCTATCCAAACTTCCCTGTTAATCTGCAAAAGGATGCATTCTGCTGAACTCACAAAAGTGAAGGAGGAAGGATAATATCTAATAAAGATATCCTCTCTGAGCATCCACAGTATTCATATCCCAACCCTGTCCTGGGGCTCAGCCCTGGAAACGTTCCCCCTGCCCCCGGATGCCCAGAGAAGAAGGTGCCTGAAGCAAAGGACCCACCGGTATGGCCGTGATGAAGAAGTTCCAGGGCAGGAGAGTTCCCAGGCCAAGGAGGAAGAAGATGATCCCCACACAATGGAACCTGGGGGTTTGGAGAGGAGAAGCAGCCATTAAAGAGATGCAGCTGTGAGCAATTCAGGACACTCGTCCATCTAGCGCAGTATTGTCTGCTCTGACTGGCAACAGATCTCAGTGTCTCAGCCAGCAGAGTCTCAGCCAGCAAGGGGGGCTTCCCCCATCACCAACTACCTGCTGATCCTGTTCCTTCCTAACTGAAGGTGCCCCAATTGCATAGCAAGCAGTCTTAACGTTGAGTTACAGTCCTGCTTAAAACAGAGTAATAAAGATTCTAGCCCTCAAAATTCTGAAAAATCAGGGCTAGATCAGGCTCAGTACTGCCTGCTCTGACTGGCAACAGCTCTCCATGGTCTCAGGCAGCCGCCACCTGTCTCTTGATCCCTTTTAACTGGAGATGCTGGCAACTGAACCTGGGACTTTCTGTAAGCAGAGCAAGCATTCTACCACTGTACTATGTTCCCTCCCTCTCAAAAAGGAGTCAAAACCAATTCAGGCCAGGCAGGTGGGTCATAAATACCACAGTCCAAGCCTGCCGGTAACATCCTGCAATGCTTCCCCTCCATGAGAACACTGTGTAACTGTGGTCGCAGTGCTCAGAGTAGGGCTGGGCCTAACCACCCTTTGAGTATCCTACAACAGCTCAAAGTGACACTAGGTGAGGGAGATGAGGGGAAGTCGAAAGGGTAGTCAAGTCCTGCTTTTGGGGTTTCTGGAGCAATGCAAGAACCAAAATACAGCTTTGCTTTGAAATCTGCAATCTTCCCAATTTTGCAGCGCAGTTCCCCAGCCATGTGTACAGAAACGCCCATGCAAATGTGCATTAAAGTGCATATCTAAATATAATGCCCAAATGCGTTAGGTTAGGGGAAACGGCTTTGCAAAAATGTCTCTTGTTAGGCAAAACTGCCTACAGAAATACGCTCATGAATTTTCACGAGGGCTTCCAACCACCAACACGACGACTGAGGCGGAAACTCCACATGGGCAAAATGGGCAAAGGAAACTGACGGTTTCTCCCACCCCTGCCTCCTGAAATTTTGGACCACAACTCCCATCACTGGGGCGGACTGAAGCTGTAGTCCAAAGTGTCTTGAGCGCCCCAGGTTACCAAAGGCTGGATCTGAAGCAGAGAGAGAAAGAGAGCGACAGATTTAATCTAATAAGCCGAAGGCATGTCTACACGACAAGGCCTTGCCTGGCAGCGGTTTCTGCCCTCCTCCCTGCTAATCTATTTACCACCCCATCTTCTTATCCCTCCCCCACCAGGCACACAAACGGAGCACAGCGCCAAGAAGAAAGCGTTCCCACCCCCGTGCTCATTTCTGGACAGGAAAATCAGGTTTTGAGGAACCGATTCCTTTGTTTGCTGTTTTGTTTTGTTTTTTAAAAGAAGGGAAGTGGAAGATTCAATTCGCCAGTGCACTTGTGGCAGCACCGGGGAGGGGAATAGGGTACCTAAAGGAAATCTGTGCACCTGCCCAGAAAACTGGAAACTCAACACTTCTAATCCTTATACCGTAAGTGCAACTTGCCTAATCCAGGTGTGAAACATTCCACTCCCTCCCCAAACACATACCTGAGTATGCAGAGAAGGAAACCCAAGAAGGCACACCTAGGCAGCTGCATTTTGTAACTGAAAACAACTGGGGAGGTGAGGCTTATACAACTGGTCCAATTTGGAGTTAACAAAAAAAAAAGTGTCATGTGCAGAGCAGAAATAACGGGCTGCATCCAACTAACTAACTAACTAACTAACTAACTAACTAACTAACTCATAATGATTTTTTATTATTCATATGCAGGGCTGGATTTAGGTTTGATGAGGCCCCAAGCTACTGAAGGTAATGGGGCCCTTTATATGTCCAGCCGTCCTTTGTCAACAACAAACTGTCGCTGTTTTTTGTGTTGAATATATGCTATATGGTAATTTATAGGACCTAACAGGTATCTAAAGCCATTTGCAGATAACAAAATATGTTTTTTATCTTATATTTTGGAAATGTACACCCAGTGGTTTTTTCCTTTAAATTTTTCTGGGGGCCCCTACGGGACTGCCTCTCCTGGTATGCCCCGCAGAGGACCTTAAGGTCCACAAATGACAACATTCTGCAGGTCCCAAGTTGCAAGGTGGTTAGGTTGGTCTCAACTAGGGCCAGGGCCTTTTCAGTACTGGCCCCAACTTGGTGGAATGCTCTGCCACAAGGACTTGACATCTTTCCGCAGGGCCTGCAAGACAGAGCTGTTCCGCCTGGCCTTTGGTTTGGACTCAGTCTGACCCTTATGCTTCCCTCCCCTTATGGTTTTGACTTTTAAAATGAGGCTGCATTTTAAATTGCATTTTAACCTGTATTTTAAATTGTTTTTTTCTTTTTCTTTTTTTCTTATTATGTTTTACTGAAATTTTATTGATGTTAGCCACCCTGAGCCCGGCTCTGGTCGGGGTATAAATAATTTATTATTATTATTATTATTATTATTATTATTATTATTTATTAAGAGAGTGGGGCCCTAAGCTATAGCTTGTTTAGCTTATATGTAAATCTGGCACTGGTTGGAAGGACCACCCAAGGGTCATCTAATCCAACCCCCTACAGTGCAGGAATCACAGCTAAAGAATCCCTGACAGGTGGCCATCCAACCTCTGCTTGAAAATCATCAGTGAAGGAGAGGCCACCATCTTCCGCTGTCAAGCAGCTCTTACCCTCAAAAATTTCTTCCTAATGTTTAACAGGAATCTCCTTGCTTGTCATTTGAATCCTTTGGTTTGAGTCCTACCCTCCATAGCAGATCAAAGCAAGCTTGCTCTGTCTTCCATGTGGCAACATCCACCAGATATTTGAAGATGGTTATTGTATCAGTTCTCAGTCTCCTCTCCTCCAAGCTAAACCTACCCAACTCCCTCAACCGTTCCTAACTGAGGCTTGCAGATTTTCATTCCCCCTCCCCTTTGGTCCCGCTCCACCCTTCCCCATCCATGCCACTGGGCAGATTCTGGTGGAATGCACCACGGATTCATTGTATTCGTCCAGGAGTGGGGGTGGGGGAACCTGCAGCCTTCCAAATATCTCTGGGCTTTAAATCCCATCCTTCCTGAATGCTGGCCCACGCTGGCAGGTGCAAACAGTACTGAAAAGTGTCTCTCTGCACCGATACCATCATGAATGTGCAATAAAAGCAACATCTAGAGGGACCCTTGATTGAAATCAGTGGGCATGACTGACTTAGGTCCATTCATTTCAACGGCTATACTCTGAGTACTGTACAACAAAAGTGTGTTGTTAATATTTTGTTGAGAGCCACCCAGAGTGGCTGGAGCAACCCGGTCAGATGGGTGGCATATGAACAGTTCCAGATTTACGTATAAGCTAAACAAGCTAAAGGGTGAAAAACCTGGATGTACATTTCCAAAATATAAGATAATAATAATAATAATAATAATAATAATAATAATAATAAAATTTTTTATTTATATCCTGCCCTCCCCAGCCGAAGCCGGGCTCAGGGAGGCTAACAACAATAAAACAGTACAACAGTACAACACAACACTCTAAAATCATTCATTATAAAATTAATTTAATAAAATAAAACAAAATTAAAATTAATAAAATAAAACAAAATTAAATCTACATACAGCAACAGTGTTTTGTGTTGTGTAGGCTCTGCTTCCAACTCTACAATTCTATGATTCTAAGGTTCATGGCAGTTCTGCAAACACAGGCAAATTTATTATTTTTTATTGCATTTATATCCCACCTTTTTTCTCCAAGGAGTTCCAGGTCATGTACATTGTTCTCCTCCTCCTTATTAAATCCCCACAACAACCCTGTGAGGTAGGTTAGGCTGAGAGGAAGTGACTGACCCAGGGAAACCCAGTGAGCTTCATGGCCAAGTGGGGATTTGAACCTTGGTTTCTCAGGTCCTAGTCAGACACTCAGGTGTGTTTTTTAACCACCTTTGTACCCTACAAATCCCCTAAGAGGCTCATGACATCATCCCATTTTATCCTCCCTGTAAGCCATGATGAAGGACGCGGGTGGCGCTGTGGGTTAAACCACAGAGCCTAGGACTTGCCGATCAGAAGGTTGGAGGTTTGAATCCCCATGACGGGGTGAGCTCTCGTTGCTCTGTCCCTGCTCCTGCCAACCTAGCAGTTCGAAAGCACGTCAAAGTGCAAGTAGATAAATAGGTACCGCTCCGGCGGGAAGGTAAACGGCGTTTCCGTGTGCTACTCTGGTTCGCCAGAAGCAGCTTAGTCCTGCTGGCCACATGACCCGGAAGCTGTATGCCGCCTGCCTCAGCCAAGAAAGCGAGATGAGCACTGCAACCCCAGAGTCGCTCACGACTGGACCTAATGGTCAGGGTTCCCTTTACTTTTAAGCCATGATGGGCCAAAGAAAAGCTTTATGGATTTTGAACCCAGAGCTCTCCCCACTCTGGCCCACCACACTTGACTACACCCCACAGGCCCATGGGCAAACTCTGCTTGAGAAGGGATTCTGTTTAACTCAACAACAAATAAATAAACCACCCTCTAACATGAAAAATAGTAACTCATCTATGAAGGGGTGTCATGTACGGGACTCTTGTGTATGTTACAAAATCCCTACCCAAAAGGCTCAGGAAGCAATATGCTCAAAGGCATCCCAGGTATTATTCTCACGTTTCAGTCTCTACAAGTGGTTCTGAGGGTTAAGATGCTTATTATCCTGGCTCTTTTCAAAGTATATTCTCCCCAAGTCAGATCTCACGGGGCTTTGATACTTACGAGTCCTTGGGGATCACCTGAGAAGCCATCGGGAACCAGTTACACCCCCTAAGCGGGAGGCAGGAACAGTGGCAGGAGTCTGGCCCCTGTCAAAGCACAGCTGCACCTGAAAGGGAATTGAAAAAAGTCGTAACAGAAGGGAAAACTCTGCCTCCATCCACGAAGGGCGAAAAAGCTAATAAACTCGGATTATGCCCATCTCAAGCATTCAGGAGGTTCTGAGAACTCCAGTTTTCAAAGAGGGGATTTGAAAAAGCAATGAAAGGCAGGAGGAACTGCACACTCCAGATCTGTGCAAAAAAAGCACAATAAAGCACCCAAAGGGTTGACAGGACCCTGCCTCACCCTGTAAGAGAAAGACCCCCAGACCAGTGGTCCCAGGGAACGGCTGAGATGCCCGCTTCCCTGCTCTCGTGACATGTGCGGATCAGATGCAACCGCTCACTGCTGCAGAGGTAGGGAGTCTTTTCCAGCCCACTGGTGACATGCCAACAGTTGGCAGGGCCAGAGGCAAAAGTGTGCAGAGCAACAAATGCGAATTTTACCCTTCTGCCCACACCCCTCTCTGTCCTCCATCCAGGCACAGGAGAGGCATTCTCAGAGTTCAAGGACATTTTGCAGACAAGCAAACACAGTCGAGGCCAGTGAGGGGCATGACTTTGAAAGACCCAATAGGGAAGGCTGCAGGGTCACATTTGGCCCTTGGGCCTGAGATTCCCCACTAATGAGAGAAATGCACTCTGCATGCCCCCAGAGGCACTCTTTTTCTGTTACTACTTCCTGTATTCTGCCTTGATCATATAACTGTCGAGTTGGAAGGCATCCTAGACCAGCCCCCTGCAATGCAGGAATACGCAGCTGTCCCACATTAAGGATCGAACCTGCAACCTTAGCCTTATCAGCACTACTCTCTAACCCACTGAGCTATGGCTCTAAGGCTGAGTCAGATGAAGCCCTACAACCGTTATCCTGCCCACGCCTTCAACAACTCAAATGGAGGCCAAGAGTGTCCTCAAGCCACAAAACAGAAGGGAGAGGCAGGGTCTGACTCTTGCACATGCTCAGAGACACTCTCCTCTTTATTACTGCTTCACACTCTGCAGGGATGGACACAAAGCATTCAAAGATCGACAAAGGAGGAAAGACAACTGACCCACAGCACTGAATCGGTCCTAGTTCAAGCCCAAACAGGCATCCTGGAAAACTGCATAGGCCTTTGGCCCGACCCAACTTCAGGGCTCGTCTTATGTTTCAAGGCCTCAGGTCTGTTCTGAATACCAGGATAAGCCCTGCAAAACGCGTAGCAATGACAAAGGCGAGAGTGTCTCTGAGAATGTGCAGAGTTAGACCCTGCCCCTCCTCAGTGCCTGGGCTTGTGGGCAAAGAATTTAAGCACTTAGTGTGAAAGTGAGTAAAATAGAAGGGGATTTGCCATTGCCAAGGTGGTGTTTTCCAGACCTAATGGCCTACAACACCCATCAGACCCAGCCAGCAAAAGTGTGATCGCTGGGGCTGATGGGAGCTGTAGTCCAAAACATCTGGAAGGCACCCAGGTTAGGGAAAGCTGGGTTATTATTATATGTAATGCCAGACACTTGGGATTGTAATTTAATAAATAATAATAATTATTATTTGCATGCTAGTTTTACCTGGTTTTCTCCTGATTTTAAAACAACTTAAATAGATACATTATAGACATATTTCTACAGTAGTCTAGGGGTCATTTTGGCCAAAAATCTATGTATACATTTTAACTTGCTTTTTTTTAAAAGCAACAACAAGCAATCCAGTACGAAACAGAATAATCTGGTTCTTCCTTCCAAATCTTCATGCCCCAAATAGGCGTCAAAGAGTTAACGTAAATTCCTGGTTATTTTGCAACAAGAAAAATAAGGAAGTAAACGGAATAAGCATAATCTCTTAAATCCAGATGCACAGACTGGAATTCACCCTGGGAAAAGGTATCAAAGGAATTGTTGTTTTTACACAGACACACACAGAGCCTACTCACATTGCTATCAGACCTCCAAAGACTTCAGCCGACTGCTCAGGTAAGGTCTGTTAGTCACCACATTATACACTTCGAACAACATTTGGCATTGCCCAATCAGGGATTTGCAAAGGCCTGGTCAAAGGCCATGGGAGGTTTTCACCCTTGCAAATGCTTTTGTTGACAATGGCCTCTGGTTACCCTCCTCCTCTCAAATTCCACCCCCTCTGCAGTTTTTTTTTATTTAATTAAGTGTTCGTTTATCTTTCACAGGTAATACAAGGCAAGGAACAAAGGAAACAAATAATATTTCCCCCTCCCCCTGGAACAGTTTCAGAAATATGTCCAGCAAGAAAGTAACGAAATAATTCCACCACATATCAAGAACCAAATAAATGTCTCTGTCAATAATTGTCCAAAGGTCACAGGAGGTCTAAATTTGTGCTTTTTTGTTATAGCATATGAAATAAAATCAAGCCATTTTTTTGGTCTGCCTTTTTGTCTTTGTTTTCTACAAGTTATTCTCCTGTTCTGGTTTAGCATCTGTCGGCACTGGGCAGTTAAAGCACTAGGAAGTCGAACAGAATACAGGAATACAGGAGCCCAGCTGAGGCATCACTCTTTACCTTGCACATAATCACACCAGGACTCTGAATTTGGGGCAAGAAGAAAGCTATGTTTAGTGCAGGAAGTCGGTTCTTGAAAGGAAAGATCCTAGTTCTGTCTAAGCAAGGGGGAGATGCAAAGAGTCAGCCAGGCTTGATTTAGGTCAGGAGTCTCCCTGTAGTTTTCAGCTGAGATGAGATGGTTGCTTAGATGAGAATGCTGCCCTCCTACATCTTGGGTAGCTTTAAGAGTATTTCCCAAATTCTTGGAGGACAGAGCTATCAATGGGCATGAGCCACAATGGCTATGTTCTACCAACACTGTGCAGTGTCCCTCTGAATGTCCATTGTTGGAGGTGTGGACTAATGCAGCAGCCAGGCTCTTCTTATTAACCGGCTCATAGTTCAGGGGTCAAAAGACCATAATAACACGAGAAGAGCCTGCTGGCCCATCGAGTCCAGCATCCTGTTCTCACAGGGTTCAGCCAGGTACCGTATTTTTCGCTCTATAAGACGCACCAGACCATAAAACGCACCTAGTTTTTGGAGGACGAAAACAAGAAAAAAATATATTCTGAATCTCAGAAGCCAGAACAGCAAGAGGGATCACTGCGCAGTGAAAGCAGCAATCCCTCTTGCTGTTCTGGCTCCTGGGATAGCTGTGCATCCTGCATTCGCTCCATAAGACGCACACACATTTCCCCTTACTTTTTAGGAGGGAAAAAGTGAATCTTATAGAGCAAAAAATACGGTACTTACGGGAAACCTGCAAGCAGGATTCGAACACAAGAGCACTCTCCCCTCCTGTGGTTTCCGGTGCCTGGGATTCCACCAAATAACCTCTGGTGACCCAGAGAGAAAGTTTGGAAGGGTCAGTTTTGAAAAACAGGTTCAACGCCTGGCAATCTTCCCCCTCCCGTCCTAGGCATAGGAAAGATACAGGCTGTGCTAGGGAAGGCGCTCTGCACAAGTTCAGGGGCACAGCTGCTCCTTGCTAGTCACTCAGTGGTAGAGCATCTGCCTTGCAAGCAGACTGCCCCCCCCCCCAGGTCCAATCCCCAGCATCTCCAGGCTGGGCTAGGAATATTCCCCCCCCACACACACACCTGAAACCTTGGAGAGCTGCTGCCAGTCAGTGTAAACAGTACAGAGCTACACGGACCACGGTAAAGACCTGTGTACTACTTTGCCCTAAAACTGCACCCTGATGTTGAAAATATCTCCATCACCCTGTCTCTGACTGATCGCTAGATAAAGGCATTTTTTAAAAAGAAGCTAGGCTTGAGCCCCTGCACCTGTTTTAGCCTCCCCCACCCCCAGGCCCTCGAAATCTTCTTCTTAAGCCATCCTCTTCCAGAGGCCCTACCTTGAGTTCGGAAGGGTCATATTCCTATGCAATCCAGAGTCACTTCGCTTCGGATCATGGGAGCACGCTCCTTCCTCCCGTTCCTGCACCCCCGGACCTCTTCGCGGCGCTCGGGGCCGCTGCGGGCTGGGCGCTCCAAGGGGCGCCGAGGCTCACCTGCCTCTGCGGAGCTCCAGCCCCCGAGGGCGGCGCTGCTTGCTGCCGCCGCTACCGGGGCTGCCTGGCCTCGCCTCCATGAGGCGGGAGATGCCGGCGAAACAGGCGAGCCTCTCTGCCGCCGTCGCCCTTGGAGGGTCAGGGAGGAGCCGGCCTCGGAGTCTGCGTACAGGAGCGCGCCGGGGAAAGAGGCCGCCTCTCCCCACCCCTCTCTCGGTCTGCCTGTCCGCCAGCACCCTGAGAATGGCCAGCGGAGCCAACCGGCAGGGAGAGACCAAGGGGGGAAATGGGGGGATGAGGCGGCCGACGGAGCAAAGGGGATCTCTGGGGGAAATGGGCCTTTCCAGTTGTCACCAGCAGGGCCGGCGCTAGCATTAGGCCAACCTGGCAGCTGCCTATTTAGGTCGCGGCGCTGAATTTTGAGGGGCGCAGTTTTTACATAGATTCGCTTTTGTTGCATCTTATCTGTTCCAGGCAATATTTTACTTTTATTTCAGATCTTCAATGCCGTTTCTCAAAGCTCAGAGAATCAGCACTTTACTCGAGGGAATGGGTGGCAAACTGTAAAAAAAAGAAGACTATGAATCGAAAATGGAGATGCCATATGTCCTTTTCCTTGTTTATTTGTTTGTTTTGTGACACGGTGAAAGCTTTAATAAAAGCTAATTTAAAAATGGCAAAGGAAAAAAGGCACACAAAGTAAAATCTGGATGGGCCAGAAATTGAAACTTCTAAGAAACTTAAATGTTGACATTGCAATTCACAAGTTGAATCAGAATGATTTGTGTGCCAAACCGTGGTCTTTTGTTATTGAGAATTGGTGTCATACAAGTCCACGCAAATGTCAGCACTCTGGTGGCTGTGTTCCAAAATAGCTGAAGGTTCTGGGCAGCCCTCAAGGGCAGCCCCCGTGGAGTGCATTACAGCAGTCTAAGCCCAATGTTACTAGAGCATGGATTCCCGTAGCAAATCTAAATGGAACTTCCCTGTCCAGCAGCACTCTTCCCTTAAAAGCCTATGGAGATAGACGATGGACGGAGCGCTGTTGCCTTCACACCTTGTTTCTGGGCTTCTCAGTGGCATCTATGGGAAACTGGATGTGGGAGCTCTGTGGGCTTTTAGAGCTGATCCTACCAGGGCCAGCTCAATACATTTTGGCACCTGAGGCGGACCCCAAAATGGCACACGCACCCTCCCTGCCATGGAAGAAGGGGTGAAGGAAGTTCTACACCAGGAACAAAGGGGTGGGGGAGAGAAAGAGCTACATCAGGATCTGCTGCCCTTGTGAATCCTGCCACCTGAGGCAATCGCCTCACCTTGCCTCATGGGTGGGCTGGACCTGGATACTGCAAGCCTACTTTCTTATGGAGAACAGGCTGGAACTCGCCATCCTTCCCCACTCCTCACCCCTTGGCGAGTCTTTTACACCACAATGTAATCTTAATATGTTCACAGGAGTCTTTGCATCTGAGCCCCTCATTGCACTGACCCCTGCCCTGGCCTTTCCGCTGCTGAGCTCTTGGGTGCTACTTACCATTTCCACAGTTCCCGGGGGGGGGGCACTCTATGACTGTGAACACACTATGCATTTAAACCTACCCTGCTCCGAGAATCCTGGGAACCATAGTTTGCTAAGGGTGCTGGAAAGTGAGGGCTCCACTACAGTTCCCAGGATTCTTTGAGGAAATGCCAGTTGCTGGGACTCACAGGGGCGGAGAATTGCTGTTGTGCTGCTGGGGTCCTCCTTTCAGGTTTCCCCACTAGGGTGTCTGGTTGGCCACTGTGAGAACAGGATGCTGGACTAGATCCAGCCGTCAGGCTCTTCTGGGGTTAGTCACTTATTCTCCCTCAGGCTAACCATGCCCTGCTCTTTTAACCAATCCTTATAGGATTTGGTTCCCACAACCGCTCACGCCATCCTGGTCCCCTCTGGGCATGCCATCAGTGCAGCCAGTGCAGAGTACAAGGAGGCAGGTGGCCTCTGCCCTGAGGATCTTACAATCAGAAGACTGGCGCGGAGGAAGGAACAGAGGAAGGAGAAGGAAACGGAGCAGGGTTAAGCATGGAAAAGGTCTGCGGTTGTTTCCGTTGCAGGTAGCCAGGCTTAGCTCCAGTTTTTGCCGCCGAGACCACATAACACCAGTCTTGAAAGACCTACATTGGCTCCCAGTACATTTCGGAGCACAATTCAAAGTGTTGGTGCTGACCTTTAAAGCCCTAAACGGCCTCGGCCCAGTATACCTGAAGGAGCGTCTCCACCCCCATCGTTCTGCCCGGACGCTGAGGTCCAGTGCCGAGGGCCTTCTGGTGGTTCCCTCATTGCGAGAAGCAAAGCTACAGGGAACCAGGCAGAGGGCCTTCTCGGTAGTGGCGCCCGCCCTGTGGAACGCCCTCCCTTCAGATGTCAAAGCAATAAATAACTACCTGACATTCAGAAGACATCTTAAGGCAGCCCTGTTCAGGGAAGTTGTGTGACATTTTAGTGCATTTTTGGTCTCTGTGGAAGCCGCCCAGAGTGGCTGAGGAAACCCAGCCAGATGGGCGGGGTACAAATAATAAATTATTATTATTATTATTATTATTATTATTATTATTATTGCTACTGCAGGAGAACGGAACTATGCAATTATGAAACAAGTTGCACAATTTAAAACAAGCTGAAACGAGGATATTTGCACACTTACTTTTGTCACCTCTGGAAGGCAGGGCTAAACAAAGCAATGTATCTCACCGTTCGCCATGCTTCCTTGGTAATGGCGCTCTGTATGCCACAGCCACAGCTGCTGTGAGTGAGAAAGGGAAGTTCTTCTGTTCTGCTCGAGGTTTCCGTTTAAGTTCCCGCCAAGAGGCGATGGCTGGGAGGCTGTGACTCCTTGCAAAGTCCTTCTCTAACCCAGCAGAGGGCACTAAGAGGCCTTATTATGCAAAGGAGGAGGGCAGGAGCAGAAGAAAGGGGTGGGACAGCTTTCAGCTCAGGTTGTTCTTCTTATTTTAAATTTGTTATTGATTTATCATAAACACTTATACAAGATAAGACATAACCACCATACATGGAGCATCTCCAGTATAAAAAATAAATTACAGAGCTGCAGTTACATATAGCCAAGTTTTTAAGATGCCCAAGCATAACGAGGAGTGAGTCGTAGGAGGAGCACTTATACGACTCTCCCTTTTATGTAATAAGAAATGGAGACCGGTTTGCATCAAAACTGCATCACTGGGCTTGACCCCAGACTGCATGTCTTATGTCTGGCCAGGCGTTCAGCTAAAGACGTGTTCCACACACTGGTTAACCATTCTTCCTGCAGAGGAACTGTAGGTGATTTCCAGCATGTTTCTCAAGAACATACTGGACTTTACGTCCTGAGGATACAAGAGGGGCCCTGCTCAATTAGATGCGTGGTCCGTCTAGTCCAGCATTCTGCTTCAATGCAGCAGCTAGCTAAATGCCCATGGAGGTCCACAAGCATGGCGTGAGAGCGGCAGCGTTAGCTGGTGCTGCTGATGCACAGTAACTGCCTCTGATCCTGAGGATAGCTTGCAGCCATCGTGACCAGTAGCCACCAATAGCCTGTCTCTCCATGCATTTACTTAAAACCTTTTATAAGCCATCTTCAGCTAGAGGCCCATCTTGTGGCAGTGAGTACCATCAGCAAATGGTGTGGTGTGAAGAAAGACTTCCTTTTCTAACAACAGCAGCAAGAATACTCATCGCAAAGTATTGGAAGACACAAGATTTACCCACCCGGGAAGAATGGCAGATGAAGTTGATGGACTATATGGAATTGGTGGAAATGACTGGCAGAATCCGAGACCAGGGAGAAGAGTTGGTGGAAGAAGACTGGAAAAAGTTTAAAGACTATTTACAGGCGTAAATAGTAAATTTAATGAATCTTAGAAAAATGTTGGAATGAAATTATATGGCTTTAGTAGAAATGTTACAAGGAATTAAGTATAAATAGATTAATAGAGTATTAAAGGAAAAAATAAGGTTAGAATGTGTTAAGACAATTATAGGATAGAAAACAGAGTAAGATGGAAAGGAATTGCTGAAACAATTAACAGAAGTGGAATACAAAAAGGGAGGTGGGAGGAGGTCGTGGAAATAAGTGAATGAAAGATAAGATATTGAAATTGTTTGATTCATTTTAAACTGTTTTTGTTTTGTTTTGTTAGTTTAATGTATTTAATGTGTTTTATGTGTCAGTGTTATGTAGTGTTTTTTCATTGTATTGTATTGTATTGTATTGTATTGTATTGTATTGTATTGTTTTTGTAGTGTTTAAATTGTTAGAAAAGTAATAAATATTAATTTAAAAAAGAAAGAAAGAAAGACTTCCTTTTCTCTGCCCTGAACTTTCTGCCATTCATTTTCACAAGGTGCCCCCCCCCCCAGTTCTGGAATTATGGGAAAGGGAGAAAAACCTCCCCCCACCTGGCACATATCATTCTCATGACCCTCCATCGTGTCCTTCCTTTAGTTGCATACTTGTAAATAAAGTAAATATTGTCAAATGTAGGCCGGCACATGCCTTACACTGAGGCAGATCCTTGGGTCGATCCATCTAGCTCAGGGTTGTTCCTGTTGGAAAAACAAGCCTTAACAGGAGAGGCTGGCCCTTCTCTCCCAGGCTCCCGGCTTGTTTACCGGTGACCTCCCTGGCTGCAATCCCCGCAGGTCCAGGGTAGATCTCAATAGGTGACATTTCCCAGCGTGGGATTAATGCACACCCACTTCTCCCCCTTCGCAGGGGAAAGAAGAGTAGTCAGAAAGTCCTTTTACACCATGTTTATTTCTGACCGTACAAGCCTACAAGAAAACACGTCCGATCACTTCAGACTCCTTCAAGCAAGTCACTAAGACTTCCTTTACAAACACAACAGGAAGGTCTCATATTACACACTGAGTAAATTCCGGTCAATCGCCCTGTGAACTGACTGTAACATTGTTTCCCACAGTCAGCCCCATCAAGTGATGTTTTCACCGAGCTGGTTTGCAGCTGCGTTGCATTCATATCGTAACAGTTCCCACAGACTGGCAGCAACTCTCTAGGATTTCAGAGCAAAGGCTCCCCCTTAGCCTACCTGGAGATGCCGTTGGGGACAGTGGCATAACGTGGGTTGCCAGTGCACGGGGCAAGGCAAGTATCATCAGTACTGTCCACTGATAGGCTGGAACAAAGGGCAATAGCTCGATGACCTACCTGAGTGGCAGCTGTGGCGTCCTGTGAGCAGCAGGCATGGTGGAAAGCGGGATGGGGGATTTGTCAGGAGCAGGTATCTTTCTAAAACCCATGCAGAGGGCACCCTAGAAACCGACTGTCACCCAAATCCGCTCCTTAGTCCGCCCACACGAACATGGGGGGATTTTCCGTGTGGTGGGGAGGGTACACTCTTTTTTATTTTTGCTTTCTCTTTTTTTTTCCTTTTGAAATTTTGTGCCCCTATGAATTTTGCACCCAGGGCAACTGCCCCTGTGATTTCACCCATTGCTTGGGGACTGAATCTCAGACCTTCTGTGGTTAAAGCTCATGCTGTACCACTGATGTACAGCCCCTCCTCAAATCTCCAGGACTTCCTCACTGAAAGGAAACTCAAATCAGCCATTTTTTAAAAGAATAACACTTGAATCTTTGAATCTCCTTGATTTTATATTTCACTTTTATTCCAAAGTGTTCATCACATCAAGACCCAACATAGGGTCAGGAATTAACAAAACAGAAAATATGTACAGGACAGAGTTCCACCAATGTACATGTATAGACATATTTGTGTTTGTCTTTTAAAATGAAAAAGCAAACCCAGTCACATATAATTCTGTATATATATAGAGAGAGATATATGATACAAATGTACATTATTGGTTTTGGGTTTTTACAACATCCCACATTTCAACAATGTGTGAATTCATAAAAAGGTTCAGAAGATTCAATCCTGTTACTTAGTCGTAGATAATTCTACGTGGAGTGACAGCCCCACCTCCTATCAAACGATGGGGAAGTGGCACATTTTTAATTTGAAGAAGAAAGAAGAATGAGAAAGAGGAGGAGGAAGCACAGATCTCCATGGCCTGACCAACCCATTCTTGTTCAGAACAAAGTCTGGGACAGGATCATGGAGAAATGAGCAACCTCCCTTACAAAATCACTGGCTTTTTAAAGGAAAAAACAGCTAGATAGTGATCAGTATTTATAGCTATAAACATTTATGTTCTGTACCATCATCTAGACCACTATGTCTCCTCTACCACAACACACACGCTGTTGAAATATAGGACACTGCCTTATACCAAGTCCATCTACCTCAGTATTGTCTACACTGACTGGCAGCAGATCTCCAGGGTTTCGGGCAGGGATTCTTTCCAATCCCTACCTGGAGATACCAGGAATTGAACCTAGGGCTTCCTGCATGCAAAGCAGATGCTCTACCACAGAGCTACAGCCCCTCCTCACTTGAGGGTGGTCAAAGGAAAGTTTGGGATTCTAAAAAAAATTATTCCAAATAGCTCACACTGTGATCATGTATATAATGGCAGATCCTGCTGTGACAGGAAATGCGTTGGTCCTACGAGAACAGATGGGATCATGTTATATGGGGGGTTGTTGTTTTTAAACTGGAACAACAACCAAAGAAAGAATGAAAGGAAGAAAGAAAGAAAGAGGATTTTGCTGAAAGCCAGAAAGAAACATTTAGAGAGGACAGAGACAGTGAGACCCAGATTTCCAATAAAATGATTTAAAATGAATTCAGCTACAAACATCTGCTGCCATCCACAAGATCACCTCTAGATCAACAAGCCTGTACTACCAGGCTGCAAATTTTTAATTTGCCCCATTGCTCTAGCTGAGAGCAAATAACAGATCGTGGTACACAGATAATAATTCAGGAGAACAGCCATATTTCCTTCTTGGCAAGGCTCCCATCATCCCCAGCTGGTATACTCAGGGATGATGGGAGTTGTGTTCCAAAACATCTGGAGGGCATCAGAGTTGTTTTCATTATTATTATAATTTTATTATTATTATCAAATGCTACTCGAGCTTTGCAATAGGTGCAAGGCAGGAAATCTCTGTCAGGTCTGACACTCAGCCCAACCCGGGAAATGGATGAGATGGGTGCTTAACTGGTAGAGGTGGAACTAGAAATGGCTAGTTCTCCCTGGGCAGTTGCGAGGAACTTAGAAACCTAATAATATCAACAGTCAGAGCAGCAGCAAGAACAACAACAGCCCCTTTAGAACTGGGCTAGTTGAATCTGAATTTTAAGACTCCTCTGTGAACAGAAATGTGATTTGTAAGACAACAGGAGCGAAGAACAAGCAAAGAAACAAAAAAGGAAGTAAAATGTCACATCACCAGCCATTGGCCCTTACTATAGTAGGTTCAAGTACCACCTACACGTTCTGTTCTCTGGGGTGGGGGCAGATTAGAAGAGGAGGAATCCCCATATCACGCGCAAACTGGCTCCGCAAGTGCTTCGTTCCAACTCTGCGTTGAATGGCGATTGGGAGCAGCCTGGCGCTAGGCCCTGCCTTGAATTTCTTAGTAAATTACATACAAGATTACTCACTACGAGTGAATACGGTAACGTATGTAAGTCCACTTACAATGGTCCTTCCCTTAGCTCTGATATCGGTTATCTTAGCTTCGATGTCTCAGAATCAATATATATATGTATATATGTATATTTGCTTTTGTTATTTTTTTTTTGTTGTCAAAAAAACAACAACAAAAACAACAAAGTCTTTCTTCCAAAAACCCCATCCCGGGATGCTGGGTTGAATACATCCTCTTGTTTCATCATTACGGGTTTCGTCAGAAGAAGGTCCTTGGGATATGACAATATGCCATACTCGGAGAAGTAAGTCACAGACTTATTTCAAAACGAAGGGTCACTTTCGCTTCCATCTGTGGGAGAAGGGAACAAAGGAAAGACGTGGTTGGTTAGTGGACAGGAAAACCTCCCTCGAGACTATCCTGACATACTTTCAGAATCATATTTGAAAAGCCCAGGGGCTAGAGACCCATTTTCAAAATATTCTCAGGGGATGGGATTTTGCACCAAAATAAAATTGTGTAACGTGGTCACAGAAGAACCAGAGTATTGACAGTGCTGACTCCCTACCTGGCAATTATTGCTAAGTTGTGGCTTTACTTTATTTGACTTTTGCCACAATCTTAGGACTACAGGAAGAGGCCTTTGACATAGTCAAGCCATTGGCCTATCATCTAAACCAGGTTTCCCCAAACTTCGATCTCCAGCTATTTTTGGACTACGGCCTCCATCATCCCTGACCACTGGTGCTGCTAGTTAGGGATGGTGGGAGTTGTAGTCCAAAAACAGCTGGAGACCCAAGTTTGGTAGAAACCCTGGAAACTGAATAGCAGCAGGTCTCCAGGGTTTCAGACAGGAGTCTTTCCAAACTCTACCAGAAGAGACCCCTTCTGCATGCAAAGAAGGTGCTCTGCCAGTGAACTGCAGCCTTTCCCTAAGCTACACAGTTGCCCCCTCCCAAGCCTGATCCCCAGTCTTACCTTCATGGAAGCCTTCTTGCATGTGGCTCTGGAGTTGATACAACTCATCTAACCCATCACAGGGAGAGTTTGAGGCACGTGTCTCAAAGGCTGTTTCATAGGAGGCCAGTTCTTCCAAAAAGCATCGCTCTTCTGGAGGCAGGTCCATGCTGGGAGAGGCAGCCAAGGCCCCTTGGTTACTATCTTCGGTGTCCAAGCCGATTGGACTACTGACATTCCCACCGCAGAACTGGTGGTGAGGGCACCTCACACCCGCCCCACCTTTCTCAAACAGAGAGGTGGACAGGTCTTGGAGAAGGGTCTCGAGAGCATCCTCTTCTAAGAGGTCTTCCTCTGGGCAGGCCAATAAGGAGAAGTCAATGCTCCTCCAGTTCTTGGAAGGCTGGAAGTCCAGGCACAGTTCGGGGCCAGCGCCCAGTGCAGAATCGCCGAGGGTGACATAGCTGCTCTTGACGAGCTCTCTGGGAGCAACAGAGCTGAAAGCCTCAGCCAGGCTGCTGATCTGCTTTGCCAGGAGTTCGATCTCACCCTTCTCTTTTTCAGAATATCTGAAGAATGTCTGCTTGATGGGCGAGGCCTCTGGAGTCAGGATCCCCTCGGGCACCATGGGCACATCGATATAGAGGGGACCTCTGATCTCAGGCAAGGTCATGACGGTACAGTCCCCATTACCAGGGCTGTCCGGGGTAGGTGGTAGCTTCTCATAGAGAGCACTGCATTGGTCCTGGGTGTAGAACAGCTCAGAGGTGGTGGTGGTAGGAACAGTGGTGGCAGGAGCGGCGGCAGCGGCAGCAGCAGGCGGGGTAGTGGTCACAGGAGGCAAGGCAGTAGGGATGGTGCTTGGAGCATAAGTCTCCTGGGCTCCAAAGAGAAAGGCACAGCCCTGGTGTGGGGTATATGGAGGGGTGCAGACAAAGTCTTTGGAGGAGGAGCCGCTAAGGTTGTCTCGTCTTAAGGTCTGTTCGTAGTCTGTCGGGAAGACCACGTAGCTGAATGCTGGGCCTTTGTCGAGTAGGCTGAGGCTGGAGCCTGGGGTGGGCTCCTCCACGGAGGAGATATTTCTAGGCTCCGCCTCCTCCTGGGGCAGACTAGAAGCGCTGGTCTCTGTGAAGGCAGAGGGGCATTCTGCTCCACCAGTGGTGCCGAAGTCAAATGACGGCGCAAGAATGGTGCTGGTCGGGGTGGCAGCTACAGGTGTGAAGACTTGGTCAGGGCTGGAAAGTTGCCCCGGAGAGAGGAGGCCTTCCAGGAAAGCTGGTGCACTTCCGAGGACATAGGCCACCTGGGTTTCTTCTGCTGAGAGCTGCTGCTTGAGAGACCAGGCTTCAGAATCACTGTGAAAAGCAAAGGAAGGGGGAGTGAGATGAGCACCCAGGGGAACCCCAGCTTCAACAAAGCAGAGATAATAACTGCACTTGACACATTCATCCCTGTCTCTCTTTTCTTTCTTGCTTTTTTGCTTCTGAAACCCAATGAATTCCTAATGTACAAATGACAATAACCTTTTAAAAACAAAGGCCTTATTCCCAGCCACCAGTTCCTTCTGATCCTGTACCGCTGCTTGATCCTGAGCACATTTTATTTATTCTACTCCTGTGGCTTATTTTTGTTACTATTCACCCAGAAGCAACTTCCATGGCTTGTACCCAATGTTCACCATACTCAGAGCCTACCTATTAAAATTAATGGTGGTGAGTAATGTAGGGCCAGTCATTTAAATAGATGGCCTTTAAAAAATATATAAAGGCAAATTCATTGGGTGCCATTAAGAGATACAAACAGATCGACCATGAGGCACCGTCCATCAGAGAAGCAGTGGCAGTGCTGAATACACCTTGCACTGTTGTGGCCTTTCTTATTCCCAACTTGCTGGGCTTAGTAAAGTCTTTTAACAATCCTAGGCACATCCCCCTCCCTGCCTGTGCTTCCTCGAGGACCAAAAGTTGCCCTTTAGATGGCACATGAACACTCCTGCTTGTGGCCTACAGAAGGCAAGAAGTGATGGAAGGGAAGTCTCAACATTTCTACCCACTACTAAACTGATTAAGAAGCAAGGTAGGTCTCAGAGCCACCCACCTACAGCCAGAGACAAGTCTCTTGGTATTTACCTGATTATATAGTTGTGGGAGGTGATAGGAACATCAGCATTCTCCATGTGGAGCAGTGAATAGGTCCATATCCAATCCTTGCCATCTTTGGTTTGGAGCCGAACAACCATTTCAGCTTGAGTTTCACTTGTGTCACCCACTGGGGAAAAGGAGCACATCAGAAAAGATTAGATCAATGGTCCCATCCAAGGAAACAGCTCTGCAAATCAGCAAATGTGGTGGGAAACTTGGGCAATAGAAGGGACAAGATACTTACACAGCCTGTAATGCTGGGTTGACGCATGGCTGAGATCTTCTGGATGAATCAGGCTATACCATGACTTGCAAAACAGCTCACTTTTCTCAAAGCCCAAATGGAAGATCACACTAGAAAACAGCAAAGTTGGGAAGAGAGAGATGAGCACTTTGGATTGTAATGGTTTATATTGCTCAACAAAAACAGTTCACCACCCACCACCCCATGCTAGACAGGCAGCTCCCATTGTCAACATTGTGGCTCTCACTAGTCAATTCAAGGCCCTTCCTCAAACTTTTCCAATCCCCTCCAAGGTCCCAAGATTCCCTATTCCCAGAACACATGCTCACCTTTCAGAGATGTCCACAATGGCCAAGTCTTTTGTGTGGCGACTCTCAAAATAAGTCAAGAAGAAAGAATTCTGGCTGATTCTGGGCTTGGGGTCCAGAGGAGTGCAGAAAGCAGTGAATACAGGATTAGTGGACCAGTAAGAGCCGGGTGGGGGCTGGTGGAACCTCCCTCGGATAAGGACCAGCTTGTTCCCGGAACTTTGCCTCCGAATTGTCTTGGATGTGTTGAAATGGCAGCGGAAAAGTCGGCCTGGTGTTTTTGTAAAAAGTAAAGAAAAGAGCACTGATGAGTTAGAGGAGCCACAGAAATATCCGCCAGTTGACATAGTCGCACTGTTAAGCTACTCTCAAGCCTAAAACATGAGACAGTTCTACTCTCATTGGCTCTGAGGTTTAGGCAAGTTATTGTAATTTCTACATGGCATTGCATTTCTAGGCTTCAGTGTTGAGCTTTTTTTGGGGGGGGGGGGAAGCAATGGGGTTTGAACATTTCTGGATCAAGCCCTGAGCCAGGGATGGGCAATTTGCAGCCCTCCAGTTCTTGATGAACTACAACTCTCATCATTCTCACCATTGGGCATGCTTCTTGAGGCTTATGGGAGTTTGAGTCCAGCAGCATTTGGGGGTGGGGCTTACAGGTTCCCTATCCCTCCTCTAAGACCCAAAGTGCAGGTGCTTGCTCAGCTACTATATGCACTCTCACTTCTGCTATTCTTTCACATGCTCTAGGGCTAAGTGAATATTATGAAAAGAAGGTTTCTTGCTTGAATTAAGTCCTGCTGGGCATCATCTATTCTAGGACTTGCAGGCCAACTTTTAATCTGCCGTCTCTCTACTTTAGAGTCATTGCACAGCTACATTTCCTCCTCCTCCTCACATGTCACTGAGCACAGTTTCACAAAGGGATACCTACTTGTATCTATTGGAGAGGTCAATGCCAGCTGGTTCCTCATCACAAAGTGATCTGCTGGATCAATGATGTCATAGATGCTGTCTCCTTGGGCAACCAAATCCACCTGCAGGATAGAGAATCAGATGAGGTTTAGATATCCGGTTTCATATTAAGCACTATAAAATGCTGCTAGCACCACAAAGTTCCCAGTGTCCAACAGATATTCATGGTCAGATAAATAAGTGATACCATCACATCAGGGAATAATTATGAAACAGAAATTATCTGTTTATACTATAAGGGGCATAAGATTAATTTTAGGGCTACCAAGGCCTAAAGGAATTAAAAGGAATTTATGTAACTAAAAGATTGTTGCTTAACTAAGTACCTATTCCAAGGATTATTCAATCTCCCCATTTTACAGCAAAGGCATTTCCCTTTCCACCCACAAGCTGATCAGATACATACCATAGAGTGCCCCAGATGTTCAGCAACATTCTCCGACACATAGATGAGTTTGCCTTCTCCAGTGAATGCGAGAAGGAAGCCTGGAAGCGTCTGCATAAAATCTTCCAAGTCCTGGGAAGAAAGCAGGCTCTCCAAGCCTTCTAGAGTTGTTCCTGTTGAGGAAGAAGAGAAGGGAAAATCGGTTATTTTGGTAAGCACAAACATAATTTTTATTTAAACAACAGCGACAACCCTTTTAGCTCTTTGCATCAGATTTTTAGCTGCGGCTGAGGCTAGGATTTCAGCACCGGGGACAGCAACTGTTGCTGCCCTGCCTCCGCGAAGCTCGCCCTGGCTGTTTCAGGACCACGGACAGCAGCTCCCCGTGTCTCTTCTCATAAGAGACATTGGTGCTTCAGCACCACGGAGAGAGACCTGTTGAGTCCTACCATCCCGAAGGGGGACGAAGGAAAGACGCTGGACCCAAGACCCAACTTCAGGTGTCCCCGCACCCACCCCGCATCCTTGCACTTCCTGGATTCCCCCCGAACCTCGGGATCTTTCTGAATCTGTCAGGCAGTTAGTTACCTTTGGAGAAGAATATGGATTTCCGCGTGTAGATGCACGCCAAGGACATGATGTGGAGGTACGATAGCCGCAGCTTATCCCCTTCCGCGATGGGCAACAGGTCTTTCAGGTTCCTGATCTCTGCATTGATCTGGTCCCGCCGCGCCTTGGAGGCTCCCTTCGTGGACCGATACATCTCGGCTGCCGAAGCTCCTTGCGGCTAGCGCTCCTCCGTCTCCTCTCCTCCTCTTCTCTGGTCTCTCTCTCTCTCTGTCTCTCCGGTGTCTGCCTGTGGATCTGTTTGAGAACCACTGCCTGCCTCTCATCTTTTATAGGCTGTCGGGAGTGTGGGCACTGGCATGCTAAGGAAAGTGGGGCGGGAAGATTTGTTCAGATCAATGGAGGGACACGGCTGCAGAGTCCTCCCCCTCCCTTTCTTGGGCTTGGGGGAACCCTACGTCACTGGCTCCTGAATGACGCGGTGAGGAAGGGGGGGAGTGGGGGAGGCAGCCAAAGAAACGCTGCACCGAATTAGGAGATGAAGCAGAGACGTTTCTGTTGGAATCACACCTCGGCAGCGTCTGAGCCCAACGCCTTCTCTCCTCTGTTCCTCCCTTCCCTCCAGCTCAGACTTAGATATTCACTCTGGCGCTGGAGTCTCGCTTTTCTTTCTTCCCTTCTCACGAAAAGGACTTGCTGTCTCAACTCTTTCACAGGCTTTCATTTTATTCTGGCTTTCGAAACTTCCCTTCCATATTTTTTCCTTCCCTTTGTGTTTCTTTCTGGGTTTCCTTTCTCAAAACCATTTGCCATGTATTCTTTCCCCACTCACTCATTCATTGATTTGTTCATCCTTTCTTCCACCTTTCCCTGTTCACACTTGCACACAAAAACCCCCAATGTACTTTTCCAATCTCTTCACTGCTGATCTAAAACAGAAAACCAGGGAGAAAAAGTGAGGTCAAAATCGTGGGCTTAGACCTGAATTGCATGAAAAGCAAGTTCAAAAAGGTGTGTTTGGGTTGTGCTTTCAGCCTGATTGTCTTTCATCTCTCTCTGTGTGTGTGTGTGTGTGTGTGTGTGTGTGTACGCACGCTTATTTCTCTGAGTGTACATTTTGTTTTAGTGTCTTTAAGAAAATGTACCTTATGTGGTCTTTTACTAATTATAATGACAATAATAATACAAACATTGATCTGTGGGGGAATCATTTCAAGCTGTTTTGTTTTTCTTTTCTTTTCTTGCTCCCCCTGACTTTTTTTTCTTTGCCTAACATAATTCTCACTGTTTCGTTTTGGTTTTCTTTCCCATTTTCTTTTTAGTAAAGAAACCTTGTGCTAAGCACACCTTTATATAGGATTTCTCTCCAGGAATTCTGGCTTCTCTCCCATACAGCAATCACTAGTGGGTGAGTTTCTTTTCCTTTTCTTTTTTTGTTATAAAAAACTTCCTCAACAAATAAATAAGTCAGGTCTTAAATAACACCTTCTTATATGAAGGCCAAAAATAGACTTCGAGAAAGAAAAGAGAGTGGTGCCTTTTTTTGCTTCATGGTTGCCTGAGCAACGGACTGAAAAGTGACAGCTCTCTGTCTCCCATTTTGGGGTGGTTCTTTTTCTTTCTTTCTTTTCCTCCCCCACCCCAAGAGGTAACCTAAATTAGGTACCTTTCTTTTGCATAATCTCTCACTCCATATAAGGAAAAGAAGCTGATATGGTGGGAGGAGAGTAACTCTTTCTAGCCTGGATGCTTTTTCACCTGTTCTGCTCAGGGATAGCGCTTGCAAGCTGTCCTTCCTTGGGGCTGGATCCTCTGCTTCAGGAAGAAAACCCATTGGGGCTGCGTCTCGAAGGGGTCCCTGTGTTTGTGTGTTTTGTTTGAATCTTCTTCGATTCAGTGCTTTTTGTTTAAAAAAGACAGAGGAAAGCACAACTGAAACAGGCTCAGTCATGGTGGCTCCAGGAAACAGGATTTTCACTGTTATGCAATGATAGCTTTCTGCAATGCAGACAGCCTGTTTATGCAATCCAGTTAACCAGAGACAACAACTCCTGAAAAGTTCTTTCAAACTCTGTTGGATTTTTACATGTTCAATGTATAGTGTGTCTGGAAGGGTGGAGGTGGAGGGTGCATGTTTAATCAGAGGCTGAAATGACCTGAAAGAAATTTCATAAGTATCAGCAAGATCAAAGACCCATTGGCTCCTTCCCTTCCCAGGATAAGTGATCACAGTAGTGATCACTTACCAGTAGATCATTTCTCAGGAGTGACAAGGGGCATTACTTCTCAAGTGCAGAGCTGTCTGGAGGGCAGGGTTCCTTAGAGAGCCACGGTGACTTGCGGATAACTTAGGGAACTCAGCTTGCTTGACATTTTTTGGCTGCAAAACAGGAGCTGTTGGCTTGGGTTAGCAGCCCTGGGTGGAAAAATGCTGGATCCCTTGAAATCTGTATGGCTGGGCTGGGGAACCTTTTCCAGCCCAATTCCTTTTGTGTGGCCATATGCCAAAGGGAAGCACCAGAGGCAAAATATGGCAGAGCAGCAAACATGAACTCTACCAGGGTACAGTAGACTACCTGCTCTCTACACAAACACACACACATACACATGCTCCATTTGACCCTCCATCCATCCATCCAGGCAGGCAAGAGGAATTGGTGCAAATTTAAGAACACATTATAGCCAGGCCAAAACTCACAAAGGGTGTGTGGAGCTCGATCAGTGAGTCATGTGACCTGGGGAAGGACTGTGACCCGGGGAAAACCCTGATGGCCAGACAGAGAGGCCTGGAGGGTCACATTCAGCACCCCCACCTCTGGGCCTAAGGTTCCCCTCCCCTGCTGTGTGAGGTGACTTCATCTCCATGGCAGTCTGGATCTCTCCAAGAGCCTTAAGGGCTAAGTATCAACAATAATAATATAATAATAATAATTTATTATTTATACCCCGCCCATCTGGCTGGGCTTCCCCAGCCACATCCCAACAAGTGGGATGATAACCAGTGGCTTTAGGGCAGAAGCCCAGTAAAGTATATCCTGTGAGGATCATGAATAGGAAGCACACTTAGGCTTTGCTAGGCTGTTGGGGAGGGGGGCTCTTCATTCTTCCTTTAATTTGCTAATGTATATACCCAGAAAGTAAACAGCTGCCTTGTTTTGGGGTTGGCCTCATTTTGCTTCCAAACCAATAGGGCAATGTCAGGTGGACAAATGTCTAAGTAGGTACAACAATGGGGACCAGCAACAAAATGTGGCCACGTGAAGTGCTATTGTTTGGGGTTTCAGCCAGCCATGCCTCCTCCAGGTTACTCCATTCCATCCCTTCCCCCAATTCCCCATCCTCTACCCGCTCCCTCAACCACCATTCTGTGCCCAGTAAGAGGACTCAGCCCTCTCACTGGGCTTTTGAGTCATCCCCTTAGAAGGGGGTTCCCCATCTCAAGGAGAGGGGGTTGTCCTTCTGCAAACTTTGGTGTTCTCCCAAGCCTGCTTGAGACCCACACCTGGAGAAGGAGTTTGCCATTAGTATTGTTGCACGCCACCCCAATCCCCAAGGGGTGCGAAATTCCAGGGGTTGCAGATGCTTACCAGGGTTCGTGTTTACTTTGGAATGAGGGATAGTGGAGACTGTGGTGTCTTTATGATATATGGTTTTCTTTACACATATATACAACCTGATTGAGGGGCTCACAGCATTAACACCCCAAAGGGTCTTGTTTCTTCCATCGCCGCAGCCCTGGATTCAAAGGGGGAAAGTCAAGAATGAAAGAGAAAGAGAGAAAGGAGAGAAAGAGGAGGGGGGAAACAAGGGAAGGGGAAAGCTTTTAAAAAATGGAAAGGAGGAAAGGATATAGGATATGAATCCACTGTGTTCTTTCAACGTTCATTTAGATACACAGTGTTATAAATAGGCCCTGGGAGTCCCTGGCTTTTCACTGTGGGATTTTGCTGCTAGCATCCTGTTTCCTTAAGATGGGTCTTTTCCACAGCTCTACAGCTGGGATCCCCTCCTGACGCAGCCCTGAGCTTGAGTGGGAAGGACTTGGGAGAGCAGAGAGAGTCTGTGGATGCAGGCAAGTGTGTCAGAGCCCTGGATGAGAGGAAGTAGCATCTGTCTGCAATGGAAAAGCATCTACTCCTGTAGAAGAAATTGAGCCTCCTGGGTGCTTAACCCACAAGGAATCTAAGGCTGCGCCTGCACACATTTAAAGCACATTCCCCACAAAATAATTATGAAAACTGTACTTTGTTAAGAGTGCTGGGAATTGTAGCTCTGTGGGGGATAAACGACAGTCCTCAGGATTCAGGGAGGTGAGGGATGTGCTTTGAACAGATGTATGGTGCATATTCTGGCTGCATTCAGACAGTTCTTTATTCATTTCCCTCAATGTTTCCCTATCTGATCATTTCCACATTTTAAGTGATATTTCACATGGTGCAAAAGTCATTTCTGTACCTATATATCTGCTTAAGCTGCAAGTGCAAATTATATTTGCCATAGTTACCTGCATATTTTTTATGTATGGGCTGTAGGTGCAAGTTATAGGCACAATAGTCACCTATCAGGTGATCTCGGCTAATACACTTATGCGCTCAGACGGAGCCACTGACTTAGCGGGTGTACCACAGCAGCTGATGGCCCTGAGATTTAACTTGCACCTTGAGACTTCCAAGAATGATCCCCACAAATACTTTTTATTTTTATTCCCCTCCAATCTGTCCTAAATAGGATCATACCATATATGCCATTGCAATATTGGCAGGTGTATATTTTATCCTATTCCTATCAAATCTGTGCACGCTGGGTCAATGTTCAGTATGTCCAGCCCACCATAACTCCAAAATCTCTTTCCTGGCTAGTTACCACCAATTCAAACCCCATCAGAGAAGTTGCGGGTCTTTGCTGCATGGTACATCACACTTAGGAGGAATTCACTCTAGACATTTAAGGCAGAATGGGTATTATTTGTTCACTCACTTTCCATAGGACAGCATCATCCCATTTCTGTCACCCTGCCACTTCTTTCATCTTTTTTCATGACTTTCTCCAGTGAGTGTCCAGTATTGACTGCACTGACTGGCAGCGGCTGTCAAGCAGGATCTTTTCAAAGACCTGCAGGGAGATGCCAGGGACTAAACTTGGGTGCTGTGGTTCAACGCTCTCCAAGCCTTTGACCCAGAAGCCCTACCCTGGGCTGCACATACGAACTGGGTCAGGCGAGGAAGAGCTCCCTCACTGCATGCAAAAGGTCCCAGGTTCAACCCCTCCTATCTCCAGGGAGGACTGGGAAACAAAGACTTGGCCTGAAACTCTTGAGAGATGCCGCTCATCTTCTTTTCCGCTGCTCCGGAGGGAAGGACATGAAGCAACGGATCCAAATTCCAAGAAAGGAAATTCTGCCTAAAGGCATGGCCAAACTTGGCCCTCCAGATGTTTTGGGATTACAGTTCCCATCATCCCTGACCACTGGTCCTGTTAGCTAGGGATGATGGGAGTTGTAGTCCCAAAACATCTGGAGGGCCAAGTTTGGCCATGCCTGGAACCTTAGGAATAACATTGTGACGGTAAGAGATGTTTGACAGTGGGAACGGACTCCCTCAGAAGCCGGCAGACTCTCCTTCACTGGCGGTTTTTAAGCAGAGGTTGGATGGCCATTTGTCATGGATGCTTTGGCTGAGATTCCTGCACTGCAGAAGGTTGGATTAGATGGCCTGCGGGGTCCCTTCCGGTCCTACAGTTCTATGATTCTACTGAGTGAGATAGACCCAAGGGTCTGCTGCTTGGTGGCAAATGCTCCAGCAACCCAGACAGCTGCCCACTCCCACCCTGGCTTGCCTTCTTACTTGCAACCAGCCCAGGGATTGGTCCTGCCTGCCTGCCAGCTTCCTCCTCCTGGGTCTCAATTTCCCCTATTCGGAAATCAGCAGGGAGGAGGATAGGGACAAAGCCTTTGCCTCTCATTGGCTCTAGCGCCACCTACTGACGGGCTCCCTTCCTCCCAACAAGTCCTAATGGGCTCCACCCACCACTAGCTCCGACTTTATATTAGGCCACTTCCTATGTTTTTATGCTACAAAGCCCCAAACACTTTTTTTTGGGGGGGGGTGTGCTCATATATAACCAGGACTCGCCTTGAGCACAAATGCTGGGTGAAATTATGCCCGGTGGCAAGGCTGTTTTGCTTTGTCCCTAACCCCAGTTCCGGGTGGGGGTGTGCGCGCGCGGCGTGGGAGGGGGAAAGAAAAGGGGGAAGTCCCAGCAAGGCGGAGGAGAGTCTGCCTAAAAGGGTGGCAGACAAGCAGTCCGATTTGCTAACAGCTTAGCCTAAATCTAAGTGAATCACATAGCATTGTGACAGTGACTCACTGCCCTGCTAGCATCCACTCTGTGGGGTTGGGGAGGGAAAGGGGAGAGGGGTTATGGTGAGGATTTGAGGTGGGGGCGGCGGTCTTGCCGATGACTGCAGAGCCACTCACCATCCCACTGCTTCCCAAAGCCTCCCCTCCTCATTCTTTCCCCCCACCCCACATACCTCCCGAGCTCAGGTCTCTTAAGAACCTTCCTGGGCCTCGCCCCTCCCACCCTTCACCTCTTTGCTGCTAATTTGAGTTCTGAATCAAGAAGCTAAAAACAGCAACCCAGCGGCTAAATATAGCCAGCCTGGAGTGCGCACACACGCTGGCGCTCCTTTGCTTTGCAATTCAGAGCCTGTAATGCACAGTCCCTCTGCTGCAGCGTGTGGGGGCGGCCAACAGCGTCGCTCATCATTGCGAAGACTGCAGTGGGGGGAGAGGGAGGAAGGAGAGAGAGAGAGAGAGAGCAAAAGCGGGGGCGGAGGCATCCAAGCTGTACTTTTACCCCAATAAGGGATGATATAAATATCTTTTGGCTCAGAGAGCTGTTTGTAACAGAAATGGCATAGATGCATTCAGATACCCTGCCACCTATAAAGCAGGGGGCGGGGGGGGGGAGAGGTGCTGAGCATGTATGTAAAAGGCAGCCTGCACATCATAGAATCATAAAGTCGGAAGGGACACTGAGGGTCATCTAGTCCAACCCCTTTGCGATGCGGGAATGTTCAGCTGTCCCATAGGGGATTGCACCTGCAACCTTGGCGTTATCGGCACCATGCTCTAACCAACTGAGCTATAGGGCCAAATCATGCTTTGACAGGCTGGACAGATGTCTTTTCTTTCTTCTTTCTTTGGCAATCACTCACAGCCGAGTAAGATTGTCTTTCATAAACACGGTTTTAACAGTCCGTAAGTGACTGTGGAGGCCAATTCTGGATCCACACGTCCTTCCACAATGGGGACATAGGTTTCCCAGCGGGAGTTGACCATGATGAGGGTTTGCCAAGCGTGCCTTCCTCTTAGCACGTTTCACCCTTTCATCCTGATTTCCAGCATCTTCAAAGCCCATGACAACTTTGGTAAAGGCTTTGGAGTGCTCGCAGGCCAGTGTTTCCCATTGTCAGTTGTGCAGTTGTCCCAGTTGTGCAGGTTGCTGGCTGTAGGAGTGCCAGGGATGCTGTACCAGCACTGGACACTGCCCCCCACTGCCACGTGCATAGGATTGTAATGCAACCCCAAAGTGCTGCCTTATGCCAAGTCTTGCTATTGGTCCATCTAGCTTAGTATTGCCAACACTGGCTGGCAATGGACCTGGGGGATTTCGGGCAGCAGGCGCTCCCAACACTACCTGGAAATGCCAAGGATCGATCCTGGCCCCTCTGTGTGTGTGCTGTGCTATGGTCTTTGCCCTAAGCAAAAAAAGAAGAAGCAAGTTTCTAGTCCTCAACGTCCTGGATGAAGGTCTGATCCAGTTTGTTATTTTCTACTCTAACTGGCAGCGGCTCTCCAGATTCTTGGGAAGAGAAAGTCTTCCCCACCAACCATTCCCTGACCATTTTTAAAAATAGGAGATGAGGACTGTCTGCATTGAAAGCAGGTGCTTCAGCAATGAACTAAAGACTGCAGTTTCCACTCATAATTTCCCTGCCAATGTTTGTGCCCTGCTCCCGTTGGAATGGTCTGAGAGGTAATCCATGGGGGTTCTCCTCTCCCGGGGGGAGAGGGGCAGAGCGAGTCTGCTAGGAGGCCAGGAGAAGAGGCCTTTCCTTTCTCCAGTGGTGGCGACTGAGCCATTGTGAATACGCCACGTTCTGGTGCTAGTCATTGCACAGGCAGTGACAGAAGAGGCCCATAGGGTCATATTATCTAATCCTCTGCCAGATCCTCCAGTGGAGGTTTTTAAGATGAGGATGAATGACCACCTATCAGGGATTGTTTCGCTGCGATTTCTGCATTGCAGGGGGTTGGACCAGGGGGTCTGTACAATTCTATGATTCTATGTAAAATCAAGGTGTAGACATAGCCATGCAGTCTCCTTAGCTATTACTTAACGGGGTTTTTTTTAAAAAAAACAACATGTGGTGACGCTCCCCTCCTTGCATAGCCAAGGAGAGTGTTCAAAACTTAAAATAAATTCAAAAGCAAACATTGTGAAAGGAGGCAGGAGGAGGAGGAGAGATTCCCAGGCCAAGAGTTCGAACCGTGCATCCTTGCGCCCAAAGCAGCAGCTGAATATTTCACTGACAAATTACTGGAGAGCACCAGGGCTTCTTTAATAGTAACAGCAAATGAATTGCCTCCTACCGTAGTGCAGTGGGGAATAAGAAAAGAAATCTCTCTGCTGAGTGTGTGTGTGTTTGCGTGCCTTCCTTATGTGTGGTAATGGAAGGCGATATTAATTAACAGAAAGGGGATGGGAAGAGGAAAAAGAGGGAAGGCAGTGAAATCAATTATGAGGGGAAATGGGGGATAGAAATTGATTTATGGAAGGGAATTGAACTTAGTTATGCAGGAAAGGGTTGTGCAAATGTGTTCTTATTGCTGCTTAGTGAATTACACCAGTTACAAAGTGAGGAACTAATAATGCAGTTACTTGATGAATCATTAAAAGGGTTAATAATACAACTGAGCATAGTACAGAAAAGGGATACTTTTCCGTGTGTGTTTTTCTTTGGCCACACCCATTTTGACACGCAGCCGCTAGGGGGCTGCCTCTAGGTCCGTGCACCCCTTGAGCCCCCGAAAGGTTAGGCACAGTGTGAAGGTGTTTGAGTGCAACAAGGGCCTTTGCAGCAACAGACCTACATCCGCCCATCACCGTGGGGTGGGAGCAGGGTGGAATCACTCCCTGCATATGTGGTGAGAAGCACCACATTGAAAGAAAAAAATAACAGTCCCAGGGAATTTTGATAAAGAAAAGAGATTGAGTGAATACATATCATGAGTGTGAATTTGGTGTTAAAATTTGGTGCCCCGCCCTCAAAGCCTGAGAGCCAAATGCAGCCCTCTAGACTTCTCTCTCAAAACTTTGCAGAGGCTGCATCTGCTCAGCCACGTGTTCCCTCCCCAGGCTGCACCCCTCAACACCCCTTACTTTGCACCCTCCTTGAGTGGTTTTGCTGGCTTGAATATGTACAGAATTCAAGGTGTGTGTGTGTGTGTGTGTGTGTGTGTGTGTGTGTGTGTGTAAATCCTGCAGGCATGTTAACTTGAATAGGACAATACCTTTGTGTGTGGGGGGGTGCCTCCAGACTGTCAACATTTTGCAGGAATCAAGTGCACACCATAAATTTAAAGTGGATTAATGCACTCTGTTTCTCTAAACCACAGAGCCTAGGACTTGCTGATCAGAAGGTCGGCGGTTCGAATCCCTGCGACGGGGTGAGCTCCCGTTGCTTGGTCCCTGCTCCTGCCAACCTAGCAGTTCGAAAGCACGTCAAAGTGCAAGTAGATAAATAGGTACCGGTCCAGCGGGAAGGTAAACGGTGTTTCCGTGCGCTGCTCTGGTTTGCAAGAAGCGGCTTAGTCATGCTGGCCACATGATCCAGAAGCTGTACGCCGGCTCCCTCGGCCAATAAAGAAAGATGAGTGCCGCAACCCCAGAGTCATCTGCGACTGGGCCTAACGGTCAGGGGTCCCTTTACCTTTAATGCACTCTGTTTCTCTCCCTAATAAATTTACTTTAAACAACAACAACAATTACTACTACTACTCAGACTTTTTACAGTTAGGAAAGTGATAGGGAAATGCACTGCAAAGTGTGGATGGATAAAAAGTTAAGAGGAAGATGTGTAAGCACCATGCTAGCAAATGCCGGGCGGTTGCTCATTGTTGCATAAGTGCCCCGTCAACAAATCAGGACGAATGCTCACTAAAGAGCAGGCACTGTCTAACCTCTGTGAAAAAGAAACCAGGATGAATAAGCTAGGGTTGCCGTATTCCCCAAAGTGAAAATCCGGACAAAGTTAATGAGCTTTTTTCTGGCAGCCTGTCTGGAGAGAGCGAGGGTAGCATCGGCAAGGCTGGCACCAAGGGTTGACAACACCAGGCGTCTGCTAGCGCCCATATCCCAATAGTGGGCCCTTTACCCTGGAACGTGGCCCTCTCAAGCTAGCAAACAGTGAGGGAACTAAGGAGGAGTAACCCCTGCATCCCCTGTCCATCCCACCCCCTCTCTTCCTGGGAAGCGGGGTGGATTGGGCCCCAGAGAAATTGGACACTGAACAGGCAGCGACGGCAGAGAGGAGGTGGAAGAGGCAAGCATCTCATTCCCAGGCCCGAAAAAGATGGAACTGGCACCATGCACCACGTTTACACTGTGGTCATTCTGCTGTGTCGAACACACAAGAAGATTTTTGCACAGGAGTAGGGAACTTTTTCCAGACTGGGCAACTTTCTGAAGCCTACATGCCAGTGGCGGGCAGAGCCAGGAATGCTAATATTACCTTTATAAAAGTAGGCTTCTCTATACCCAATCACATGCTCCTCCCTGTCCTCCATCCCCACATTCAAGAGGCGTTCTCAGAACATCCCGGCCAGCCAGGCACAAACATTTGGGGTGCAGCATAGGGCCAGTGAGCGGTGTGGCCTAGCAAAAGCCCCCAGGACCAGATGCAAGGACTTGAGTCCCCCTTTCCCTGCTGCTAGGAAGGAGGCACCACTCAAGACTGAGCACATCACGCTGATCTTTTACCCTGGACAAGCCCTTAGCAATGGGGGAACCCAACACTGAAAATATCTCTGTGTCCAAGTTATCAGCCTCCTTGCTGCGCAGTGATTGGAAGCAAGGGGGGGGGCACAGATCCTGCCACATCTCGAATTTTACATGGCTGCTTCAAGGTTTGGGAGACACCTGAGCAAAGTGTCCTCTCAGTTTATTTGTTTGTTGAGATATATTTCCTCTTTGTTTGGGAAGGAGCACAGGGGAAAGGGGGGGGGGGAGCAAGAGGCAAGGCTTCCATCCTATATCCTGTATCCCAGTTGCTGAATTGTTTGCTGTTGTTGGAGCAATGTGTTTTACAGTGCTCCTCACTGCCTATTTTAATTTCATTATTATTACCGAAGAGGCAAAAGCCCTTCTGATCCATTCTGGCAAAGTATCATCGCCGCTGTGCCAGCACTGAGGGAATTGGCTGCTGCAATGTGTATTAATTTAGTCTAGGAAACGGGCTGCGGGGCAGGGAGAAAAGGAAATAATAAATTCAGTGATGGGCAAAGAGGAATAGAGGAGGAAGAGGAACATTCCAGGGGTTGACACCTTGTTACATAAAATAGCCCCCTCACTGGCACGGCCTTTAAGCTGTTGCTTTTAATAACCCAGGAGAACAAGCTATTTATATTCTTCCACCTAGCCAGGACAAAAAAAATAAATGTAAAGTGGAGGGATGGAAGCCATCTAGAAAAAAATATGTGTTTTTCAATCATGTTTTCAACAGGGAGATTGCATACAACAGAGGCATTTGGAGAGAGAAGCAGAGGAGGAGAGAGAAACCAATTATCTGGGCCTATATTTGGGTCACTCGTATGTCCGGATGTGAAAATGGCTATCGTCATGGGGGTCCTTTTGCCGAACTGTCTTTGCCCCTCACTACTGCTGGCCTGGTGACCCACATATGAAATCTGTGTCTGATAGTGGGAGAAACTGTAAGGCTATCCAACCCAACCCTCTTCCGGAAATCAGGACAGTTCTCCTATTAGCTCCTGCCCCATAACTGCCTAATTTCCAATATGATTTGGGCTCAAATCCCTGCAAGGTGTTGTTGTTGTTTCCCTAATACCAGCTATGTAGAAACCAGGCAGTGTT